CTGAGATCTGCCAAGCTGGGCGTGGTGGCGTGGCAGGGGGAGGTGTCGACAGAATCAGCGGGCGCAGTGACATTTTCGTGATTGCCACCAGCGTGTAAAGTGCGCTGAAAGCTCGGCGATTCAAACCTGGTCAGTTTTCAGCGCAGGCGGAGCGCAGCTGGTCTAGTAGTATTTTGGTAGACTGGCGGCGTATCGACATAAGTCACCGATGCCTCACGGGCAGGTTTCCACAGTGTCAAGCACATTTCAGTGCAATAAATAATCATCATCAACTATTAATCTGAGTCAGCACATACATTTAGATCTATATCGATATATTCTGATCTATATCTGATCTGATGAGCGCGTTTGGCACTCGTTTGGACACACAACCTGACCGAATCAACACAGCTGAAACCGCATCAAATTAAATTAAATATCTAGTAAATAGACACACATAATGAAGTTAACAAGATATGTAATTCGTCTCCCTCCTTCTCTTTCTTCTTCTTCCTCTTATTTCTCGCACAGCTCGACCTGGACACGTCTCCGTGTCCTCTGTCCGTCTTGCTGCTGCTGCTGCAGCTGAACAGATGATTTGTTTCAGTGCTCAGATGCGTGATCTACTTTAAGCCGACATATGGATATTATAATATTCAGTTTTGTGGGCCAAATTTATTTTATATACCAACATCTATGAAAGAAAGAGCCAGGCCACGGAGCGCGATGCGTCATTTACGCACAGATGGTTCCGATTTTAATGCCATTTTTGGAGTTTATGTTGTGATCTGTGCGCTCAACCCACCTTTGTCACGTGAGGTTTGAATATGTGCAACTTTATGTGAGTGTCTTTATTTGTGGAAAAGGATGTATGTCTTACCAGTGGGTCCAACATTACACACACCAAATCCATCTGTGCTTATATCAGAGAGTGTGGAGGACGCCCAATGCAGCGCTTACAGTGACACTTGTTGAGGAGCTGCCTTTTGTCGCCATCTTGTGGCATTACTGTCTTCAGACATCTCTTGATCTCTCTGACTACTTCACCAAAATAGTAATACGCCTTGCCGGTGGCGGATTTAAAGGCAAGGAAAGGAGCTTATGTGATTGGTGAAAAAAAGGTCTCGGCTGTGTTAAAACCACTCCACGCCCTCTCTCCTCCCTCGCAATGATTTATGCCGCTGGGAGGAGCTGAGTTAGGGAGGGGGGATACTTACGCCGGGCTGCGCTGCTCACCAAAATACCAAATTGTGCTTGGGAACGCCTTGTCGGCACGGCGGATCTGACTCACGCCGCGCTTGCGGCACGTCTCCGGCGAGGCACGAAAATAGAGCCCACAGTCTTTTCTGGGACTTTCTGAGCTCCATCATCCTGTAGGTTCCTCTGGGTCACTGCTGCTGTGGACCAGCCTGCTTTTCAGCTGCAGTCGAACATCAGTCTGGTTCTTCTTGAGGTTTCTGCCTGTGAAAAGAACTTGATAAATGCTGTAAGGTGTCTCACACTTGTGGATGAAGGTGGATCACAGAGGGTCCGATCCTACAAAATGGGACTCAGTCTTATCCCATCTTTATGTTTAGGGTCTATGAAAAAAAATCATGAAAAGCCTGATCCAGACCAGATCTTCTTGTTAAGCACCTTGATATAACGGTTATTGGGAATAAGCCCTACAGAAATAAGATTGATTGATTGATTGATTAAACAATTGTTTGTCATGCTTACATTTTGATATTTTTCTCTGTTCTGCCTATAGGTTGTTTTATATTTTACACTGTCAACTTGTGCTTTCATTTGAAGTATAATCCACTTTATATGAATCCTTAGTTACAGAGCCGAATTTAAAAAACTGATTTCAAGTTGATGTGTTTTGCTCATTATGTGAAATTGAAATTTATTTAGCAGTTCCCAGCGAAATGAGATAATCCAGTAAGTAGGCTTTAAGCAGCCCAAATACACCTGTTGTACTGTTCACTCCTAAACTCTCCTGGATAATGCTGTACCAGTGTGGCAGACTATCAGAATTCATGTGTGAACTTGAGTTACCGGGGAGGAGAGTCGTAACGATTTCTCTGTGACCTGACTCACACTCTCACATACAAAGTCACTCTATGTGCTGAAAACACTCTGCAGACAAAAAGGAGAGGATATTGGATAACAAGGTTAGAAAAGGAGCAAAAATATTCTCTAATTAAACTAAGGCTGCAGGGATTTGATATGAGCCACGTTAAAGATAGTGGTTTCAAGGAAGTCCATTCAAAGGTAACAGGCCGGTCATGCTTATGGTAGCTAATGGCAGAATTAAAGAAATTAGGAGAATCTTATTCTACAGGAAATTGTACTTAGAGATGGGTCATAGATCAATCTGCTTTCTGCAGGAAGATTCAAAGTCAGAAAGTGAGCGTGTGCTGCAACCATTCAAGTTTCTTATTGTTGGAGGGGTCAAAACAGGGCGAAAAACAAAACTGGAGAGAGACAACTCAGTCTAAAATTAGAATGACATATTAATAAACTCCAGTGATGTGATTCTGGATCTAATTCAAGGAAGATGGTTTTATAGTGCCAACCTACATTTACAAACCTGAACACACCCAACAGATTTAAACAGGTGAAGTCCACTGAGATAAACTTCATGGCTAAGACTCAGCAGGGGCCTGGGGTAGTGTTTCAGTATTCCTATAGTGCTGCCAGAGAGTCTCCTGTGAGGATCTCATTCAGCTGTGATCAGGTTTGTTTATTGAGATTATGTTCAGTGACAATAATTTCACCCTTCAGTCTTCAATGCCAAACTTAAAATGTACCTCAAGTGCAATAATAAAATGAAAATCATGAAATAAAATTTTCCTCAGAATAACTCATTTGACAAGTGACTTTTTGATAGTCCCTCTGACTAAAAAATGATTAGAAGACACAATAACCCTCTTTATGAAGCACTATTGCACTTCATCATCCAGTTACACATACAGTACTTACAAGTACCTCAACCCTCTGCCTGTATGCCTTTAAAAGACTGTTTCATCCATCTTCATGACTTGCAACGAGGCTGTTAAACCTCACAAAAGTAACGGTCTGCTGCCCTCTAGAGGTGAAATCAGTGTGGTGCTGTGTTTTGTTGTAATTTGATGTTTTATTCAGGAGGATAAACTCCTTTATGAAACTTAAGGAGATGATATGTCACCATTTAGATAAGTCATTTAAGAATTTGAGGCTTGAGCCAACAGTAACTTTAATCATTTTCTTTCATAATTAGTGTCAGCAAAATGAAAACAAATCTCATTGCTTGTTTTTGCTGTCTGCAGCATCAGTATAAACTACCAGGAGAGCTGCAGATCTACACAGGTACAGCAGGACTATCCGTTCCTTTCTCAGTTTTACTCCAAAGACTGATGTATGATGTAAAATGGGGTAAAAGACATAGGTCTAGGTGAATTTGGGCGTGTTCCTTTGTACTTTGCTAGTTTCACAGCCCACAGTCTTGTGGCTGAGTGAGGTGCAGTACACAAAGAAGATGGATTCAGTCCCTTGATTATTAAAATTGGTTTGCTTTAATGTCCTTTAAGAATCTGGTGCACATATGCAGCGGCAGGTCACTGCATGAGTTGAATTGATGAGATGTCCTGCAAATTGACTCCTTTGGACAGCAAAAACAATCAAGGACATCCCAAATGAACATTTATGAAGAAGGCAAACTTCATCAGTCATTTAAGCTCAGGACATGCTGACAGTATCAGAAAGGAATGAATCATTGCCGACGTCCTGTGTGCCTTCCATCTAAGAAAGGGAGGCTGTGATTTGTTTGTTTTTGCTGCTGGGTCACACCGCAGTATTTCATGTTGTGTACATATTCATTGACTTAAATTTGTAAGCCCCACAGTTAGTGTGGCTCCAGAAACTCTTCAATCCAGCATGTTTTGCAAAGAACATCCAAGGGTGTGTGCATATTGGTGACAGGTGAGGCCAGATTTTTGGGCTCAGGTGAACCAGGGACTCTGACCCGAAGTCAACTCCAGTATACAAAGCAGCAATATGACAATACTGGAGACGAGGAAAAAAATACTTTTGTCCCCAAACTTTCTGTACCAATGAGAAACTCAATCTCAGCAGAGCCAGAAATAGTCTACTATGAGTGAGAGCAATGCTCTATGTCTCTGTGGTTGAGTACATGCAACGAACTGCGATATACTCTGACTATCTCACTATTGCAGCCTCTGAATATCCGGAAAGTTCTGTGACTCTGACTTTACACTTCAGACCCATGTTCTCCTCCCTCCTGATAACAACAGGCCACCTTTGCACCTGAACATTCTTCAGTCACAGACAGACAGACACATTAACAGAGATGCCTCATATTTACTCTGTGGCTTACACAGTCAGACTTTTGCTGTTTTTTTTAGATACAACTTGTTACTTTAAATGTTGTCAGATATGAGGGAAAGTGCCACCATATCACCATCACAGAGTCTCAAACTGTTGAGACACAACATACCTTATCACGGAAGTGAAAAAAGGAAGAGGCTTATGAGTTATACAACAGATATTTATACATGTAGTGTGAGTATGTGGTGATATATTATCTTGAAAAGAAAGTAAAAGTGTATCAGACGTTCTTCTTTCAAGGTTAAAGGCCATTTATTTATTTATTTTTAAGTAAGCCTACTGCAAATCCAACTCTGTGATTTTAAATAACAGTGTTTTGATTTCTGTTGTTTTTACTATGATTGATATTTTTATGTCTGATTAAAAAAAAACTTCTTCAAGCCAGTTTTATTGCAGACATGCTGCAGAACATGACACCACCATGGTGCATTTTCTCACTTCTTCATCTGTTACAGGAAGTGGGGCAGAGTCACCAAAACCAGGAAACTAAGGTCTGCTGTAAAAATAACTGAGCAAAGAGCTGTAGCAGGTGAAAGCTAATGTTGTCTCTGCTTCAGAGGACAGAAACTCCAGTCTACTCAAGGGGGGAAAAGGATAAGACTGGTATGTTCCTGCTGGATTGATTTTGTGCTGTTTTAAAGTTTACCACCATGGAGGAACCCGACATATACGATGAATCAGGTAAATATCATATCTTCTATATTTGTCTTCTGAGTCCATTCCTGATGGTAAAAGCATTTATAATCACACATATGTACATAAAACCCATTACAGTCAGTTTGAAGAAGCTTTTAAATTTGTTGTCACATTTCTTAAAAAGTATATCTAACTAAACTGTTATGTACATGTATCTATGAGCGGATTAAAAAGAGGAAGCAAGCATGTCAGCCTTCCTGTATGGCTAATTCATAAGCGAGTTACTTTAAAATTTCCCAAACATCTCTATGAACAAACAGATGGTGAGCCTCTGCTCAGTCATCATAAATCATGGTGACGGTGAAATAGCAGTTTTGGATTTTACACTCTAATGAGTCAAACTGAATTACTCTGACTAACCAAACCAGTGTTTGCTCAGCCCAATGTTTGCACAACTTCTCACTGGCACTGCTCAGACATACGACACAAATCAGACATTCATCATCCCACCACAGTCACCTTGGCATTTCACAGCCAGACGGCTATGCTGGGTTGTGTTGTGGGGCATTTCCCTCAAATCCACCACCAGCTTGAACATCAAATCCGACACTAGTAAAGCCATGGTCATCATCAAGATGATGTCATTTTCATTCACTCACTTGGTGGGGTCAGACGGGGTTTAGCAATGTATATGAGGAACTTACAGGTCAGTTTTTGGTCAGTTTCGAGACTATTTCCATGTTTTGTGTATTCATCATTTGTATATCTTATTTTTCAGCAAATTTTGAATCCCTTTCAGAAGATACACTTTTAATTCTGCACACAGCTGATGCACAGGAATGGGCAGTGTACTTAAAGCAGATCCTAAATTCCTCCAAAAAATTCCAGAAATGGTCTATTTTGCTATATGTAGTCGATGCAGCTGGGCAGCCTCTCGGATATCAGTTTGAGTATTTGCAAAGCTGCAGATGTATCCTGCTGCTTCTGACCGGAGCTTTCCTGGACATGCTGTGTGACCTGGAGCTGAAGGGAGCCCTTCAGAGACTGCTTTATCCCCCACAAAGAGTGGTAGTGCTGCTGTGTGGTGTGTCAGAGGATCAAACATTGTCAGAGACCTTCCAAGATTGGCAGAGTTGGAGAAAAATTTCTGCCGAGGATGAGCCTGCTGTCTACGTCTCCACCATACTGGCCTCCATCAATGACAGTATGCCAACATTTCCTCCTTTTTATATGATCATAGGGACAGCACAACTACATGACCTTGAATTTATTTTAATATCTGTGAAACTACTGAGACACTGACCAGAGCATCAGATTAGTGTCAGTTCACCAACATGACCAAAAGAGTCATCAGTCTACTTAAGGAAGTAAAAGTTCATAATGTGCGTGACAGTCAAAATGTGAAATAAATTACAACTCCCTGTATTTAATCCAAAAGGTGAATATTCTATTACTTGGATTTGCTGTCATCAAGGTGCCTGCAAACACTGTTTAAAGAGACTTGAGAGCATCATCAGATGGTTTTACTGACAAGTCTACGTGTCTAAACACCTCCACTGTGTAGGTGTGCTGGTAGAAGTTTCAGATGTGGTTCCATTGAAAGTGAAACAACATCTTAGTAAAAAAAAAAAAAAAAAGAGGGACTTTTGAAGCTCAGCCTTCACTCCTGACCAATTAACTGAAGACTTTTAACATGTGAAAGGTTCATATATGACCACAGGAGTAAATGGTTTTTGTTCATTTTCAATTAACTTCTTATTTCTTAATCTAAAGACAAACGAGTGGAGGCTAAACCTGAGAGCAAGGCTGCAGCTGTAGTCGAGCTGGGTGTAAACGAAGCCTCCTCACCTGAAAACCCCATCAGTGATCAAACAGGGGAAGTTGTGCCTGAAGACCAAAAGGAACCTGTACCAGAGAAGGAAGAACTTGTGACTGACAGCTCAACAAACAAGGAAACAAGCTCACCTACCAGCCTCGATTGTCTCACCGTTCAGCCAAACAGAGTCCTGTGCGGGGTAAATCTGAAGGTGTTACACAATGATAGTCCTGGAGTCAGTGCTGAGCTGTTTCCATGGTGATAACATGTGACCAAAGAGTTCATGAAAAAATTAATTATTTTACTTTAGTCCTTAAAGAGTGCAGAAATGTTTTTAAATGATGTGTTATCACAACTGTTAGTAGATGCAGAGAAGTTTAAAATATGAGCTTTTCTAGATATAATAACGTAATTATAAGGTTAAGGATCTAAACCTACGTAACCTTAAGTAACTGAATTTCTTTTTTTGCCAAGGAACAAGAAAAACTCTTTATCATTGTCACACATAAAGTACAGTCAGCACCAGAGGTGGAGTTTTCATCTGAAAACTGTCCTTCAAAAAGAGTCCTAGGGACTCTGGAGAATGATTATACAATCACTGTCTCTGCACCAGGCAAGTATTTCAAGACCTCATATGAATTTTTTTATCTTTGCGTTTTGGTTTAAAGATCTTGATCTTGAATATGGAATAACTTGAATTCTGGTCTAGATATGCCTGCTGGAGTCATATCGCTAACCTTGTATGCTGACCAGTCCTGCATCAGTTTAAAGCCTGTCACATATTATACTCTCATGGACGAGGTCAGTCGGCTCCTTGGAAATGCTACTGATCCTGTTCGCTTCATGTGCCAGGTGAGGCTTCGTCATGGAGTGGAAATATGTTCCTGTTTGTTTAGCTGAGTTTACTATATCAGATGCATCACAGCATACCTGAGGCTCAGATCAGTTTTATTAAGATCCTTATAATTGAATATCTTAGTTTACATTAAACTCTTCATATTTTACAGAAAACAATTTAATAAATTTAGGTCCAATGGAGAATTACAATTTAAACAAACATCTAACAGATTTAGAAGGTTATTGGAGATCTAAAGATTGATTTAGTTTGGTGCCAAAATGTTACTTTCACCAATTGGGGTTAAAGCATCCAGTTAAATACCACTGATTTAAGTCAATGGTCAAAGTCTGAGTAAAATAAAGGACCTTTTTGTTTTTTAATTTGTTTACAGTCAGCCTTTATCTTTGGTAAAAAATAAACAAATAAATAAAAATTGAAATTTATATCAAATCCCAAAAAGAGTGTCATGAAGAAACTTATAAAGCTCAGAGATTTGCTGAGATTATTTGTTAAGATGGATACTTGAGTTGGCAGGATAATGGTTATATAAATGGTTGGTTGGTTAGTTTGTATTTTAGACCCCACATGTGTTTTAGTAAGCTTTAGTGATGTTCCTAACTGTGCCAAATGAGTGCCGTGGATGCACTAACTTGGCAAAGTTAATCAACCAATCAATCAATCAATCAGATTTTATTTATATAGCACCAACTCACAACAGTCGTCATGCCAAGACGCTTTCCAAAGAAAAAGAGCAGGTCTACACCATGCTCATTGTTTGATTGATTATCAAGACTTAACCTGGGATGGGATTTGGCTTATCTCATCTAACATCAGTAGCAGTAGCAAGGAAAAACTTCCTTTTAACAGGCAGAAACCCTGGGTAGGACCAGACTAATGCTAGACAGCCACCAAGCCGCTGCTGGGTTGGGGAGGAATACAGAAAGATAGGGAGGGGAGAAAGAGAGAGAGAGAGAGTGAGAGAGAGAGGGTAAGGGGAGACATTAAAACAACAGCAACAACAACAACAGCTCATGTAATGATGAAACAAAATAAATTCAGTTTACAGGGTTAAGCAATCAAAAGTTTCGCTAGTTTAGTTTTAGTTTTGTTTAGTTTTGTTAACTAGATTGATTATTCCCCAAACTGTGTGCATCATTGGAAATATTAAGCCAATATGAACTCTAATTAAAAAAGACAAAATGTGAAAAGTGCTGAAGGAGACCGTTTGTACTGAATCATTTTGTAATATGTGAATATAATGTCACTCTGTTGGATGTCTGAACTAAACCTTCACCAAGCTTAAAGACATCCCCAGACATGCTTCCCAGGTCACCCCTTCACTTCATTAGACTTGTCCTGAACCTGATGTCTATAAGGACAATGTTGAAGGACATGCCCACTCAGCAGCTCCAATGAAGCTCCTCTGGGAACACGCCCACCAGGAAGCTCATTAAAACTTTCCCTCACTCAGAAAGTGCAGTGGTACCACTTGGCTTTTCCCCCCACTCAAAAAGTTTCTTGTAAGTGTTCTCCTGGCTATGAAGGACAATTACAGCTATTCCCTTTTCCTAAAGATAGAGACACTTTAATCAGTGGGGAGTTTTCATGTTTTGGGGTCAATAACAGCTGTTTGTGCTCGACACTTAGCCAAGGACTCATTATTAAACAAAGGCCAGGAGAGCTGGTTTTGTATTTCAGCTCTGACGAAACCTGGGGCTATTCCATTTATACAGACTTCCAAAGAGGGCTCTCAACCACAAGCTAATATTAGAAGAGCAGGCAATGTAGTAATAGCTAATGAATGCTAACAGGATTAAATGGAGAGTTGTATTTATTTATTGTTTTATTTAACCTTTTTCTAACCAGGAAGTCCTATTGAGATTAGAAATCTCTTAACAAGAGAAGAGCGATATTAAACAGGTTTAGGTACGTGATACATATAAGTAACGATAAAAGAGTAAAACACTAAAAAAAGAAAAAAAAATCATTGAAACAATAAAACAGAGGAATAGCTATTCAAAGAAACACGGTGACCCTTCTCCTTCACTGCATTCTTTATGGTACTCTTAAAATCATCAAAGGAAAGGAGTCTTTTTAATCTGAGTTTTTTGAAGGATGTTCCATGACCATGGTGCATGATAGAAGAACACTGTTTTGCCCAAATTTATCAAAAACCAGGGAATGTCCAAAAGCAACCACTTGGAGGCTCGCAGATGGTAACTACTAAGAAAACAAGTGTTTGATACACTCTAAAACAGAAAGTCTAAATCTAGTCTAGTTCAAAAAGTCTAATGAACAAATAAAAAGAAATCACTGTCACTGCAAATGAAACATTATCTATCTTATACAGACTGGTATGAGTCCACTTAGACTGGTCTGCACCCAGTACAGACCAGCTGACAAATATACTTACTGAAGAGTAAGGTCTCATTGATCAGACGATGTCACGCCTTTGCAGAACATTAACCAGCGGTCCATGAATCCAAGGTCCATCAGTATAAGAATGTGACTGGAGAACAAAGGCACAGTGTATCTTATATGTATTTTATACTTTCAGGCCTTCAACTTGGTGTCCGATGCGAAAGAATCTCTGGATAACATCCTAACTGACTCACTGAAATCCAGGATGCCTGGAAACAGTCTTCAGCTGTTTGGAAACAAACAGATAGAGGAAGATAATATGGCAGCATGTGAGTAAAGTGCTCCGATTTCCTTTGGTTTTCACAGGAGGTCGGTCACAGTCAGGTCTGCTACTTTCAATCATTTTAATAAAACAGCTGAAAGGTTTTATTGTAGGTCGACACAGATAGTTAAACATGGTTGCTTTTTGTCCTGCAGATCAGCGTGATGAGGAGTTTCCCACTCTGCTCCACTTTGCTGCCAAGTACGGCCTAAAGAAACTGACCACTATCCTGCTTCAGTGTCCCGGGGCTCTGCAGGCATATAGCGTCGTGAACAAACACGGAGACTACCCCAACACACTGGCAGAGAAGAGCGGCTTCTCTGATCTCAGGCAGTTCATGGATGAGTTTCTTGTGAGTTCATCAGTGATAGAAACCCTCTGTTTGAATCAGGGGTGTTTCAAAGAGTTTCATCAATGCTCTCTTCTTGTTTTTTGTGTTGACAAAAATCCAGGAGACAGCGGATATGTTGACACATTTTGAAGACTCAGCCAACACAGAGGATTGTGCAGAGGTGTATGAAATGATGTCGCCTAACTCTGAAGAAATCATTAAGAAGTACTCTGGCTGCTCGGAGGACATATATGAGTCAATGCTGGGGATAGACCCTGAATGTGCAGAGGACTTATGTAGGTTGAAACAATCCTATAAAATGTCAAGATAACTCAACAGCTGGTTAATCTTTAGCTGTCAGTCCTGCTCTGTTCTGTTTTTCAGATGAAGTGATGACTGCAGTAGATGAGAACCCAGAGGAAGCTTTGCTGAGGAAGTTTTTCCAAAGTATACACCAAATTCTTTATAAATACATATACAGTATGAAAATATACAGTATGACACTGTGTCTAATGTGGTCTCTTTGTGTTCTTCAGCAAAACCACACGGTTCTGTAAAGCAGGAGAGTTTTGAGCATCTTGAAAGTGTGGAAGAGGAAAAAACTGATCCAAATGACTTAAAGCAAATTGAAGAAGAAGAGGAGGATCCTTACAAGCTCTTCCCAGAGGATATCTACGACACTGTGGATCCAGACAGCACCTATAATCCCAGGCTCCTAAACCGTCCACCTGCACCCATTCCCAGACCAGAGTCTGAGTCTGAGGCTGAGAAACCCATGACATACATTTCTCGAGGTATCGTACAGTTTCTATTTTCTTTTTCTGGCACCAAAATGATCTTCTATACACCATACCAATTAATTAAACTGCTCTTAACTGATTTCATGTTTTCACAGTGTTTTCAAATAAAAGTTTGTCCATGACAGGAACAACAGACACTGAATGTTCAGAAGGTAAAGCGCTGAATGATCCAAAATCACATAGATGTTTTTGATGTTTCTTTACATTTGCACTTAAACAACCATCATCAAGTTTTGATATTTTCATATCATGTTCGTAAAGTTTAACCAAACTGTGAAAGAAGTCTACATTGTTTTTGTTTTTTTGTTTTTTTACTGAAAAAGCTGATGGAACAAGCACTGCACATCATCTCTGGTCTCCTAACAACATCTATGTTCAGTGTCAGTGGTGGTGAATACTTATCCATCTATATTCAACTGAAACACCACAAAGACAAGATATTGAATGTTCAAACTGATAAACTTGGTGTTGTCTTGCTGGAATAAACAGGGATGTCCCTGAAAAAGACGGGGCCCTGATGGCAGCAGATGTTGTCAAAGGTCAGGGGTATTCAGTTTTGGTTTTGGTCCTTGCTTCATATGAGCAGAGATTTTTCTGATCATCTGAATCTATTGATGATTTTATAGACTGCAGATGATCAAATCTCTTAATTCCTGCAGTTGTACATTGAGAACATTTTTACTAAACTGTTGGACTATTTGCTCACACAGTTGTTGACAAAGTGGTGAACCTGGCTCCATCCTTGCTTGTAAAGGACTGAGTCTTTCAGGGATCCTTCTGTTGTACTCAATCATGACCCTGACCTGTTTCCAGTGGAATAATCCAAACTTGTGTTTTTTGGAGCAGTCATCAGTTTTGAGACTTGTTGATCCTGAACCAACTTTTTAGGAACGTGTTGAAGCAAAAGCAGATATAAATATTCAGAAACAAGGGAATATTTACAAAAAAAAAACAAAAAAACAATCAAGTTCATCAGTTTGAACATTAAATATGTAGGGCTCTATTTTCGTGCCTTGCCTGAGACGTGCCGCAGGATTCAAAGGCGAGGAGAGGAGCTGATGTTATTGGTCAATACATGTCTCGGCTGTGTTAAACCCACTCCACGCCCTCTCTCCTCCCTCCCTACGACTTACGAAAATACCCTACGATTCCCTACGAAAATACCAAATTGGGCTCCCCAAGCCCAATTTGGTATTTTGGTGAGCAGTGAAGCCCGGCATAAGTATCCCCCCTCCCTAACTCAGCTCCTCCCAGCAGCGTAAGTCGTAGGGAGGGAGGAGAGAGGGCGTGGAGTGGGTTTAACACAGCCGAGACATGTATTGACCAATAACATCAGCTCCTCTCCTCGCCTTTGAATCCGCCACCCGTGAGGCGTATTACTGTTTTGGTGAAGTAGTCAAAGAGATCAAGAGATGTCTGAAGACAGTAATGCCACATGATGGCGACAGAAGGCAGCCCCTCAACAAGTGTCACTGTAAGTGCTGCAGAGGGCGTCCTGCACACTCTCTCATATGAGCACAGATGGATTTGGTGTGTGTAAGTTTGGACCCACTCGTAAGACAAACACCCTTTCCACAAATAAAGACACTCACATAACGTTGCATATATTCAAACCTCACGTGACAAAGGTGGGTTGTGCGCACAGATCACAACATAAATTCCAAAAATGGCATTAAAATCGGAACCATCTGTGTGTAAATGACGCATCGTGCTCCGTGGCCTTGCTCTATCTTTTATAGATGTTGGCATGTAAAATAAATTTGACACACAAAACTGAATATTATAATATTGGTATGTAGGCTTAAAGTAAATAACTCATCTGATCACTGAAACAAATCATCTGTTCAGCCGCCGCAGCAGCAGCTGCAGCTGCAGCAGGACGGGGAGAGGACACGGAGACATGTCCAGGTCGAGCTGCACGAGAAATAAGAGGAAGAGGAAGAAAGAAAAGGAGGGAGACAAATTACATATCTTGTTAACTTCATCATGTGTGTCTATTTACTAGATATTTAATTTAATTTAATCTGGTTTCAGCTGTGTTGATTTGGTCAGGTTGTGTGTCCAAACGCGTGCTAAATGCGCTCATCAGATCAGCTATAGATCAGAATATATCTAAATAGATCTAAAGCTGCCGACTCAGATTATTAGTTGTTGTTGATTATTTATTGCACAGAAATGTGCCTGACACTGTGGAAACCTGCCGGTGAGGCAATGGTGACGTATGCCGATACGCCTCAGGTCTACCAAATTACCATTAGACCAGCTGCGATCCACCTGCACTGAAAGCTGACCAGGTTTGAATTGGCGAGCTTTCAGCGCGCTGTGCACGCCACCGGCGAGCACGAAAATGTCACTGAGCCAGCTGATTCTGTCGACACCTCCCCCTGCCGCGCCCCCACGCCCAGCTTGGCGGACCTCGGTGCGCCTCAGTCCACGAAAATATCAAACTGGCTGTACGCCGGGCTCCGCCAGACAAAAATACCACTGCGCGGGGTCTGCCACCATCCGCCACATTACCAGCGGACACGAAAATAGAGCCCCTTATCTGATTGCTGTGTATTCAACTGAAAATATAGTGTTTAGCATGGCATCCTAATTTCACTGTAATTGAGGTTTGTGCAATGGAGTATCACAGCAACAGTAAAGTTTTTTTTTTTTTTTTAAATATTTTTAATTATTTATTTATCTTTTTATCTATTTATTCATTCATTTTTGTAAGATTTACACATTTTTCCTGGGTAGTTTTACTTTTTCTTGAGAATAAGGCTGTAATGAAATCATGTAAATTCTCTCTAAAACTGAGATGCTGTTGTTTTATGGAATCATCAACTTACTTTTTCTCAAATAGAATTGTTATTTGTTGTAATTAATTGTTATAACACAGGAACTCTACAGTAAGAGGCCTTTTGTGTCTGAACCAAAGATCTCTCTTAAATTTGCTAGCTCGTATGCTGGCTTTTTTACTGGAGAATTAAATACAGTAAAAAGTATAAAAATATTCCAGATGCTCTGTTTTGGTCTAATAACAACCCTTTGCACTGCTGCAGCCCGGCCAGTTGGAGACCCATCTCTCCCTACGTATGACCCCTATGCTGGGATGAAAACCCCAGGGCAGAGACAGCTCATCTCTCTGCAAGAGAGGGTCAAGGTTGGGGAAATAAGTGTGGATGAAGCCGTCCAAGAGTTCAAGGCCTGGCAGTTTGATCATGACCGGAGAGCCAACTCATTACGCTATCAGCAGGTATGCTGTGTGTCCAGAATTTTTGGTCTTCTGGATGCTGGTTGGTGGTCAGGGAACTAACCTGCCATGTGTTGTGTGTCACCTGTCTTAAGGAAAACCTAAAGAAACTACGAGACAGTATTACCAGACGACACAAAGAAAGGCAGAGGAATGGAAAGGACCCAGGTAAAATAATAACAACAACAATAATAATAATAATAATAAAAATAACAATTATAATCATAATCATCATCATAATAATAATAGATAATAATAATAATAATAATAATAATAATAATAATAATAATAATAATAATAATAATAAAATAATAATGATCATAATAATCATAATCATAATAATGGATGATTTATTACCTCAGTAGAAGATTAACTGATTTATTTGGAAACAGACTCTGTTGTGCATATTCAATCAATAACTCCACCATGTTCTGTCCACAGTTTGTCTAACACTAATACAGTTTTAAAGTTCTTGAACAGCACACAGTGGAAAATCACATACTGTTGTTTCAGATGTATTTATAATTGATATCCTCTTAGATTATGAGATAAGTGCTCCTATGCAGAGGAACTTATACTGGGGATCCAGCGGGACATTAGAGTGCTCTGTGTATGAGCCGACACCAAGGATGGTGGCTCCACCTGCAGCTGCACACGCCATCCAGAGAGGCAGCTGGAAGACAGGTAGCACATCCAGCACATCCAGTGAGTCCAAATGCTTTTTCGTTGTTTTCCAACTCTGTGGTTGAACTGTAGCCCAAACACGAAGTGGGGCGCATTTTCAGCCCAGGAGTTTTCGGTCTCAAGTTGCATACAATTTATCAGTATCCTATGATAGGTCATTAATAGGAATTAAAAAATAATATAGAGATAACTATTTTTGAGCACTTTTCTGGGGGACTGTTGAGCATTTATACGCATCATCACACTGAACTTTTGGTGATTATTGAACAATTTTTCCTCTGAATGAAATAATAAATCCATGCATGAGTTTACAAACATGATGAGCACACTGTTATATTAATGTATCACAAATGTTGAATCAGTCTGAGTCTGTGGTTCAACCGCCCTCATACAGACTTTCCAGTGTTTGGTATGTTTTTGTTTTTTTTCCACAATTTGTCCACACAGGGCCACCGTAGACTGCTGTACAGAGGTTGCTGATGGTGCACACGTGTGTTTGAACAAAAAAAACTTAAGCCCTTGTTGGAGCTCCATATCAGTGTCCTGTTTATGCATGGTTACAGACCTAAACTGACAGATCATTTAAAAAAATTGAAAAATAATTTGCGTGCTTGCTTCAAAAAGAAAGATGGTTCTAAACTTTGAGATCGGTCACATGTGTCATGAATGAACTCCACATTGAAATGATAAAGACTCTTCCTCACAGAGCAGCTTTGAGCAGACATGGAGATGCTCACAGCGGTAAAAAAGAAAAAAAAAATTAACTGCACAGAGATGACCCCTGATGCATTTACAACTAATGTGATGTGATGTGGTTTTAACCTTACTGTGAAAATGTATGGATGGTTGTGGGTGATCATTGCAAACTCACCGGTAAGTACTACAATGCTGGGTTGTTTTTTCAACCCAACCACTAGGATGGGCCTGTTTGTCAATTTATTTGGGTATTTTTCATGGAGTTGGGTATTCTGAGTACCCAATTCAAGGGGTTGTTTATGTTGGGAACAGAGTTATTAGCTGTTGGGTTGAAATTTCTATTCAGTTTTGTTGGTTTATTGTGGACTACCCAACACATTGGGTAGATGTTCGGGCATTTGAAACTAAGCTCCACCCACTCACCAGATTGATGCCACAACCGCTGAAGCAAGGAGACGTACAAAGCAAGGTTTGTGACATTCCCACTATTGCCTTACCATATAGGTTACTTGATATTATTAAATAGACCCTCATTTTGTTGTTAAGATGTAAGTTTGTGAAGCACTGTTGTGTACCAGCTTCTGCCTTCAGGAACTGATTAGAAAGTGAGCAAGTGAATGGTTAGCCAACGTTAGTAGCATGAAGTACATTGCCTCAAATGAGCAAGCCAACACGTTAGCTGATGTGCAGTGTGGTGTGGTATGGTCAGAAATGTTGAACAACTGCTTTAATGGACTCTCTGTCTTGATGTTTCAGGCTGGTATGAACAATCAATGGATGACTTTGCGACATGGAGTGGAGTGGATGCAAGATACAACCTCCTGTTCTGTATTGTTTATTTTGAAAAGATGAGAAACCATATATAAAAAAAAAAGCCAAATGTTTACAAACACCAAAGTTCATTCTCTGTCAGTAAAACGGAAAGGAAGCTGTTAAAGGGCGGCAGAGGCTCAGGAGGTAGAGCGGTCGTCCAATAACCAGAAGGTTGGCGGTTCGATTCCCCCCTATCTCGAGTCTGTCCATTGTGTCTTCGGGCAAGAAACTTAACACATCTTGCTCCCAGTGTGTGTCCTCCACTGGTGTATGATTGTGAATGTTGTGAGATGGTGGTTGGAGAGGCCATAGACATAAACTGTCAGCCATGTTTCCATTAGTCTGCCCCACAGCAGCTTTGACTGCTAAGGTAGTTTACCACCACCAAAGTGTGACTGTGTGAGCGAATAAATGATGTATCTAATGTAAAGCACTTTGAGGGTCTCTGATAAAGCACTATATGAAATCTGATGCATCAATGTAATTTAAAATTATATTATATATTAAATATTAACAACTTAACATGCTGGGTTTAAAGAACCCAGCAGAGTAGTTATTGTGAACCCTTAGTTGGGTTATATGAACAACCCAATCGGGTTTTATAAACAACCCAATAGTTGGGTTAAGTGAACTAACCCAATTAGTTGGGTAAAATAAACCCAGCATGTGTTCTGTCCAATATTTAACCAGCGCTGGGTTGGGAAACTACTTAAATTGGGTTGTTTTTAACTCAACCTTTTTAAGAGTGTGGTATCTAGCTGTTTTGTAAAATACAGATGCAATGATAAATGTCCTTTATTGGTGTGTGGGCTCACAAACTTCATGCCACCCCAGCAGTGTCAGTGCCCCGCAATACAATATTTTCATGATATTTGGGCCACAATTCAATGTTATTGTGATTTTAAATGTTTTGCAATACAGTGAGTATAGCAATACAATATATTGTGATTTGTACAATTTTTTCAACTGCTTAGCTGATTTAACATTTGTTTGTTGTACTAACTTTCTCCTGCTCTATGATGTCACCTCTGCCAACCTCACTGGACAAACAATTGATTTTATTTTTCCATTATCATACTGTAGAATTAAGTTCATATTAGCAATTAATTTGAAAATTTGATACTTGGTGGATGAGACAATACGATATATCACCAGACAAAATATCACAATACTATGCTGTTTTTTTTTTTTCTCCCACCCCTATGGACCACCTCAGTTTAGAAGGTCTGATATGCCCCTGCTTGTTGGAATAAATCTCTCTCCACATGTGTTATTTTAGCTCAAGGACAGATGGGTCCATACCTAATGGAGGCTCTATTGATGGTTCAGAGGGACTACAGTGACGTGGACTCAACTCACAGTTAAACAACTTGTCAAGGATGTGTGTCCATGTCACTCTCTCTCTCTCCATTTAAGTCAATGCGATTCGTCCACCGGTAATCCCTCTCCATCCCCACCATCAATATAATCAGTTATTGGTTAATCCATCCAGATTATCAAGGCTGCTCACACTCTTCCCTAGCAAGTGCAGCTTATATCACATAATTACTGTTCCTGTTAACTGGCCCTGGCAGCTCTTTAGCCAGCCCAGACCAGCTGGAACTGTCCCAGTTCTCCCAGTTAGCCTCTTTGGGTCTGACTGTTGTGAAAGAGCAAGCTTCAAATCATGGTGACATCAGTCCTGATCCCGAGTTATTTCTGAGTTTTGCTAAAGGCTCTGGTTTGTGTAGGAGGGGCTAAAAACAGATCAATGAGTGGAAACCAGATCAGGAAACACACTGGCCTTGACTCATTTTACTTCTTCATTCCAAACCAGTTATGAGACTAGAAATGAGGCAAATCCACTTGTTAAGATTTGAGTTATTTTGCAGAGTAGTCACAGTCCAATCAGCTGGCTGCTAGCAGTTGTTTACCACAAGAATATCATAAACCTTGTGAACTGATGTCAAAAACAGGGTGGTCCTTTCTCACAACCTACCATATTAGAGAAGTAGGATATAACACATGCTGGTGTCAGAAGTAAACAACCACAGGATATGAAATTAGAAACCACACCATGTGATGTGCTTCTAAAAGAGTTTTACTTAAGTTAAAGAACAATTGAATGGTGGTTTTACAACTCTTGCCAGTCACCGATCCTGTCAGAGGAGGTAGATTTTCTGGGAAGATCTTTTGGATTTTGTCTAGAAAACTCCTCTGCTTTGTGGAGGTCACATAAAGGCATCAGTAAAACTTAAACTGTTTCAAAACCCCTTCAGCAGGGTGATATAGACTTCAACTTAGGTTTCTTTAGCTAGAGATTAAGAGACTTTTTCAAAGTTAGTTAACTTAAACCTTTGTGGAAGTTTTGTGATTAGTTTTTCTGTTTTCATTTGCCCTGTGTACATGGAACATAACTCCTAAGTCACTTATTCTCATTATGAGACATGCACTTTTTTAATACTTTATGTTGATGTGCATTGATATTTGCTGACATTTGCTGATTCATACACCTCATTTGTCTGCCACCTACAAACCTATTTGTTGCCCCCCCCCCCAACATGTTACACCCAGTTTGCATTTGCACCTTCAGTGAAATAGTCTTGCAGTACAATTTACCAAAAATGATAGCCTCAGTCTTTTCAGGCATTGACATTTATACTGACTAGATTATTGTTCACATCAGGCACTGAGAGCAACAGACTGAGCACTCACAGCACCCTCAGCTACAGCAGCGGGACAGAGCCTGACCTCGAGGTAAGCCTGACTACACAGCAAAAGCATTCATGTCTTCAGTTCAACATATACAACATTACATACAAACCACTATGCTGCATTTGTGACTTTAAACCAAACAGGGTCTTCAGTTTTTTGTTTCTTTTCTTGTGGTGTTGCACATGAGAGAAACCAATAAAGAGTCTTGTGTTTAGTTTTTACTCTGCAGTCACTGGCCACTTCTATGTGCATTAATACACACAGGTGTGGGTCCACTTTTAGAATTAACTTCTTTAGACACTTGATCTGTAAGAGCTTTTCTGATGTCTTTGAGGCTTTGAACTCAATGTGCAAAGGTTTCTCAGAAATCATATGTCAGACTGATCAGAGAAGTGATGTGTTGTCATTTTTTTTCTGCAACACTGCAATTCACACATTTCCTTTTACCATTGTAATCTCAAAGCTGATGGGTAGTTAGACCTGCAGCCCAGTTCTCCAGTAATATTAAGCCAATCAGTTTTTATCAAGGTCAAAATATTTTAATTTACAGGGTATAAGAAGTCTTAACATTTATTTTTTTAAGGACACGATGGAAAATCTCCCTCTTCCCCCACGACCACCACGCTTGTCTGAAGCTCCAGTTCACATTCCTTCACCCAGGGTTCCTCCACGAATCCCAGAGAGGTCAGTTCACAGATCTTTGATTGTTTTTAAAATCAAATATTTGGATTACAATATAAATGATAACTATATTTAAAATTACTCGATGTCTCAAAAATATAGGTTTATATATTCTAAACAATAAAACATGTACAATGTTACAAAAGCAGTAGTCATTTATATTAACTGATCAATAGTCCACTAATGTGGATAGGAAGGTTTATCCTTTTTTAAAAGACTGTAAAGACAGAGAGGGATGATAAAGGGATGATACAGAGAGAAGAGAGAAGTAAAACCTGCAATTGTGCAAAGATAACAAAAAGGGGAGCAGTTTGGGATAAAATAGGAAAGGGAGGATATGGCCAGATGAGAAGAGAAGAAATAGGATAGAATAGGATAGGATAGAATGGAAACAGATGGAATGAGATGGGATGGGGGACGCCACCGTGAGAACAGCACCCCCTGGTGACAGGCTGCAGTATAGGTCATAAATCCCACCTCCTCCAGCAATTCCTATGGAGCTGTGGACAACTTTAGAAATTAATTACACAGAATATTAATTTTTCTCCCCCCTGGTTGGGATGTTGACATGTAGTTATTGTATTGGTGTTGTATAAGTTATTGACTGGTTTGTGCTCAAGTCCTCTTTTTTCTGTGCAGCTCGATTTTTAAAAGTTATGAGGGGGTTCATGTTTTCTATGATTGACACTCGATACAGCCATGGGTGTATGAAGATTGTGTTGTTCACCTGGGGGAAACACTGTTGGAGCCGAGCGTCACCACAGTGACTTTAGGTGACTCTCTCACCAAATGCGTACAATGCTACTGCACCAGTGGTGGTTCCAGGAGCATTTTGGCTTCAAATTCGTATAATAACGGGAGGCGGAGCCAAGTTGTTCATAGTATATACAGTCTATAGGTTGGACAAAATAGGTTAAGAGGTTAAGATGAATTAGGATGTGATAGGATAGAATACGACAAGATAGAATAGAATAGGACAGGATATGAGTGGACAAATCAGTTCAATTCAGTTAAAAAATCTTTGTTGCTTAGAAGCAATTTCAGATCTGTGCAATAACTGCAAGGCAACAGTGGTGATAGAAATATACATTTAAGATAACAAGTTTATGAAAAAAGTTATAAAATATGTGGATGAGGGAAGATGACTAACAGGTTAAACAGTTTGTTAGAAAACAATTATACAACAGCTACAAAATGAAAACTGTGTGTAGAGTCAATATCAAAAGAATAAAGTACTCATAGTGTAATGTAGAATATTGATACAACCAACTAAAAAATCATGCTTCCTGCTGTACAAAAATAGACTTGTACTAAAATAATGAATCAATAAAAGTAGTTACAGAGCACATCCAGCACAAAATCAACATGCAAGCAGACTAATAAAAGAAAATATAGTGCAAAAAGAGGAAATGTTCACCCACCATTGAGTAACAGCTGTTTCTTCTACAGGTGTATTTTAATCTCATTCAAGCAGCTTTCTCACATTCATTCAGCTGTGACACATTTTATCTTGATGTCTGAAAGACGCTCTTTAAAGACATCTGAGAAGTGGGGTTTAGTTTGCTGGTGGGGTGTTTACGTTTGATGTAAGTTGTGATATTGAGAAATATCAGAAAGTTGACCCATTTAAAGGGTACGTGCGAAAATTAAGACACATTATAACTTTGTTCCTTTTTGCAGGGTTCCAGGGAAAGTGCATGACCGCTACATCTCCTGTCCAACTCGAGCACTTCCTCAAAGACCAACTAGCAGGGACTCAGCGCCTCCTATACCTCGCCGCCTGCGGTGATCAACACCTCAGTTCCTGCTTGTTTTTTTCACTTGACAGTTTCGTGTCATTTTTGACATATTAAGGATACTGGAGCTGGAAGGACTGGAGTACTTGTCATTTGAAAAGTACATCCACATAACTGTGGACAAGGGTGGACTTACTTGACCTCTATACATAGTTTTTTTACAGTGTGTGATTAAAGAGAACAAAAAGATTTTTTATTAATATGCTGCACTTCATTTTAAATACTTGTGTAGTCATGGCATTATAGTATACCTCACGTGATGTCAGCTTTGGTTAGGACTTCCAGCTGGTTTTTGGAGTTTGGTGTTTGTTCATGTCTTTCATAAACCTCTAAAATGTTCATGCTCCTGTTATTGAAATGATCCTCTTGTAATGAATACAATCCTCATGTCTGAACCTGACATACTGTATGTTAGCTCACTATGGTGTATATCTTCTGTTTGTCCTTTTTTGTGCATGCCCCAAAGATCTGAATGTAGAAATTGTTTCACAGACCTTTTGGTCCTTTACAGCATCCAGTTGTAGAAACAACTTTTGTGTATGTAAATGAATAAATGTGAGAACTTCTAAAGAGTATATTGTTGAGTATATTGTTTATGGGTTTTTTCACTTTTCCACTCTACAGATATTCAGCCAGATTTTTTAATGTGGAGTCTAATATTCCTCCATTGTTAGCCAACCTGTTAAATATCACAGCTGTTTGGGCTCAAACAGAGTTTAAGACTGTTTTGATGACTTCGTCTGGTGTCCAGGGTCAGGGTGTGAAGACCTGTTCAGGCCCCAGTTGTATGTGGTTTTAATTAGACAGGTTTTGATAAAGAAATATTGAATTAACTCATTCTTGACATGTTTATTTTCATCACCTTAATCAGTCTGTTTATTTTAAAATATTAACACAGCTGTCATGACTTCGACTGACACGTGCTGGTTTTTCAAATGATGTGAATGTTGGTACACCAGAAAAACATTTTTTATTCATGTTTAATTCATATAGGATAATGGAGGGGTAATAAAGATGTGGACCTTTATTACTGGTAATAAAGGTCCACATCTTAAACTGATTTTAATGGAGCTGTAAATACATGGTATGCCTCACACTCTTCCTGACAAGGACTTTTAATCAAAGTTTCTATAAGGGAATAAAATTAACTTTAATATAAATTAACACACATATATATATATATATATATATATATATATATATATGTTAATTTATTTTTAATAACATCAGCTCCTCTCCTCACCTTTATATATATATATATACAGTACAGGCCAAAAGTTTGGACACACCTTCTCATTCAATGCATTTTCTTTGTTTTCATTACTATTTAAATTGTAGATTCTCAAAACTATGAATGAACACATGTGGAATCATGTGCTTAAAAAAAAAGTGTGAAATAACTGAAAACATGTTTTATATTTTAGATTTCTCAAAGTAGCCACTCTTTGCTTTTTTGATAGCGCTGCAAACTTTTGCTGTTCTCTCAATGAGCTTCATGAGGTAGTCACCTGAAATGGTTTTTACGTCACAGGAGTGCCTGAAGTAACCCTGACAAGGTACTTCTGTCATCAAGAGCAAAGGGTGGCTATTTTAAAGTAACTAGAATATAAAACATGTTTTCGGTTATTTCACACTTTTTTTATAAGTACAAAATTCTACATGTGTTCATTCATAGTTTTAATGCCTTCAGTGATAATCTACAATGTAAATAGTCATATAAAAAATAAAGAAAAGACATTGAATGAGAAGGTGTCTCCAAACTTTTGGCCTGTACTGTATGTATATATATATATATATATATATATATATATATACTGTATATATATATATATATACATACACACTACAGGCCAAAAGTTTGGACATTTTGACTATAATTATTAGGTATTTGAGTTATTGTTGCTTAGACTTTGCTTTCTTAAAGTAACCTCCTCTGGCTTTAACAACAGTTTGGCATATACCAGGCATTCGTTCCAGGGATTGCATTCCAAGCTTTCTTAAGTTCATTAAAAAGAGACTGCTGATTTGTGGGACGTGTTATTCTGACGATCCAATCCATCCCACACAAGCTCAATTGGAGAAAGGTCTGGAAATTGAGGGGGCCTAACCATCTTTTGAAGAACACCTTCCTCTTCTTTTTTGTCTAGGTAACCCTGACAGAGCTTGGCAGAGTGCTTAGGGTCATTGTCTTGCTGCAAAATAAACTTGTGACCCACAAGTCTGAGTCCAGATGGCACAGCATGGTGCTGGAGGATGGAGTGGTACTGTTCCTGCTTCATGATACCCTTTACTTCAAACAAATCTCCTACTCCATCACCTGCAAAACATCCCTGTACCATGGAACTACCACCTCCATGCTGAATTATGGTTGTAACACATGGGGCTCTATTTTTGTGCCTCGCCGGAGACGTGGCGCGGCGTAAGTCAGGTCCACCGTGCCGACAAGGCAGTCCCAAGCCCAATTTGGTATTTTGGTGAGCGGCGAAGCCCGGCGTAAGTATCCCCCCTCCCTAACTCAGCTCCTCCCTTTGGCGTAAGTCATAGCGAGGGAGGAGAGAGGGCGTGGAGTGGTTTTAACACAGCCGAGACCTGTATTGACCAATAACATCAGCTCCTCTCCTCACCTTTAAATCCGCCACCGGCGAGGTGTATTACTATTTTCATGAAATAGTCAAAGAGATCAAGAGATGTCTGAAGACAGTAATGCCACACGATGGCGACAGAAGGCAGCCCTTCAAGTGTCACTGTAAACGCTGCAGAGGGCGTCCTCCACACACTCTCATATGAGCACAGATGGATTTGGTGTGTGTAATGTTGGACAACAAAACAAATCAGAGATCCCCAACTTAATTTAAATAAAAGAAACCAAGGGGAACATAGTCAAAATAACGTAAACAAAAATTAATGATATAACTCAGGTAACCAAAAGGAAATTAAATAATGTTATCCACTTCACGTGGTGATTTAACAAAATGAGAACACAAAATGAACACAAAGGAAGTTAACCCCACAGCATACATACATAAAATGTAGGCCCCAGGAAAATGGGCTGAGAGTGTCAACACATACAGTTGGTTAGTTGCAGGAGTCTGCTATCCCCTCTAACCACCCATGTGGCAGGGCGGCAGTATAGTTACCACCAGCAGAAGCAAGCCAGGGAGGTGGCCATGCAGGAACGAAGCAAGCAAAACTCATCCAAGCAGGAGAAAATGAAGCAGAGGCAAAGGCAAAGCAAAGCAGCAGTGCTTCCCATTCAGCAGCGTCACAGCCCACCAGAAAGTACCTGCCCTAAAAATACAGAAATGAACTAAATTACTATGAAGAGACAAATATTAAGAATGAAAGCAGAGAAACAGGCTGGCATGCACTGTACATACTGATCAGGCCACGTCAGACTATGTGTGGGAGAGGAGAGGGGAGCTTCATGCTCAACAGGCTGCGGTAGCAAACTTCAGCTGCCAATTAGCTAGGCGCGTCGGAACGGGGATTCCCCGCGAGCTGTTATGTCAGCACGGTGTCAGACAATCTGACCCCTAAGATCATACACAGCGACCGCTATAACAACGTGCAAAATCAGGCAAAAGTGGAGGCAAACCAAGGCAGCCACTGCCACATTACCTGCACCGGTAGAGGTGGAAAGAAGGAAGTGAGGCGACCAGGAAGTGGGCGGGCCTCAGAGCCAAAGAGCAAGATGCCGACAAGATGAACACTGCCTCTCTTATAATGTGGCTTCAGGTACTGATTGGATAATGAGCTAAGGGGAGAGCAGGCGGCACACTCACTTGACATTAGAGCAGGGATGATGCATCTCATCCTGCTACATGATGATTATTTATTGTGCGGAAATGTGCCTGAAACTGTGGAAACCTGCTGGTGAGGCATCGGTGACGTATGCCAATATGCCGCCGGTCTACCAAAATACCACTAGACCAGCTGCGCTCTGCCTGTGCTGAAAGCTGACCAGGTTTGAATCGGCAAGCTTTCAGCGCACTTTATACCCCACCGGCGAGCACGAAAATGTCACTGCGCCAGCTGATTCTTTTGACACCTCCCTCTGCCACGCCACCACACCCAGCTTGGCGGACCTCGGTGCACCTTAGTCCACGAAAATACCAAACTGGCTGTAAGCTGAGCTCCACCAGACGAAAATGCCACTGTCCACCCTCCGCCGCGTCCCCGGCGGACACGAAAATAGAAAATAGAGCCCAAAGAGTCCAAAAATTGCCATGTGGCAGCAAAAGCTGTTTGGTGATTGCTTATACAGTTTTGGGCGGGGAGACGACAAATGCCTCACAATTTTACTGTACATTGGCTACATATGGAAGCTTCAATAAAAGATGATCTTCAATCTCCAACATGGACTTCTTTATTAAGAGTACCAAACATTACATACATCATGGAGTATTGTCTGCTCATTTTTATGTTGGTGCTGATCTAGACTGCATATTAGCAGACTTTAACGGACCCTGCAAATGAACAACTGGGAAGACTGTGGCAATTAAATAATGTATAATACACGCATGTCGGAGGAGATGCACTGTAATCGGACGGTCATATCACAGAGGATAACAGGCAATAATGAGAGCCTACCTCTATGTTTTTTCGAGGCACGCTTCCTGTGATTGGTGCGGATGGGGTTCACACCAGAAGTTAACCCCTCTAGAGCTCACTTGATAGCGGTCCAAGACCACCCCTACCAGGCAGATCCAAGAGCAGTTGACTGCTCCACACCAGAGTTCAAGGCCAGCACTCACACCAACCAAAACAAACTGCACCAAGGAGGTAAATGCTCCAGGGTTCAGTTCAACTGGACTAAACCAGGCTGGTGTGAACACAACCTTAGCTTACTTTGTTAGAGCGGTTTACCTCCTCAGCAGAAAGGTTACAGGGTCTGTATGGTCCTGAGGAGTCCCCCATCGTTTACACTTCATTGATGTTGACCTGGCTTTTTAGCTCTTGTTCAGTCTACCTACTTTTAAGCACCTGTTATTCCACTAAAATCTCCAGTATTTACTGCGTTTTCTTGCTTGTGTTGGCAGTCGTAGCCAAAGGAGGATTCTGACGATTTTTCTGTACTTTCTGGTTGCTTTCTACTGTCCGATATTGTAGCATGCTAACCTTGTTTGGGCTCATGCATGTTAGCGTGCCTCACCACACAAGGGAGCAGCGTCTGCCTCACAACCAAACAGCATGAGGAAGCAGCGTCTGCCTCACAACCAAACAGCACGAGGGAGCAGCGTCTGCCTCACAACCAATCAGGTCAGAGAGGTGGAGAATGGCTTTGTTTACAGTCAGAAAGAGCGGGTCCTGCAAAAATGTTAAAATGTTGACGACACAGACATAATAGAACACAGCAATATTGTGATATTACCAAATGTCATAATAGCTTTTGACTGATATTAAAAGCTTTTTTGTATATACACCATAAAAAGATGCTTTTTTAACAGATTCCTGCCTACCCCATCTTTAAATGGCAGGACTTTGTAGTTGAACATTCATTCTTTCATACATCTAAAGTTTTCAATATGAAAAGGTACATATCATGTGAGTTTCATATCCTGTTCCAGTTTAGCTAGTTTGTTGATCATCCACTCCCACTCACTGGACGACTAAAACACAATGGAGAGGACATGGACTCTCCATTGTGGATGTGGTAGATGGCCTCAGAGAGAATCATGCTTATATCCACCATTTTTTATCTTGGGGGAAAAAAAGTCAGAATCCTGACTTTAATCTCAGAATTCTGAAGTTTTTCTCAGAATAATAATTTTTAGAAAATTATATTGGACCTTTTTATTTTGGCCCTAATCCTGTTCCATACAATGCTTACCTATGACCATCCCTGCAAATGTGAGTTCTCCAGTTTGACCACCCCAGTAAAAAGAGTCCGACTCAGTCCCTGTGCCAAAAATCCATAAATGGAAATTAATTGTATGAACATTTTACAGCGCGGACACAGCTTGAACCTTCCAACCACTTTCTCATATAGTGACTTCTAGGCTTTTATTGTGAAGAGCCAATGGCCCAGCCCCCGGTCCTCCATGCTTGCGCTGTGCGTCGGGATTAACGCAGCTGGTGCCGGTGTGTGTGAAGCGCTGACAGGACGCCAGTGGAGTGGCCGACATCGCGCAGAGCTCAGTGGAGTGTGTCTGCAACCGCGAGTATAACACTGGATTGCCACCACACAGAGGTAAGCGTGTTTATGCTGAATGTAGTTGTGCATCTCTGGTGTTTTCCAGGTTTTGGACAGTCCCATGAACACCTTTTTGTAGCGTTGACTCTCTTTCAGCTGATCTGTGTTAAAACATGATGTAAAGCCTCTGGGCACTTATTCTATTTATTCTAAAGCCCAGACATTAAATGTAAATTCAGCAGACTTTCTCAAGCATCGGTGTTTTAACGAGTCCGTCAGCAGCCTTTATTATACAGCACCTCAGCTGAGAGGCTCTCCAGCGTTGGGACAGTTGCTGCAGTGGAGGTAAACGCATGCAGTGGCAATGCGACCCGCCATGGGTGCCGCACTCTGAAACTGAAATGAAATGCTTGTGACGCTCTCCGTGCTGAAAAGGATACTGCCGGCTTTCTTCCTATTGGGAATCATGAATCCTTTATTGTCTGCCATCTTTTTTCTTTATTTGATGAAACTGTCAGACAGAGCCGCAGTGAGGCTCAGCAACGGGCTGTCATTGTGAGTCATAGCAGAAGACAACAGGCTACTCCACATGCATATAATAAGGCTGTGACATCAGAACCACGCATTTCACAGGGAGACCAGTGTGCAGCATGGAGTTGTAACAAAGACTTTATTGAACAGTAACTCACTGTTTTCTCTGTTAGTTAAACTGCAGCCTTTGTCGTGTTGTATTTGAGGCTTTTAAAGATGTGCAGTAATTAATTCAAAGTTACACAAAGTAGAGAGGCAATCAAAAAATACTTAAAATAATACCAATATTTTTCTATTTCGGTGAATCTTGGTTAACATATCTGAGTGAGCAGCTGTGTAGTGTAAGAGCACAATTAGACAGCGCTGTGCAATTATTGACTCTGGGCTCAAATGTTGAACTTCATGTTCTGTTCAACAAACAGGTCTGCCCGAGGCCACAAAATGAACACTGTGTGACAACAACCTGCCATCTTACACCTTCAGTGTACAACCACAATATATGTGTAAATGATTACACATGCAAGCACAATAATAACATTGTTTTTACCCCTGAATGCCCCTTAAAAATATTTACAAATCTAGTGAGCAGGTGTGAAGGATATCTCGGACCATCAAATCTCAGCAACAAAACCCGTCATTGCATACTTATTTTATCTAGTGCTCAGTTTTTATTAAACTGACTAGATGCAGTAGTCTCAACATGATGAAGGGCTGCACGACTTTGGCTAAAAATAAAATGCTGATTTTTTTCTTCACTTTTAGAATAAAAAGATTTGCTATCATCTCTCAGAACAAAACCACCGAAAATGATGTCGTGCGTATGCCAAGCCAGTAAGTGTTGCTGTAATACTGCCGAGGGAATGCACAAAAGACAGAAGAAGAGTACAGAGCATGTGTATAAAGGTTGTTCTGGCCGGACATGCGCAGTCGCCATAAAAGAGTTACGCTGTGTGTCACATAATCGTTTCAAGAGATGCAGATAGACATCCACACGGAGATGAAATGGTAGTCGCTTACCGATTAATGCACATGACCCATTTTGAAAAAAGAACCATTTACAGCACCCAAAACGCTGTTTCTGTGTGGATGAAATGCACATACGACAGAAAACTTTTGCGTTTACTCCTGGATTCATTTCTGTGTGAACAGGTTGATACCACCTTCAGACAGACTTTGCAGCTGGGGTGGTGGTTTGCTCTACATCCGAAACAGCGAAGCCGTACAATTCTACACGACTGACTTGCTCTTGCCCTATTTAGCCACAAAATTATCACTTTCTTTTGCAAACGCCATGTTTGTTTACACTGGTGTGTGTTGGAACTGTGGAGCGCTGCCACAGGAAGGGGGAGCCTATGGTGGCCTGGAGACGTGAGACATGATAGAGAGGAAAATCGATTTGACGATTGTAATTTTTTGACATCGTCAAAATAAAATAATCCAGTGACGATTTAAAAAAAAATAATTGAGCAGCCCTACCTGTATGTTGACTGATTACAGTTTTCAGCAGCCAACAGATAGTGATTGTTAGAGAGTGAAATGATCGTAGATCTCGTATCAGGCTTTTTTAAAATTTGTTTGTTGTTTTTGTATTCGTCAAAACACAACAACTACATTTATAATACTAACAAACTAAAAATTACAGACCTGCTCTTTTGTGATTTATTAATCACACAAGTGTAGATTTTAGGCTTTGTTAAAAATCTCCACAAAGAACTTTTGGATTTCTGTCTAACAAACTGAAAGAAATCATATGATTAATAAATAAATGAATAAATGGCTGTTTTAGTCTGCAAGATGTTTAAGATGAATTTTTAATAAATCAGTGGAAAGACAGATATTGAGTAAGGCTATAGATTGCTGAGCATGGCTGATATTGCTGTTCATACTAAATATTACAACACATACAGTGTAAAAACACTTGTCGATGTCTGTTCTGGATTTGATTTTATTTGATGGAAAAGATGATGATGATTGCTGATATGATGCGGACTGATGAACTGGTCTGTCCCCTTTCTTTCCTCGTGTTTTAAGTTTGGCTTGTAGTTCTGCCTTTTCTACTCCAACAGCACCTGAGTAACAAGAAGCTAAACTACCTCAATGAATTATTAACCCCAACACAAATAATTAATCAACATGCTTCCAAGACGGACACAGAGCGGTCAGACAGGTTTCCTCAAAAAGACCGTCAGTGTGTTTTGTCACGTTAACACTTCATCTCAGAATAACACCCCCTCTTTCTGTGTACTCTGTGTTTGTGTTCATCCAGTCTTCAAAGAGTTATTGTTTGCTCACTTTGGTAGACTCTTCCTTAAATCCTCTCAAAGGCACAGCTGGACTTCTCTGCTAGTTGATGTTGTTTGCAGGTAGGTCAGAGTTCAGCAGAGTATGCAGCAGGTACCTGGTTGACACCTTGAAAGTAGAGAGGTGTTTACAGAGAGATGGTGAGATGTTTTTGTGTGTGTATGGAGGAGATTGATAAGCTTTATGTTTGGACCATTTGTTGAGTCAGTCCAATCCTTCTCCACTTCCTGTTGTTGTGTAACTGAGTCTTTTAATTTGAAGGAGCATTTTTGTTGATATTGAACTCAGGAAAAATACAAACACATGAAATTTTCATGTCGGGCCTTTCTATGGAAAGAATTATAATCTGTTAAATGTAATGTTATTGTTTCTGTGTCTGAGCATGTTTATGAAGTTTAGCACAAGGTTGTAAGCTATCAACCCTTATTTTTGCACACATTTCAGGCACACTGGAGGGAGGTTGTAGTGCTCCTTATGTTTTAGTTTCGACAAACTGAAATTATAAGCTGCTGGCATATGCCCAGTTTGCTGTTAATATTTCATACACTCATCGAGTATCAGATTACACTGATGTTCTTGATTTGAGATTTGAGTCACCCTGAAAACATGACTTCAAACATTAGCTAAAGCCAGCTGGTCTGCAGACCCGTCCCCCTTTTTTCTTTTTGCTCCAGATGGTTTTGGAAACTGAATTGCACTGAAATTGTGGCCGAAATTTGCCAGCCAAGTTATGAGCACAAGTATTTATTCATCAGAGATTAATACTGGCTTTGATGGATGAAAGACCTCTACACAGGCTCCTTTTCTTCGCAGAGAACTGCAGATAGATGGATCAAGCAGCATGTTTCAGTCAGACACCAGGTTCCTGTTTTCACTCTGTTAATGTTACAACAAGCTGCTAAGCAACCCTTTGCCCCCCTCCCCCTCCTCATCATGGTGAAGTGCAGTGCTTTGGCTTCTCAAGGTCCACAACAGAAAAAAGACACACACCCCCTTTGCATGTAAACAAGGCTGTAAAAAGACACTTATGCTGGAGTAATTGATGAAAGCAGCTTCTCTTTTCAGCATCAATACCTCGCCCTCTCCTCCTGTACTCTACATTTGTTTGTTTGTTTGTTTGTTTGTTAGGAAACAGCAGAATCCCAATAGCTGATCATGGCGTAGCAGTGTGTCCTCATGATCTTACAAACCGACCCAAAATAATCAAGTTAAAGTGATACAAACTATCAAGCAAAATTTAAAGCGCTGATAATGGAGCATCTAAAAGACCAGGCTCTAATTGGTGGAGTGGCCTGGGTGGAAATGTCAGGCTGGGCAGACATTCCTGAAATAGACAGAAGATGGAGACGCTCTGGAGTTCATCTGCTCGCTCATTTCACACGAGGATAACTTCATAGCACTTAAAATTGCTGGATTATCACGTTGCTGTTTATATTCACGTTTAGCTGCCATATCCTGTGACTCAATTATCAAGTAGTCCCGTCACACAGGCACTCAGAGTTATATAAGAGACAGGCTCATAGCTTCCAATCCATGTCCGAGTCAAAACATTCAGCTCAGCTCAGCACACACTTTTAGCACCCCCTCAGACAATGATTTGAATTGTCACCCGATGGCCAGGAAGCTCTTTATCTTGACAAGGAAGAAAACATGACATAAAAGTAGAGGCCTTTGCATGAATAGTGTAACTACCACTTGTAACGTCAAATATACATGCTAATTTATTATCACGAGGAATGTATGGTTTACTTTACTATGTTTGTTTAAGACACATCTTTTCTGACTTCTTTACCCTCCCTCAAAAAGCCTTGCAGTCATGTTTCAGGCGAGTTGTCACATAACACAGCATCCATGACAGGCTGTTTTGTCTTTGCAGCCAACTGCTGTCCTCCCCAGGACCTTCACATGTGCCAGCCAAGTGCTCCCTGTTCAAGGGATCTGGTAATTGTAATGTCCAATAACAGTCAGGGCCCCTCTTGGACAAAACAGCCTCCTAAAGCACTGAAGGGCATGTTTTTCTTTTCCTCATGTTTTTGCCTCCAATTATGAAAATGTGTTCTTCAAACATTAACCCATTTAAACAGGGACAGCATGGGCTCTATTTTGGTGCCTCGCCGAAGACGTGCCGCAAGCGCAGCGTCAATCAGATCCGCCGCGCTGACAAGGCGTTCCCAAGCACATTTTGGTATTTTGGTGAGCCGCGCAGCCCGGCGTAAGTATCCCCCCTCCCTAACTCAGCTCCTCCCGGCAGCATAAGTCATAGACGGTGAGGAGAGAGGGCGTGGAGTCGGTTTAACACAGCCGAGACCTGTTTTCACCAATCACATAAGCTCCTCTCCTTGCCTTTAAATCCGCCACCGGCGAGGCGTAATACTATTTTCATGAAGTAGTCAAAGAGATCGAGAGATGTCTGAAGACAGTTATGCCACACGATGGCGACAGAGGGCAGCTGCTCAACAAGTGTCCTCCACACTCTCTCATCTGAGCACAGATGGATTTGGTGTGTGTAATGTTGGACCCACTGGTAAGACAAACACCCTTTTCCACAAAAAAGACACTCACATAAAGTTGCATATATTCAAACCTCACGTGACAAAGGTGGGTTGAGCGCACAGATCACAACATAAACTCCAAAAATGGCATTAAAATCGGAACCATCTGTGCGTAAATGACGCATCGTGCTCCGTGGCCTGGCTCTTTCTTTCATAGATGTTGGCATATAAAATAAATTTGGCCCACAAAACTGAATATTATAATATCCATATGTCGGCTTAAAGTAGATAACGCATCTGAGCACTGAAACAAATCATCTGTTCAGCCGCAGCAGCTGCAGCAAGACGGACAGAGGACACGGAGACGTGTCCAGGTCGAGCTGTGCGAGAAATAAGAGGAAGAAAGAAAAGGAGGGAGACACATTACATATCTTGTTAACTTCATCATGTGTGTTTATTTACTAGATATTTAATTTAATTTGATGCAGTTTCAGCTGTATTGATTCGGTCAGGTTGTGTGCCCAAACGCGTGCCAAACGCGTGCCAAACGCGCTCATCAGATCAGATATAGATCAGAATATATCGATATAGATCTTAATGTATGTGCTGACTCAGATTAATAGTTGATGATGATTATTTATTGCACTGAAATCTGCCTGACACTGTGGAAACCTGCCGGTGAGGCATCGGTGACGTATGTCGATACGCCGCCGGTCTACCAAAATACTACCAGACCAGCTGCGTTCCGCCTTGCGCTGAAAGCTGACCAGGTTTGAATCGGCGAGCTTTCAGCGCACGTTACACGCCGGTGGCGAGCACGAAAATGTCACTGCGCCAGCTGATTCTGTCAACACCTCCCCCTGCCACGCCACCACGCCCAGCTTGGCGGATCTCGGCTCGCCTCCGTGCGACTCAGTCCACGAAAATACCAAACTCGCCTTACACCGGGCTCCGCCAGACGAAAATACAACTGCGCGGGGCTCGCCGCCCTCCGCTGCCTCACCGGCGCGAACTAAAATAGAGCCCCATGTCCGCATTTCAACCTTCCAAGCTGAGAGTGCGGCTGCGCATTTCTACTCGGAAAGCCAAACGCATGTAGGTATTTCAACCCGGGAGAAGCGTGTATGCATCTCAACCTCTCAAGCCAGTGGCGCTGCTGATTATTTCTACCCTCAAGCCTGGTGCGCAGATACGTCTTTTCGTAACATTGTAGTTTTTCAATAATTTTTGATAGGGTAATACAGCTTAATAAAGCGATTGGATTCATGCTCGGATCTTGCTACGTGCTTTGTGAGTTAAGTAAACAATGATCTGGAGGCCCTTCTCAAAATTGGCCTCAGGATTTCAGAGGTGTGTCTCAGACAGGGTTTAGGTCTTAATGGGTTAATGCAGTGCTGTGGGATTACTATTAAGTGATCACACCTCCATGCTGCAGTTATGTTTAATAATGGGAGATTCATAGAACTGGAAGGCACCGAAGATGAGAGCATGATCCTGCTCACAGGCCAACAGTGCTGCCTACAGTGTATAGGTAACATATTTCCTTTTATGCTTTAGTTGTTTGAAATGAACTTCAGACGGCTCAGCTGAGGAATGTGTAGAATCCCAGGCTGCTGTCCGTCATGGAAGCTGTTTATGGAAGAGAGTTGGGAGGGTTAGGTGAGGGTAGTCTCGATTAGGGGGATGAGCTGCCGCTCTGGAGCAGTCCTTTCGAGCCATGTTTGGAGCTGTTTTGTGGGATTCATGAGCTGTGCTGGAGACCTTCTCTTCCCTGCGCCAATTGTTGATAAAGCAGAAGTCAAACAGTGTTATGTAACATTCCTGTCTGTCCTTCCATAGTACAGCTGGGCATATTATGAGGCCACCATTGTATTTACATTTCTCACTTTTAAGGCAGCCTCTGTCCCTGCCACACAGACCCCCCTGCATGAAACACATCATAGTTTAACTTTGTACTATCCTGCCTTTGTATAGAGTGCAGAGGGGCAGACTGACCCCCCAGTCTGGAGCTGATTTCAGATGGAGTGATGATGCTACAAACAGACTTGTCATTAAGTATGACAAAGAAAATTATGACAAAAGACAAACCAGGAGCAACAATAAAAGTAGGACATGATCAAGGTCACACAAAGCACATTGCTTTGAATACTTTATATTTCAGAACAACATTTTAGGAACAGTGCTTATTTTAATTTTTTAGGCCAACAACATATTTCAAAAAAGTTGGCACAGGGATAAAAATGCCATAAAGGTTGTAAAAGCCAAGAAAAAAAGATACTGAGGAACCAAAACCAATTTACAACAGGTTAGTGACATGACTTATGTATAAAAAGTGAAACCAGAGAGGCTGAGTCTGTCAAAAGCAAACACTTCCACAGTTTTAGAAAAAAATGATAGAATTAGAAATGTTCTTCTTCATCAGCACGTCTGAGAATATGGAGAAGTACAACAGAGGTAAGGGCAAAGACTACAGCTGGTTGACCATGATCTTTGGGCCCTCAGCACTACAGTAAAAAACAGTCAGTACAGTAAAGTGGAAATAACTGCACGGGCTTCAAAATAAACTGCCTATGAATGCAGTTTGTCACCACATCTACAAGTGTAGTTGTGGTTGTGATGATACACAAAAATCTAAGCTGGGTATGTATCTTGGTTTTTAAGTCAAGGTTCAGTTAAAAAATGTTGATGACTTCACTTCAGTCATTTAAAAAAACAATGTTTGTGATGATATAAGAATGAAGAAGCACTCATGCTAGGGTTAACTTACTCATCTGTGAAGGCTCCATTAATGCTGAACAATAACTACAGGTTTAGGAGAAACATCTGCTGCCATCCAGACAAGTACACTGTCAGGGGGGAGGTCTTCAGCAGAACAACACCAAACCACATTCATCAGGTTTTACAAGAGCTCGGCTCTGGAGTAAAGGAGTCCAGGTGCCTAGCTGGCCTGCCTGCAGTCCCCACTTGCTATCCATTGAAAAAAAATAGACTGTTAAGTATAGGGTTGCAAAATTATGGGAATTTTCAAAGTTGGAAACTTTCCATGGCAATTAGTAGAAGTGTATGGGAATTGACGGGAATAAATCTGAAATTTACAAAATTGAAGGTTGGCCCTCAACAGGGAACTTAAATATAACTGGTGAAAATATATTGTTGCATAATCTTGTCTTAAACAACCAGATTTAATGCAAGTACACTCCTCAATCACATGCACACAGCACACTGCTTACTGCAGGGCTGTTGAGGCCACAACCCCCACATGCACTGTGCATTCCTCCATCACATGCACAGATGATTTCTTGGATCCTGGAGGCCACACTTTTAAGCCCAAAGCACGAGACATTTGAGCCCACGGACTATATAAAGTCAAGTAACTATTGATGATATTATGGGGTAAATATATTTGATCTATAACAGTATTAATATTTAACTTGCAAAAATTAAATAAAAATAGGTGCTATATGTCAGCAATTTTTCATTTCATTGACCATTTAAGGGGCTAGCTTATTATGGTGGTGGCAGCTACCTCAAATGTTAGGCTGTTCCTTCTGACTCCTGCGGGACAGTTTTCTGTAACCATACAATAATTTACACAATAATTGTCAAATATTTTGAAGAACATTCCAGTTGTTTAGCCAACTATATATTTTTTTATTCTACAGAAAAATGCCACGTTTGCTATCTGATGTGTGTCATGTTTTTTAATTGTATTAATTCGCATGGATGGCTGCTTATGACAGAACAAGAACATTTACATTTGTGTTTGGATATGATACAGTTTGCTCAAAATACCCCCAATTTCCAGTTAATTACCATATATTCCCAATAATTCCCATGTAAAGTTTTGAATTTAGATTCCCCCAGAAATTCCCCAGCTTAACTTCCCATGGGAATTTTCTGGAAATTTACTGAAAATTTTCTGCCCCTTTGCAACCCTAGTTGAGTAGTTATAACCTTGGATCAGAATGGGATGAAATGTCACTCTGAAACACAACCATAGAATGTATATAGAATGGACATCGTCTGCCCCCTCACTGGGTGAAGCCACCGCGAGAACAGCACCCTCTGGTGACGGGTTGCAGTATAGGTCATGAATCCAGCCTCCTCCAGTAATCCCTATGGAGCTGTGGACAAACTTTAGAAATTAATTACACAGACTATAAATTTTTCTCCCCCCTGCAATGTTGACATGTAGTTACAGTAAGACTGGTTTGTGCTCAAGTGCTCTTGTTTCTGTGCAGCTCCATTTTTAAAAGTTATAAGGGGGTTTAATGTTTTCTATGATTGACACTTGATACAGCCTATGGGCGTACGTAGATTGCATAACTCAACCGGGGGATACGCTGTTTGAGCAGAGCATCATCATAGCGGCTCTTGGCGACTCTCCCACGGAATGCCAACAATGCTACTGCGCAAGTGGTGGAGTGAGTACAATGCTGATGTGCAGGGTTGGTTTCAAGAAGTGGAGAGAAATCACAGAAAAACCGAGAGCTTTTTTGGCTTGAAATCAGTATACTGGCGGAAGGTGGAACCAAATTGTCCATAGTATATATAGTCTATGACTACAACACCCAGAGCTGACGAACCATCAGCTGCTGTTTTGAAGGTTGGATACCTCACCTCAGCTCTCTGCTTGACAAACACCTACTTGTTTTACTGTCATGTGTTTCTTGAAAAATCATAGTCATAATTGTTGGCCATCTTGCTAATGGAAGTTTTAAGACCTCATGGGTCATCCAGAGTCATCAGCCATGTGGTGTGTCTGTTTTTTGGAAACTGGCTGTGCAGGAGCATTTCAGTGAGCAGGGGAATTCTATGTGGCGCTCTCACAGTTGTTGAGTGGGTGACACATTCCCACATGGCATGTGGTGACAGGTCCATCTGGGTGCGCCTGTTGTCAAAAAACAAACAGACCCCCTATAGCAAGGGTCAAGGTCAAAACAGGGACAGTCCCAAATAGGACCCTCAAAGCTGGGCCACTAGTCTCAGGAGGCTCCAGAGGAACACAGCGTCCATGGACTGAGGATTTGTTACGCACATCATCAAATTGGTAAAGCTCCAATAGATCTTCAGTGATTCTCTGGAGTCATTATAGTCTTTTGGGAATTGCTTGTTTTGGAAATGTTATTAGTTACACTGAGAGCTCTCAATTGAGGATTTGAGTCTGTTGGTGTGAGTCAGTGTGTTGTGGAACTGAATCTCAGAGAAGCAGATGGGCTCAACATCTTCACTGCGTTTTCCTACTTTGTAGACACATTTGTTAAGATTTCAACCTGATGTCTCAGGTTTTAAATTTGAAGAGAAGACACTTTGAGAGTATAGATCAGTTAATGCAGATTGGACCATGAATTCCTGATGGGTCACTATGACTTCAACCTTTACTGATGAGTGGGGCCTCTTTTGGACATACACATTTCTAGTTTGGTGCTGTCTTGAAGCTGTGAGAGTTCTCTTCCTTTGCCATGCTTATTTTAAATGACATATGAGTTACATGTCACTTGTAAGTGTACTAGCAGCAATGGAGGCCAGTCTGCTATGCTCCGACTACCGGCAGAAACAGCAGGACACCAGGCAAGCTACCATTTCAAGAAGAAGAAGATGAAGAACTATATTGATCCCTGAAGGGAAATTCATGGCTGCAGATACAGTGGACCTCCATAAGCAGGTGTGCATCTGGAAACTTCATAATGTGAGCACAGTGGGAAGTCGGACCTCAGCTTGGATCTTAAATGTTGAAAGGAAGTAAGGGATTTCACCAGCGAAAGTTGCTTTTTGTCATGTCCTTTTTACATAATCCATTAAAATCCTAACTTTCCATGTTAGGCATTAATCCTGCAAACAGGCAAAATTTCGACTGAGCATATGCAAAAGGAGGTCTAAGATTCAAATAGCCTGGTTGAAGCTGTGTTGCAGCTCATTATACAAACTCATTATACAAAACTGAGTTTAGTAATTAGCTTTGTATGATGTGAAGCACTGAGTCTTGGTCTTAGCTTACCCTGCAGACAGTTATGCTTCAGTTTTTTTATTTCAGCTCAGTATTCCCCTTTCAGCAGCTACCACAGTGTATGTTGATAATATGTTTGTCCTGTGGACCATGGGTTGTGTCATCATGTTGTGAAAACACTGAGCTGAAGTCTTACCCTGAAGACGCTCGAACATTCAGCTTTCCTGGTTTTCTGATTGAACTCCTGGATGTTGCTGAAAATGGGTAACAAACAGTGATGAGCATTCAGTGGACTCTGAGATGCAGACTGCAGCCTCATGTGGACTTCTGCTATATATTTGGTGCTGTTGTTACCACGTCTCACTCCTTACAGACAGGAGTTTTGCAGGTCTGTATGCATTAGCTCACAGTTTACACATCTGCACCAGCAGTCCATAAAGGTATCAATGTGTGTCCACATAGTAATCTGCATTTCATTGGTGCAGCCAGCATCACTTATTCTGTAGTTTAGATGTACATCTATCTCTTTGAAGCCTACTGATCCAAACAGCTGATCAGAGCATGTGGAAGAGCATGTGTATGTTGCCTCCACAAATAGGGCACAAACAAATGGGCTTTCAGATGGCAAAGTTGAGTGTTGAAAAATTTCTAAGTGGAACTTAAACCGAAATGAAAACTTGAGTCCAAGGCTCCATAATCAGCTGAATAATGTGGTACAGTCAGCCCGCTTAAAAAGTCCTGTTTCCCTGTGGCTGGTACACTCACAAGTAACATGACTTATACTACATTACTTTAAAAATGACTACATATCTTTTTAAGTGTTGCGCTCACATTTTCAGTCCCAGCATCCTCCGTTTCTGCGTTTAAAAGTCAAACTGTGGTAAGTAAGGATACAACAGTGCTCTGCTGCTGCTGCTGTTGCGATAAATGCTTCAAAGGATGTAGACGTAATTTGTCCAAGTGAAATGTCAGTCAAGCTCTGAATTGTATAGCATAACCTTGTGTATTTTTCCCAGAGTGTATGAAAAATCCATCTAAGCATGTTACTGGCCAATATGACCATGTTGGTTAGATTGTAATGTGCAGGGATAAAATTCACTCAACTTCAACAGTTATGTTTCTTGTTGTTTTAGGATAGTTTTTTTTATTAAATGCTAAATTACCCCAACATTGTGACATTGGTATTATATATAGGCCTGCTCTTTCATAGTCAGCATTGGCAGACATCAGCATGCTCTATAGATATCTGAGGGCTTCATAGATCATGAGACCGGATGGTTCTGCAGGTAAGTCACAGTTTGACACAAGTGGAGCGACTCAAGGCCCGAAGAGCATCTTATTTCCTGTTTATCTTGGCAAGATCTCTGCTGGCCTTCTCAGAGCTCTCAGAGTCTTTTTCCTTTTCCCAAGCTGGATGGATGGTGTTCCTCACTCAGCTCTGCTCTGTGGCGTTTCTTCCTAAAAAGGCTGGGGGTGATCTCTGCTCCTGTGTGTTTATACAGCAAACTGAACGCTGCTAGATGTCATCCTCACATTATCTGTTAAATGTGAAAGACTCATGCACTCTCATGTCTTTTTTTTTTTTTTTAACAAAGAACTCCCCGTCTCAGGATGCAGTGATTGTAGTGTTCAGTTTGAACAACTCTCAGAGGACTGTCTGATAATAGATTTTTTAAAATTAGTTCAAGGATGGGTTGCCTGTCTGGTCTGCAGAGGATCTGAAAGTTAGCTCATTTTTAGCTAAAGGAAGAGTGAAATATAAGCATACACATTTTCTGATGCAGGGGAACAGCTCCGCTCCAAGACCACAATATGTAACAAGCTTTTTTTTTATTTAACAAGTTTTAAGTTGGTGTCCCTGCAGGACTTGCTGGAATAGCTCCCACTTTCTCCTCATGAGGCCTATTTGTAGACTTTCCAGCTGGAACACAAGTCCCCTGCTTGTTCTGCACGTTGACTTATTTACCTTCATGTGCAAACACGCAAACACGAAGAGGAAACACAAAGAGGAACAAGCACATTTTAAACTCTGCTGGAATTAACACAGTTTGGGAAATCAGAGATGAATTTGTTGTCTGTGCTTTTTGTCATCACTGAGAGCCTACATGGACAGCACAGTTTATTTACATCTTTGTATGCTTCAGTGACCATTTGAATGCCTTGTGTGTGTGTGTGTGTGTGTGTGTGTGTGTGTGTGTGTGTGTGTGTGTGACTCTGTCTTGCTTCAGTCAGCCTTATTCTCCGCCTCTAAATGAGGAGGTCCTCTAAATCAGCCGTGCACAAAGGGGGGCCCGGCAGAGCAACAGAAGTGTCTCACAGATACTTTTCTGGTGGCCTCGGTTTGCTTCGGCATGCTTCACTGATGCAGCTCAGATTAGCATATGTTTGTTTTCTCCCACATCCTCCCCTCTTGCTCTTAAAGGGGAAAGACATTAAAAACTTTGAATATATATCACCAGTTCAAGGCAGGTCAAATTTTCTCTGGGAACCTGGAAGCTTGCAGAATAACAGATAGTAGCCCCAAGCTGCCCATGAATCAAGAGTCAACATCATCCACACTTATAAAAAACTGATCTTTTATGTTCTGGACTGGATCATCAAGTTAAGATCTTTTCATTTCTGTTATTTTTCTCAGAGCTCTCCTGAAGAGGGCAGTATTAGACCGAGCTCTACCTCCTGTAAGTCTATGCCCTCAAACACATCAGAGTATACAATGCAGTCAGAGTGATTTGTTGCTGAGGCATCCAGATGTACCATAAATACACATACCTCAGCCATATGACCAAATGTCATGTTTCCATTGTGTTTAAGTGAAATCAGGTCCTCGATCGGTCTGTGCTGTCAAGATAACCCCTCTGCCGACCATGAAAGGCTCTCCTGATCTGATTCCTGCTGCAGGTGATGTATCCCTCCACTTCAGGTTTTTTTTTTTTTTTTTATTTGTGAAAAGGCACTCATTGGCAATGTGGGCTTCTGTATTTTAACCTCTGATAGAGTGATCAGAATAAAGGAGATAGTAATATGATGGCCTAGTTTTAATGTTAGTGTTATATTGTGATCATACATACCTGAAATAGCATTTAATTGGAATCTGAAGCCATACTGAACTCTGAGGGCACTCTGAAATTTGTACTATCCGCTGAGAGCTGGTGGTAATTGTGTGTATATATTATAAGTATAGTCATGCACCAACTCTTAGATTATCAAACTGGACTGGAATTATAAGTGCTGCTCAAGAGATGAGAGTGTCCCCAAAAAGTTCATTTTTTCCCATAATGTCATTTAAAAGTGAAGCTTCCATATAGTATTTTAGATTCATCACTGACCAAGTGAAATATTTACAGATGATTACAACTTACTGCTTAGAAAAGGAGTCAAACATCTCAAAACATAAGAGTACAGTGGAGAAGTTCAGTTTTAGAGTAGATATGGAAACAGATTCATGAAAGTTGACTGAAGGGAAAAGTGAGGGACAAAAAGGAGGCCAGGAAACAGAGATGAAAGCAGAGCTAAGTAGACTAAGTAGATTCAAGGACTTAGGGGGCCTCACAAGAACTGGACTGAGTCTGAAGTCAGATCATCAAGAGCCTCTACACAAAGACCGGCCCAAATGGACTACAAGCATCATAGCCCTATGATTAAGACACCTTTTAGGAGTCTCACCTGAAATTAAGAGACAAAAAACTGGACTATTGCTAGAAGGTCCAAAGTCCTGTTTTCAGACCAAGTCCCTTTAGCATCTCATTTGGAAATCAAGATCCCAGAGTCTGGAGAAAGATCAAGAAGGCCCAGGATCTCACATCGTTGAGTCCTAGGGTGAAGTTTCCACAGTCTGTGATGGGTTGGGGGGCTATGACATCTGCTGCTGTTGGTCTGCTGTGTTTTATCAAGTCCAGAGTCAACGCAGCCCAAAGTCCACCAGGAGGTTTTAGAGACCTTCATGCTTCATCTGCTGAGAAGTTTTATGGAGATCCAGATTTCCTTTTCCAGGCAGGACCTGGTCCCTGTCCACAGCGCCGAAACTACCAGAAACTGTTCTGCTGACCATGATACTACTGTGCTTGATTGTTCAGCCAACTGGTCTGATCTAAACCCCATAGAGGAGTATCATCAGGAGAGACACCAGAGGAACAGACCAGCTGAAGGAGCTATCAGAGAGACCTAGACTTCAGTAAGACACGACACACTGATGCAGGAATTCAAGCAAAAGGAGCACCAATCAAGAACTGAGAGCAGAAATGAAGAAGGTTTTCTAGAAGGTCCACATCTTTGGATATTCATCCTTTATTAGTGTTTTTTTTTTTTTTTTTTAATTTTTGATATTTTGATGTTTGGAGAGAGAGAGTGGGTTATTGATTTTTGTGAGCTGTATTCATCAAGATTGAAGCAAACAAAGTCTGTCAATTTTTGACTCTGTTTGTGGTGAATCTAGAAAATATGTAGGATTCACTTTTTCAAGCCCGCCCATCATAGATAAAATGAAGCACCATTAGAATCAGAGTTAACAGGACTGGTTTGTGCAGCTGAGCATGGAGCATGCTCAAGCTGCTCTTAGTCACAAAAAGGGAGTAAACTGCTCAGGGCTACATATCTTTGTAAGTGTTTTTACACTTGAATTTCATCAGCATTATTTGCTTCATAAATAAGACCTTGAGACAAAGATAGCAGAAACACAATTCTTGGTGCTGTTAACAGCCACAACCTATTTTTAGTGAATCACCCCCCAGAGTGAAGTAAATACAGTAAATCCACTATGCTCTGAAGCTTGAGAAGCTGTGGAAACATGTGTGCTATTTTGACTGTTTTCAGATTTGAGCCCCAGCAGAGTATGCAAAGGGAAAGGAGTTGTGACTCTGAAGGCCACATTAGTCCACATAGATGATGATGAAGGCCTCATCACTGAAGAGCCAAATGTCATCACGATGCCAAGTAAGCTCAAGCAAACTTTACAGCTGCTTCTGAACCACTCTGCACGTAATGAAAAACCACTTAGAGGATAGTCAAAATTGCATGAACATGTGAAAAACAGACAGGTCCCTGTGAAATGTGAGCGGAGGGTGTCAATGTTGCAGAAGTTTTAAAAGCACTGCATCATTGTCTCTGGATTAGATCTTCTCTCACAGAATCGGAATCCACTCAGGAGGCCTCAGACTTTAATAAATACAAGGGCTGTGGCTCAGGTGATACAGGCCTGAATACGCATTTCCTGATGGTGTGATTGCACCCTCAGTTGCCAGGAACAGTCAGGTTCATCATAAAGGGCGAGTGCTCATATTTTCATTTGTGCATCAAAGAGCTTTTTTGTTGCAGCCTGCCCACACCGCACTTTGGAAAGAGGCGCCTTGACTGTGGGCTTGTTTTTAACCAAGAGCACAGTGGAATTGGACTGGAGGCTGGCAGAGTCTTTCAGGAAGATGCATTGTTTGTCGTGAAGCCTGAATATAAAGGCCATCGGAACAAACAGCCTTTGCAGCCCTCTGTGAATAAGCTCTTTGTTCTGATTACAAAGTTAAGGGATTGTGGGAGAGTCTTTTTTCCCTTTCCCGGGCTTGTGGACATCTGTGCACATGAAAACCATGCAGAAAACCACTCCCTGAAGAATGAAACTGATATGGATCTAAATCAGCAGTTAGGTGTTGTCAAGTCTCATGTTTATAAGATCACATTTACTGAAGTATTACTGGAATACTCAAACTTTTTGACTCACCCTCAGAGTTTTTAATATTTTTGCTGCACTTGCTGCCGCACTGAGAGAGCTCTTGACACTTTATAGGTGGCTGGACAGGCCAGATTAATGGGGACAGCTTTAAAGCAGGACTGGCTGAAGGAGGAGGCGACACCAGAGCTGATTTACCTCCTTTAAACAACACTCAGTGCCAGGTAGGTTTTCTGCCGTTCCTTCTAAAACAGACTATCTGTTTGGGCTCTTAGCGCTTTTACAACTCTGAGAACTGTGCAGTCTCTGTTATCTGAAGTCTGACTTTGACCTTTTTCAATAAGTTCCCAATAAATTGATAATCGTGCTGTTATTTTCAGTCGAATTTACCAGAAAGTGTGAAGGAAAATCAGTCTCCAACCTCCACTGACATCCAGATCTGTCCTTCACCGACATCCAGCTCAGTTTACCCTTGCACCAGTACTGTTAACCCCACCATAGTCTTGCTCCAACACAACAGAGGTGAGGAATCTTGACAGCTGTGGAGGATGACCAGTTTTGTGAACATACTTTTTCATGTCTCCCTAGCATCTTGTCAGCCAAGGTTCATGCAACTCTTTGCTTAGTCTCACCTGTGGTTGCCTCCTCTTGCTCAGTGTTACACATTATCTGTGCTCTCCTATTTGTGCGTCATTGTTTAGTCACATTTCACTGTCCTGTCCTTGTCTGTCTTTATCTTTCAACAGAGAAGCAAAAGCATTTCTCTCAGTTTGAAGGTATGCACTTGCATTGTGTCTTACTGCTATTTTTATTTCATTTTGTAGACTTGTGGTTTTCTCCTAGACCACCTGTCACAACAACCATTGAAAGGTCCTCGCAGTGTGGTCATAAATGAGGACGACTGCCCTGATCCAGAATGTAGTGAAACATATGGCAGTATTTTTCTTTGGTGTATTGACCCTAAGTTCACCTTCATCACTTTCTTGATACTTTTTCCTCAGACAATGGTCTAATCAGAACTGTTGTCATGTCTGTGTCCTTCATGGCAACACAGCAACAGATGACTGCAGTGCTCCATTGAGATCATTTTCTTTTTATTTCATCTTTCTTTCACTTATTTCACTCCTCACATGTCTCATTCTGCAATTCTACATGTTTCAAACATTGTTTGCTGTGGAAAGGTGTCTTTGATGTCAGCAGTTAGTACCATTAAAAACCTTTACTGCAATAACAAAGAAAAATAAACTTATTATAGGATATTCTACCAGAAGAACAGATTATGTGCGTTTAAGTGCAGCTAAAAAAGAAAAAAAAAAGGGTTGCAAAAAACTTTTGCTCCGTTCATTTAACTCAAAAAGTGAAACTTCCACAAATCACTTACAAAGTGAAATTTTTTGAGACTTTTCAATTTTGTTGGGGATGAATCTAGAGTATATGGAAGTTTCACCTTTTGAATAATAGGAAAAACTTCTTCAGGACAGTCATCTTTCGAACTACACCTGAAAAAATTTGACTTTCAAAATTATTTTTGATATAATGCAGTATGGCATGTTGATATTGTTCCTTCTTTATCACAAGGTACAAAGCAAGTCCTGTGACAGAAAATTAAACTATTGGTGAATTATGTGTGAAATATTATGTGTACACTATAGTGTTATCTGAAGTTTAAATGTGATGGTTACTCTAAATTTTACCTGGCTAACATCATTTTGATTTTGTTTGTTTGTTTGTTTGTTTGTTGGTTGGTTTGTTGTGACAGACACAGCACTAGACAGAGCCAGAAGTCCTGATCCTGGGAGAGACTCAGTCAGTCCAGTTCCTGATATGGACTGGAAGAGGATGCGGTTGTCGCTGCACTCTCCTGTCCTGAGTCCTCTTAACAAGCCCATCGTTCCTGCTCGAGTGAGTAACAGACACTGCACTTAATTCTAGAATATATAATATCTAATTCTGTAAAGGAGATCATTTTTTGACATGTAACTTGTTATTTAATGATGTCACTGTTTCCAGTTTCTATCTGGACAAGTCAGGTCTATTTTTGTGACTTTCTTTACAGCATTGTCAAAATAAATACTCCATTCTCACATGGGAAAGTGTTAGAGAGGAAGTTTAACACTCTATATGTGTAACCGTAAACTCAGAGTTGCGGGAACCCTGAGGTTTTTTAGGTTTTGGTTCCCAAAAAGGCATTTATAAGTCTGTCAACACTCTCTGTATATACAGTGCATCCGGAAAGTATTCATACCACTTCACTTTTTCCACATTTTGTTATGTTACAGCCTTATTCCAAAATGGATTAAATTCCTTTTTTCCCTCAAAAATTCTACACAAAATACCCCATAATGACAAAGCGAAAAACTTTCCTTAGAACATTTTGCAAATTTATTGAAAATAAGACACTCAAATGTTGCATATTTAATGACACTTAATGTTGCATAAGTATTCACACCTTTTGCTATAAAACTCAAAATTAAGCTCAGGTGCATCCTGTTTCCACTGATCAGCCTTGAAATGTTCCTCCAACTTGATTGCAGTCCACCTGTGGCAAATTCAGCTGATTGGACATGATTTGGAAAGCCACACATGTCTATGTAAGATCCCACAGCTGACAGACCACGTCAGAGCACAAAGCAAGCCATGAAGTCGAAAGAATTGTCTGTAGACCTCTGAAACAGGGTTGTATCGGCACACAGATCTGGATGTTTTTCAGCGGCAGGAACTGGGAGACTTGTCAGGATCCAGGGAAAAATGAATGCAGCTAAGTACATGGAAATCCTTGATGAAAACCTGTTCCAGAGCGCTCGAGACCTTCGACTGGGGCGACGCTTCATCTTCCAGCATGACAATGACCCTCCTTAGGGTCATTGACAATGACAATGACCCTTAGGAGTGGCTTCAGGACAAGTCTCTGAATGTCCTTGAGTGGCCCAGCCAGAGCCCAGACTTGAACCCGATTGAACATCTTTGGAAAGACCTGAAAGTAGCTGTGCACTGACGCTGCCCATCCAACCTCACTGAGCTTGAGAGGATGTGCAAGGAAGAATGGGGAAAAACTCCCCAAATCCAGGTGTGCCAAGCTTGTTGCATCATACACAAGAAGACTGGAGGCTGTAATCGCTGCCAAAGTTCTTTGACCAAGTATTGAGTAAAGGGTGTGAATACTTATGTAAAAGCAACATTTGAGTGTCTTATTTTTAATAAATTTGCAAAATGTTCTAAGAAAAGTTTTTCGCTTTGTCATTATGGGGTATTTTGTGTAGAATTTTTGAGGGAAAAAGGGAATTGAATCCATTTTGGAATAAGGCTGTAACATAACAAAATGTGGAAAAAGTGAAGTGATATGAATACTTTCTGGATGCACTGTAAACTCAGCAGGAGGTTGAGCTTAGCCGTCAGAAGAGCTGAGACTGAAGAGTTGTACATGGTGATAGTGAATAAAAGTGTACATTTATCTGTCCTAGTGTGATCAGATGTTAGTTTTTATACTTATTCTATCATTGTGTAATAATTTTACTAGATTCACACTTTAATTCCTCAATAGAAAGAGCTCAAAGTTTTCTCTATATCAGCAGAGTATCAATGTTTGACTCTAAATCGGTAATCATGATTGTGGTGATTTAAACTCCAAAGTAGATCTATTTAAAGATCTATTATATTTTGTAATACAATTCTTGCTCAACATCATACTGCACAGGGCTGTGCCATTTGCTCTCATTAGCAGCACAGTACACAAGTGTGATTATGCAAACTATTTAATGTCATTTTAGTTCATTTGCTCAGGTTTAGCAGGTACAAAAGCCACACAGTCCTATAGTCAATCAAACCCAGAGTCTGTTGAAGAAAACTAGCTGTGAAAAATTGAAATACTCAGCTCTCAGAGGTAGCTTTACTCCATCTTGAACAGCATTTGTTCATTTTTAAATTCTTCCCATCTTTATTTCAGAGCACAGAAAAGTCCAAAGACTGGTACAAGTCAATGTTCAAACAGATACACAGGATACCCGGTAAGAGAAAGTCATCATTTCCTCTTTTCATGTGTCTGATCAGTTTCTCCATTTTGTTGCGGTGTTCATCTGTTGGTGTCCAGACCTTATGTGTGTTTTTTATGTGTTTGTATTTTGTGTCACCCTGATCTCTGTCTCTCCATCACTGTGCTCAGAGCCAGTTGAGGAAAACCCTTACCGCCCCACCTACATTTTCCCAGAAAATTATGACAGTCAGATGAAATCAAAAGGTATCCTGTGGCAGTAACCTCCCTCTTGTTGGCTTTACTAAACTGCTGTCATCTTCGGCCTCCTCTAATACTAAAGCTGGGTCTAAACTTCCGTACCTGATCCCACAGTCTATGGAAAGATCATATAGTACTTTTCGGTTTTCTGTCTGTCATATGTAGCACTATTTCCTGTTCTGGTTACCTATTTCCTGCCTGTGTGGTTGTGTGAACCCAAGCGCAGTAATTCTCTCACCTGTCCCTGGTTACTTCCACTGTATTGAACCGTCATGTACATAAATGCCAAGCTGAGTGCAATGTATGAGTCTCTGAGGGCTTAAAATGGATAAGGAGGATAAGGACACACTATCATGGCATTGTACTGTTGACACAGACCCTGATAACAAGACAAGCAATTATTCAGTTTAAAAAAAAATCACAAAAAAACAACTGTTAGGTTGATTTATGTGTGTGTTGTGGTCCTGCAATGAACTGTTGAATGCTGAAAATATGTCAGTTAATTTCTTGGCAGAGCTGATAAGGCGAAAGACTTTCAAAATCAGAACCAAGGATGTAATAGGATAATGACTAAAAGGAGCAGTCTGTGATTCAAGAGAAAGGTTACCTGAGACACCAATTTAGACTCAGGTCAATAGAAATAGCAATGCTTTTTCCTCACTTTACTTTGTCATAATAAAGAGCTTGAGCAGTCACCTGATGTAGTTTACCACAGCGGCCACAAGATGTCGATGTAGTCCTGCTCTGTTCTATTCTGTTCTGTCCTTGTGGGTCTCTCTGCCCACAACCTTTGAGCTGCACCTAACAACCCTCATCTGTCAGTGCTTTAACATGGGTTTAGACTCAAGCTTTCACTTTTAATCCGTCCAAATGGGACACAAGATTTAAACTTACTAATTGCTCCCCTCTATTGGCCCCAGGTACTCACAGTCAGTCCCCCAGTCTGATGTGCCTCCTCCACTGTTGTTGAATATTAGGTTGTGAATGTTGCTTTAGGTGGCCATGGCCTTTTTAGACTGCATGCATTACTAATTCAAAGCCTTGATGCTCAGCCATGCTTGGATCCCCTTTTAGCACAGCAGTGCTTCCTGTTAAGAGCTTTGATTGGACAGACTTCGATAAAGTTGGATGAATCTATAATGCTTGGCCTAATGGTTGTGGGTGGGGGTGGGGGTAGAGTCTAGAGCCTTGTGAATTATTAAGTGGTCTATTTTTTATTGGCCTTTAATGAACAGAGTATAGATAGATAACTGTTATAATAATTGAATTTTGATTATTGATTCTCCCTCCATCAGATGATGGTCCCACTCCCTATGGTTACTTAAAAGATGGTAAGTTCAATCAATCAATCAATAAATCAAAACTTTATTTATAAAGCAGTTTCCTAAGAAGTATGTAACACAAATTATGCAGTTTGACTTTCTTTCATACCTGCATCATCTACTATTGGTATTAATCCGTCCTGCATCTCAATCACTTCACAGAAACAAAGTTAAAACTGTCACAAATGAGGTAATTTAGTATCAAGCTGTAAGTCTGTTCCTTTCATTGTGACTGTTTTCAGTGAAAACTGTCACAGGTCCAAAAAGTGACATTGAAGCTGAAAACAGAGGCCGATCAATGCCAGTGCCAACAAGATCCTCTTCCCTCAAACCCTCAGCCAAAAGGTTAGTCCGCTCCATCCAGACCTAAGAACACTTCTGTTAACACCATGCCATGTCGGTGTTTGTAAAAAAAAAGCTTTTTCCAATTTAGGTCACCACAGATTTCGTCTTCAATATATTTTCAACCACATTTAACTTTCACACGTCCCTGCGAATTTTGAAAAAGTTCTTTCTTGTGCAAATTGGAGGTTTCTGCCCTTGTTTTCTTCTACTCCTGTGCCCTCTAGTTTTTACTCAAATCCTGATTATTCATAGTCATTTGACAAACATGATCTATTCTCTGATGACTGATGACTGATGACTGATGACTGATGACTGATGACTGATGACTGATAAAGTGTTGAAGGAGAACAGGTGACAGAGGATAAACTGTTGCCCTCTAAGTTGCAGATGACATGAAGTATTCCTCCCTGTATGAATACAAGCATTCCCACCACCTTCATTATATTGTTCATGTTCAACAGACATATTTCTTACCAACAGTGTTTTAGTGGAGTTATAATAAGTGCAAGATAAAGTAGCTTTATTTTTGTCTACAAAGATTTCTCACCAGGAAAAGCTGCACTCTTTGTTTTGCTAGCATCCATGATGGATCAGTCTGTTTAGCTAAACTGTGAATGCGGTTTTATGTCATCCCATCATTCAAAGAAGAGACGAGTGAGAGAATAGTGAGCAGGAATAATAAAGGAGGGCATCGCATTTGAATTGAATAACACATCTTGGCCTATTCTGGTTGCCATGGAGACTACTTGATAAGGATTGGCTCTCTTTCATCCCACACCCTACCCCTCCTTGTAACCCCCCTCTCCACAGGAACGAGTGGGAGCCTCCGGATAAAAAGGTAGACACCAGGAAGTACCGTGCCGAGCCCAAGAGCATCTTTGAGTACGAGCCGGGAAAATCTTCAGTGCTGAAGCTGGAGAGAACGGTAAGCTAGCAGCCCGACTGTCTGCCTTTTTTTTTTTTTTTCCTTTCACTTCCTCTCTCTTCTTCTCCTTTTTCTTTCACTGTGCACGCTGTGTAAGCTGTTTCTCTCTCCACCCACCACCTCCAACCCCTACCATTCACCATGTTTGTATCTGAGCTTGCATGAGGCAGCTTTACTAACAGCTAACATATGTGTTACCCTGAACACCATGTGCATCACATTCCTGCAGGGTGTCCTGTTCCAGTGACACATGATACTGTTCAGAAAAGGGGGGATCACAGTATCACTCACAGGGATAGTCATTGTCGTTATGTCTTTAACCCACGATTATATAGCAAAATCTGCTCACTGCAAGAAGGTCCAAGCAGGGAGCCTAGTGTGTCCTGTATTATGTGAGGCTCACTTTTTTGTCTTTTCTAGTATGTGTTTAAGAAATAATGCTGCAATAGTGAGAGTCTCCAAGGAGGGTTTTTTAAGGATGAGCTTTTATGGACATTAGATAGCCACCAGCTAGACCAAGAGTGTGTTATTTACAGGAGGAGAACGCTTGGATTTTATTTTATAACTGTCTTTATTGATTTTTCACAGTAGAGGAAATGGAGGTGTTCAGTAAAGTGATAGAGTTGATAACTGATTCTGTAATTAATGCTTTTCCAGAGCTCATGTTGTGTCATGCTTTTAGATGTTGTAAGCTGAGAACTGGCCTGATTCTACTGACTGCTCTCATTACAGAGAGTTTATTCCAGTTCATCCTGGAGCTGCTGTGAAATAATAGGCGCCATTGTTTTCAGTTACAAGCCCAGTTATGAAGAACGTATTCTTTGGACCTTTATGTGAAGTCTAAGCTCTTTTCCTTTCACAATGTTGTTTTCAAAACTGTTGTGAAACCTACTAACTTGCATCTTATTTTTGCAAATTGAAATTAAACATTTATTCAGTCACCGTCAGCAAGTGTCTTTTAGTTAGAAGGAATAAAAAAGGGGATGTGTTACTTTTTAAAGAAGTAATTTTTGCAACATTTTATGTGAACCCACCTGTTATAATGCATTATAAACACATTTATAAAGCTTTTAATGCTTAATAATGCTTTCAAGTGTTGTAAACAGCATCTTTTGATTCTAGGTATTATAACACAGTATAACTTTTTCCCAATTATATACTTTCATAAATAACTCATTCCACGTTATCATTAAAAAGTGAACATTTCCATGATTCTTAAAGGGATTTTCTGGCGTAAATTTAAGTTAGGGTCGAACACACTGTAACACTGAGTTAGACATCCCCTCAGGAGATGAATGTTGCCAACTGCTTGTTTCTCTAGTTATACCAACTTTAGTAATGATCGCACGATGCACAATGGTCTACATCTCAACACGCAAATCTCAACCAAAACACCACTCTATAGCCACAAATGATGCTCAGAACAGCACCTAACTTCATCAACAGTACATATAGGGTCCCAGCCACAGTACTAGCCACCAAACATCTTTTGAGCTTCTCCTTATTTCTTTCACAAAGAGACTAAACACAACTCACCCACTCTCCTCCAGCAGCCACTTGTTTGTGGGGGAGCCCTGACGAGTGGATCACCAAGTGCAGTGGAGTTTCGCACCTCAAGGAAGAACATTTATGTTCATAACTAAATGGAAATGCAATAATTTCCATGAAGTAATAATCATAATAATCATTTTGCACTGCAGATGCAAGAGTTCTTCTGCCTTAGCGTCTTAGTCTGATTGCATTTCCATGAGGTAGTGATCATTAATGTTCTTCCTTGGGCTGCATAACTCTGCTGCACTGGTGATTGGCTCTTCAGGGGTCCCCCACAAACAATGACTTAAACTTATGACCCTTTAATTCAAAAAATGTTATTCATAATCTCAACATGTTAAATCATGACTCAGAGCTCTTTAAGTAAACTGACAGCACTGTATGAGGTCATTAATAATTATATGATCCTACTACACATTTAGAACTTATAAGCAGAGTTTAGTGTCTGCAAGTAAAGTGTCAAAAAAGTTATACATTTTTATACTTTAGATTTGTTTTTGTTTTGTTTTTGCATTAAGTATTATTCTTATGAACCACACCTTTATAAGACATTGTACTCACTATATACCACTTCATACACATTGCTGTAAGGTGTTATAAATGCTTGTTATCACCTAAAAGAATTGATATAAAGCCGTATAGATGCATTTATAAGGCTTTATAAATGATGCATTATAAAGGTGGGTTTATAAAAAGTGTGACAGAGATTCTGTGTTGGGCAGTGTTAGAAGTCTATTTCTTTCTGAGGGTAAGATGCTAAGATTCAGGCTAATCATGAATTTATCCATGCAGCCTTCATTTAGCTTATCCTGGCAAAAAGACCAGAAACTGAGTGAAACAGCAGAGCTCTAAACGACATCTGCCTACCAGGATATCATCAACTTAACAACTGAAACAATAAATGCTGATTTTTGAGCTGCAGCGTATAACTTAAAGTGTCTAATTTTCACTTTATGGTATTTTAAGTGGGGTACTTACTGGTTCAAACAGGATTACAGGCTCATATCAAGAAAAAGAAGTGTAAAAATTCTGAGACAGAGCTGTACCAGCTGTTTCCCTGTTTCCAGTCTTAGAGCTAAGTTTGGCTACCAGCTGTATCTTTACATTCACCCTTATGATGCTGCCATGGTTGATGTAGTTGTAAGCACAGGCGCATGAAAAAGCATAATTCTAAAGTCTAAAATCATCTTTCCATGGCAGCCTTTTCAGAAGAAGCTAATCATCTGATTTTCTCGAGCAGATACTAGTATCTGCAGTCTTCTTCGATGACAACACCACAGTGTTAAGAAACAGTTCTGGTGTTTGGAGCAGACTGTGGCTCAAACAACTGTGTCCCTCTGCGTTTGTATTCTCTGCAGTCTGAATTGTTTTCTCTTTGTCTTTCTCCTCCTCCTCCTCTTGTTACCATGCCCTAGACACAGGATATAAGTCCAGAAGATGTAGATTTAGAGAATGAGCCTTGGTATAAATTCTTTTCAGAGATGGAGTTTGACAAAGCGGTAAGTGGTTGCTGTCTTATAAGTGACAGCATATTGTATTTTACTGCATGTGATAACATCTATGTTCAAATAATGCTAAAAAAAAACTGTCTGTCTATGAGGACTACTCCCTCCTTTAATCTGCAATACTAGACCCTTTTTTCTTTTTACTTGGTCCTGCACAGAGAAGTGAAAATACTGCATGTGTAAGCAAAGCGTAATTAGAACAACTTCTGATTCACATTTTGAGATCCCTGTTTTATAAACTGCCACACCTCATCATCATCATCACCACATACAACTGGAAAAGATCCTTTACCCGGTCCTGTCTAAAAGAGTCGGCTCACATCTATTTTTGCCTCTTCAGAAGTGTTTCTCTGCAGTTTATTTGTTAGGAGCCCAATCAGCGTAGGCAGCAGACACATACCTGCCCACAAGATGTGCCTTTTCCCAATAATATTATCCCAAAATCGTATCACTGTCCCTATATTCATAAGTGAAGATGTGTCCTAACCACTGCAGCCTCACTGTTTCCCCATGGTGTTAACTCAACCTCTTGAAAAGAGCTTGGCAACTAATCAGATTTAAATATTGATTGTAATTTTGGCCCCTCACGATCAGACAATGTGAAAATCAAGACTGAGCAACTGCTTTACCGCCTGCTGTGTTAGCCGCGTTACATCCTGTATGTACAATACAGAGCACCCTCCAACTCTCTCTTAACAGCAGGGCATGGGCACAGCCCCTCCCCTCGGGGGGAGTAGAAGATGGCAGGAGGAGAGAGGAGAGCAGGGAGAGGAGCAGAAGGAGGATAAAGGAGAGGGGTAAGAGACTCAGAAGGAGAAAGGAGAAAAACGAGAGGAGCAGGGGGAGAGAGGACAGCAGGGAGAGGAGCAGAAGGAGGAGAGGAGGGGATCAGGAGGAGAAAGGAGAGCAGGAGGAGAGAGAAGAGGTGGATCAGGAGGAGAAAGGACAGCAGGGAGGAGATAGGTGTGCATCTGAAAAGCCAAGGGACTGAATGAGCACTACTGTAGAGAGGCTGTAGCAATCTTTAAGAGCTAACCTCTGCCAGGCTAAAAAGTGAGAGACATCACCCTGAATTATGATTAAGTACAAGCCTGAGTCTCAGCATCAGAAAGGATGTTATATTTAAGTTTGAAAGGACTGAATGATTGATTAGACCTGAAGAGGTGCCACAAAAGAGCTCAAATCCTCCAATTTGTTTCTGACAAACTATAAAAAACTTTTCTACAAATTTTTTATCGAGTGAGTATTATCACCAAACTAAAGCCAGAGCGCTCAAAGTGACATGAAGAAGTGACGCAGGTTCCCTCTTCATGCAAGTTGATAAAATTTTTATCATCCAGTTAAACAGACAGACAAAAAAAATCAGGCTACCACATCTTGTTTCTCCCAAAGAATTAAGTGTTTTTAAGTTTTATAGAAGTTTTATGCATCTTAAATGTGTGTAATGCAGATGTCAAATCATAGGTAATTGGTTTTAATATTCATGACATCAATATCAATCAGAATGATAGTAATTACGTTTTTTGCCATAATCAAGCTGCCCTACATCTAAACACCAAGGGTGCAAGGACCTAACTGTAATTCCTATGATTATTTGTACAAGGTTTTTGTGTGTTTGGCTGGGCTTTTGAGGGTCTGAAAAAGTCCATATTTGGCTTCCTGAGACATAAAAAAAAAGTTGAAGTCGTAGTAAAATTTTACCAGAAAATCACCCATTCTGAAAAAAATGGTGAAAACGACTTGTTTTAATTATGTTTTCTCCTTGTCTAATTAACTTAAAACCAGGTTTACAGCTACAAGAGACATAAACAATCAGAATTAAACAAAGGTTTTAGTTTCTGTCGACACTGCCCTCAAAGTTAGGTCTTTAGCCCAAGCATATGTACTTGAGAATACTGACTGGCCCTTAACTAATGTCATCCTGTCTGCTACCTGGTATGTTTACTAAAATATCCAAAAAGATGCTGGAATGTTTAAGTTGTGTGTCACGTGAAACCCTCCTTTTGGGGCCATTGGGAACCCAGGAGCGGAGCACAGTCTGCCCATAAACAGCCCACAGCAGCACCACAATCTGACATGAGGTCATGTCCTAACATCAGGCAGACACAGGGGCAGGGTCTGTTGTTCCAGGTTAGTGTATATGTGGAAGAGGTTTAGCAGTGTATGCGACCGACTCTGTCTCATGGCAGCCTGGATGATTGCCAGATGAGCTTGGCTTGATGGCTGGCTCCTGTTTAATGTCAGAGTCACTTCTAAAGCTGTACCTGGTATGTGCAGTATTTGACCTTAAGGTCTAGCCAGACACACTGGCTCACAGGAGTTTGATTGACATATAAGTACTCACCATGAGATATAACTGGAAGTCTGCAAATAACCTATAATCATAGTAGTAGTAATGATAATAGTAAAAATTATAATAATGAAAACAATAACAACACTAGCTGTTGTAATGATACACGGTTGACAGAAAAAATGGTGTAAACTCTAAGTAGAGTATCACTGTTGTCCTCTGCTTGCTGCTGCTGTCATGTCAAATCATTATTACTCTGCATGTGGAGTCTTCAATAGCCATTGGATAAAAGGACTCCTGTGTATGATCATAACAGTGTTGGTCCAGTTTAAATAGGAGTGTGAAAGCACACTGGCTTACAGCTTCAGTCAAACAGAGGCTCATCCGTATAGATTAGTTAGCTGCAACTGAAATTCCATACATAACTACGGTCAGGAAAAGCATTTTGACCCCCTATAACTGACAGAGTGACTCCATCTGTTGAGCATATGCTGACGATGGGGTTGCTACTACACTGTATGAGCACTGAGACCCTCCCCCTGCCACCTGACATAGTCTAAAGGAGGCAACTTCTTAAACCTGCCAGCTCATTGTGCTTTCATATTTAACCTCTGTTATACTCTTAACCTTTACCTTTAAGCATTTAGTGCAGATGAGACCAACATACGGCTATAACCAGCCCTTCATGCTGGGAGGCTGTTCTTTTTCATGAGTACATATCACCACAAATAAGGTGCTGGAAAGAATGAGATTCATGTTACCATGACCTACTCATGATTGCTATTTTAAATATGGAAGCGGCACACCGTAGCCAGAGCTCTAAGAAGCTTAAGGTACATTTGTTCCCCAAACCAGAGGACTTTGAGCATCTCTTTTTATCCCCTTTAACCTTGCTTTCATTTGATTATCCTCTTTACTGAGCAGAAGGGCTGAAAACAAAACATCTATGATGTTTGGTGAGGCCAGTGTGAGATTATGCTGCTATAAAGATGCTATAAAGAATATGATAAATAAACCAACAGCAATTACACCTTGGTAAAGAAGTATAGATTTGGTTCCTACGCCCCAGCCAGGTCTTTATCCTTTTTCTCGAATGTTGACTGTATCTGGGTGTCAAAGGACAGTCTTCTCCCACTCAAGACAGCCTATAAGAAAGTGCAGATTATGAGGCATCAACAGCATGTTCTTGAAGTTGACATGGAACATTTGGCTTTATAAATAGCTCAGACTATAGACCTGCCAGCCTGATGTTCTGTTCTTATAAAGATAGGCATTTATTCTGCAGGGTTATTAATGATCATCCTGCCCTGGCAACTAAGGGGAAAGGCATGTTGTGGCAAATGAGCTGCTGCGAATGCTCCTTGTCTGGTCATTGGTGTTGGAGGCAGAGGCTTGGCCACACGGTGGAGAAGTGGACGGGGTATTAACAACAGGGCCAGGCTGGCTGGGAAGGGGATTGTGCAATCGTATTTGCAAACAACACTTGCGCTCTCATTCATAGTGCTCATGTCATGTCTGTTATTTTTACCAGCTGTGACGTCGGAGAAGAGGAAAGCAACAGAAACAGAGGGCTAAATTTAGTCGGCTCTATATGCTTCAAAATGCTTCAACACTGTCTGTGTTTTGGGGATAATATTTGCTCCTAGATGCAAATTTATTTCCTCTCGTTCCTCTTGAAACTACTCTGCCTTTGTGTTCCACTTAATCGATGTTTTATTTGAATTCTTTACCTTCCCAGTAAGAATCTATTTCTCCTTTTAACTTATTTGGTTTGTGACCAAGTGTTAAATGTGTGTGTGTGTGTGTGTGTGTGTGTGTGTGTGTGTGTGTGTGTGTGTGTGTGTGTGTGTGTGTGTGTGTGTGTGTGTGTGTGTGTGTGTGTGTGTAATTTGGCCAGTTTGCACCACCAGCTGGTTAATTGTCCTCCAGTCTGGTTCAGCGGTAATAAGAGTGACTCAATACCAGACAAAAGAAACGGCTTCACTGAGAGACAGTAGCCCATTGGCCGAGCCTGTGACAGCCCCCTCCCCTCACAGGCGCCCCTGACCGTACACGCTTGCCCGCCTACTCCCCCTCCCTCCACTCTCCTCACTGCTGCTTGTTTTCTCCAACTTGCATGCAGGCCAAACACACGCTTACTTCTCTGTGCCAAGTCTAGTCTAGAGAACCTAAGAACCCGGGTGCTAAGGACAAAACCCAAACCAGCAAGTGAACAACAGAGAGGAAAAGCAGAGAAAATCTGGCCGTAGCTAATGCTCCTGACTGTGTTCTAGCTGGAGGAGACTTCTGTGGATCTATCAATGACTTCTTTGTTTGGTTTATTGCAGAGTTCCCCCTCTTTCAGCCCCCTGGAAACAGCCTCCGACCTGCAGCAGTAGTAAGTCCATTTCACTTCTGCTCATTGAAATGCTTGTGTTTGAAATGTGTTTACCATCCTCCAGGATGTAAATGTGAATAAATGTTAGTGAGAGGTCTGTCCTCCTTGTATGAAGCCACTTACAGCGGGGGACTTGAGCTTCCTGAGGAGATCCTGTTAAAAAGGCGAAAAGCTACAGAACAGTGTGTCCTCTGTCTGGATTTAATGGTGTTTCTCTGAGGGGTGGGTGGTTGTTGTGTGAAGACATGGCTGCTGTGTGATCATTTATTTAAAGACAGCAACCTGGAATAGCAGGAACTGCCATGTAACTTAAACAAATTATCTCCCTCTGAATGGGTGTGACTACAGAGCTCTGACCAGCAACTGGAGTATGAGAGAGGATGCCAGCTGTTGTTAAAGTGAAGCCAACCAAGCTCTGGATTCTGTTTGTTTTTGTCTGCTGATACTGACCTCTTCTGTTTTTGTTTGTGCACTGAAATTTAAGGAATTTTGGAAGATGAACACTGACTGTCTTGTGCAGTCAAAGGAAAACAAACTTCTCCCTCCCTAAACGCTCCAAACTTTCCATCTGCTTTAGTCATTATGTGATTGTGGCCAGAATTAGGAGGGCAGATCCAATCCAGTTCTTTTAATCCACTGATTCATAATGAAGTAAGAGACTCCTGACTGGTGGACGTACACTCAACAAACCTTTCACAGGGAACCTCGTGTCCTACACTGATTCTCTCAAGTGAGGATGTTTATTTTGGACCTGTCTTAAAAACATAATGATCCCACAATTACTTTTCAACACAAATGAGTGTGTTTTCAGGCCTCGATTTGGAGCTTATTCTGTGTTCTTTTTTTTAATATGCTTGGAAACTAAAATACAACTAGAGTATATATAATATTAGTATAGATAACCTTAACTTGGGGGTCTGGCCTGACATTTGGAGCTGTCATTCTGGTGCAGAAGTTGCATTAGAAGTGACGGGACTGATAATCATTTAGTAGAAATAATTCAACGGTTTGGTTGACCTACAGATTTTTTGTGAAACCCTCTGCTGTTCATGAAGCTCTCATTTAAAAAAGGCCTCCTGTTGAGGTTTTGAGCTTAAGCCTCTGACTTTGGAGACAGGGAAATGATGCTTTTCCAAATTACGTATTACTCTGTCTCCTGTGGGTCTTCAAGGGTTTTTATCTCACCTGGATGATCTATGGCTGGTGTTTGACAATGTTTTACTGCTCCAAAGCAGCAGTGTAAGAAACACATGAGTTGCATGTGAAAGACTGTAAACCTGAGAGTTGTACAGGTGCATGGCAGAGGCTGATGCACCATGTGGGAATGTTCAGGGAATATTTATAGAAATCTGTCCTTTCGGCCTCTCTGGAATGCGAAGATATGTGTGGTAGCTGTGGCCTCCTCTCAACAGCAGCCTCTAAATGTTGCACTGTCTTCCTTTAGTTTGACCTTTTTCGTCTCAAATGATTTTATCTTCCAAATGTTAATCACCCACTTTAAACATTTCTGTTTGCATAAAACCTGAGTCACGCCTCCTGCAAAATTATCGACTGTTTCTAATCAGCTGTCTGCTTTTCTCCCACTGCTGTTTAGCTCCTCAGGCAATACTGGGCACAGTGAGGCGGAGAAGGACAATGGATCAATTGCAAGAGAGTCTGGGGTCCCAGAGTGTGACCGTCATGTTTACAAGAGTGTCCTGGAGGGCGGCGACATTCCCCTACAAGGTCTAAGGGCCTTAAACAAGCGCCATGGCAGCTCCTCCTCCTCCAAAGGTAGGATGATAGCTATTTCAAATACAGCTGCTCAGAAGCAGGTGTGTGCGTGTCTATTAATGTGGATGTTTGAACCAGACAAAACCAAGATTTTGACCTTTTCCTGTCAGGACAGACTAATAAGTTTCAGGCACTGATGTTTGACTGTCAGGCAGGGACACATGTGGTTTTACTTTCTGTTGGAATTTATCATTTTCTTCCTTTGCAACCTTACAGCATCAGCCAATCACCTTGCAGCTTTCTTTATCCATTGTTGTATTTGATTTACTGTTAATGCTTTCAGTATTTTCCTTGTATGTGTAATTGGCATCTGCCCTGGAAAACATGCAGGGAGCAAGGTTGTCTTGCCAAATTAATGGAGGCTAACCTTTAGGATTTCCCCCCTCTTGCTCCAGTTGTGGGATCCCAGTTGCTAAGCAGGCCTAAGGCGAGACTCAAGGGTGTTAGAGCAGCAGGGAGAGGGAATGGATATGGAGGGTTGAGCAGGATAAACAGAGCTCAGGTTTTCTCAACCGGACCAGACAGGGTGAGATAAACAGGAGGGACACTGGGGGTAGGTATGCATGAGGAAGTCAGCTGTCATTGTGAGGTCAAAGGCTGGAATGGAGGACAGGAGGATGCATAAGAAGGAGAAAGGAAGGAAGCTTGTGACTCAACATATGTTTTCACCGAACACCTACAAAGAAGTACGCTAGGTGTCGCCTAAGAAACTGCCCATTCAGATGTAGAGTTTTAGCGTGTTTCCATGTTTATATACAGTGAGTAAATTCAGCAAACATACACCACAATAGATGGTTTGGCTTTAATTCAAATTGCGAAGCCATGCGGTAAATGGATTTGGCACTCGAGCCAACTGGCTAGCACGCTCCTTCAGAAATATCCGAGCACTAGAAACCAAGCCACTCATCATGTGTTTCTGTCTTGTGCTCGTGACATAAAAACTATCTGTTTCAGTCTCTGTGTTCTGAAGAGCAAAAGCCTGAGGGATTTTCTTCAGTAGCCAGATCGCTGCAGTTGTCACAAGACATGAATAAAACCAGAGTTACTTCCTCACTGATGGGGAGGTAAAAGATTGGGGAGGGCTGACTGACTGATGGGTCCCCCATGCTGCAGAAGTGTGTCATTTCCCTGGGTCTGTCATGCCTTGGTGGGAAGGCTGACTGAGGATACATGTTATTGATGGCCCTGGGCAGAATCTGTATTTAAACAGGGGAACCATAAGGGTATCACAGCAGCCTGATTCTAACTAGTAAAAGGAGATGATGAGAATATATGTAGGAGGTTAAAGCAGGACATGCTGCAGGAATGTGAGGGCCCTACCTTCATGCAAAAAAAAGTCAAAGAAATCCAGTTTATGATTATTATCTTTAGATTTTTCAGCAAGACTAATGTTGAAGTTAGACTCTGTAAACAGCCTCCAGCATTACATAACACTCCATGGCATATCGGTGTTTCAGTCCTTCATGTTTTACTCATTGCAAGAATCTGTTAGATCAAATTTTACCTTGATCCATTTTTAGAAAATGCAAAACTCTTCACTGCAGTGATTTTAACTCCCATTTAACATTTGATACATGATGCATCAAGCCTGCTTCCCCTCCTCATCCTCTTTTGATGGAACTTAGAAATGTGCCTGACTCTGTTTGAGTGTGTGTAAACCTGTGACCATTGCAATCTAATATCTTGTTTATTCTGTTGTCCTGCATGCTTGCCAGTGGATTATAAAGGTGGGAATGGCTATATAATTTCACCCTGCTCCTCTGTAAATAGTCGAACGGTTCTTGCCAGTAGTGCAATAGGTAACCAGTGTAAAAGTATGAAGCCTCTGTCTGCTGCCAAAGCCTGCATACCCCAAATTCTACCCTCAAAGTTCAAGCCGAACTTGCTGCCACCCAGTGGTGACAGTCAAGAAAGCAGAAGCAAAGCTGTCAAGAACCCAAAGGCCCACAGCTGTGAGGATCTCTACTATGGCCCATATGACAAAGACTGTGCAGTCTCAGGAGAAAGAGGAAGTAGGAAACATCCAGACTGTATGTCCACTTGTGGTTCTAACTGTGCAGATGGCCTCAAACATGTATCTGGTCCAATTAGGAGGAGCGCATCAGAGTTTTCCAGCCTTTACAAGTCCATGCATCATATCAAGCAGCCCAGCTCAGCTGGCTGCAGCCCCCATGGCAGCGTCCGCAGCCTTGCTTCTCTTTTCGAGAAGACAAATGCAGAGAGGGGTGAAAGGTCAGAGGCAGATGATGGGAATAACATTCCACGGGATTCTGTGTCATCGCGGGTCAGTGAGTTTGAAATGATCATCCAGCAGTCAAGTTCAGCGCCCTGCCGCTCCTCCTCGCTGCCCACCTTGCACTCTGGCCATAGCCACAGTCCCACCCACCTCTACATGGTGTCTGCAGTGTCAGCAGAGTCCCTTTTGATTGCAGACGCCAACCAGGCAATAGCCTGCTCCCCAGTGGAGGGTGAGGGCAAGAAGTCTATCGAGGAGGCTGCACCCTCGTCCATGGCTGAGCAGGATGTCAGGACTGAGTCTCCATTCAACACTGAGGCAGAAGTGGAGCAGATCTTCAGTAAAAGTCCCCAAGAGCTCATTGACCAAAGAAACAGTGGATCAATGAGTTCCTCAGCTCTGCTTACAGCATCCCCACCAAAACAGAACTTTGCCCACCACCACCACCACCACCATCACATGCTTCAGCACCTAAACCATCAACTCTTCCTCAAACCCAGCAAATGCAAAGGCTCCTGCCCAGCCTCCTACACACGCTTCACGACCATCCTTCGACATGAGAGGCAGCAAGCTATGACCCAACAGGAGAAGCCTCGACATCTGGAGAAGAGGACCTCGCTCCCTGGGAACCTCTTCCTGATGGGCCCTACCCCCTTTAGGTTACGTAAGACCTTGCAGCCCCATCAAACTCGGAAAGCTCTAGCCACCAGGGTGACAGTGGGCATCCAGAGACCATCCACTCTGTCTCCTGAGCTTAGACCTCTGATCCCTCAGCGCTTGTCCTCTCTAGAGGTCCTGGAGAGGCTGAATAACACAGAGGAGAGCAACGCTGACCATCTGAGTAACCGGCACTACTTGGACGCCAATGGAAACCTACTGCAGCTGCTGGCAGCTCACCGCAGAGGTGGCTATTTCCATCCATTCAACACTGTCACCCTCCTCTCTTCTCCTTTTGTAGATACACATAAATGCTACCTTCTCTCCACAAAGCCACACTGCCACCCTCCATCTGTAGTCTGTGTGGTGTGTTGACAAAGTGACAGGGAAGCCTCCATCACATTCTGAGTGTGCTGTTTGGTGCTCTCTTTTTTTTTATCTCTGTGAATGAGTATGGTTCAACAAATGCATCAAAACACTTCAGTGACTGTAGGAGGTTCAGTGACCTTTTGGTAATGTATATACTGTCAATCGCCTGTCCTGGGACATCAGATATGAGTTGTATGCAAGAGTAACCCAGCCTGCATGAGTATCCATACTCGCATAACATTGTAATTGACCCCATCATGATGCGGGATGTCACATAGTCTCTTGACTCAAAGACTAAAGCTATGATCCTCCATCTCTCTAATATGAACTTCTGGATGCTTCAGTACTACATTGCATACATACTCAAACTGATGTCTGACCATGTCTGTATCTGTTTTTATTTTTCTTTGTAAACAGTTTGCATTAAACATCTGTCATTCTTTCACCATAAAAGGTCTGTTAGCAAGTGAGACATAAATATTCAGGTTTTCCTTTCCTTTAGATAACAGTTGCTCTTTTGAGGATGAGACAAAAATGATAGGAATGTAAGTTAAGATGATGAAGAGCTTAAATTGTATAGTTTAACCTCAGTTCACTGATAGATCCTGGTGGTGGTGGTTCAGTAAAACTTTGATATCATGTTAAATTTCTCAGCCACTTTACTATTTTCCTGCATTTTTTGATCATGGACACACATCTGATCATCCTGTGTTCATTCCTCTGTGCATGCAGGAATACATTTGGCTTTTGGATGTGTGTGTGCTTTCTGTTTCAATACTGCCAAAGATTATGGTGTTATTTTGAAGCATGCATGATTGTACTTGTTGCATATTTCTGTGATATTGGGATTTAGGGATTTACTACAATACCATTATCTAATATTTAAAAGTCTTTGTCCTGCTCAGGCTCATTTCACAGATACAAAGTCGTCAAAGCTGAATCCTCCCTCTCTTTCTATTTTAGACTTGTCCCCATCTCATGGGGAGAGCCACGATGAAGTTTTGCGGCGGCGACACGGGGACAAAGAGGTGAATTTCAGACATTCAACTTCTACCTCTCTTCTTAGTAAAATGGGGAGTTTATCCTTCTTCAATGCATGAATCAGTCTAGTAACAAAAAAAAGTAGAGGGAACTGGTTTCTGGGAGGGACAAACAGCTCCGTGTTGTTTCCTGGCAGAAAATCTTGGAGGAGCAGCGGCGGCTGAAGCGGGAACAGGAAGAGGCTGACACAGCATCGAGGCGACACACAGGCATTGTTCCAACGCACCACCAATTCATCACCAATGAGCGCTTTGGAGACCTTCTTAACATCACAGATAATGCAGAAAAGAGGAAATCAGGCATTGAGGTACATTAGCAGGCTGTTTCTTATCCTTCTGTAAGCAGGAACAAAGACAGCAGATGTCTGTGTGTGAGGGGGTGATGGGCCTGTCAGCAGGATTCCTGCAGAAACAGAGATAGCTGTGTGGGTCAGAAATTTAAAAAAAAAAGAGGACAACAGTGAAAGACAGGAAATATGAGTTCATCCCTTAACATTGCACATAGTTTTACAGCTACCGCTCCAAGATGATGAGAAATAATGTCACTAGTATTAGTTTCAACTGTGTTAATCAGTGTGTTTGTGCAGGACAGTCTGAGGGGTTTGGATGATTATGTGTATATAGTGCAATGAAAGGACAAATTTGCTATCAGATACATTTTTCTCACATATTTCTCACCCAATTCTCTTTTTCTGTATGCCCATGCTCACAGAGGACTCCAGCCATGGCTCGCTTTGACTTCAGAGCAGAAAGTTTGAAGTAAGCAGATCTAAGCACCTGAGTATATGATGTTTTCATGTATATGTGTGAAAAAATCAATCAATCATCAATCAATTTATCTATCTAGCTAGCTAGCTAGCTATATAGAGAGCTGCCGATTTTTCCTCTTGAACTGACTATAAAGAAACATGATCCCTGTGAAAAATAAAGCACGTTAATATGGAAGAGTCAGGAGCGGGGATGTAGACAAGAAAACACACATTTTTGGAGGATTTTTGTTTGTTTTTGTTTTGTTTTCTACCATGTACCTCAACAAAAAAAGGTGAGATCTCAACAGTAAAATTGGCATGGAACTTTAGTGAGGCAAAGTAGAAAATCAGTTTGATTATTCGATGAAAGATGTAATGAAAAAAGTCAAAATACAGTGTGTTGAATGTAGAGAGGAAAGCTGAAGTTTCATTTTCGAAAGGATGTCTGGTGGTGATGCCACACAGTCAGTCAGGGTGTCATTGTTATTTATTTATCTATTTATTTATTTATTTATTTGTGATCCTGAAACCAAATTAACATTGTTTTCTTTTATTTACAAAAAAGAAATAGGATAACTTTCTGCCCAACCTAGTAAATCAGTAACTAAAAAAAGTCCTCCTTTTATTTTACTCTTATCCCTGATTTCAAATCTCCTCTGTGAATTTGCAGAGCTATGATCCTTGTTTGTTTACAGTGTGTCTCTCTTTGTAGGGAATTACCCTTTCAGAAAGGAGACATTGTCTACATCATTCGACAGGTGGATCAAAACTGGTATGAAGGGGAGCATCACGGAAGAGTTGGGATTTTCCCTCAGAGTTATGTTGAGGTTGGTGAGCTCTCTCTGTTTGTTTCCTGTTCTGATCTTTGTTTTATTTTATTCTCACTAGCCTATTTCTGCATGATGACATAGAGTATAAATCTACTTGTGTTTCATGTTTATTGAGACAGTCTTGTGACTTTACTCCTGCTCCAGCTGCTCCCTCCTACAGAGAAAGCCCAGCCGAAGAAAAGCGCTCCGGTTCAGGTGCTGGAGTACGGGGAGGCGATTGCTCGCTTCAACTTCACTGGGGACACTGTGGTGGAAATGTCCTTCAGAAAGGTTCGGAGTGGGAATTACTCATGTAAAACTAAGGAACACTAATGTGCTGGGAGCTACAAGTAAGCATTTAGTCTTTTGTTTTTCATGTTTTTCGTCAGTTTCTCACCTCTTTATTTAAATGTGTGACTACAGGGGGAAAGAATCACGCTCATCCGTCGGGTTGATGAAAACTGGTATGAAGGCAAAGTCTCTGGAACCAACCGCCAAGGCATCTTCCCGGTCACTTATGTAGAAGTACACAGAAGACCCCGAGTTAAAAATGGGGTTGAGTATCCAGACCCTCCTGTTAGCTATTCGCCACAGCGTAGCACCAACGCCTCTCCTCAGGTAAGGACCCTTAAACTCATCTGCTCAGGAAGAGTCTATCCACCGTTTTTCTTACCTTACACCTGTCTCTTTTCAATGTTTTTGTTTTGTAATTATTATTTAAAGCCTTCAGTTCCTCTTTTTTCTTTATTGATATCCTCTTCCTCTTGCTTTCGTCCCATCTCTTCTTCTTCCTCCCATGTTTCTGGCACTCTAAAAAGCTGTATCGTAATCAACTTACCACCTCCCCCCTGCCCCTCCCTCGCTCAACTCGTCGCTCCGTGTCCCCTGAGGTCCACGCTGTGTCCTCTGAGTGGATCTCTCTGACTGTAGGAGGAGGGAGCCCCCCTGCTGCCCCCACCCCTCCCCTGCCACCTCTGCCCAGCGTGTCCTATCGATGTGGCGAGTACCTGCCCCCACCCTACTCTGCCAGCCCTGTTCCTCCCATCACTGGCAGCCCATACTGTGTCTCCCCCATGGCTTCCCCAGCTGCCTCCCCTCTTCCTCCGCCTTACCCACCCAGGCCTAATTCAAGTACTCCCTTTCTTACATTCACCCCTCCTCAGGGGGAAGACTTCATGCTCTCCCCTCCCTCCCCTCATCCTTCACGCAGTGTGAGCCCCAGTGGTGGGCCTGTGCTGGAGGGCTGGCTAAGGGGGGAGAAGGAGTTCACTGAGGGGGAAGGTGCAGAGGGGGATATTGGTGTCTCAGCACTGGGCAGCAGGAAAAATAGCCCTGCAGAGGTATCTTCTGCATGGTTTGCGGTGTTGCATCTCAGGCTCACTGTGAAACGCCGGCTTTAGGCCACAGTTTGTTGCCATGAAATACTGGAAATGTGTGATGGATCCATTTTGAAGGATGTGACTAACTTGAATATTTTACTTGGAATTACAAATGCTGGTCTCATTTAGGCAGAATTACCTCAAACTTGTTCCACAGCTAATGGCTGCAAGTCTGCATGCTGTTGTTGTGTGTGCTTGAATAACACCCAAATGTTTTGAAGAGCTTCGTTTTGTTGATGGAGAGATTTTCTTGCTCTAGAGGACACGAGGATGTGTTTATATTTTAAGGATGATTTTGACAATAATGCTCCCTTCTTCTCTATGTCCATTTTAATCCAATAACTCGGCTGCTGGTTTAAGGTTAGATCTCTTTTAGATAGTTTCATGATCATCAGGGAGTATTTGTAGGTTTATATGTAACTTTTTGTTTCAAAGGCTTCTGCAAGGTTGTACTTGGAAAGGCAACCTGACTGTGGTTGAAGATAAAATGATTGACAGTAATATGATAGACTGTGTAAACACAAGAGAACGTCTTAATTTCCAAATATCTCTGCTAATTTGACATGTTTGTTTTTCAGTCTGTGAGAAATGAGACTGAACATCATGAACAAAGCTCCAGAAGTCCTGTGATGCTGTTTGACATCCAAGATAACAACAATGTTAACTCATTTGCGGTAAGCTAGCAGAAAGCTTTTTTGGACTACTGCACACTGAAAAAAAGACTTCAAATTTGTCTGACAACTTCATTGCCTGTTTAAGTGTTAATTCATCACCTTCACTTCTCTCACTTCATCTGAAACTCCCAGTGTGTCTCAAAAATATGCACTTTCTCTTTGATATGTGGAGTATTCAGTGGCTGTACCTGTCATCTTCCTTTTAATATTGCATGATCACTCTTGATACTTTCCTTTAAAAGTGGACTAATATCTCATGTTTACTGTCTACATGTTCTCACTCTGGTCTCGTCCTATCATGCCTGTCTTCCTGGCCTCCACCAATGTCTCCTCTGCTTTTTCTCCTGCCTTTTAACGGATCACTTCCTTGTCTGCCTTGCTACTTACTGGACCTACCTTCCTGTCTGGCACTTCACCCACTTCCTTTCTAACTCTTCACCATCCCCTTCAACTTCACCTCAACCTCTCCCGGGGACCTGGTGGGGCTGCTGTTTGTTTTTCTCTGATGACTCCACCCCCTGTTACTGCAAATAGGAGGCAGTGTGTAATGAGATCATGAATATAGCTGAGACCTCAGTGAGGTACTGCAGTACCTTGTCCCACTACCCCAATGACTCTGTCCAAAGTCTACACTCCAATCCCAGTAAACAATCTCTCATCATTTCCCAGCAACCCCATTCCCACAGCAGCAGCCCAGAGCCAGGCAGTCTCAAATGTGGAATGTGAGTAAAATGCTTTTCCCAATCAGTCACAGTTTTATCTCTCTTTAAATTAAACAACCCTTCAATTTACTCTGATGCCTAATAGTATCACATTAGATTTCAAAGTTAATCACTTTCAGCTTGTTTCCTGCCTTAGTTTCCAGGCTCTGTACAGTTACGTGCCACAGAATGATGATGAGCTGGAACTGCAGGAGGGTGATCTCGTCAGTGTTATGGAGAAGTGTGATGACGGTTGGTTTGTTGGTATGTGCTGTAGATTTCTTTGAGATGTAGTCACTTTAATACAGAGAGTGACTACAAGCCTGTGAATGTAGAGTCATTTTGGCTTTGTCACACCCTATAATAAATATGAAACATACATGCACTGTGCATGCTCAGGCTTTGCAATTCATATTGAAAATAGTTTTATTATAATTATTATTTATCAAAGCCTTTAATCTTAAAACAGAAATATTGTCTCGTCCCTGTGTAAATGCGTGTTATGCTCTCTTTTTCCTACAGGTACATCAAAAAGAACAAAGCAGTTTGGGACTTTTCCTGGGAATTACGTGAAGGAGGTGAAACTGTAAAGATGTTTTACCAAGCTGTTACACATGGTTGCCTGTCAAGCTTGGAAGATTAATTCTGTTTCACATGACTGTTGGTTAATATAGTCATTTAGCCAGGCAAATCCAATTTGTCTGAGAAAGTGAATGGTTTGGCCAGAGGTATGTCAAACTGCACAAGGCGGAAATGAAGACAAATCACAGCTGAATCCTCAGTCATTTCTACACTTTGAACTCATTTGCCACACTTGAACAAATATAGCATCTCTGCAGGTCAACTTTGTTCTTCAAAACCTATCACTAGATGTTAATAAGGGTGGATAGAGTTAATGTGTTTCATTCAGTCCATGTTATTTCACTGAAGTGTTTACTTGGCGCCTCAGTCAGGAGGCACAGCCAGAATCCTTGGGCTCATCACCCCAGGATCTGTATTATTAATTGGCTGAGGATACTGGTCCATTGATATAGGTCCCTCATGAAATCTTGCACAAATACTTTCTGATGCAGTATCAAGACATGGTCCCCATCCCCTGACAATGCAAATGAAGTAGCAAAGTGATTCTGTGTGAGAATTATTATTTGGACTATAGGTACGCCGAAACCTCATAGATTTCATCAGAGGGTACCAAATCATGCTTGCCTTACCCCCACAGTACACTTTCACCTGTTATTAGTTAAAAACATCATAAAAAGTGCAAAGCAATAGCCTCTGTGATGGATCTGAGCTACAGAGCTTTTCAGTGCAGAGCAGCAGAGCAGTGCATGGATCATAGAGTGGATCTGATACCCTGAGGTAGAATTGGAGGATATAGAATGTGTCATTACTTCAAGTTGGTTCAGAGCTGTTAGTCATAAGCTACATTTCACAGGACCTGCTGATGTTGATCAGAATTAGTGTCATGAATGTTATTTCATTAGACGTGATGCACATTTTACTGTATTTTTATAACTCCTCTGTTAAAATAGATGAAGCTTTTTTCTATTAACCAGTGCCTGTGAGGTAGCTTCTAGTAGATGCTTAGCTCCATGACAAGCATGGCAGCACTTAACTTCTTATTTGGTCATTCAAAAGCATCCCAACTAACGTGATAGTCATAGATAATCAATGATGACAAGAATCCATTTAATGGTTCAAGTAGAGCCAGCCCTGCATCTAAGAAAATAATGATCCTTTTTCTTAATGCCATGCCCATGCTGACAAGACTGAATGCTATAGCCATGATAATGTGTAAATAAGGCATATTTTATGTAAAGAGTCCAAGTTAACAGTAAATGGAATGATTTCAATAACAAGCAGCATGCACAGAAATGCTGATAATTGATTTAAAAAATGTTAACAAAGGTTAACATCTGTCTCAGCTGTAGAAAACTGAAGTGATGACAAAGTTAACTGTCTGAGCTTCAGCAACTCTCTTACCAGTGTGGGTTTGAATATTGGCATCAAAGCATTCCCAAAAAACAAAGTTCCCACTTCTGGAGACCTTTCAGATGCTGTAACAGCAAACAGCAGGTGTTAGAAAAGCTCCTGGTCACACCTGGATCAAAAGATTTCAGCTGTTCTTTTTTCATTTTCTATCCAGTCAGATCTCTTGTTATCAACTGCTGCACTGTGTGCATCCATGCAGTAAAACAGGACTTGTAATCGACCCTTATTGCTTGGTAAAGCAAATTAACTCAAAAGAATGAAGTCTACATACCGGGAGAATGATTGTAATTATTGTGAAATTATTGCAAATGAAAGTATCTGAAGCCTCTGTTTATACCAACCCAGACCATTTCACTCTTATAGTTCTGGACTATCTGCGGGCCTACCTGTTAGCATAATGCTTTATCATTGCAGCAGTACACAAAGCCAGAAACATAACATGTAGTATTGACAGATATCCAAGTAGCTCTGACTAGATCTACAAGTGTATGTTTACTATTACTTTGACTTTTTGGGTTTTTGAACGTGTTAACTAAAGCTGTGCAGTGATAATCGACATGATATTAACTGAACTTGGTTTGAAGATGAATATAGTTACCACATAAGTGACGTTTATGGAGTGTCATTAATGATGATGTACAATATTTTTACAATATTGAGTAGCAATCAGTGTTTCATCCTCTCTGTCAGTCAAAGTTGGTGGGAATCACCTCTGAAAATCTTGCCATCATGGTCAAGGAGTGTTTCCATAAGGTAAATCATTCAGTAATGATGCACTGCATTTGTATTGCCTCTATTGCACTGGTGTAATAATCAACTGTTTTTTCCATAACAATGAAGAATGTTTTCTCCATCTGCTCCTAGCTCGACTTTGTTGCCTTGTGCTTCACATGACGTTGTTTGACAGAAGGAGTGGTGATTTTAATCCCAGCTCACTATATCATAGTTTATTGCAGATGAACAAATGAAGAACCTCCTATCAAATCGCTGCGTATGTTACTTTACATAAGATATGGCCGGATGTATGAATGTATGGATATGAGACAAGCGCACAGATATTACAGTAAAAACAAGTAGATTTTTCACCCTGAATGAACACACAGATTATGGTGTGGTGAGGATTGTAAATATGTAAAATAGAAAATAAACTATGAGAGATGGGAGCATCCAAACTTACTGTCACTTACTGCGGTTTGTTTCCTAGAGGTTTAATCCACAGTGCAGTGTATGAGCACAGACAGTTTGACACATAAACATTAAGCTGCCATTTGTGAGCATCAGAATGCCTTATGATGAATGCAAAACTGTGCCTCTTTTTTGGCAGGGGGCGGGGGGATCCCTGAAACGTGTGCATTATATATTAAATGTAACCATTGTTTTCCTGTTGGTCCTTTTCTTTGTAAACTAGGAACACACTCTAAGAATGTCACAGTTACCATGCTAGTACCTTAAAGTATGACACAATGCAATGACACAAAGGTTAATTATGATAAGACTGAACAAGTTTGATGAGACACACAGCTGCAACAGGTTTGGTTTATTGGCTTCAATTTGCAGTGCTGTAACACTGAAAATATTCAAATGGCTTTGGTATTATGCAATATTTAATAAATCATTGAAACCATTTTATGTTGTTTCTGTTTTGATTATCTGCAAGATTTGACAAACATTCGAGGTCAAACCAACATGTGATGTGGTGTTGAAATGTTCACAGATGTCCTGCTGCCGTGGATGTGCCTGCTGTCCAGCTGCTTCGACTACAATAGATGAGACTCCAGACAATTGAGTTTCCCTTGAGGGATCAGTAAAGTACTTATCTTATCATATCATAATAACTTTTATCAATCCCCTAAGGAAAATTCAATATATCTTCTTATATATCATATCTCCTCAAGCATCAGCCCCACCGTTTTTATCTCTGCTACAAAGCTCAAGTTGAACTGTCAAACTTTTTGAATCTTCCTGCTCCAGTTGCTTAAATTCCAACCACCATTATTTAACTCAACCTTTTATTACTAATGCTGTGATTGCTATGCTAATACTGCATACCTTTGAACTTTAATTTGCCATGAATGAAACTTTGATCAGTCCATTCTAATTAAAATCTCCCTCTCTCTCCTCTCTAAACCAAGCTTAGTCTCAGCAGATGACTGTTAAACATCAGTCTGGTACTGCTTGAGGTTTCTGCCTGTTAAAAGAAGTTCTTCCTTTCCACTGTGACTTGATTGATGCTGTTAAGTGTTTCACCCATATGGCTGGTGACAGATCAGAGTGGATCTTACAACATGGGGCTCAGTCTTATCTCATCTTTATGTTGGGTCTTTGTACACACGTGGACAAAATTGTTGGTACCCCTCAGTTAAAGAAGGAAAAACCCACAATTCTCACTGAAATCACTTGAAACCTACAAAAGTAACAATAAATAAAAATTTATTGAAAATTAAATAATCAAAATCAGCCATTACTTTTGAATTGTTGATTAACATAATTATTTAAAAAAAACAAACTAATGAAATAGGGCTGGACAAAAATGATGGTACCCATAACTTAATATTTTGTTGCACAACCTTTTGAGGCAATCACTGCAATTAAACGATTTCTGTATTTGTCAATGAGCGTTCTGCAGCTGTCAACAGGTATTTTGGCCCACTCCTCATGAGCAAACTGCTCCAGTTGTCTCAGGTTTGATGGGTGTCTTCTCCAAATGGCATGTTTCAGCTCCTTCCACAGATGTTCAATGGGATTCAGATCTGGGCTCATGGAAGGCCACTTTAGAATAGTCCAACGCTTTTCTCTCAGCCATTCTTGGGTGTTTTTGGCTGTGTGTTTTGGATCGTTGTCCTGTTGGAAGACCCATGACCTGCGACTGAGACCAAGCTTTCTGACACTAGGCAGCACATTTCTCTCCAGAATGCCTTGATAGTCGTCAGATTTCATTTTACCTTGCACACATTCAAGACACCCTGTGCCAGATGCAGCAAAGCAGCCCCAAAATATTGCTGAGCCTCCTCCATGTTTCACCGTAGGGACAGTGTTCTTTTCTTCGTATGCTTGGTTTTTGAGTCTATGAACATAGAGTTGATGTGCCTTACCAAAAAGCTCCAGTTTGGTCTCATCTGTCCAAAGGACATTCTCCCAGAAGCTTTGTGGCTTGTCAACATGCATTTTTGCAAATTCCAGTCTCGCTTTTTTATGATTTTTTTTCAGCAGTGGTGTCCTCCTTGGTCGTCTCCCATGAAGTCCACTTTGGCTCAAACAACGACGAATGGTGCGATCTGACACTGATGTACCTTGGCCTTGGAGTTCACCTTTAATTTCTTTGGAGATTGTCCTGGGCTCTTTGGATACAATTCGAACAATCTGTCTCTTCAATCTGTCATCAATTTTCCTCTTGCGGCCACGTCCAGGGAGGTTGGCTACTGTCCCGTGGGTCTTGAACTTCTGAATAATATGAGCCACTGTTGTCACAGGAACTTCAAGCTGTTTAGAGATGGTCTTATAGCCTGCACCTTTAAGATGTTTGTCTATAATTTTTTTTCAGATGTCCTGGGACAATTCTCTCCTTCGCTTTCTGTTGTCCATGTTCAGTGTGGTACACACCTTTTCACCAAACAGCAGAGTGACTACTTGTCTCCCTTTAAATAGGCAGACTGACTGATTATGAGTTTGGAAACACCTGTGATGTCAATTAAAGGACACACCTGAGTTAATCATGTCACTCTGGTCAAATAGTTTTCAATCTTTTATAGAGGTACCATCATTTTTGTCCAGCCCTATTTCATTAGTTTGTTTTTTTTTAATAATTATGTTAATCAACATTTCAAACGTAATGGCTGATTTTGATTATTTAATTTTCAATAAATTTTTATTTATTGTTACTTTTGTAGGTTTCAAGTGATTTCAGTGAGAATTGTGGGTTTTTCCTTCTTTAACTGAGGGGTACCAACAATTTTGTCCACGTGTGTAAATATCATGAAGAGTATGGTGTAAACCAGCACATTTTGTTAAGCTTCCAGAGGTAACATTTGCTGTGAATTGGTGCTTTATAAATGAAGATTTATTTACTTTCTTCAGCCTACAGAGTAATGAACAGCAGCTGCACTTATCCGTCCAAAGCAACATACATTCAAGAGCAAATACAACACAAGAAGTTTCTCAATTTCATTTTCAATGAACTTTATTGGCATGACTGTTACTACAATATTGCCATTTTCTCTCTGTGCAATGATCTATTTTGGACTTTCCCTGACAGTCAAAGACTTTACCCTGCTGGCATATACCCGAGTTATTTCAGGGTGACTAAAGCACTTACTGAAATCACTCATTGTGAACTGAGAAAAAACATCCTTTTACAGAAAAAGATACACACGTCAAACTAAGTTAAGGTGATGAATAACATGTTGATAAAAACTAATTTGACAATTATCAAATTATTTGAACCCTTAATTCAATTGAAATAGTGCAAATTCAAAATATCACATGCTAAATATAAAAAAATGTTTGTTTGTTTTTTTTAAGAAAATTGCCCTTTCAACAAAGAATTGGTGTCATGTTTACTCTGGTTGCAACACAAGAAGCCATTATGGACTCAGGTTTTGTGTGTTGAGTCTCTCCCTTTTCACAGAGGTTGGGCAGCTCTTACAGTTTTTCTCTGTCACTTTGGTGCATTTCGCACATCAGTATTTACATTTGCACAACAGTAAGTGCACTTCTCAAAACAATTAGTACAAACTGCAAAATTTAGTGGATAACCTGCAAAAGCGTGTCATTTGCTCAAAATGAATGGTTAATTCCTCAGAAGCAAGTATTTATGTCAATGAAAGTGTCTGTGTCATTAAAATAATTAGTCCTGACATCATTGTTTATAAACATAACAGTCAAATGGCTTTGTCATGTTTTCATCATGACAGTTTACACTTTCTGTGTTTTCCAATGCAAAAAAGTCAGATCTTGATGACACTACCTGAAAATGCTCAAGACGGCACTATACACTACCTGTACAGCCATTTGAAAACTACAGTAAAGTTACACATTATTGTATTTAGTGAGGTAACTGAGTACAAGACATGTTTGTTTCACATATTTACTGCATGCTCTTTGCAATTCTACAGCATTGTGAAAAAAAAATCACAGCCACTTATTTAGAACAAACACAAAAAATACCATTTTGGTAGAACTGTGCACAAATGTAAACAATATAACAGTAGGTATTACTGTAAATGATGTTGACCTTCCATTTTTGTGTCACAGAATTGTAGAAATGACACACACTATGTCCTGCTGGTTTACATATGCTTGCCAAGTGAGGGTTCATGGGATTCAGCTCTGAGTGACTGTGGACAAGTGGCTTGTCATTGGTTACAACTAATGCTTCACACACCTCCTCATGAGTGAAAGCTTAGGTTCACCTGAGAGCAATCATTCAATTTAGGAGACATTTTGAACACTAGTTCAACAATTTTGTGTGTAATGACTCAAGCAATGAAATGAGGACTATTAGTTTCATAGGGAATGGCTATTCAGCATTCATAAGTATGTTTCATTTTGACTGACATGACAGAAGAAAATGATAATGTTATAAAACAGCAGAGAATTGTATGAAAGTCACTGGTACATGTCCAAGAGCATTTGCAATTTGTTCAGAGGAATGAGAAACTGCTACGATTAAGTGCACAAATGACTCAATGTTGTGGAGGTTGAACTAATATTTGTGAGAACTTTGTTTCTGATCTGACAAATGCACCAAAGCGACTGAGAAAAACTAATCAGCACTGGCTCCTCATGCACCTTCGCACACCTGCACCTGATCACCGCCTGCTTTTAAGCTCTGCCGGGAAGACTGCAGATAACCAGACGATTCCAGCTCTCTCAGCGGTATCTTGGCCGGTCTGTAGCAAAGTGATTGTGACTTCGATTAATTTTTACCTGTGTTTGAGAGTATCTGTGACTACTCTCTGCTCCCCTCCTTTTCTCCCCCAGTGCCTCTGCTTACCACCAGCACTGCTCAACCTCTGAGTCTTCCATGACTGCCACACTCTTTCATAAGCCCTCACTCTACCTCCCCCCTCCCCACCGAGGATCTCCTTCACTCTCTGACCCTGGACCCCAGAGCTCACTTCCACAACTGTCTAGTTCTCAATAAAGGCCCTGTTTATACGTACCCAGTTATTTTTAAAAACGGAGACATTAACCATCGTTTGTACCCTTCGTTTGGAAGAAAACAGAGAATTCGCCCCTGAAAAGCATGCTTTTAAAAACACCAGTCAGAGTGGACATTTTGGAAAACTCTGTTTGCATGTAAACAGAGATTTGGCTAGCCGACGACAGATTGTTCACAGGAAAGAAGAAAGGCTCGTTTTCTTTTTCTTCTTCTTCTGGATCCAGGAATTTTTTGAAGGATTCTTTATCATTGTGAGATAGGGCAAATTTTGGAATTTTTGCATTTCACTCTATAAAAATGGCCAGAGTCTTTAGTAAAAAATTACACAGAAGGACCCTCAATGAGTTTTATGAGGTGTCAAAGGTTGATCCTGATCCAGACAAAATTCTGGATTCTGTGATCCAGAACACTCAAAAATAAGGGTGTCGTTGGAATTTTCAATGCTGAAAGATAACCAATGAAGATACAAGGAAGTGTACGCTTACAAATATTGCATGATAAATTATGCATTTATGTATCTAATATGAGCTTTGTTGTTTTAGGAGCATTATGAACAGTGAACATACCAGTTTAAACACAAATAAAAGTTAATAAAAGACACGTAACACTAAAGGTTTTGGTGTGAATCACAATATAAGGGGGGACATGAGCTGCTTGACAGAGGTCTGCGCTCTCCGAGTGCTTTTCTAGTTAGTAAATATAACAAATTTAGACTTTTCCACTGATATTTTAAAACCCCACCTGTTAGCCCAGTCTTCCACCTTATTCAATGCTCCCTGTATCTTTTCTGTTAAAAACGTAAAATTCCCTCCTCTTTTCCAAATTGCCCCATCATTGGCGAACAATGATAGCCCAAAGCCTGCCCCTACCTCTTGGAACATATCGATCATAATGTTAAATAGGACAGGGCTTATAACACTCCCTTGAGGAGTACCGTTGTCTATCCCAGCTGTTTCTGAGTATGCTCCTCCAACTCTGACCTGTATGGTCCTGTTTTGCAGGAATGCCCTAATCCAGTTCAACATCCGCCCTCGTATTCCAGCATTAAAAAGTTTAACCCCTAACCCCTCTTTCCACAGCATGTCATATGCCTTTTCGATGTCCAGGAAAACAGCTACCACTCCTTCCTTGTTAGCCTTAGCTTTTCTTATGTCCAGGTCAAGTGCAAGCACAGCGTCCATTGTACCCCTCCCGACTCTGAACCCACTCTGTGTTGGTGTGAACCACCCTTGCCTCTCTATCTTATGTAAGTCGCTCTGTCACCATCCTCTCCATGATTTTACATAGTATCGCTGTGAGCGCTTTAGGATAGGGATAACAACTGCATGTCTCCATGCCACAGGAATAACACCTTCACACCATACTGTATTTATGAGCGCTAGACTCTCATCCAACACAATATCAACTAATTTTTTATATACCTCAATCCTGGGCCATCTTTCCCAGGAGCTGTTTTACCTCCTCTTTGAATTGCTCTTCGTAGCTCCTCTAATGAGAAATACATATTACTGGGGTCAGAGTTTTCCTGGTTAACCTTAAGTTTGTAGATTTGATTTTTTATTACCTTGTTCCTTGTCCTAATACCCTCCTCCCCAATATTCATCCCACTATGTACCTCCTGAAACTTTTTAACACATATGTTGGCTTTCTGAATATCGCTTGTGGCTACTACTCCCCCTTCTTCTAGGACTGGGACGCTTCTCCCCTTAACAATCCCTGACATACGTCTGATCACTGCCCACACCTCCTCTACTGATGAGTCCTCTCCTAGTTCTCCACAGTATCTCCTCCAGCACTCTCTCTTAGCAGATTTGATAACTCTCCTGGCCTTTGCTCTTAAATGCCTGTACTCTATAGCATTTTCCTGCACTGGATACTTTCTTAGTATTTTATAGGCTCTATTTCTTTCCCTCACTGCCTCATCACACTTTTTATTCCACCATGGAACACTCTTACATTTTAAAGCTTTTTTCCTGGGGATGCAATGGTTTACATTATCTTCTATCATTTCACAGAGACTGTTATTCCATTCATCAATTGAACCGTCTCCTTTAACACTGTCCAACCCCTTTCTACATCCCTCAGCAAATTCATCCCATTTAGCTTTACTGTAGTTTAGAGGTCTTGGTCTTGCATCTTCCTCCACTCTCAAGGACTGGCCAAATCCCACCACTATTGGGAAGTGGTCACTTCCTAAGGTGTTCTCTTCTATGGTTTCCCACACCCCTTTTCCTGCTAACTGTGGTGACTCTATAGCTAAGTCAATGCATGATACCCTCCCCGTTCTAATATCAATCCTAGTTGGTCTCCCATCATTCAAACATACCAACCCCCACCTTTCCATTAGTTCTTCTACTACTTCCCCGTTCTTGTCTCTGTCTTTGCTCCCCCATAGTGGGTTATGCGCATTAAAATCCCCCACCCATAGCAAAGGGGCACCCACCTCATCTACTACCTTTTCCAACTCCTCCACTTTAAGTTGCATACACGGGCTATATAAGTTAACAATGTTTATCTTACCATGGTCCCCCCACACCCTCACTGCCATACACTCCAGGGAGGTTGTTAGTGCCATCTGTTGGTATTGCACCCCTGCCCGGACAAATATTGCACATCCCCCTCCTGTCCCTTCTTAACGATCTTTTCTTAAACTTTCAGAGTCTGGTATTACAAATTCCAGACATGGCTTATGCCATGTCTCTTGAACACATATCAGATCAGGTTTACTCTCACCGATATCAACAATTTTTTTAAGTTCTGGTCCATTCGCTATTAAGCTCCTTGCATTCCATTGCAAAATGCAGACCATGATAATTAGCTTAATCATCATTTCCCTCCCATGTATTCCCACTGCCTCAGCCACCGCCCTCATGATGTCAGACCTGCTTAGCTCCTTGCCTTTGCCCTTAGCAGCCCTGGTAGCATACACCACATCTACCATAAACGCCAGTAAACTTTCTTTTTTCACCACTATTGAATCAGCTGGCACCGTAGGTTGTGGGGGGTGTGGGACAACTGGAGTGGGCGTATGAGAGTGGGAACCCATGTACACTGACATACTGTCACCTCTTCCGTCGACTTTCTTTAGCGCCTCTGCATAAGAAATCTTATGCTGCTCCTTAACATCTTGGACACGCTTTGCCTTTCAAAGTGCAGACATCCTCGGGAAGACGCCATATGAGTGCCCCCACAATTGTAACATTTCAAGTCAGTCTTATCACATTCTAACAAATCATGTTCCCCCCCAACACTTTAAGCACCTTTGACTGCTGTGGCATGATGCAGTAATATGGCCAAAGCATCCAAAGAAAACTCTAGGCGGCAGGCTATCACCATCAAATGTTAACAAAACGGGAGCATTCGGGTTTCCTCCATTCCGCGCTTTAAACCTCTTCACTTCTTTCACTTCTCCTCCCCTGATTTGCTCCATCATTTCATTCTTTGTTATATCGGCACAAACACCATAAATAACTCCTTTGACTCCCTCAACTCTGTTTGATATATGCAATTCTACGCTTTGCCCAGCGATCTTTTTAACCGCAGCTGCTTTCTTTTGTATTTCTGCATTCTTGCACAAAACCATGAGCATTCCATTAGCTAGGATTCTTGCCACTACTTCGCCAACTCCCTTGAGTGTTTCTGCAATTTTTATAGGATTGACTGCTCTAAACCCCCCTATTCCTTTTGGGTCCTTCATTTTAAACAATACTTTAAACTCGGTGCTCCCAGTTTTCCCTCATCTTCCCGCCATTTGACTCTCCCCCTGAAGCCACTTGTTTAAACCCCGCTTCTACCCCCCCACCCCCCCGGCCATAGCCATAGACAGATTTTTTACTTGTCCTCCTCCAACAATGCTGATATTCCACGATCAGATAGAGAATAGTTTTAATAAACGGCCCAGACTCCATTCGTGTAAGGATTCGACTTGCATTCGCTCTCTGACAGTCCTGTCCAGCCGGCGTCCGACGTCACTTCCTCCATCCACTGATGGGAAAGGCACGTTGCTGTTGCTGCTATGCGGGATTCTGATTGGCTAACGTGGGCTTGAGCTTCTCGCTACACTGCCACCTACAGGTTTGGTATGCACTTGACGGCATTTATACATGAGTTACTGTAAACCATAGACTGTATATAGAATAGACAGAGTCTGCCTCCTCACTGGGTGAAGCCACTCCGAGAACAGCACCCTCTGCATAGGTCATAAATCCCGCCTCCACCAGCAAAGCTTATGGAGCTGTGGACAAACTTTAGAAATTTATTACACAGAACATAAATTTTTCTACCCCCTGCTTGTGATGTTGACATGAAGTTACAGTAAGACTGGTTTGTGCTCAAGTCCTCTTTTTTCTGTGAAGCTCCGTTTTTAAAAGTTAGAAGGGGGTTCAAGTTTTCTATGATTGACACCTGATACAGCCTAATGGCATCCAGGGATTGCGTAGCTCATCCGGGGGGGATACGCTGTTTGAGCCTATCGTCAATCACAGTGACTCTCTGCGACAGCACGGTGAATGCGCACATCGCTACTGTGCAGCGCTGGTTTCAGGAAATGAAGAAAAATCCCGGAAATACCGAGAGCTTTTTGGCTTCAAATCCGTATACAGACGGTAGTCGGAACCAAGTTGTCCATAGTATATACGGTTTATGGTGTAAATGAAAACTTTTCTGAAAACATAGTGCTTGCAGTTTTTTTATAAGTGGAGAGGGCGAAATGTCCATTTATGAAAATAGCCGGGCACGTGTAAACGTAGTCAAAATCTCTTAAAGCGGCTATTGCCTCCATTAGGCTACCTGCATTTGGGTCCTCAAAGAAACTCTCATTACAAAATCCTCGCAATTGGATAACCATGCCATGAATGAATGAGAACCTGCACAGGCATCTTTTCAGAAAATATTTGCTCATTGTAAATTTGATGCCAGCAGCACATTTCAAACAAGTTTGGACAGTCTCGTGTTTACTGTTGCTTTGCAGTGCCCCTCCTTTAAGCAGGGACTTTGATTTGATCATCTCTTCTTTGTAATCAAACTTCCTTTTGGACTCAAAGATAAAGTCTGTGTGATCTCTGTCAGGTTTGAAGACTTTAGACTCACAGTAGAGTGTTTGTGAACCAGAATACAAAAAGACAAACACACTCACACATCAACATGGTGATACACACAGGTTGAACCTCACTGTGAACAACATCCACCAAACACTCCTGTGATTGTGAACAGATATGAAACTGGAGCAGCCTGATTGAATTCACTGTGAAATATGGTGCTGATTCATGACTTTTGTTTGAGGGAAGATTTTAATGCATTTGAATATTTTTTCTAAGCCCAGAACTGACACTGAATATGATAGTCCATGTGGTTTTAACAGGGTGGGACCACTGACAGATTATTATCCAACATTTTTTTTCAATAAATCAACAAATACTAAAGATTAAGCCTAATAAATGCAGAATTAACATGCAGAAATATAACAGCCTATAAACACACCTGTGATCAAAAACAGATGGAACAATGACTCTGGCTTCAAAATGATATTAAGCACAGCAACAAAATAGTACAATAGCATCTTTGCTCTTTTGATGGAGTCTGTGTTTGTTTCCTAACACTTTCCATGCAGTTGTTCATGTACAAGAGTATGAAGGAGCAAGACAAAGTAATAAATGATTGCTGATGTATAAGATTCTTGACTTCATATCAAGTCTTTGCAGTTATACAGCTTTAATGCATATTTTTGTTGTGTTTGTCCTGGAAAAATGGTCAGCATCAGTAAAAACAACAGGAGGCAGAGAAAAGCCAATATGAACATACAAAGTAAAAGATCAAACGGTGAGGACTTACCTTCCTCATAGGAAAAATAAACTGCCTGTAAGCTGCCTGTCACAAAGAATGAAAAAGGTACAAATGTTTCGCAGCTGTAGCTGTTTCACTATAAGTTGCATTTGTGGTTGTTGGGGTATGAGAAGTTGTGTTAGTAGAATTCTGAGTAGTTTAGTTAAAAAAAAATTATGATACTAAAAATATTTAGAGAAATTTAAAATATATGAGCCTAATAAAATAATAATAATAATTCATCAAAATTAGTCAATGTCAGTGTACAAATGGCTCTGACTTTCCAGGGCATGGGCGGTTAGGAGCTCATGTCAGGGGCTTTTCTTGGACCTAGGAACATTAGGGGCTGAGCCCACACCCTCATAAGGGAATCTGGGGGATCCTAACCAGAAAAAAAAGCTTTATAAAATGCTTTCTTGAGCACTGTGGCCTCTTGTCTACAGCCAAATACAAAATGCACTTCAAAATGAATTTTTTTTCAAAACTTATTATGGATAATGTAAACAAGATCTCCAATAATAAGCACAAGCATTAGTTCTGCATCATGTTGCATGGTGTCCGCTGCTCTCTGTATATATATATATACATATATGTATATATATATATATATATATATATATTAGGTTTTCTTTCTTTCTTTCTTTCTTTTCTTTTACCCAAACAATTTTCAGATGGATGTCATCTAGTGTGGTGCTTTGCCCATAGACTGTATATAAGATGGACAGAGTCTGCCTCCTCGCTGGGTGAAGCCACTCCGAGAACAGCATCCTCTGATGGTGGGCTGCAGTATAGGTCATAAATCCCGCCTCCGCCAGCAAAGCTTATGGGACTGTGGGCAAACTTTAGAAATTTATTACACAGAACATACATTTTTCTCCCCCCTGCTTGTGATGTTGACATGTAGTTATTGTAAGACTGGTTTGTGCCCAAGTCCTTTTTTTTCTGTACAGCTCCGTTTTTAAAAGTTATTAGGGGGTTCATGTTTTCTATGATTGACACCTGGTACAGCCTACGGGCGTTCAGGGATTGCGTAGCTCTCCCGGGGGGATACGCTTTTTGAGCCGAGTTACTCTCGGCGACTGCGCGGCCGAATGCGCACAATGCTACTGCACAGCTCTGGTTTCAAGGAAGTGGAGAAAAACCCGGAATTACCGAGAGCTTTTTGGCTTCAAATCCGTATACAGGCGGAAGGCTGAACCACGTTGTCCATCTTATATACAGTCTATGGCTGTGCCTTTCAACTTTCCAAACTGTGCTGCTGTTTCCACCCATGACTGTCTGTCTCTCTGTCACACATTTTCTGCAAAAAAAGATAAACTGTTTTCAGTCACATGCAGTTTTCAGAAAGAAAGATCATGCTGCACTATTTAGTGTCTCTTCATAATCTGATCCTGTCTTTTCTCTCTATCCTTACAGGCTCCATCATTTGTTTTCTTCCTTTTACTCCCTGTTTTCCCTCCATCACTTGCTGCTTTCCCATCATCATCATCATCATCATCCTTTAATTCTCTTTTCCCTCCCTCTATTATTTGCTTCCATCTTTTCTCTTCCTCCACCATCTGCTGATCATTGTACAGGTCGGGTGTTAGATCCTGCTTCGGCCTTCCGGCCTGTCGCATCTCCTCCGGTGCCAGTGTGAACAGCTGCAGGGTCGTCAGCTGGAGACCGCCATTCACTGATGTTTCGCCCCCTACACCAGTACATCTCCGGGCGGGGGGGCAATGGCTAATAGGGACGTCACCCTGCCACCCCCTGCAGCTGCCCTCAGACAGGTGCTTGCCCCCATCTGCTGTCCTTCCTCCGGAGCCACAGCCAGTAGCTCGCCTTCTCTTTATCCCGGCACTGCGGAGCAACTGCACTGCCGCCTTGCCAATGAACCCCCTGCACCCGACCTCCACCGGACATATCCTGGGTTTCCAGCCAGCCTCTTGGCACTCTACTGCCAGCTCAGAGTACTTGAGGTATTTCCTCTCGTGGGCTGCTGTCATGCCCTCTTCCTGGGGGACGGTGAGCTCAATCATCAGGACTGACCTCTCCACAGGCGACCACATGACGATGTCCGGCCTGAGCGTAGTTGTCACGATCTCTCTCGGGAAGACTAGCTGCCTTCTGAGGTCAGCCAGCATCTGCCACTCCTTGCCTGGTTTCAGGATGGTAGGTTCCTGTGTGGCTGTTCCACTCCTCTCACCAGGTCTTACAAAAGTGGCTAGCGCAGGCCTTGTTGGTTCCTGGTTATGGTTAGCTGCTACCCTGCATCTTTCCAGGAGCTCTGCCAACTTGGTTAGCACCTAGTCATGGCGCCACCTAAAGCGCCCCTGGGTCAGTTCCACCTTGGTGGTGTCGCACAGTGGGCAGCCAACCCCACTCCCGAACCACTGGGTGGTTCGGGAGTGGGAGTGTCTCACGTAGGCTGCTCTGATTAGGAAGCTTGCCATACTCTGCGGTGTCCTCCAGATGTCTGCCCAACTGATGTGCCCTTGCACAGTAGCTGCCCATTGCGTCCAGGCTCCTTGGCTACCTTGGGATATAGCTTTTATATGGAAGCGCTCCTGCTCCACTCTAGTGACTTTGTCCACCACCATGGTCTTCCGCTCCCTCCTGGTGGCTTTGGACCAGAACTGTCTTGGTGCAGCCCAACCTAGCCCAGCATGACTTGTTTGGGTTGCCCCCATCACCTCTTTGTGTTGCAGCCTGGCGATGGCATTCTCCACTTCCTCAGGTGCTTTCCATTTGCGACCCGTACGGATTGGGACTTCTGCACTTCTCACTAGGCGGTCTGCAGAGTCCCTCATCTCAAGTACAAGGTGTGCCTTCTCCTGCTTGTACCCAAGAGTGATGGATTTCAGCGGGAGCTCCAGCATGTTCCACCCACACAGGCCTACGTCGGAGAAGCAGCGGGGGAGGCCCATCCATTTCCTGATGTAGCTGTTAGCTAGGTTGTCCATCCTGCTGACCTCTGACATGGGGATCTCGCAGATCTTCAATGGCCACATCACACGTTGGTATAGTGTGTGCTGATAGCACCATACCTTGTGCTTCCCCGGAAGCTGGCTTTTGTCTATCTTAGCCAGCCCCTGAGCGAGCTGTTGTTTGGCCTGCTTCCCCATCTGTCTGTCCGACAAGTCTGCCATGTATTGTCTCCCCAGGCTCTTGAGCGGTTTCTCGGCAAGCTTTGGGATTGGCTCTCCTCCAGCAACGAAGGTGGTGTTGTCTTGGCGCTCCCCTTTTCTTATCGATAGGCTTCTTGATTTTGCTGCCTTCACCTTCATTGTTGCTCAAGAGATCAGCTCATCAAACCGCTTAAGGAGCCGTGTTGTGCATGGCGCCGTCTGAAGGATGGTTGTGACGTTATCCATGTAGCTCCTTAGCGGTGGGAGCCTCTCCCCTGATGGAAGCCCGATGCCCCCAACAATCTGCCTGGCCTCTCTGAGGATGACTTCGAAGGCTGTCACAAACAGGATGGGGGAGATGGCACATCCCATTGCGATTCCGTGTTCCAGTCGGTGCCATTCTGTTGTGCAGGCTTCCAGAGCAAAGCACATATGCAGGTTGCTGAAGTACCTGGCGATGATGTTCTTGACGCACTCTGGGACATGAAAGAAGTCCAAGGCGAAGTCAATTAGCTTGTGTGGCACTGAGCCATACGCATTGGCAAGGTCTAACCACACAACATGCAGGTCGCGTTTTTCCCTCTTTCCCTGCTGGATTTGTTCCCAGATCATGGAGGAGTGCTCTATGCATCCAGGGAAACCAGGGATTCCTGCCTTCTGGCAGCTTGTGTCGATGTACCCTTTTGCCATGAGGAAGTTGGTCATTCTCCTGGCCAGGACAGAGAAGAATATCTTCCCCTCCACGTTGAGCAGGGCAATGCTCCTAAACTGGCTGATAGTCCGGGCGTTTTCTTCTTTTGGTGTGTGTACACCAACGGCTTGCTGCGCTGACCTTGACTTCTTGATGATGTCCTCCACTTCCCGCAGCTTGGGTGGGGAGGTATTGAACTGTAGTGTTGGAGGGGTTGGGCGTGGAACATGTCCTGGGGAGCTGAGCGGGGTGGCTCGTCTGTTGTCACTTACCTGGTTCCTGATGTGCCTCTCCAGCTCCTCTCTGGAGATCTTGAGTTTCCCGCTCTGCTTCTCGTCCAGCAATTGTCGCACGTATTTTAAAGGGTCTCTAAAAAGCTGGTCCTCTCCTTCTCTCTCTTTTTCCTCCTTCTTCTGATCCTCTCCACTCTGCGCAGCCTGGCGAGCTTTTGCCTGAGCTCGTCCCACAGCTCCTTCAGGCCAATTTTCTCTTCAGACGTGGCTTTCCGCCAGTTCCAACGGAGCTTCCGCCTGTCTCTGACGAGCTGCTCAATGTCCTTCTCCCTCCTTCCCTTCCTTGGGGCTGTGGGCTGCTTCTTCTTAGCTTCCCCAAACCTCTCCTTGCACTCTTCAAAGATGATCCCCCCAAACATGCTGAGCTTCTTCTTGACTCCTCCTCACAATGTATGCTCCAACAGCTGACTCAGCTCAGAGTCAAGCTTCTGCCAAGCTACCCGGTTGCTCGCCTTCGGCCACTTGATCTTGCAGCGTCTTCCTGGCTCCTTCGCTGGTGACTTTGGTTGGTGTTCCACTGGCACGGTGCTGTTGTTGTCTCCTCTGGGGTCTGCCTCCCACTCAGGGCTTCCTTCAGCTACTTCGGACATCCAGCACTGTTGGGTCCTGTGGCGCTGTGGTTGCAAACCTGGCTTGGGTCCCTGTTGTCTGACCTGCTTGCGCAGTGCGAGGTTGCTGGTCAGTCTGCCCTCCGCACTTCTTCCTCCCCTGGTGGATGTGCGAGCCCCTGTGTGACGTCACTTTCTCCCATCCGCATAAACATTTCCAGAGGACTTTCTCGTTGTCGTTAACCATTCCAGACGTTGCCGTTTGAGCCGTCCTTGTTGGCCCATCTTCCACCCCGCCTTTTGGAGGGCCTTCAGGTTGTTTCTTCTTATTTTGCTGCATTCTCTCTGTTTGGTTCAGTTCCTTCCTTTTAGCTTTGCAAATCAATCTATGACCTCCTTGTGGTCAACACTGGCCAGCATCTCCCTCTCAATTGACGTTGTAGCCAAATTATTTAGCCGCTCCTGACCCATTGTATTCCTCAGCCATGTATGTAGTCAACTGAGGGAACTGAATTAACTTTTGCAGCTACAGCTAGTAACTGGGGTTGTCAAGGAAGCTTAAAAGATGGACTTTAGGGAGGAGAACATAACCTTATCCAAAGGGAAAACACACTTTGAATGGTGAGTAGTGCTAGGTCTTTCTCGTTTCTCTCAAGGAAATTTTTTGCAACAAGAATTTCTTTAGGCTTCATTTGGATGGACTAACGTTCAGCCAGACTTTTCAGTGCCTCTCTATTCAGGAAATGCTTGGAAGCAGGCTGACATATCCGTATGCCAGGCAAGATGTTTTCCCCAACTCCAGAAAACCTGTTCTGAAGCTCCTCCAGCGTTCTATCAAGAACTGGAAAGAAGACAATCTCTCAGATCATCTTCATTAGAAAGATCTAAACATGTGCCACACAATGTCTCAACTACAAAGTTGTCCATGTTTTTTTCATTGCTTCTTTCATGTCTCAGTTGAATGGATCTCAACATCATCACATAAAGCCTTGGTCTGGTCATATATTTCATGTGCTTTCTCATTGTTCCTCTAAATTTTAAATGTGTGCTCTGAACTGGCATTGCCTGCACTGAGTCAATTGTCTCTTTCTGCAAGTATTTATGCAGGCCCTGAGTTATTGAGAGCAATGTCTGAAACATGACAAACATGTAGATGGTACTGAATTTGTAAGGCTTGCTTTGCAGCCCCTTAGCTAGAGGTGCTGAAATGCTCCCTAAAGTCTGGATCAAAGCAGGAACATTTTGTAAAGTGGCCTTCACACTTTTAATCTAACATGCCTAGCAAGTCTTTGACAAATAAACAAGTTGCCTATCCCCCACCTCAAGTTGCCTTTGAAATTCTTGCAGTTTCTGGTGGTGGTGAGCATATTTTTTGGCCTTGCTTGTTTTAGATTACTATATCATCCAGAAACAAAGCTGAATGCTGAATTAGCAGTTACTCAGGATTCCAGCTATTCAAATGTTTTGAACCAAGATTGAAATGCTCTTTTTTGCTTGCCAAACATGCTGGATAAAAAGCAGAGATGTTTTATTTGCCCTGGCCCTGTGTCTGCAGTCCCCAAATCAGTTGGGTGCTACCTGTTACCTCTTGTGTGTTGTGGTCGTCCTCATCATTTCTGTCTGTTTTATCTTCTCCTTCTGTCTCCTTTTGGTTCTTGTCAGCCGTTGTTCCCTCCTCATTCTCTGTCAGGTCTAGGTCATCTATAAACAGAGCACAGCATCAGATTTCTTTTGTCATAATAGACATTACAAAAGGTAATCATAAAAAGGGAATTGACCCTTGCAACATAATTTGTGTTGAAGGGTAACTTACTGGGGGAAATGGGCTCACTTGTGTGTTTTTTTTTATTCTTATTAACTACAATAGATCTTACTCAGAAGCTAAAATTGATTACATTTCTCCTATCTGGATAATTGCATTTTATCCCTGTATGCTACTATTTGTGTATATGTTAAGTACAGAATACAAAAGAAAGAAAAACCTTCATCTTCCCGAATAAATCCATGGAAATGCAAAGACACATGATAAGTCCCTCAACTATTCATTCACAGCATTCACAGTAAATTAACATGACAAATGTTGCAACATTTCTATCAAGTAGTCTTATCTTATACAATAATCACATTGATGAATCTCTACGTGAATAACTGCATACACAAATGACAGCAGTCTTCCAGTTTACTTACATTGTGATTTTATTTATGCTTTATGTTTGTGATTTAGTTGAGCTCTCAGTTGCACTGACACAATAAATACAGGTAACCATATACTTTAGGTTGAATACTCAATCTATATTTTATTACACCACACGAAGTAATATGCTGTTGTTATTATAAGAACAAATGAAAAAAGGAAAGAGCCAATCTATGCAGCATGAAGCAACATGGAGAGCAATATGACACCGCTTGCTGTGTTTTGTCTTAGCAGTACTGCCCTCAGGTGCTTGGCAGACAAGACATGAAGGAGTGGAGTGTCTTGTTGTGAACTTCTTACAACTATTAAATCTAGAGGAGATTTTTTGACAGTAATGACTAAAACCACAGATCGATGATTTTCAATATTTCAATATTTTCCCATTTCTTACAGCTCAGGGATTTGAACGAGAGGAGGAGAAGGTGAGCCCCCATTAGAAGTCACTGACATGACTTTTAATGACATCTTTGATTGTGATTTTAGGATCATTTCCATCCTTGGATGAACTCCTGTTCAAGAGTTTCACAATCTTCTACCGTAATCAAAACGGGTGTGCGGCAAGCCCTTAAATTTTATGATTCACCAGGAAAGAGGAAGTTGTTATAAATCTACCATATGCTCAGTTTTGACCTAAATTTCTCATGTATGGGGAGTTGGCTTTAACTTATGGACATGCAAATAATTAATTATACTAAAAGCACCCCCGGTGCAACAACACATGTCATGTTCTTACCCCAGTGCTGTTCCCAGTTTGCTGAAGGTGGCAGCATTAAATTTGTTTAAAAGAGACCTGAGTCCTGCCCTGTGGTGAACTCTGGGAGGGTGAGGCAGAGAGTGTGACTGTGGTGATGCAGCAAACTCGAGCTTTGACATGATGTCTCACAATAACAAGTCAAGCTGTTGTAACTCTGTTGAACATTGTCATATCCTCACAGAATTCGATGTGCTTGGTCCAAGACCAAACCACTGACTGTATGTATAATAAATGGACAAAGTCTCACTGATGTCACCCATTTGTTGCTCAAGTAGAGTTTTGAAGCCAATTAGCAGCAGTCGCCATGTTGGAAATGCTGTCTTAATCTTACCTCTGGTTGACCTAACAGGAGGTAAGGAGGTGGACTTGAGGAAGTCAGAGAGGACCAGAATCCAAGTCTACCAGGATACTTTCATGCTTCCATCTGCTGAGAAGCTTTATAGAGATAGAGATTTACTTTTCCAGTTGGACCTGAACCTTGCCCTGTTAGAGCCCGTTATGTAAGAATGACCCAAAATGTAATTTTAAAAAATGTAATAACTGGTCAACAATTTAACCCAAAACATAATAACTTTTTGTCCAAAATGTAGCAACATTTTGGGCTTTATTACATTTATTTTTAGAATATTTTGCGTCATTGTTACATTTGGGGCATTGTTACATATTGGGCTCTAACATGCTCACAGCGCCAAAACTACCTGAGACTGTTCTGGTGACCATGATACTACTGTGACTGATTGTCCAACCAACTGATGTGACCTGAACCCCATAAAGGATCTCTGGAGGATCATCAGGAGCGAGATGAGAGACACCAGAGCAACAATACAGATCAGCTGAAGGAGCTATCAGAGAGACCTGGTCTTCAGTAAGACCCCAGCAGAGACACAGACTGATCATTTCCTGCATCAGTGTGACATGTCACACTGATGCAGGATTTCAAGCAAAAGAGCTCAGACCAAGAACTGAGAGCAGAAATGAAGAGGATTTTCCAGAGGGTCCACATCTCTGTATATTAATCCTTTATTATTATTTTATTTTATTTTATTTTTGATATTCTGATGTTTGGAGAGACTGGATTTCTGATTTTCATGAGCTGTAATCATCAAGATTCAAACAAAAGTCTTTAAATGTTCGACTTTGTGGGTGATGAATTTAGAAAATATGGAAGTTTCACATATTTAATTAAATTATGGGGGAAAATGAACTTTTCAGGACATTCTAATTTTATGAGCTTAACCTGTCGGCTCTTGATCATGAGCAGAAACTTACTCTAGACTAGAAAGTGTGACAACCAACCTGTCTCCCCTGTTACAGTTGTCATCATTTTTCACCTCTTTTCTTCAAACTGAGTATGTAATCACACATGGGTGCCATTTATTTGACTTTAACTTACAAGTATTATTCTCGCAGAGATCTTAAGTGGATTTATTTGGATAATTTTTTTATCAGAAAACTGATGCTTAAATTTTATATGTGATTCTGGGGGAAAAGTGTAACATTCAAACCTAATCCCCTACTTTTGACCTGATATACCTTTTAAAGTCTTGTTCTCAACACTTGTGGTTAAATTGAACTTAGGCAGGCTACTGGAGAGACCCTAAATCCTTTGTTAGAGGACTTGGGTCTATCTACAGCAAAGATCCTCGGCAGGAATTCAGGATTTGGGAGCGGCACATTCCACATCCTGAGATGGAGCTCTACCATAAATGGTAAGCAAGTATGAAACACGGTGACGCACCGGTGCAAGCCGACATCTCTAACCAAACACTTAGAGAAGAAGAGTGTGTCAGGAGGAGGTACCACTTTGTTCTACTTTGAAGCATTTGAATTTTCTCACCAAGACTACAACCAGCTGCATTTTAATAAATGTCACAGAGTTTTCATTACTCACACAAAATTCTAAAAATGGCAGCACTGAATATAAAACTACAACATGATTTGACCATTTCCAATGAAATACACGCCCTTTTTTCCACTGAACTTTGAACACAAACATGTAGTTCAAAGACAATATTTAGTTGGGGTGGGCGCTAGTTATTTCGAGTTTTCTTTTGCCAAGGTTTACTCAGGTTCATCCATAACACGGTGGTGCTATTCTCTTCAAAAGTTATTTTCCAGTTTTTTATTTATTTATTTATTTTGTGTGTGTGTCTGTGTTTCTTCGCAAAGCTGAACTCCAGCAGGCCTTTCGTCGTATTGCAGATCAAATTTCATAAAAAGACACGCTATTAGTGTCTCTTTTGTTTTCATTTTCCTTTTCTGTCTGCAGCTCTCAACTCAAACTCTTTTTGTCCAGTTAAGTTTAATGAACACAAATATGATGTTACAAACCCGTGAAGCAGATGGCACTGATGGTTCTGTATATCTGATACTATTATTGATATTATTACATTTACCTTATAACACTCCAGCAGCTTGCACTTAGAGGTAAGTCACAAGTGAGATGAGCTGCAGCTCTGACTCTGCTTCCCTCTACAGAGTAATCCATTGTTGTAGTAAACGATCTTTGTGCTCGAACTTCTCTGCGTGGAAACTTAAAAAACTGCTCGCGGAGCTGCGACCTGAGGGCCCTCCCCTCTTCTAGCCGGAAGCTGGTCTTCTGCTCATCGATCACTTCACGTTATATGTAGTTTGGAACTGGCCGGTGTCGTGGGACAGACTTCCAGATCATCAGATCCATTCACAGACGTCTCGTGATCGTTAAAACCGACTTTGACATTATGTCTCTTCGGGTGGTGATGCAGGGCCCTGGACCCTGGGGATTTAGGCTGGTAGGAGGAAAGGACTTCGATCAGCCTCTCACTATTTCCAGGGTGAGTTTTACAGTCTGCTCCTCACGGTAGACATAGCTTTGGGTAACCTTACCTGGGCTTGCCCCGACGAAACTTTGGCTGCTAGTTCTTACCTGTTGAAGCAGAAGGGCAAAGCGATTGATCAGCCGAGATAATATGACCCACTTTGTACAAGAAGTTAAAGTTACCTCTCAAAACTGAACCGATGGGGCTACTGAATCCAGAGCTTGCTAAATGAAGATTGAGAACGTGGCCACAGTGTCGGTGCGCTCTAACTTTGGGCTTCAAGTACTTATTTTTAAGACTTAAAAAAGCCATGGAGCTATACAGTTTTGAACAGCTGTTTGGTTCCCTTGAATATGACATTTATTTATTCATGGATGCCTATGTATGGAAGCCTTAGTGCACCACTACATGTTTTTAATTGTCAATGCCAATAAGAAGGAGTAGGTCAGTTTTTGGATCATATAATTCTTTTTCCTCTTTTTGTAGACTTAGAATATATATATATATATAGTGTGTGTTTGTTTTTTTTAACATTTATGACAAAATTCAGCAGTTAAATAATACTTAAAAATGAGAAACAAAATTGCTAAAAGTAAATGAACATGATATTAAATAATGGTAATAAATAACAAATAATTTGCTATGTTAAATAGTCCACAAGGGAATTTGGAGCGTTTGTCCAGCCATGTCAAATTGGGAAAAAAAATGAAAGATCCAATTACATTTATAAAAAGTCATTTATAAATTACATGTGGTCAACAGATGACAGTCAGTCAACAGCTGATGCCAATAATGAGAGAGCAGGTTAGTCAATGGCCGGTATATGCTGCCGATATCACATTGTTGTTTTAACTGTATATAAATGTTGTAAAAAAAAATGGGCAGCTCCATTGCTGAATTCTAGTGACTGTTTTTTTTTTTAAATAGATATCTACAGGTTAATGTTGAGCTGGGGAAAATATTGCCACCAGAGACTAAATTTGTAAGAAAGAAAAGCTGAAATAATCAGAATTAATATTAAACACTACTTAGTCTTAGATTTGATAAGCTGTTGAATGCATTTTTCATTTGGAAAGCAAATAGTGATATCGGCCTTGTGAAGGCTGATGCTGATATGACACCATTTAGTCAAAATGCCATAAAATCAATGGCCAACCGAACACCTGACCCTCAAAAGTCAGCTGGATATGATATTTGTCAATAGTTACTACTTTGAAAATAAGCAAGGAATGTTATGTCCACAGAGGGCGCCAAATTCAACTCAAACCAAAAGTTCCTCACAGGAGTTTTAACTTTTTAAAGCATGGTTTTGTTTTCTTTGTACATAAAGTCCATTAAAAAGTCATATTTGGCATTTAACAGTCATGCTAATGCTCCCTTAGTAATAAAAGGGAACATGACTTTTTACTGTGTGGTTTGCCCAAGGTGTTTCTGGTGTTGCCTGATGGTACAGTACCCATATTGACATAAACCACCCCAAACAGCTGACAAGCTGACTGTAAACACCTCTCTACCATTGCTTGTCTTTATAAGTCATAATGAAATGTGTGTATGAACAGAGTCAAACAACATACTTAATGTTTTGTTGAGATCATGCCTGTAAAATCAGTCTGTTTATGGGCAAGTTCATGTTGTGGTTCTCACATATTTAGGTTAGACTACTTGTTGTATAATCTTGCCACTGCAGATATCAGCTAACGTTAAAGTTTTCTGAATGGTATATTGGAGCCGAGCATTTTATTCTAGCCCCCTTACCAAGCAACCACACATACAATTATTATTTTACTCAACCGCACACTGCCACTGAAGATCCTATTCCCTGAGTACATCCCCACATTTCAACACTTATTATAGATTGTGGCCTCTCTCTCAAGCCAGAATAATTCTGGTGCAGATCAAGTCCAAAAGCTCTCTGCATTGTATTACTCTGTGTCCTTTTGATGTAGGTCACCCTCGGGGGTAAAGCTGCCCAAGCCAGCCTGTGTATTGGAGATATGATCTTGGCTATTGATGGAGAACCAACAGAGAACATGACTCACTTGGAAGCCCAGAACAAAATTAAGGGCTGTGTAGAGGAGATGGTGCTCTCCATTGACAGGTGAGACACAGTAACATGTGCCAGTCTTGATCTGCTTTGCCGTAGGCCTGAGAAACTCTGAGTAATATGAGATAGCACTGCCAAAATCCAGGTGTTCAGAGAGTGATGTCATGTGATCACTCATTTAAGTACAAGGCTGTCCACTTAAGAGAAGTGCATGTACCTGTTTTTTTTTTAATGTCATATCAGTGCACAACAGTCTAACTTTCTCATAGGAGAGGATTTCACGCAACAGGGAAGATGAAACTGACTCAGGGGGCATGTTGAAGCAAATGAAGAGGGATATTAAAGGCTGGGCGGGGTGGACTGTGAAGAAAGCCAAGCACAGGGTTGTTGGCGTCTCTGCTCTGCTGCTCTTAAAAAAAAACTCACCCAGAAACAGAAAGACAGGACCAGGCATGTTTCTGAATATGTGCTTCTTGTTGGTCTTTGTTCTGTAGGTCAGAAGCTAAAATGTGGTCTCCACTTTCATCTGAGGAAGGGAGAGCACACCCATATAAGATGAACCTTGCATCAGAGCCACAGGTATGTGCCAGCTGTGGAATTTGAACCCTTATAATTACTGTCCAAACCCTCACATATAAAATTGAAGTTAAAAAGTAGCCACACAGTGTCTAAAAGTCTTCACAGTCCTTTTCTCTGCATAAAGACTTGTGTTTCTCTCGCAATACTGCCAATGATGAGGTCACTGTTTACTTCCCAACAGACGGTTTCCTAGGAGATGGTAGTTTATCAGCCAAATACTGATGTAAGCCTCAGTTCCTGCTTTCTGTGCTGAATGTTAAGGTCAAAGTATGACTGTGTGTAGGAAACACAGACATGTTCCCCGGCCACAGGAGTCATATTTCTCCCTTGCATACAAAAACATGTTTCAAAAAATATTTTCTTTAAGCCATTACTTTGTCATTTTTGACTGTCACTGGTGATGTTAGTGTTAAAATATGTTGGCATTTGTTTCCTTGCTCTAAGAGAATATGAGGTATTCTGCGCCTCAAACTTCAGATGCTTAAAGCATGAGCTAAATCAGGAGGTGTGTCTGCGTCCTCGTTGGAATGTGTAAGCAAGTCTCTAGGTTTGAAAGTTTTTGTGTGCCCACATTGACAGCATGCCAGTGTCACAATGAATTGAACACTAACATAAACTCCACTTTAACAAGGTTGATAGGTTGACATAATCAAAAGGTGTTAATTGTTTTTTCAATGAAGTGTTAAAGTGGTAGTGTATGATAATGGTGGTGGACTGGAGTGTGTTATATTGGAAGATGTTCCTGATGTGGACAAAATATAAGGGACACATTTCATCATCTTACGCTCCAGTACACCATAAACATCCACCATTTCTTCAGCAGCAAATATATGTAGTGCAATAATCACCTAAATTATCAAGTCAACAAAAAATGCCATTTTAGAAACTGCAAATGTAAAATCTAGGGTAGAGTTTTTGTTTTGCATTTCTTTAGCTCACGAAGGTGTTTATACCTTTTTATATGCACCGATGCCGCTCAATAGTTGTCCCTAAAAGGTTTTTTTTTTACCTTAATGTATTTTAAAAAGTGAAACTTTTTTTTTTTTAGATTCACCACCTACAAAGTGAAATATTTACAGTGATTGTTTGAATCTTGATGATTACAGCTCATGAAAATCAAAAATCTACACTTTCTTCAGACACCACAATATATTTATATTTTTAAACACTGAAAAGGATAAATATTCAGAAATGTGGACCTTCTGAAAAATCCTCTTCATTTATGCTCTCCGTTCCTGATCGAGGCTCCTTTTGCTTGAATTCCTGCATCAGTGTGTCGTGTCATGGAGGTGATCAGTCTGTGTCTCTGCTGGGGTCTTACTGAAGTCCAGGTCTCTCTAATAGCTCCTTCAGCTGGTCTGTATTGTTGCTCTGGTGTCTTTCATTTCTCTCCTGATGATCCTCCAGAGATCCTCTATGGGGTTCAGGTCAGACCAGTTGGTTAGACAATCAGTCACAGTAGTATCATGGTCAGCAGACCAGTTGCTGGCAGTTTTGGTGCTGTGGACAGGGTTCAGGTCCTGCCCGGAAAAGTAAATCTGGATCTCCATAAAGCTTCTCAGCAGATGAAGCATGAAGGTTTCTAAAACCTCCTGGTGGACTTTAGGCTGCAGTAACTCTGGACTTGATCAAACATAGTAGACCAATAGCAGCCGATGACATAGACCCCCAAACCATCACAGAGTGAAGGGCCATTCTGTGTGTAGAGGCTCTTGATGCTCTGACTCCAGTCTCAGTCCAGTTCTTGTGAAGACCCCCTAAGTTCTTATATCTACTTTGTCAGTCCTCTGAAGGTTGCTTTCATCCCTGTTTCCTGGTCTCCTTCTCTTCCCTCACTTTTCCCTTCAGTCAACTTTCATGAATCTGCTGCAGACTCTGTGGACAGCCAGACTTTTCAGCAGGGACCTTCTGGGGTCGGCTGACCCTCCTTGTTTAGGGGTCGTTGGTGTTTTTTTTGGACAACTGTCAGGTCAGCAGTCTGAACCATGAATGTGGTTATTTACTGACCCAGAGTAAGAGAATAAAGACTCAATTTACCCTTACAGAGTTGTTCAGAGTTCATCAGCTGATTAGAGACTTTTTCAGGACTGAAGTAACTGACAAAAAACATTAACACAATATTCTGATGAATGAAGATGGTGGGTTTTTGTGTTTCATGAGCTGTCAGCCGTGATCATCAAAATTTTAAAATGTCTTTAAATGATTCACTTTGTAGGTGGTGGATCCACAATGTATGGAATATCAATTGTGTGGAAAAAAGAACTTTATTGGGACTTTCTAGCTTTTAGAGTGCATTTATATGTTTGTATACTTGAAGGATCTTTGATACTCAGGTTTCATCACTTGTTACCACCATTATGGATTTTGCACCACAAGTGTTGTTGCATGTTTGACACAGCACAGGATTTCACATTTCTCCACAATTATCTTTTATTTTTATAAAGCAGCCTCTGTTTGGTTTTTCACACTCTGTAATGATCATTTTTACAGGAGATGAAACACATCGGCTCAACCCACAACAGGAGTGCTATTCCATTTGCTGGCTTTGGCTCCAAAGTTTTGACTAACCAGTACAACAGCCCCTCTGGTCTCTACTCCTCAGAGAACATCAAGAACTTCAACTCTGCTCTGGATGAATCAAAAACAATGGCCTCCGTTAACGAGCCCAGTTTCAAGTAGGTTCAGCCTCAGGTGTTCGTTCTTTACCCTTGGGGGGCAGGGGGATGACGAATTGACAGTGAGGTGTATCGGTCAGTAGTGTGTGATCTGTGACAACATTAAACAATATTCTGTGAGTCTCTACACCAGTTTCACAAATCTGATGATATTTGGGGCTTTCCTTGTTTCCTCACACATCCTTTCTTTTGCTAATGGTGTTTGTTATAACCACACTGTAGGAGGATTCATGGATTGGCTTGGTACTATAGCAAAGTAAAGCCTTGACTCAGTGATTCTTAAGTGATTTGACTTATAATGGCATAATTAATAGTGAGCATCTAACATAATAGTATAATTTCACTTTTCAATATTTGTTGCAAATTAGATAATATTTAAAAATTTTCATGTATGTCTATACAATCCTACATTGAACACCTTTGGTTCTGTTGATGCACAGTGTAGTTTATATTAAGCTGGTACTAATAAACCAGAATAACTCCTGCTCCTGATGGCAGGTTCTGTGAAAATTATCCTTTTTTACTATTAAGTGTGCTGTTAATGCACACTGTAGTAGGGTAAGAGGGCTCAGACTAGGGCTGCACGATTAATCAATTTTAAATCGTATTTGGATTATTTGATTATGAGGATGTTAAAAAAATTTCAATCATCAAATACATTTTCCTCTCTATCATGTCTCACACCCCCAGGCCACCATAGGCTCCCCTGTTCCTACACACATCAGTGTAAACAAACTTGGCGTTTGCAATAGAAGGCGATAATTTTGTGGCCAAATTGGGCAAGAGAAAATCAGTCATGTGGAATTGGTACGACTTCGCAGTTTCGGATGAAGAGCAAACCACTCCTCTCTGCAAAGTCTGTCTGAAGGCGGTATCAACCCGTCCACAAGGAAATGACTTCAGGAGTAAATGCACACATTTTTTGTGGTATTGGCATTTCATCCACACAGAAACAGCGTTTTGGGTGACTGTAAACAGTACTTTGTGAAAATAGGTCAGAGAGTGCATAAATCCGTAAGCGACTACCATTTCATGCCCGTGTGGATGTCTATCTGCATCACGGGAAACAATTATGTGACACACAGCGTAACTCTTTTATGGCGCCTACGCATGTCCGGCCAAAAAAACCTTTATACACATGGTCTGTACTCTTCTTCTGTCTTCTGCGCATTTCCTCGGCGGCGTTACAGCACCACTTACTGGCTTGGCATATGCACTACATCGTTTTCAGTGGTTTCATTTTGAGAGATGATAGTAAAACTTTTTATTTTTAAAGTGAAGTTTGGTGAAGTTGTCACTGAATAGATAATCAAAATCGAAAACCGAGTTTTCAGAGAAAAAAATCGTGATTTTATTTTTGGCCAAAATCGTGCAGCCCTAGCTCAGACCTAATGAAAAAAAATGCTGATGTATTATTAATATGTGTGCATAACATTTATTAATACATTGTGTATATTTGTTAACACAACAAGTATAGGACAGTTCTGACTCCTCTGTAGTTGTCATTAATTACTATTACTGCATGCAGTCAGGTCTTAGGTTCTCAGTATGCTACTATAGAAGAAGTTTTGTCATCAAGTGTTAATTAAGTGACTTTTTCATTAATCACTTTAGCTTTTGGGACGTCTCCATTAAATCGTCTGCCACTCAGAAACACCTGTTCAATCAGCAGTACTTCAGTACTTTCCTTTTATTCTGCTAATGCTGCTTTGTACTCTGTAAGTACATCCTGACTCTGCAGGCGACACCACACTTGGAATACTTGCAGCTCAGTATTTGCAAACTGCAATTGTGTTATCCACCTTTGACAGAGAGGAAAACCTCAGCACCACAAATACTGGAATAGAAAGTCATGATCAGCTTATAATTTATCAGGTTGATCTAAATGGTGCATCCCTGCTTTGGTTCTGCTCTCTGCTGTGATTACGACACCTACATTAAAAAGCAGTGAGACAGCAGATGGGACTAAAATGTTTCTTTATAAACCTATTAAGAGCTCGGTAAAAGGAGTAATATTTACCTCCCTGTAACATCTGACCTTCAGTATGAATGTCTCAGAGGGGTGATGGTGGGACCGGGCAGCCGTGTTGCTGTGCTGGTATTTGAGGTAATACAAAGGGCATTACAAAGGTGAGACAGGAGCACTGTGAGCCAGTGAAACAGGAACAACACTGTATGTATGAGTTTGTGTGAGTGTGTATGTTTGTATATTTACGTCTTGTGATTTTGCAATGCTGTGTCGCAATGTGAAATGACACTGTTTGAAATGCTGTAAAAAGAAACAATATGAAAGCTTTGAGCGGGTAGAGGTGGTTTGTGGTTCTCTGCAGGCCACAGTTAACAGGATGAACACACTGCATTAGCGGGTGCTTTTTACTGACAAGACACTGAATTACCAGTAATCGTTTGTAAAGGTATAAGTGCGGTCCACTTGAATGCATACAGCTGTTAAGTTGACCAACAACTTAACAGCTGATTCAGCTGGGACAAATGGCCAATGCTCTGCCCAGCGCTGCAGTGGGAAAGACATCTCATGTCCCTTAGAACAAATTTCCTTTTTTCCTCTCACCCTCTTGGTTTCCATGAACCTCCACAAGTGTGGGAAGGTCTATGATGCAAAAAAAGGATGCAAGTCAGGGGACACATGGTAAAGTCTTGGTGAACTGAAATATAAAGCTGTTTGCTGTTTGTCTCCAAAGTATGAATGGACTGAAATAAATGCTCTTGCTTTCCAGAGCTCCGTCAGATCCATCACAAACAGGAAAGCGTCCACATGTAGCAGAAGACTCAGAGGTCTACAAGCTGCTGCAGGAGAATCAAGAGTCTGATGAGCCTCCTCGACAGTCTGCTTCATTTAAGGTTCTTCAGGAGATCCTTGAGACAGGTACTCGTGTGCAGCTCAAACCCTCATAGCTGATCCTTTTTCTATAACAATGTAGTTACCACCCTGAAAGTTCCCACACCCTCTGACCAGAGAGCATTTCACCTGACTTCGACATGGGTCCCTGTGTCTGTGCAGGGCTGTGTGCATTTGTGTGGATATGTGTGCATCTCTGTGTGTCTGTGGTTCTGTGCAGGTCTGTGTGGGTGCATTGTTTTGATCGTCTGACATCTGTCTATTGTCTGTAGGTGACTGTGATAAACCATCAGGCTTCAGGAGTGTGAAAGCCCCCTCTACAAAGATTGGGTCATCTGTGGGGAACACAGAGAGGCTACCCACCTGTGAGAAATGTGGATCTGGGATTGTGTAAGTATTTCATGATTCTCCTGATCGTAAACGGCTCTGAGGTATCACTGCCCTTTATGCTCAGTCTGGACTCAGATGTACTCCTATCTTGCTGAATTCAAAGGTATCACTATTACACTGACATAACTTTCACGCTGTGACAAACTACTTATGTTACAACACAAATGAATTTGTCTCCACCTTGTGGCTTTCTTTGGTGGTGAGGTAAGTCCTGCAGGGATCTGCCTGGCAATCCAGTTGTATCAGGCAATTCCCACAAAAACTGATTCTGCACACTTGGGTTTGCTTTAAGTTTTAAAGATTGAATTTACCATAAAATCTGGAATTATTTGTGTGAGATGATTTTCTGTAGATGGCATACTTTTCATGCTAAGTTCATTGAGGACCTCTTTGCTCACCTCAGAGTGGAGGTCAACCAGTTACAGCTTTGTATTGGGGAAACAGTGTTGATACTGATGGTGAGAGAGCAGGGGCCTGGGGCCTGTTCTACGAAGCAGGATTACTGCTTAGCGAGGTAACTAAGAGGGTAAGTTCGGGGTTTCTTGTTCTACGACGAGGGTTCACTTCTTAGCAAGGCGAGTCTCCATGGCAACGTACGCTGAATGGCTAACCTGCTCCAGGACAAGTTAGGTTCCAGATTGAACTCACCGAGTATAAAAACCCCGCCCACTAACCAATGAGCTCTCTCGAAAAATGGCTTGTCCGTTCTTGGAGGATCCTGTAGACCTCGGTGCTCGTATTGTCCGAGGAGCACTCTGACGCGCAAGAGTTTTCAGGATCCGCACAGACCCACTTACTTGTCCGGATGACCACCTTTATGACAAGCTCATATGGACTACATATCACACAAAAAATGTAAACACGATAGGAATGAACAAATGAATGAATTCATCTTGGAAATGAGTTAGACCTGTCTGGTGCATGTTGAACAGTGCTATTTCAGGGTGATAATGGCATCCAAGATTTATTGCGCACTATATTTACGCATTGAGACTGTTGGCAATTTTCTTTCCATGCTTTTGCAGCGGCGACAGTGTTGCTTTTGAGGTTTATGATAGATTTGAATTCTTCATACTTTCTCATGATTGTCTCCTGCTCCTCGTTTGTAAAGTATGCGGTCCTTCGCTCTCCGGCCTGCTCTGACGCTCCAGACTTGTCCATGTTCACGATTGGTCAGATGTGGTGGGCTCCGCCTAACATGCATGCACGCACTCATTGCAAAGCGGGATCCACTTACGAGGTTGATAACCAGCGTCGTAAGACCGTTTAGAGAGACCGCTGGCTACCGTGCTAAGTTGAGCGAGGTAGCTCCAAGGCTACCTCGCTCGGTTGAACTTGCTTCGTTGAACAGGCCCCTGTTCTACGAAGCAGGATTACTGCTTAGCGAGGTAACTAAGAGGGTAAGTTTGGGGTTTCCTGTTCTACGACGCGGGTTCACGTCTTAGCGAGGCGAGTCTCCATGGCAACATATGCTGAACGGCTAACCTGCTCCGGGGCAGGTTAGGTTCCAGATTGAACTCACCGAGTACAAAAACCCCGCCCACTGACCAATGAGCTCTCTCGAAAAATGGCTTGTCCGTTCTTGGAGGATCCTATAGACCTCGGTGCTCGCATTGTCCGAGGAGCACCCTGGCGCGCGAGAGTTTTCAGGGACCGCACGGACCCACTTCCTTTTCCGGATGACCAGCTTTATGAAAGGCTCATATGGCCGACATATCACACAAAAAATGTAAACACGATAGGAATGAACAAATGAATGATTCATCTTGGAAATGAATGTGCATGGGCTGCATGTTCACAGACAACACCTCGGTACTATTTAGTAGCAGCGCATGCCCCTTGTAATAACCCCTGTAAATACTGTTGTTCAGGACTGCTTACTTGTGCTTCCTACCTACTGTAATAACCGCTGTTCTAGCCCACATGCAACATTTTTGTTCTCATTCATGAAACGCTTAAATCGGGGGACATTTTCGGGGGCAGCTTTAGCCGGGAGCAGATCATCCAATTCGGGGATCCGGCCCCCGGAAATCGGGGACGTCTGGTCACCTTAGTTAAAAGTGCATGTTGATCAGTGCTATTGCAGGGTGATAATGGCATCAAAGATTAATTTTCTGCCAGCATTCCCTCCGTGCTTTTGCAGCGGCGACGGTGTTGTTGCTTTTGAGGTTTATGATAGTTTTGAATTCTTCATACTTTCTCATGATCGTCTCCTGCTCCTCGTCTGTAAAGTATGTGGTCCTTCGCTCTCCAACCGGCTCTGACGCTACAGGCCGGTCCATGTTCGCGATTGGTCAGATGCGGCGGGCTCCGCCTTACATGCGTACACGCGCTCATAGCAAAGCTGGATCCATTTACGAGGTTGATAACCAGCGTCGTAAGACCATTTAGCAAGACAGCTGGCTACCGCGCTGAGTTGAGCGAGGTAGATCCAAGGCTACCTCGCTAGGTTGAACTTGCTTCTTGGACAGGCCCCAGGTCAGCTAATGACCGATAAACAATGTAGATATCAGACAATGGTTTTTTGTTTTGTTTTTTGAATTTATGTTTTGTTTTGGTTTTGTTTTTTTCTTAGTTTTTTTGTTTGTTTAGTTTTTTTTATTTGTTATTTTTGTTTGTTTTTTATTTCTGTTTTTGTTTTTTTGTTCGTTTTTTTTTTCACTTTTTGTTTTTCTCTTTTTGTTTTTGTTAAAGCTTTAGGGTTTTTTTGTTGTTGTTGTTTGTTTATTGGATTTTGTTTTTGTTATTTTTGTTTGTTTTTCATTTTTGTTTTTGCCACAAGGAGCTTTTGGATTTCTGTCCAGCCATCAGAGATTGCTTAACAAAAAATGAAAATAACAGAAGGAAGATATTGAGGCTTGAAATAAAAAAGATTCATAACTCCATGTACATTAAAATTTTTCATGCATAGATATCTCAGCCAGTAACATGTTATGAATTTTTATGAATCAGTGGAGTAACAGATTTTAGGTCATACTAAAGATTTAAGAAACTGTCTGATATAACTGTCAATACTGAACTGCATGATCTACACATCGTAACAAGTAGTGGTGATATCAGCATTTGAGGGCAAATATATGATCCTAGTTATGTCAAAGGGCCATTAATCAGCCCAGTTAACTGGCCAATCAGTCTGTCTCTACGTCAGAGAAAAGAATGTCCTCAAACCCTCTGAAAAATCCTGTCAAAATGATCATTTGAAGAACAGCCCAGAGCATCTCTGACAGAGGCTCTGTGACTAGAAATGACAGCAAATGTGCAGCATCCTGGCTCCATGTGAATTTGCCCCCAGGCTTATTGTTTTATTTCCAAATGCTATTGTTTATGAAATTCTTATCTTAGCTTCTACAAAGTTTAATGTGATGTTTCTATCTCTGCTTTAGGGGGATGGTGGTGAAGCTCAGGGACAAGTTTCTCCACCCTGAGTGCTACACCTGTACAGACTGTGGCATCAACCTGAAACAGAAGGGACATTTCTTCATCGAGGACAAGATTTATTGTGAGACACACGCACGTGAGCGAGCGACTCCACCAGAGGGCTATGATGTTGTCACTGTCTTCCCCAAGTAGAGCCATCACTATGTTCAGCTGTGGACTGCATGCCAGTAAAGGACGTTATCTGAGACAATGCAACATTTGGCTCTTTCTACTGTAAGATCACCAAAGGTTCTTTTGTGGGATGGTCATGAGCCACCTCTTTTAAATTACTCATTTGCACATTTTTTGGCAAGCAGGAAAAAAATCTGTGATTGCTTTGAGATGATAGTGTTCTTTTTTCTCTACTTCAAAAGAAGATCCTTTAGACTTTGATGCTACCGGGGTCATGTTTGAATTTGTGTAGAGCCAGTTTGTTGATTGGATGGTGAAAGACTGAAACAGACCCAGAAAATGAATCAAGACTTTATTAAATTGACCCATTCTGCAGGAAAAGTTTAAATGCACACTTGAGTTTTGTTACTTAATAAAAATTTTATCCGAAAAAAAACTATATTCTGCTCGCTGAAATGTGTGGATCGTTGTGAAAAGTACTTTTGAACAGTGTTGGAATAAAAACTTGTTTGACTCTTCAGCTTGGACAGGTATAAAAACTTAACACAAAGCTTGAACTTTGCGCTATCTGCATATTTTCAGCCTTTAGAGGGCAGCAGTGCTAATGGTACCTAGCTGTCTTCATATGAAAAAAAACGTCATGCAGGTTCGAAGATATATCATGTGAAGTCATCGGTCGTCTCTCTTATCGGGGATATTTTCAGTCACAGAAAGAGTTGAAATAAAAGGTAACAGGCATCACACATGGTTGTGGTCTTGCCGAAACCTTACAGTTAATTTCATGAGCTGAGATTTCAAAGTCTGCCGAGGAGACGCAGGAGTCTGCAGGTGAAGCCTGATCCTCCTCACCAGAGGAAACACTTGTTGGTCTGCGTAAATCACATTTCACTGGAGGGTATTCAGGTGTCAGTCCATGGTGGTCTGTCAAGCGCAAAGTTGCGGTCAGAGCCCAGATGTAGTTGTGGGCGAAGCGAAGAGTTTCGATCTTGGTCAGCTTTGCGTCTTCGGGCATCGCCGGCAGGATGCTTCTCAGCACATCCAGCGCGGAGTTCAGGTTACGCATCCGGTGGCGCTCTCTGTCGTTTGCCTTTAATCTGCGCCTGCCGCGCTGCCCAGACTTTGTACATGTGACCACGTGTTTTACGTTTTCCATAGCCGAGGCTTTCCTTCTGACCACAGTCAGCAGATTTTGTGACAGTTTTTCACAGCAGACTCCACCAGCTGTATTTACGGCGATGCGATCAGAAACTTGTCTGTGCGTCCTTGCCTCTCTCTTTGGGCGCAGGTCAGTGCGGGCGCACAGCGCTTCAGACATTCTGTGCACATAAAATGAGGTGATACAAAGTTACGCACAACCCTAAATACGTATACACAACTACCACTAAAGCCATTGTAAAGTAGAGAAGGAGATCCATCTTAAAAAGCAACCACAGCGTAAAAGTTACTGCCTCCTTAAGTCTGTGGTGAAATGATGCCAGAGTTTGTCAATTATGATGAAAACGGAGAAAGTATTATGCCTCTGGTTAAGTCTACTCTAAAATGATCAAAGAACACTAAGATGATGAAATAGGATGGATACATACAAACTTACTGAGCGGTTGATGGACTACTTGATTAAGGAGAAAGACGGTTGTCCTTGTTAATCCTCTTTTCGACGCTGGAGGAACTAGAAATCGTATTTGAGGCTCTGGCAGTGAGGGATGGATGAGCATCTCTGCTTTTTTATAGTGTCTTTATCTTATCTTTTGGTGTGGTGAACGCCTGAATCAACAGCGCCTGTCAAGTGACCAATCAGCCACCAGGCAGCAGGTCCTTCGCCCCTGTCCCCCCTCTTTCAGTCTTTACAGGGCCGCGTGTCTTTGTTTAGTCTCCATCGTTTTGTCTTGGTAAAGTACCAAATATGTGGGCTGAGTGAGGTTTACCATCTCTGCACTTAAAAGTCCTTTGTTTATGTTATTGTATATTTTATCTTGTACTTTGTAATCCCGAATTTTGTCCGCTGGGAGGCACCTGTCACTCTATCATTTGTGTAGATTTCCTCGAAGCAATATTCTAATATTAGATCATACTTAGTTTTACTACTTGCACACTGCTATTCACAAATGTTTACTGTTCATTATATAGAAAGATCATTTTGTCAGTGGTGCAATTTTTACTTGGTTTCACAGAGAAATGCAGAACGTGTCACAGGAAAGACACTACAGGGAGCTCAAAGCTGCCTTTGGTTCAGGGGACACCATGGTCTCTCACTCAGAGCTTTTCACTAAGACGCCGAGTTAAACTGACTTTGTCACAAAAAATCAGTCAGAGTTCTTGGAGTGTCATAAACATGAATGAAAATCAAATATTTCATAGATTAATGGTATTCGTCTGCTGAAGCAAAGAAAAGCATCATCTATCACCGGTGTACCGGGAAGGCGTAAGAAAGAGAGGGATACATGACAGCAGATGGTTCCGTGAAAGTCTTTCATGGATAGTCTGCACTTTTTCTATCGATGTAAATGCCCCTTAGTCCATTTACAGACGCTGACAAGTTCATTGAATTCAGCTGTTCCTTTTTTTTCATGCGCAGGCTCACAGGAAGCATCTAAGATATGATTTTCATTCATTCTCATACATCATCCTTTGAGAAGAGAGCGCAAAGTTGCCTGTACAGTAAAATCAATAAGTAATTTTGAGATCAATAAACCGCATTTTACGCACCCATAACATTGGCACATGACTTTGTCGTGGTAAACGTACCTCTTATGCGACGTTTAAATCAAAATCAGATATTTTTGTTATATAAAAATATTTATATGCGTATAGTGACGTTATCGTGTGTATTACGAAGCCAGTTGTTTATTATTGAATTACTCAAGATGTTGACAGATATAACTTTTTAGTGCTTCCAGAGGACATTTTAAGTAAAATGTATCTGTTTGTTTGTTTATTTTTTAGAAAACCAGGAACTCATCAATTATAAAAGGTTTTTAAAGCTACATGTGACACTGGATGAACATTTGCTGAATGCGTTAGGGCGCAGAGCTCCGGCAACTTATCGAAGGCAATTACGCATGAGCCCAGTTAACAAAGAATACTAGAAAGGCTCCAAACTGTTGTGTGAGCTGGCAGCACAAAGGGTCTGGCTGTGTATCATAACAAATGAACAAAAATTTTGTTTTTTTAATATGACATTATGTGTGCGTCTTGAGATCACCATCTCCGCCATTGCCCAAAACACAGAGACGCACAACAATGTAATAATTTGTCTTTACTTACAGGGAGTTAAAGATTACTGATATATGTCAACAATATGCAGACTCGTTCCGGCTCTGCTTCATGGAGAAGGGAAGTGTTACAAAGCTCAAATGATTTACAAATGCCAACAAAAGATTGCTGAGAGCTTTCCTTAACTTTCTGTCTAAATATGTGTTTTGGGAACAATCTGATAACCATATGCTTTCAACAAACTGGGCAAATACAGCAGTGAGATAGGAGCTTGCGTCTTGCTGTTATAAAAGTCACGAAACGTCTAAAGTAAACGGAATGTTACAACTTTACAAATAATAATTGATGCCAAATCCATATTCGGATATCACGGACAGGTGTGGGTTTTTACCAGTCTGTCTTCCCCGTGGATTTTTATCAGTGTATTGTAGAATCCTGCTTGTTATGCAAAGTAAAGGCAAACATAAGCGCCTAGTTACTGTGGAAATAGCAGATATCGGAGTAGACTTGGTACGAAAAGTAATTTAACAATATAATGAGCAAACCATAGAGCAGGTGATACCTGCCTCGTGTCTCCGAGTCTGAACCACCACGCTATTGCTTATTTATTAAACGAAATCTATTTATTATTATTTTAGCAAACAGAGCTACCAGGTGGGGCTTTATTTTCGTCCACAGCTTTTTGTCTGAAGGACGTTTTCAGGGGGCAATCAAAGTCTAACAACTCGCTAACCAGATTGTTGTCATCCCAAACTAGCAGAGAAGCCATTCAATGCGCCCCACTCCTCTCCTTCTTTCTGGCAAAGGGCTGCTGTGAGAGGGAAAAAAAGAAAAAAGGAAACTTCTTCAAGACAGAAAAAAACATCTTAAAAACATTTAATTGCAACCCGGATGCCATATGTACACCTCTTGTGAAACCCCTCAACAATGTAACGGCCTTTTAAAAAGTATGGAGTGCGCCTTGGAGACGTGTGCGCTTTTGGAGAGGTGCGCGCGTCGTGACCAGAATGACCCCAAACACACTTTGCACAAGAAGTAATTCACTTTTAATGTGCTTTGGAGTTTCCTTTCACAAGCAATGCATTGTACCCACTCACCTCAGCTTTTGAAGACGGTGTACACCAATTACGGTGGAATAGCTATCTTTCAGAGGCAGTTTGTGTTCCTGTAAAGACCGAGGTTTCCAGCACCGAAAGGAGTGTGGCTGCAAGTCGTCCCCTTTCAACCACTTCACTGATGCAGATTGTTCTCCGTCTTTCTGAAAGCGTGTTTACTGTGTTGACCTTGTGTTTACCGGTGGATTGTAGAAACTAATGTGGCTGTTTCAGTATATAAAACTTTACATTTTGTCTATATTGACGTCAAATGTTTAATTTGGCTACTTGCAATATAAATTTTTTATCAAAATTGAAACATTCTTGTGAGGTTTGATTTAAGTACATCTATTCATACTCCATACCGCTTCACCCTCTGGGACTGGCAGGGAACTGGAGTTTGTCTAAGTTGTCTTCAGGCGAAGCTGTCTTTGATACCCCCTGGAGAGGTCGCCATCCTACCTCTGGATACTTAGGTATATATTTTGAAACATGCCACGTTACATTAAAAATATACCAAACATATCTTTTCTATGTTCTTTGGCAGAGTAATAAGTCTCATGGAGTTGATGCATGAAGTGAGTCGATATACAGCACCTACTCCTAAGATCGTACAACAATTTACCGGAAAGGATACCTCTGCGTTAGACTATTGGATTGAGTTAATGTTCGAAACACTTTTAAGACTTTTCAATTTTAACCAAATTTTAAGTAAACCTGAAGCCTTTTTTCATTTGGAGATTATCGAGAGAATGTTGGAAATGTGAGATGAAGCCTTAGTTAAGCCTTTAGCCTGAGCCTCATTTATGAACTTATTAATTTGCAAAATCAAGACCACTGTGGACTTAATATTCTATCGATAATATGTCTAGTTTACTTTATGTAATTTAGATAAGGTCAGTGTGGCAGAGGAAACTAGGGAAGGTTGTAACATGGGGAGAGTTAAACCATCACCGTTTCCTCCAACCAGGGATAACAGAGGAGTCAGATGATCACCTCAGTCTTTACCCACTCCTTACTTTATTCAACAAGGCGGTTTGTAAGACTGTAAACAGTTACGTCTCCATATCTACAGAGAAAAAACTAATTTCGAGGTATAAGATTTTTTTTTTAATCAAGATTTTATTTCGTTGTGTAAAAAATATCAAAGCTGATAAAATCATTCGACTTCTATTGGATAAAATTGTAGTTTTTTTCAGGCAAATCAATTGGATTTCCCTTTCTATCTTCAAACCACTATGCTAATACAGCAAACTAAACACTGTAAGACATGGATGAGGTGAGTTATAACACATCCAGGAATCTTGTTAGGATTTAAAATATTGGTTTGTAATGTTAGAGATATTAAAGACTGACACAAAGGTGAGCCTGGTATTGTTTGAAAAAAGTCACTCAGGAGGTGACAAAGAATAACATGGACAATAACATGTTAAACTATTCTCTAATACACATGTGCAAGGTGTTCTTATCAAGACTTACACAAATCAAAATGTATTTGACTACTACTACTACTATTATTCAAACAGCATGTATTGTAGGTATTATGTCCTTCAACAAAAAACGAATAGATGCCCTCTCTGGGTCACATGACATCAGTTAATTATGACTGGATTTCAAATGAATAGCGCTATTAAACATATGTGACTTATACTGTCATGTGGGTATTTGAATAAATCCAAATTGCAAACTGTACTTGTTATGTGTGTATAATTTGTCAAAAGGTCTATTGAAATTGTCAGGTAAATGCACCCAAAAGAAGTGTTTGTCGTTCTATATGTGTGTATATATATACACACTACAGGCCAAAGGTTTGGAAGCAAGATCAAATTTCTACAAAAAAAGATCATAATACTTTGCAACAAAAAAACCCTGCTAATTATTTAAAGAAAAACTTATCTGAAGACATTTTGACTATAATTATCAGGTATTTAAGCTTTTCTTTGCTTTCCTTAAAGTAACTCCTCTGGCTTTAACAGCAGCATGGCATATACGAGGCATTTGTTCCACAAGTTTTTTAAGGTATGTAGCAGGAATTGCATTCCAAGCTTTCTTAAGTTCATCAAAAAGATACTGCTGATTTGTGGGATGCCATTTTCTGATTGATCGATCCAAGTCATCCCACACAAGCTCAATTGAAGAAAGGTCTGGAGACTGAGGGGGCCAACCCATTTTTTGAAGAACACCTTCCTCTTCTTTTTTGTCTAGGTAACCCTGACAGAGCTTGGAAGAATGCTTAGGATCATTATCTTGTTGAAAAAAACAAACTTTGGACCTACAAGTCTTAGTCCAGATGGAACTGCATGATGCTGGAGGATGGAGTGGCACTGTTCCTTCTTCATAATACCTTTACTTCAAACAAATCTCCTTCTCTATTACCTGTAAAACATCCCCATACCATGGCATTACCACCTCCTTGCTTTACTGTGGGTGTTACGCATGGTGCTTTGAGACATTCACCAGTTTTTCTACGGACATAGGCTCTGCGTTTGGAACCAAATAGTTCAAACTTGCTTTCATCCGTCCAAAGGACTTATTTCTAGTCATCATCAGTCCAATTTTTGTGAGCTTTTGCCCACTCATATCTCTTTTTCTTGTTCTGTGGACAAAGTAGTGTTTTTTGCTGATACAGAACAGTCATGCAATAGATACATCCCAAAATACATTTAACTTATCCTTTTTTTATGAAAGGCATTATGAACAGAAATTTGAAATAGTGTCCAAATATATATATATATATATATATGTGTGTGTGTGTGTGTGTGTGTGTGTGTGTGTGTGTGTGTGTGTGTGTGTGTGTGTGTGTGTGTGTGTGTGTGTGTTGCAATCGCTGTTGCTGTTGTTGTTGTTGTGCCCGGCCGCGCAGATGTGCGGCGCTATTTCCACTTGCGAAAATCAAAACAACGTTACGAAAGCAGCGATTCATGATGCCTTCATAAATATCGAAAATATGTCAATCACATGTAATATTTACTACATAAAAAAAAACAAGAGAGTAGCCCATATATCGTCAGTTTTTACAGCAACTGCATGGAGTTCAGCCAGTTTATTTTTTCACAGATGAGTAGACTAAGAACTGAATTAAAAAGGCTGAAAAGGATGATAAGAAACAAGAAAATCACATTCGGCCAAGTCTGACAGATTTATATTCACCCTTTGAAATGTGTGTGACATAAATCCGTCAAACATAGTCATCTATTTAATAGTTCCACAGAAACGGAGATTTTTGTGTTCTCGCGGATTTTAAATATTTTCTCTAAGAAAAGAACCCCCCATAATGTCAATTTTGAGACAAAATCTATCACTAAGATGATTAGGAACTTGAGTGTCCGAGATGCACTAGAACGCACCATCGACTCTTTGCTAAATCCTCCCTCATGAGGGTAAAAACCGACGACGCTGCCCTCTGCTGAAGGTAGATTTAAAACAAAGTGCGCCACACTAAGGCCCGCCCGGACACAGATTAGACCTATCCACACTAGGATCAGATCTACAGCTGCAGTGACGGCGCAAAACTGCGTCTGCCTCTCAGTTGCTTCCTGACTCGGAGTTAGCTCGGTGCTGCTGGTGCTGCTACTGGTGGTGGTTATTGTAGCATGTACTTCTCCCTACAGCAGGCGGCTTGAGGTGACTTTCCTGGGTGGCTGAGAAAAGGGGAAGTGTCGGTGAGAGTTCGCCTCAATAACATGGATTACTGGGTAGGTGTCGCTTAACTTCAGTCACTTCGTATTCACGGAACATTCTATGTGATATGAGGACCAAGGCTGTGCAATAACAAGACGACAGGGGAGCTACAGACTTATCTATCAGTAGAAGATAACGACAGACTTGTTTTGTGGTCCACAAACATGGACCGTGATCCTTGCCATCAAAACCTTCTTTTACTGATAGCCGGCTGCTCCGGTTTAATTTATCATGAAACCTTTGGTGTAGCTCTTATATGCGATCACCATAAGTAGGTTGTACTGTTTGACAAAGGTTTCGAAGTTGATCACATTTCTTCACAGCCAGACACAAGCAATAAAAAACAATCGATGTGTTTTTGTGATAAAATTCCTGTAGGGGGAAAGTTGTTTTGTGTGTGAAACTCTTTTATTTATGGCACAGACCACTCTTTAGAAATAGAGACCATTATTGTCATGACTATATGGGAAGCTTACACGGTCTGATAAGAAGTAAAAATGTGGATTATCATAGAAAACATGACACAGCAGACTCATGTCTCATGTCAGTCTCATGTTTATGATAGAGAGTCTCCTTAAGGACAAGGGAGAAAGACCCAACCAGAGCTTCTGTTGGTTCTTTGTGTTAGCCTTTCTTATGATAGCTTCAAGACAGTTAAGATAGTCCCAGGATCCACATCTTGAGTGTCTGATCTATTGCTCTGTCTGGTTCTAGAGCCTCAGTGATGATCTCCTGCTCTGTTTCTCCTCATGTATCCATGAGTCGCCACCTCACACCCAGTACATTTCCATGAGAACATGACCTTCCCCCTGAGACAACAAAAGCTCTCCTTTTAGTTGTTGAAATGTTGTATGAGGGGAAGCAAAAGCATGGGCGTCCACTGCTGAACAATGAGTTGGACAATAGTCTTTGTTTGAAGTCTTTCTTCATTTTCCTGGAGCAAAGAAAGCACTGAATGGTTTAGAGAAGTGTGTAACATAGACCAAAAACTAGTTGGATAACAGAGAGCGGCCTATATCTTTAGGGGCAGACTTTTGCACTGATGTTAGATAACACCTTTTAATCTATTTTTTATGACGTGTGTGTGTGTGTGTGTGTGTGTGTGTGTGTGTGTGTGTGTGTGTGTGTGTGTGTGTGGCAGAGCTCACTTACTGTGCTGCATCTCTTCTCCTCCTTTACATACAAACAGTAAATCCCATGATGATAACTCTCGTTAGTCCTCCCGCTCAACACATTTTATTCTATTTTCTGTAACTTCCCACTTAGCTCTGTGTGTAGCTAACCTTGCCAAACCTGTATGAGATGATGTTATCCAGACATTCAAGTATGACAACTGCAGTTTGGGCAGGGGGTCGGACTCCTTTGGCTCCCTAAAGCTCCAGTCACTAAAGGACAACTGACATGGAGCATTATGATTGTGTTATACCTGACACTGTTGCAGACAGAGAAACTCTCAGGCATTATGAACTGTGTACAGGAATATATATTTTATAGAGGTATTAGAGGAAGGCAGCAAAGTCTTTTGATTACTTAAGATACTATCTTTTGAACCTTAAGCTTTTCCCCCATCAGATAATGACTGAGGTTGAGAAACAAGTGTCCTCACTATCAAACTGCCTGCTGTTGTGTCATAAACATAGCACTGCTTAAAGATAATAGAAAGACACTTATGAAATTACTTTCATAAGTTTCTACAGCGATAGTGCAGTGACTTTGGGATCAGTTAAACCTCTTCAGATGATAAAATAACTGCAATCATATTGGAGTCACATTATGTTGAGTCTCTAGCAGGATCAGAGTTCGCCATCAGATATGATCATATCATTGATAGTTGAACTTCCTTCATTATCTGATGCTGATTGGTTGCGAAACCTCCCTCCTCTGTCATAATATGTTGTTACCTGTTGGAGAGCTGGGTGGAGTTTGATGTTAGCCAGTTAGCTTAGAGCCGTCTCCCACTCTCACCTAGAAAATGAAGTGACAGTTGTCAGCAGTCTGCAGAACAAGTGCTAGTCCTGCTGTGGGAGGGGTGTTGGTCTGACAATGTCTTCTAATGTGAGTACTGAAGTTTTGTGATAGAATTGAGGGTAATATAACAATAAAACCAACATTTAAATGCATGTTAACTGGTAATAACACTGAGATGTTATATATACTGTAACTGAAATTGTGAAAGGTGAAAGCTGTACTGTTTAACTGTTGGTTGAATGTGTCACATACATTTTTCTGTGAAAACAAAATTCCTTTCCTGTTAGAAAATGACTCAATGTTGGAGAACGAAAAGTTGATCTTTCTTAAAAACATGTGAAAGTAGATTTGCATTAAATCAGTTAAATGACCAGAGTGTGTTGGGGTCTCTTAAAACCACTCAGTCCTTGAGTTTTTTGCTCTTAAAGCTCCTGTGAGGCGTTTTTGAACATCAATAAAATCAACTAAAATTCATATTTACATCTTTTTATGATTTCCAAAAGACTATAAAACCACAAGCAACACAGTTAATGAAATTCATTTTGTAATTTTAATGCCTGAAACTGGTCGATGTCAACCGAGACATAAAAGATTTACAGAAGATGAAAAAGTCAGCAGGATGAGATTTTTTTTATCAGAAGATGCTCCTGAAGTATGTAAGGACACAGACTTGACAAACTTGACACCAAGTGACAGTTCCTCACAGGAGCTTCAAATGATACTCTCAATGACCTTAAATTTAAAATGTGTATATTTATATGTATATGTCTCATGTTGTGATTCACACAGAGTGCCTTGGAGGTGTATAAGGAGATGGTCCAGCTGTACCTGGAGCAGGGCCGGCACCTGATCAACTCCCACTGCATTGACCTGGAGCCATGGCAAATCATTGGAGCCACTTTCATCACCACTCTCGGGGCTGTCTGGCTGAAGGGCTTTCTGTTTCAGCAAGAAAGTAATCCCTTTATCCTGAATACATGTAGATATGGGAGGGCTGCTTTGACCTCAATCAGAAATGCTAGTGAAGACATCTTTAATAAACTAATAGTCTCCATAAATCACAGCGGCCAATTTCCCAGCATGCTTTTTGAAGTGTTGGTTTGGCTGCATAACTTAAGAGCTTCGATTCCAGCAGGACTAAAATACCCACTTTGTGTACTCTGCTTTAGTTTTTATGAGCCATGTCCTGTCCTGATATGTGATTTCAGGTCACATTCAGCTGTTTCATCATGCTTGTGTTTTAATGCGTGCCACTGTCTAACCACTGCCTTGTTCATCTGTCTGATAGGTCTCACGTCACGAATCAAGAAGCAATGCTTTCGACTCATCAGAAAAATACCCTTTGTTGGTGGAGCGGTGAGTTGCGATGGTGAATCTGTTCCCTTTTTCCCCCTGGAGATGGCTGTGTCATCAGTCTAGGCTGTTATGAGTCAGCCTTAGATGACAGATTACAGCATGTGAGGGAAGTGAACCTTTGGCACACTCAACATCATGCACTGGTGATAACAGTCACTTACTTCTGGCCATAATTTCACCAATGCACCACTTGTCACCAGGCTCTATCAGATATGTATATAAGGTATCGATAGTAATGAGGGGATATAGTTGTACTTTATAACTGTGTAGTTACTACATTATAAACACACATTAACAGTCTGAAACTGTTGATACCCATCAATGGCTTCTGTCCTCCCTGTCCTCACGATAGATTCAGGGCCAGCTCAACAAGGCTCTGGATGACATGTCTGCCAGTCTCTGCACTCTAAAGGAGGGAATGAGCTACACTCAACAGCTGCCCTCAAAAGGACTGTCTCAAAGTCAAGTGCTGGACAAAATCAGAGAGTACGAGACTCTGAGTAAGTCACCACTCATTCCCATGGCCACAGTACACAAACCTGTGGCCTTTATTTGGAACTTAAAAAGTATCTTCTTTTCCAAAAATGCTGTCATCTAAAGAGACACGGTGTCGTTGCAGATGAGGTCCAGTGGGAGAAAGGATGTGTTTCAGGTGCAGTGTACTGGGGTGATGAGTCGTTGACCAGTCTGCTTGTGAAGGTATTCATTTTTGTTACCTAAATTATTGTATTATCACTTTTTCATCCCTGAAGTTTATCATAAGAGAAAGAACTAGTCAAAGTCCATATTTAGAGAGTTTGCTCATTTGCTTACCCTTCTCTATGACGTGAGGTGTACGGGGATTTTGCCTGGAGCAACCCTCTTCATCCAGACATCTTTCCAGGTGTCAGAAAGATGGAAGCAGAGGTGGTTAGAATGGCTTGCACACTTTTTCACGGTGGACCCAACTCCTGTGGCACAGTAAGTTACCACGAACATATATTCACAAGTAGCTTAAGCTAGAAATGGAGGGATTGTATTGATAAAAGCTGCACTCTGTCTGACTGTCCAGGTGACTTCAGGGGGAACTGAGAGCATACTGATGGCCTGCAAGGCATACAGAGACATGGCACTTGAACGTGGTGTCAGATACCCTGAAATGTAAGAGGAGCTAGAAGTTTTCTTGGTTATATTTTGTGTGAAACGTTGCCTTCTTCAGGTTTTGTAGAAATTTGCTATCTCCCTTCTTTGGTAGGGTGTATTTTTTAACATCTTCCAACAAAATTAAAAGGAGAAGTTACTGAGATGTCAGTTTTAGGGTTTCAAAGGTCATTTCAGACTTGTCAGACGTTACAATGTTTTTCATCCCTAATGGCTCAACTCTTCCTGTGTTTCTATGACATTCAAATATGACATGCATGGAACAGATTATTTTGACTTGATTTTAAAGGTTTTGCATGGGGCTGTTGAAAAGCATTTCTGAGTCATGTTTCCCACATAGTTGTAACGTTATGTTTCTGTTTGCCGGATTTTTTCAGTCTTGCACCTGTGAGCGTCCACGCAGCCTTTGACAAAGCAGCACATTACTTTGGGATGAAACTGGTCCACATTCCCCTTGACAAGAAAACTATGAAAGTAGATGTAAAGGTGAGAATACAGGACGGACCAGATTAATCACTTTTCTTCAGCTGAGAATTTTTTCATATTGTTTCTTCTAAAGAAAAACCTCACCTTAAAGGACTTGTAACCACCTCCATTTGCAGTATGCAAAAATAACCTCTAGTAACAACAATGTGCAATATTCATGTCCACCAATAACACCGTGCAGTAACATCAGTGTGCAATAATCTATATTCAACATTCTGGTATGTCGGCACTCTGTAAATACAGATTTTTCTGATCTTTTATCTGTATATGTACAGTATATTTAAATGCCTATTCTACTCTATTTTCTCTCCAGAGCATGAAGCGAGCGATAAACAGCAACACTGCCATGCTTGTGTGCTCAGCACCTCAGTTTCCACATGGAATTATGGATCCCATCGAGGAAGTAGCCAAGGTCAGAAGTGAATCCTTTTTGTCTGAACTTTGTTTGGAAGTGAAAAGAAAGAAATCTAATTCTCAGATACTCTTTCTTGTTCTCTCCAGCTGGCTCTGCGCTACAACCTCCCACTGCATGTGGACGCCTGTCTTGGTGGTTTTCTTATTGTCTTCATGGCCAAGGCTGGTTACTCACTCGCTCCATTTGACTTCAGGATAAAAGGTGTTACCAGCATATCTGCAGACACCCACAAGGTAATCAATTTATTTCTTTTGAATCTGTGCTGCCGTTAGCTTTCCTGTTCAGCAGACTTACATATGAAACCACCTCTTATAACCCATGATCATAAGCACATTTATGAAGTCTTATAAATGCAACCTTAAGACTTAATAACAACCATTACAAGTGATTATAACCATTCATAACAGCTTGTAGAAGTGTCTCTGAGGTGTTATAGGCAGTGAGCATGGTGTCTTATAAAGTTATGGTTCAGAAGAAAAAAACAGCGTCTTTGAATTCTGGGTAAAGCTGTCATGGAAGCTTACTATCATTTATTAGGATTGTTTCAAAGCCTTACAGATGTTTTATAAGGCCTGGTTAAATGTGCTCAGGATGCATTATAAGAGGTGGGTTTATGTGAGGTGATACCCTGAGTTTTTTCTCTGCAGCTTAATAATCTTAAAGCACAAACTTTATCAGTAAATGTTTTTTTTTTTTAGGATTTAATGTTCTTGTTATACAATCATTTATGGATTTAATGGCTGGTGTTTGATATGACTTGGCTTCAATACCTTACCCTATTTTAATCCTTTGCAGTATGGCTATGCTCCCAAAGGCTCCTCAGTTATCCTCTACAGTGATAAAAAGTACCGTCACTACCAGTACTTTGTAGCTCCAGACTGGCAGGGGGGGATCTACGCGTCCCCTTCTATTGCAGGCTCCAGGCCTGGGGGGATCATCGCTGCCTGCTGGGCCACTATGATGCACATGGGAGAGAATGGATACATCGATGCCACCAGGAAGATCATCAGCACAGCACGCAAAATAAAAACAGAGTAAAACACTTGGACCTTCTCGAGGAATTGTATTATATTCCAACATTAAATCTGTTTTTATTTACTCCTTTGTTTGTTTGTTTGTTTCGACAGACTGCGCAAGATCAAAGGTTTGTTTGTGTTTGGAGATCCAGAGGTTTCAGTGGTGGCGATGGGATCAGATGTTTTTGACATATTCCGTTTGTCTAACGCATTGACATCGAAGGGCTGGAATCTGAACACACTGCAGTACCCATCAAGGTGAGTAAAAACATCCACATCCACACATTCATACAGTGTTAGTCTCTGGACATAGTATTCACTCTGATTTTATCTCCCCCAGCATTCACATTTGTTGCACAGTTCTTCACACAAAGACTGGTGTTGCTGAGCAGTTCATCCATGATGTCCGAGAGCAGGTGGCCATCATCATGAAGAACCCCAAAGAGAAAACCACAGGAATGGTGAGCTAGCTCTTCCTGCACAGCCTGTTTCCTTTAGTGCACTAATACAAGATCAGCCTGTAAAGGATCAGTTATGTGTTTCATCGAGCTTTATCATCATTATAGTGTTAAATTAGTTAGCTTTAGATGTTCAAAAGAAGTTCTCTATCATCTCCAGCACAGGACTGGATATTTAAGCTTACTTGTGCATCTGTAATACTATGCAAGTATGTGAGTAAAGTTAATAAGTAAAGGACCCACAGTAGGCACGAATAGCTGTTCTCTTGTCTAATTTAAAGGTATAGTGTGTAAAACAGGAATTCTAGTTTTATCAGACAGTCAGACTCTAGACTGATAGACTTCCTTGGTCCGCCCTCTGACAGGTGAAGCTGTGGTGACCTAGTGTTTAATCCAAGTAGTATCTCCATCCATCGATCCATTTTCTTCCACTTACTCAGGATCTGGTCACTGAGGCAACAGTCTTAGAAAGTCACCCTAGCAACACTTTCCAGCTCTTCAACTGGGATCCCAATGTCCTTCCCTCGAGGTGTTCTTCCAACTGGCTGCACCTGGAACACCTCCACAGGGAGGGACCAAGGGGGCACACTTAACAAGTCCCAAACCACATCAGCTGACTCCTTTTGATGAAGGAGCAGTGGCTGTACTCTGAGCTCCCTCTGGAGGTCTGAGCTTCTAATCCTCTTGCTAGGGTGGAGCCCAGACACCCTTATTTCAGTAGGATCTTCGTACTTGTATCTGTGATGTCACCCTTTCAGTCATAACCAACAGCTCATGACTGTATGTGAGGGTTAAAATGTAAATGGACTGGTTATTTAAAAGCGTTGCCTGCCAGCTCAGCTTGATTTTCACCATGACGACCCCACACGGTGCCTGTATTACTGCTGACTCCACACAAATCCTTCTGTCAATCTCATGATCATTTTTACCTCCACTTGTGAAATAGACCCCCAAGTAGTTGAACTCCACTTGGGGTAAAGACTCACTCTTCATGGGACACAGGCTGCAGGTTTAAGATGACACAAACTGATTGGACCAATTAGAGTGTCAGTCTTAAATAGAGTCAAGACTCCACTCGACAAGCTCAAACTTGCATCATGCCCGTCAGGTTCGTCAGGAGCACACCCATGAATGACATGACATGTCACTTGTAGATGAAAAACACCAGTGAAAGCCAAGGTCATGCACAGAGGAAAATCCTGTTTATACATCATGAGATTACAAAACAGATGACAAATTTCCATGTTTTTATTTATTTATTTTTTTAAGTCCCTTGGCTCTTAGGTTTCTCCTCATTATGTGTGATTTCAGTATTTAATTTAAGCAAGTCTGTTTTGATTCTCATTTAACCAAAACTAAGAACAGGATGTCAGTTTATTTTCTTACTCTGAGTCACAAGACAGTAAAATCTCATCCATTTCAAACTCATATCCATGACATGATTGAAAAAAGGTGACTGTGAATCATCATGTCTGGCGCTAGAAAAGTGAAGTTCTCCTCTGAACATGAACACTGATGTGGATCTACCTTGTTTGCTCCTTGTCTCACTTTCATCGTTTGCCATTTCAGGGAGCGATCTATGGAATGGCCCAGTCCATTCCAGACAGATCAATGGTGACAGAAATCTCCCGAGGTTTCCTGGACTGTCTCTACAGCACTGAGGTGCCCAAGTCAAACATCAGCCACATGAACGGCAACGGTAAAGCCCACTAGAGTGCTAATGAGCCCTCCTGACCCCACTCCACCAGACGCAGGGAAACACTCAACTCTTTCCAAAGCTTTGACTTAGCTCAGTAGCTCAACGGTTGCCTTATCAAGCATATTTAGGACTTAAAAATTATCGGGAATGTCCTTAAAGCACAAGCCATCGACAATACGAGCAACCCTGGAAACTGCTTGTAAGACTGCATCAAAGAAGAGGCGGCTCACCTGACGGATTCAGTTTTAGTTTTTTAATTCAGTAATGGGAAGGAAGTGTGTCTATCTTGTTTCAGAGTTTTATTTCAATATTAACTTTTCTTAAATGTTATGCAAATGTCTGTCATGATTTTAAATGATTGAAGAAGAAAACCCTTTTTAACCGCCTTAACATTTCATTACGCTTTCAATCCAGTGATTCTCTGTAATAATAAAGCAAAAACACACACTGCTGCCTGGTGCACACTTAAAGCTTGTTGAAAGCACTGTGCTGCCCCTTAGCGTTAGAATCTATGTACTGCATGAGACAGGCTGTGTGAGGAAACCTGTTCAGGGTGCAAGTTCTGATTGTCCTTGTATATTTGACTAGAATACTGTTTTATAAAGGTAAAAGCACTGCAGTGTCCTGACAGGAACAGTGTGTGTGTGTGTGTGTGTGTGTGTGTGTGTGTGTGTGTGTGTGTGTGTGTGTGTGTGTGTGTGTGTGTGTGTGTGTGTGTTTGAACTTTAATCTGTAAATCAACAGAAACTGCATTTCTGATGTGATGGTACTCTGTTAGCATGACCATACATGTCTCTGTTGTTCGGCACTAAGTAGGTTCATATTGATGTTTTAAAGGGCTGCAGTCTTGATCTGTCTCCAGTTTTAGGCAGATGTTAACCATTTTTAGTGAATTGGTTCATTTGAATGTTTTGAAGCTGTCAGAGCTGCAAAAGGAGATCAGCCGCCTTGTTTTTACAGTGATTGTTATAACCAAAATGGCTCATCACATTAGTTAGATTTTTATGCAAATCATGTGGATTTCTTCTTTTAACAGACTGGGCTAAAGCCTGTTTCTAACTCTGTTTTTGTGTCTATCAGATTTGTCCGTCAGTCAGTTTGGCCACTTGTGCATCACCTTGTTTTAATCATTTGATTCCTAATTCAATCTACCTCAGTTTTTACTCAATGCAAATTTCATTTATTCTTGAATTAAAAGATATTCTAACAGTGCAGCAGCATTTTTGTTTTATTTTGATTGCATTTCATATGACAACATTTAACAAACCCTAATTAACTGTTGAGAAAGAATCATCCTAAAAGATCTCAGTGTCACAGTGACAGAGGCTTTTCATCCACTGGCTTATAGTTTCTTGGTTGAAACCCACTAACTGCCTCATTTAAGTGGATATTTTTGAGTTTTTGTTGTTTTCAAATGCACATTGAGTAGAATGTGTACACATTGAATTTCCTCTTGGGGATTACTTAAGTTCTTATCTTACATTCACTGAATATTGCACAATTATATAGAATATAGTTTACAAATACCATGAAACCACAAAGACCTCCTGTTATTTATTTTATAGTACCTCTGTTTTATATTAAATAATTTCCATGTTTCTGCTCCATCTCACTCTTTGTCTAGTCAAGTAAAACAATGAAACTCAGGTCACGAGGTGAGTCACCACTAGCAGACTATCAAATAATAACATTCACTGTGTAATGTTTGGCTTTTTGAATCTTCAGGGGGCAGCACTGAGCAAATCCTTTAAGATTTTTCATGAGACACATCAAATACCAAATTTTCCAATGGGCCTGGTTTAAATGCAAAATTTCTTTAGGAAGATTAAGGCCCTAAAATTGCAATCTATTTTTGCCAAGGAAGAAAGAAAGAAAGAAGCAGATATAGTAGGGTCGTCGCATTCTCACTGCTCAGGCTCAATATGTTGTTGTGGTGTGCAGCAAAATCTAAGCTTCCTTCCGTGAGCCTTTAGAACTCTGAACCAATCTCAGGGATTTGCTGTAGAACAGGGACACAATTTTTTCATATACACAGGCTGAATAAAGTTATGCATCACCTTTAACATAAAGGGTACAACTTGTCACGTTAAATATTGTCCTGAATACTACCCTGTTCTCATTTGTCCTCTGAAGAACAGCGTTTCATTCCATCCTGAGGTCTTTTGACTGCTTGTTACCATGTTTGAGTTTCTGAATGAACACATTTGAGATACCAGTATTTTCCTTTATGCCCAGTATGTTCAGGTTTGGAGATATCTGATCTTAATGGGACTAACCTGGCTAAATAAAGGTCCAATAGATAAACAAAAATCCAGTTCCAGTATATCTTCAGATAATTTAATTATCCGTAGCAAACAGTGTAAACCCTATCAGTGTTACTCATTTAAATTCCACACTCACTCTGTTTTCATCAAATTGTTTTGTCTGATTTACAAATGAACTTTTATTTGGTCATTTTTGGCAGGAATGATGAACAATTTGACAAGAACAAGACACCTGGCACATTGGACTGTGGTGACCTGGACTGTAAACATCAGGATGCAAACAAATAATCCATTACTAAGTGCCGATCTCAAAACAAGATTTTCATCACTTGACATTGGGCCCTTGCTGTGTAACACTACAGCTCACAATAATCAGTAATTCATCCCTATTTCTTGAAAATGTACATCACATCCTCAAAGATATTTGGCATCCAGCTCTCCAGTTGCTGATGTTGTGTATTTCTCACATCAATGATGCCTGGTCGATGAAGCTGGCCAAAGTGATGTCCCGCTGGGACAGCCCCCCACAGTCATGTGTGCTGAGTGTTATCTGGACCTGAACAATCAGACCAGAGTAGAGCAGAGGGAAGAAAAATGTGATTATGACTTTATATGACTAGAATATTTTTCTCAAGTGAAAACACTGTGAGGAGTTTTCACTGTAATGACTCTGTTTGAACAAAATCTGGAGTGTTTATCTGCAGTGAAGACCACATTTCCCATCAGCCTCACCTGTTGTAAAGACATAGCTCCTGCCAAAATAAGCATTTGTTGTGGAAGTTATTCATGACATGCAGAAACCACTTCTCCATGTTCAAGACAACGTTTTTAAGAGTGATGATGTGTTGAACTTTTGTCTTGATGAGTTACAATAAATGTGAAAAAAATGCACATAACCAACAAAGAGCAGTGAAGATCTCTGAATAAACACTTAATCCTCTTCACAGCCTCTTTGCTCTTTTACCAACCAGAGCTCTTGCTGTTTGTAAAGTTTCTTTATAAAACAACAGACTGTATATATTTTTTAAAGATAAAGATAAGAAGATCAGAAAACCACTCGATTCATAATATGATGGTGCATTCAGGCCACATTAAAAAAAGAAATAAACAGAATAAGATTTAACTTTTGAGAATAGTAATACAGTGTATAAAGTGAGCATAACGTCGTGTAAAGGTAGGGTTTACTATGTATTATACCTTAATGCCAAAGAAAAAAAAAAAGCCTCTTTTGAATTCTGGGTTTGACAAAATATCACAGCTCTAACAACTTTACCCCTTTATTAAAGGTTCGCAAAGAACACTTTCTGTGTATCATTGAAAAACTTACAGTTTCTATGATTTTCAATGTCTTAGAAATACTCTCAAAATGTTCAGTCATAACTTAGAGCTCTTCAATTAAGGTGACAGCTCTGTGTACAAGGTTATTAATAATTATTACACATATATAAGAACTTATATGCAGACTATAGTGGCTGTAAGTAAGCGTCAAACAAAAATACTCCGCACCAAAATAAAATTGTGTCTTTTACATTATAAATGCTAACCTTATAAGACATTACGCTCACTACCTAAAACTCTTCATAGACATGGATATGAACTGTTATGAATGCTTTATTTCACTTATTGTCATATGTTAAAACTGAGGGGGCTAGGACTCAGCGCAGCCATGTTTGAGTCATGGATTATGTTGAATACCTTGTTATAAACGTTAAACCACTCAGGATGATGGTCCATCTTCTCTGCTTGTAAAGCCACTCTGGACATGAAGCCAAACGCCTGAAAGAAAAAACAATCTTGAGTCATTGGTCATGTATGTATTCAGTGTCCTGAACGGACTGATCAGATGTGATGTTTCAAGAACCTGATTGAAGTCTTTAAAAATAAACTCTTTGTAAATGGCGTCCCGACCAACAACCTCCACCCACTGGGCGCTGCGTAGCAGAGGTAGAAGGTGCGTCCTCTCCTCCTCGGTCAAACTCTGAATTTTACCGGCCTGATGGGACAGAACAGGGGGAAAACAGTTACACTGATCAGAGAGGGGGCAGCTTCAAAAACACTAACTGTGATTGGCTGCCTAAGATCCCATCTGGATATAATGAGAGGCTGCATTCTTGGCCCAAAAAACCAATCTGGTTCAAAGGTATGGGGTTGTGTTGGTGGTGGGAGGTCCTCGGGTTTCCATTTGGTCCCTCCTCCTCTAGTTCCTAATCTTAACACATGATACAGAATCACATGTATTTAAAGTCACTAATTCTCTTTCTAACTTTATAATCATCTTAAAATCTCAGTTTTGCTCCTAACATTTACAAGGTAGCATTTTAAAATTGAGAGGACAATTTGGGGGGTATGTCCCCAGAAGAGCATCAAAACCATTAAGCAAACAGAGATCATACCCTCAGCCTGGAGAAGGCAGCAGGATTGACATCAAATCGTAACTTAGCAACGGTCACATTTTCCACCCTAATCAGTGGAGTCAGCTCTCAAAACCTTGTCTATACCAGTAAGCCCTGTCTGATTATTGCACTCAGAGGCTTAACATACTCTCATAAACACAAGTCAGAGTACGAGTGTTTATTTTCTGTCAAATCCCTGCAAAATCAAACATTTTATTAACTGTATCATCTAAGCGCCTGCAGCAAAGCATTGAACAGTCTGACAAAAAGACCACAGCTAAAACGGGAGCAGTGTACGGGAGCTGATCACAGTTCTTTGAGACACACTGGACACTCATTACAAAGAGGCTATTTACTCACCATGTTTGCACAGTGTTTTCATGCACAGAGGAAATTCAGCCTCAGTCTGCCGCCTGTTGCACAGTCGCAAATCTACTCTGGCAGCCAGGCAGAGGGAGCAACTGGAGTGAATCCACACAGCACATGAGGGTCCTACTTAGCTGTCCCTGCAGGAGCCTGAGCAGAAATCCCCTATGTAGGTATCAAAGCTACCTATCAGCATTGGTTTGATTATGAAGCCTCATTTGTTGCACAAGACAGTCACCAGGTCAGCCGCTGTGGCAGGATACCACAAAAAGTATCTGCAATGAAATGAAGGGGGAAAAGTCCCTCTTTAATAATCCAGATACATGCTGCTGCACACTTGCTAAACATTAATCTGAATAAAAAAAGAGAAATAGCACACAGTCTCTGATTTCTCTCTTCAACAGGACAGTGCATTTTTCAAAACAAGCCCTGCCCTATCACTGACTGGAGTTCATGTCAAAGGTTAATGAGCTGCTCCTGTGAGATTTCCCCGCTGAACTCCTCTGTCACAGCGAGTGCTTCGGGAAATGAACTAGTTAATGAAATGAGGAGGAGGAGAGGATGTGACAAGTGATCAGCATTTAACAATTAACTAGATGTGGAAATGAGAACAATCTGCAGTGCTTTATTCAAACACTGGAGGGATTTAACCCACGGGACTGGAGTCACCTGACTGTTTGACCTCCAGAGTTATTTTTTTATATTTCACATTGGTGCACATTACACACATTTAAAGCTGCAAAGTTTCAAATCTCATTTTAAAGAAACATCTTTAACTCCAGTGATGGTTTGTAATGCATGTACCTGAAGTCATGTTTGCTCTAAAACATGCAGGTCTGCTGCCCTTTGACCACTTTTTATATTGGCCTCAGTGTTATAAAGAAGAGCTGTGGAAGAAGGGTTTGTTTGCAGATAGCACCATGGAGTCCTGGAGACTGCTACGAGCAAGTCTTACTTTACTCTTCTTTATGACAGGTGTCCATGGAGGATATTTAACATCTGGTGAGTAGTCTCAAAAGTTTCCCCTGAAATAATAATCAGCACTCCTAAATACTCTCAGGGTACCCAATTGGTACAACAGCTTCATTTCTGCATTTGCATTTTTAGAGACTGCTGTTATGATTCCTGTTTAAGCTCCATAATCAAATTTAAAACACACTGATAACCAATGAAAATGTATCCTGGACACTAATGCTCTGATCTTGATTCTGTATTTATTGAACCGATTTATGTGTGTCAGCTGTAAATCATTGTTGTTCTCATTTATTAAAGCAGAGACCTCTCTGAAAATGGACCAGGCTTTATTGACATTTCAAAACCAGCTGTCACAAGAAGTGCTGGTTTTCTACACAACAGATTTTTGCTACAAGGTGAAAAAATAACCTGACACTGTCCTTCTGTTTATCTGATCATCTTGGTTTATCTGCTTGTGAAGATATGAACAGCTCAGCAAAGTGACTTGGCAAGATGCATATACTGCAGCATGGTTTATTGAGCATTCAATGAATTGTTAAGATAATAAAACACATCCATGCTCTCGTACAAACCCCAATTCCAGTGAAGATGGGACGTTGTGTAGAACAGAAATAAAAACAGAATACAATTACTTGCAAATCTTTTCCTTCCCATATTCACAGTCCAAGCCTCCATTGTGGTATTTTATACTTTATAATGCTTCACACATGGGACACGGTCTGAGCTGCAAGGCAGGTCAGTCTAGTACCTGGACTCTTTGATTCTGAAGCCCTGCTGTTGTAACCCATGCAGAATGTGTCTCAGTGTTGTCTTGCTGGAATAAGCAGGGACTGTAGATGATCAAATCTCTAAATTCCTGCACTAGTAATCTGAGAGACATTGTTCATAAACTGTTGGACTATTTGTTCACACAGTTGTTGACAAAGTAGTGAACCTGTCCTCATCCTGGCTTGTAAAGGACTGAGTCTTTCAAGGATCCTCCTTTTATACTCAATAATGACCCTGACCTGTTTCCAGTGAACATGTTCACTTGTGAAATGATCCAAACTTCAGTTTTTGGAGCAATCCTCAGTTTTCAGACTTTTGTCGACCCTGAACCGACTTTTTGGGAATGTGCTGCAGCATCAAATTCAAAATGAGTGAATATTTACAACAACAACAAAAAAAAAACACTTAAGTTCATTGGTTTTAACATTAAATGTCTTGCCTTTGTAATGTATTCAGTTGAATATGTAATGTTTTACGCAATGTCTCAATTTCATTGGAATTGGAGATTGTAAATATTGTCATTTCTTCTCATGTGTATATCAAGATGTGTGTTTGACTTTATGACCCATCTAATATGAAATCAGTTTAGTGCTTACTTTTTGCTGAAGAGAGGTGATGCAGCAACAGGTATACATTTGAGTCTTATGAAATGTGCTGTTTCTTAGAGCTATAATGAACAGACCTTTGAATACAACAAATCCTGTACCTCCAAACAGTGATACCTCTATTTTGTTTTTCTTTTGTTCAGTCACTTCAGACAAAGGCTCCTGAATCTACATCTGAGCGTTTTAAGCATGATGTACATGTGTTCTATGGTTCAACTGTTTTTCTTTTCAGTGTGTGTATCAGCATTTGGTCACAGTAAAACCCAACAACGGTACTGATTCTGCAGTCATCAGCACTAAATTCACCCTCACAGTGCAAGTGGAATCACAGACCAGAAATGACACATTTTGCAGGTAACTTAAATTATAACATATATTGATAACATCAATTTTACCATCAAACACAGAGGTAAAACACTTAGATCTTTTCTGTTTACTTCAGCCTCTGGTACTTTATTGGCCTTTTTTGCAGACATTAAACAGTGAGGTGTCTTCCAATGGTTGCATCAGCAGTCTGTAAGATTATTTACAGCACTGTGGGAGTCATCTTGACCTGCTTTCTGGACCTTAATGACACCCTCCCTTGCATCGCCTCGCTGCGTATTGATCAGGACCCTTTTGGGGGTTAATAAGACTTGACATCCCATTATTGATTCAAAGGGCTTATAAAAGCTCAGAGCCACCCTATTTCAGAAAAACAACAGCAAGATTTCCTAAAATCCCGACTCTAGGAGACTGTATGACTGTGATCATAACAACTGAAAGGAGTAAGGTAAACCAATAATGAAGAGCTTTCCATTAAAGATTCACCTCTAGACATGTCATCACAATTCCCAAGAGATTCACCGGGACAACATGAGACTGGTGCTTTTTCTTGACCTCCCAGAGGTCTCGTCTTCTGTGGCCCACGTCAACACTGAGGTCTCTAACCAAACTGAACTGCCATTGATTTGGTTTTCCCCTTGAAAAAGCACTCCAAGTGATAGCTAGTACATCATCCCAACAGTGAATCAATATAAGCCTGTAGTACGTGGTTTGGGGTCTCAACCTGGACACATAAGATGACAGAGGGATGCACTTTGGTTTAGTAGACACTAGATGGTACTCCTGAGCCTCATGGGTATAGCAAAGTCATCAGATAGAGAAAGAAAGACCCTTCTCTACAGCAAAATCTCATAGTAGAGGAGTTGACGCCTAACATATATATGTTACTCTCGTACAACTCCTAGGGCCAGTGTGTCTTAATACTTTGCTTTATTGAATACAGGTGGAGTCAGACATATGGAGAAGGGGGTCTTTACACTGTTTGGATCCACATGTCAGAGGCCTACGGTGATCCAAGCTGCACTTACGCTGTCGACAAAACACCAAACAACGTATACCTGCGTAAGTGCACACCAAACTAACCATCATTTTCCTCGGGGTGGGGGTCGGGAGCAGGCTGCTTTGGTGAAAAACTGTGACAGTAAAGTAACCTGTAGTCATGCTGAGGTTGAGTTTTTCAATCTGCCTTGATTTTATTGAGTTGGCTTCAGAGAAAAACCTCATGACTCATCTACAGAGCAGTATTTCTCAATCATCTCTTGGGACATGAAAAGTATTGATTACACGGGGCTTGCTCTCTTGAAAAGGGTTAAAAGAAAGCTTTTCTGTTTGTTTTGAAGGCTTGGCTCCTCATATGGAGGATTGTGGGTAATACATTAGGTAGTGGGGAAGGATTAGGGCATAATGGGATTTTAAAAGCGTCACTCTCCATAATGTACCCTCTACTTAACAATATTGCAGATTATAATGGAGATCAGACCTTAAGGCCAAGTAGCCATTATCTAAGCAGATATACAGTCAGTGCAACTACAGCACACACACACACACACACACACACACACACACACACACACACACACACACACACACACACACACACTATAATGAGCTCCTCCATCCTCCCTACATATATATATATATATATATATATAATATATATATATATATAATTTTGACACCTTGTCTGATAATACATGGTACATTTGTTGATTTGGTAATGTGTACTTTAGTACTTCTTTTTGTTTTCAGCTCTTTTAGTGGCAGCTCTCTTCATGGTCATAATAGCTCTCTTATACATTGGGGCGCCCTTTATCTACAGGTATTCTTTTTTTCTTTTTCTTAATTCAACATCTCCACAGTGAAAATCCCAAACTGCATTGATTAATTTGACACCAGAACAGACAGCCTAATACTCGCTTTCCCATTTACAGCAGGTGTTGTACATCAAAATGTGTTAAGACCATATGCTGCCAAGGCTCACGGTACTCCATGGATCATGTGAGTAATATGTTTTTTTTATGAATGCTTTTCATTCATATGTTAATAAATTCAGTAGGAAGTAGAGGGTGACCTGGCTTGATTAGAACAAATGGGCTATAAAAAGTCAAATTCATTTCACTTTAAGATAAGTGTTGAAGTCATGGTCTCATCTGGGTGGTAAAGATCTCAGTTAGTTTAGAATGAAACACATGAATATGTTCACCATTGAAGTGTGTATGAGATTAAGGGATGAAACCTTTTATCACTTCATATGATGACCTGATCTGGTTATAAATTCCTGCCTTTTACACCAAATCTGAGGAACACTGCGTCTGTCTGCAATGGTTTTATTTCTCTGCTATAGTACATGATGATTTTATATTGTTCTTTTCTTCTTTTTGTGACTAATCCTGTTGTGATCCAATCATTACATTTCATTTTTTTCACTGACCATCCATGTGGGCTGAGATACAATCCAAATTGCTCCGAGACTCCAGTCATCAAGCCATTTGGGAGACACTAATGGAATGATTGATATAAATGTTAGCAAAGCCAATTATAGAGAGGACTTACATGGAAGCAACAGAGCTTTGTATCAGTCCATTAATCTTTTTGGATGGCCTGAGTTGCTGCGTACTTTTAGTCAGCATGAATGGCTCCTCTCAGCATTTCTAGCATGAAGTCTTTGTCTTCCATATGCTGTCTGGATGGCATGCAGATCCATCATAACATATTAGTCCTGGTGTCTTCCTGATCTGGCTCTTTAAACTGCTGTATGGAGGCCAGTGAGTCAGGCTAATCCAACTGAGGGGGCAGCAGGCCAAAGTCTTTGCTGCCTCTAAAAAGGAAGTGTAAGCGCCATATAACTGAACCGCACATAAATTGACCCAGGCAGATAGATATCCAACATTAGTCTGAAGCTTTTGACCCGAGCAGCAATCCAGTTTGGGGGTTTTGTCAATATTTTTTATTCTCAGAAACATTACTGAAAATCCTGAAACAAGTTACATTTTATTTGGTTTTTGGAGAATGTGACTTACATGACAGTACAACCATTTAATCTTTTTCTCCCTTTGTTTTTAACCTGTCCTGTTCTTAAATCCTGAATCTGAATTCATTTTAAAGAGAAAAAGGTACAGACATAAAGAAGGTCAATAGATGATTAGTTTGACCAAATCAGGAGTATGAACTCTCATCCCATTCAAATACAACCACTACACACTCAGTGTCCCATCATTCCTTTCTGCAGATTGATTTGATTTGTGTGACCTGTGACCAATGTGATCAGGTTAGCCCTTGTGTCACCCTTGCTATTCAGAATCAATGACCATTGTCAAAGAGATTAAGCTTTAATGCAGCAGGGTGATTAGTAAAGAGGTGGGGTACTGTTGTCATCAGAGTATATTTAACCCTTTATGGAGGGATGGTTCCCTGGGGGTTGTTGTATTGTTGATGTCTCTAAAAAGGAGGTGAAACCTGACAACTAAAATGGAAATGGACAACACCCAGCAACAAGACCTTAAAGGCAGAGTAGCAAGGTCGCAGCAAAGACTAAGAAATGAAATTATCAAATTAAGAGTTATCATTCAATTAAGATTTATGATTATTAAATTAAGAGTCATTATCTCATAGAGCAGAGCTCTAAAATCTCCAGACATTGCAAGTTTTGTGCCCGGGAAACAGCGAGCTTTTGAACATGCTAAAATATTTTACAGCTCAGAAAACATTTAGTCTCTACACAAGGCCCAGAAAAAAAGAAAAAAGAAAAAAATAAATAAAATAATAATAATTATAATAATTATAATAATAATAATAATAATAATTATTATTATTATTATTATTATTATTATTATTATTATTATTATTATTATTATTATTATTATTATTATTATTATTATTATTATATTTGAAAACTCCTGGCCCCAGGGCCCAGACCCCCATAATCTGGCCCTAATAAAACCCGTGCATGGCTTGGCTCTTACAGAGTTTTACTCATTTACAAGTACACACTGCTCTCTTTATTCCTCAACCATTGTAAAGCAACTCCCTAAAAAATGTTTTTGTAATTATGCCATAAGGATATGATGATGGACAATATCAAAGGTTTTTGATAAGTCAAAGAATATGCAGAATGGGATCTTTTTCATTGTCAACGTCTGCACAAATTTTAAGAGCGAGCTGCAAAAACAGTTGTTTCTGTTGAACTTTTGTCCCCAAAAACATAATTGATGGCTGCATAGTATGTTGCTCTGATCCAATTGTTTTTTTAAATGCATGAGTAGATGAGTTTTTCAAGGACTAAAAAAGATAAAACAGATACATGGCAGTGGTTAGTAAATTTTCTGTGATCATCTGATGTGATTTGCAGGAGTCATTCACATTTCTTTTCATCACTCAACTCACACCATGTAAGGAAGAATAATCTTGTTAGCACTTTCTTTGTAACATCAACAAACTTTTTAAACATTGAATCAAAAGTATCATCACAAAGAAAGTGCCCAGTGAGCGATTCAAAACACGTGAATTTTCATACTCATACCATTTGGTGAGCCAACTCAAATGATAACATTGTTTTATCACCTTATGAGTCCACAGGTTGGAGAACAAGCTTTTGAAGCTGAGCCTGACACTACTGATCCTAAACCACGACGTCTGTGCTCTCTGGACACTTTCCGAGGGTATGTAGACCATCAGCAGCCGCACAATTCATATACTGAAAGTCTTTCACCACATGCTAGTTCTTTTAAGGTCAGTCTGAGGCATAATTAAGATCTACATTCCCAACATAATAAATAATTAGAGGGGTCACAGTCTGGTTAGAGGTCCCCTGAAGCTTTTGTTATCAGGCATTACAGCTCTGGGATGATTTGTGATATTGGTGCCATCACGGGTTTGGAACAGTGTGTTTCTATGGGACAAGACTGATGTATGTGATTGAATCTGGGCTCCCTGCTTCCCCTAATTGTAGCCTAGGGGTTGACACAAAGCACGCCTCTCTGGAAACAGGATGCTGGTGTGTCTTTGACCTCCCTCTTGCCAAATAATTGATGTAATGGTACCCTCAACATATCAGCACACATCCACACAGCCATAGATCTCCTGCCAAAATGGAAAGTGAGACGTAGCAGCAGCAACACAAAGGCAGCGTCCAGGAGATGATTTTATCTTCCCTTTTCTGTGGCTTCCTCTTGCATAAAAAGCCATCTGAGACCACTGTGCATTCAAATCACTGCATTACTCTATGCAAATATGAGACAAATTTAGTTCATTGTCCTTTACTGAAAAAGTTCAAGAAAACCATGCAATCAAAATGCATTTTCCTAGAGAGTAAAGTCCAGCTTTAAATTTTATGTCAAATAAGCTCTACTAGTATAAAAGTCATAACAAAATTAAAGCATACACATTAAAACACATTGTTCTGTATACTATAATAAATTAAAGAAATATTCATTTGACTGATGTGTAATTTATATTGGGTAAATATAAATTCAAGGTAATGATAAAAAAAATGATAAAATACTAAACACAACAATAATAATAATAATAATAATAATAATAATAATCACGACTGATTTTTTTCTTTTAAAATTACACTATTATTTTCATATTAATTATTACTACTGTTTGCTGTTTTGTAGTTGTTCAAAAATGTTATTACAAGTATTTTTTCATAATATAATAATCTCATTTAATTTTATATTTAACCATTCTTGTTTTCTAACAAACTTTTTTATCAATTACACTTTAAGATTGAAAATAAATCTCAAAGTGTTAAAAATGTCAAATCAGTGTAGAGTCAGTTGAGGGCTAGCAGATATGATCAATGTTTAAAAGTCCTTTTAAAAACATTTTCAAAGTCTCTGTGTCAGGCTGCATTTGTGTAAAATCTTATTCTTCAACACTACATCACTCTGGCATTACGGATACTTGTTGTACATTGATGTCCCAAATGGTTAAACTGGGAAATCTCATACTTAATCAATCTATGACTCAGCACTCATGATCAATGCTGCCTGTGCCTCCCCAGTGCTGTGGTTTATGATCCATACTCCTGATAAGTAACAACTTTCTACAGAGACCAGACACATCAGTCATCTGCTATAAATGCTGAGACATTTCTGACGGCATATTGCTTTTCCTCTGAGCTGAAAGGTTTTTCTGATCATTGCTCAGCCTCCACTGACGTGATATACAGAGAGCAGTCAGCTGCTGTTGTGCATTAATTTTCCTAAAAGGATTTGGATTTTCATCTTGAGCCACACTACTGAAAGCCTGTCGCCAGTTTCCTTACAGCTGAAAATCTCACCTTTGTTGTGCCGTACCACAGAGTGAACAACCATTACCACAAAACAATGGATTAGCTTTCACACACTTCTGCTCTGTATCACTAGCTCTGGATTTAAGCCTCCAAAAAGAGCCTTGTCATGTCCATTATTTTATAAGGACTGCCTGCTCTGCTTGCTCAGTACTTTGCAGTGGCAGACAATCCTGTACTGTCCTTTTAATCCTGGTTGCTACAGTGTCATGAGTTTGCCTTTTTGTTTAGTCTGCCTAATGGTGCTCACCGTAACAATAAAACCCAGAGGCTGGTGTAATTTCAAATCAACGGGTGAACAAGGGACCAACTTCACCCTTATAATTCAGTGGTTTTCACCAGGTCTCATCTGGCAAGTGATTTAACCTCTGTCTTTGTAGCTATGGCGACTAATGGATATGTTCTTCAAAATTAGTGTGTGTGTGTGTGTGTGTGTGTGTGTGTGTGTGTGTGTGTGTGTGTGTGTGTGTGTGTGTGTGTGTGTGTGTGTGTGTGTGTAAAGAGAGAGAGGGGGGAGCACAGGGGGTGAGAGAAGAGCAGAGGGGGGAGTGGGGGGGGGGGGGTGTGTGTGTGGGGGGGGGGGGGCATGGACATGGGCAGCAGGGTTTACTCCACTTAAAGAGCCCTTTGAGATGATAGTGTCCGATTAAATCTTGTATCAGCAGCTTTGGGCTAAAGCAGGAGTAATGGCTTTGGTGCACCTCTTAATTGAATCTAGGCAGAAAAACAAGAGGAAGCACAGGGTACAGAGCACCTTATCAGGCAGCGTCCTTCCTGAATGTTGTCCCAATCTACTGATGGCTCCTACAGACACCTCAGTGAAATACATTTTATTGCTTTTGATCAAATAAAATATGATTCAGAAGCATAAATTCTGGTATTTTGGGGTGTTAAAAGGACTAAATAAGGCCTCTGAAGCGAGCCAGGCGGTGCTAGCATTACACTGTGTAATGGTCCCTACCCATTTCCTGACATGTAAAACAAACACCTTATTTCCTCCAATGTCTGATTCAGAAAAGCACTTTATCACATGTGCTGTATGTCACCAGCCTTGGCCAGCGCTGAAACAGAAAGTCTATCATACATTAGATGCAAAGTCTTGAGTCAGCACTCCTGCCGAGGAGATCCAGAGGACAAGTGTTCATTTCCTAAGTGATTCATAAAGAATAGATTGCATTACCTTGCAATTTGAGTGTGACAGAGTAAAATGCCCTCTCTTTGGCATCTTTAACTGCAACTCAGGAGTTAATTTGGAGCCACCAAGTTGGATGGTTATGAAGATTTAAAAAAAATGCATAAATAATTACATTTCAACCTGCATTTTATATTACTCTTATTTGTTTCATTCCAATCATGGCAATGTGCAAAGCTTTCCTCAAAATTAAAGGAAGATCCTTCATGATCTTAACATGGTTCATGTTTGGGAGGGAGAAGGAAGAGGAAAACTCAAAACACAAGTGAACAATAGAAATATGGGCTTCTGTGTTGAAAGTCTAACTACTTTTTCTTCACACACTTACTCAAACTTTAACAAAACCATTCAACTCTTCAAATATTCAAATCATCAGATAAAGAACAGTCTGCAGTTTGACTACAATCACAGAGATGCACATCTACCTTATGTTTAGGATGCTTCAAATAAAATCTCTTCATCTACTGAACTACAAACTTACAGTAATACTCGGCTTTTGATCTTCAACATATCTGTGATTGAACTCAACCTTGAGGTTTCAATAATCCTGCTTTCATAAACAGCCTGTTGGTGTGTGTTTTCTGAAATCTACATTATGTTGTCCCAGACTTCCTCCCCATACTTCCCATACTGTAAGTCTGATATAAGTATTAATTTAACCTAACTTTGTTTAAACAAAGATATCCTCAGACACTTGTGTTTTCACCTGTGCTTTAACACAGAGAAACTTTTTTATCCTTTTCTGATTTCCAAAAACCTAAAACTTTGAAAAGGCATTTTCTTCTCTTTCTGTTAGAGCTTTTACATCCACTGTCTGAACAGGAAAAGTTTGTGTCATCTGCAAACACACAAACTGCCTAGTTTTCAGACTTCATGTGTCATTTATATAAAAAAAATTAAAAAGCTTGGGACTCCAAAACAGAGCCTACCAGCACGACTCATTCAACATTCTTACACTCAGATGTCATAGTATATCTGTAGTATCAAATACAATGGTATATCTCTTACTTTCCGCTGCTGTTGTCATGTCTTCTGTTTGTACAGCATCTGTCTTGGTTTTTGAATCAAACTAGCTGAAAAATTGGCCACCATTTTCCACTGATGTCTCAGTTTTCCCTAATGCTCTGCAGACATGCTGAAATAAGAGATACTTTAACTTATTGTGTTGTTTGCTGCATTATCATCAGTCTCTCTTTGTAGGTTTGCCCTGACAGTGATGGTTTTTGTGAACTATGGCGGAGGAGGCTACTGGTTCTTTCAGCATGCTCCCTGGAACGGTAAAGTGTCACACAGATGTGAGATGAGAAGGAGGGAACAGTTGTTGTGTTTTTTTAAGTTAAGCATGTCTCCATAACTTTTGTACAGTTCTTGTCACTTTTTAGGGTTGTTCTGCATTCATATTCATCAAAGTAATTTTGCCATGAGGGTTTATTGATTCTCAGCAAGAAATCATTCATCTTCGTTTCGCTGCAGAGAAACTCCGGGGGTACAGATATTCACACAGCCACACATCCTTAGATGAGAACTTAATGACAGAGGCATTACTTTTAGGACCGATCATTGTCCCTGATAGAACATGTGGTCTTGATGGATGTCAAATGTTAGAAAGGATGAGAACTCATGTCTGTCTGTTTGTTGATGTTTATTCATATTTGTGGATTGGTTGCAGGTCTAACTGTGGCAGATCTTGTGATGCCATGGTAGGTTTGTTGATATTTAGGGGTAGCCTGCTCAGTTATCAATATTTTAGTGTGTATTTTTCGCAGTATAATGCCAAGTTTTCTTCCAGGTTTGTGTTCATTATTGGAACGTCGGTCGTGTTTGCTTTAAGATCCATGCAGAGAAGAGGAGTGAGCCGACTGCAGCTTCTCCGCAAAATCACCTGGAGAACAGCCGTCCTCATGATGCTGGGCTTCTGCTTCCTGAACTACTCACCAAGAGATGGACCACGTAAGAGTGAACATGTAGCTCAGGAGCTTTGTTCGTCAAACAAACATGTAGTTTTCATTTTATTGTTGTGTCAAACATACAGCATACTTATACACCCCTCTCATGCTGGCTTATATGACACCATGAGCTCATAAAAATCCAGGGTCAGCGCATAAAACAGACCATCTGCACAAAAGTACATAAACATGCACTAAATAAAAGGCCATCTTTTCTTCTGCACCAGTTGTTAAGACAAGATCAGCAGCTTGACCACACCAGATTTGAACAGCCACTCCAGTGTTCATCTGGCCTCCACAATAATTCAGGCTTTTGGAGAGCAGATTCATAAAACGATCACTTTCTCAAGTCATCACATTGACTAAAAGGAGGTCTCCTCTTCATCCAAATCACACAGTCTGTTTCTTAAGGCGTAGTTTTGAACCGACCACCCAACCTCAGGTCCAGAGGAAGAAAACCAGATCTTAACTGTGTGACCAAGGATCTCTGGCTTCCAGATTAACGAGATGTCACATACTGATTTTGGTCTGGATCACTTTCAAACAATTTTTCTTCAAATTTCAGCCAGAGCTTTTCTTTCATTGAGTAAACATGACAGCACAGCTTATTCCTCATTTATTCTGTCCTCTGTCCTGAAAACCAAACCATGCCTTTTCAAATTGCTGGGATTGGAGCAAAACTATGAACCTTTAGAAAGTACCATGAAGCTGCACAGTGTCTGAATTTTAAAGTCTTTTAAACCCCACACCCCTGCAGCATAGCTTAATATTGGAGATGCACAGAATATCCAAGGTCTTTACAGACTTTTAGATTGTTCATAACTGAAAACCAAAGCTCCACCGGCTCACAGGTCATGTATTTACCAAGAAAGACTGTTAAATGTATCACACATGCTGATAATTATCCCTAATGGAGAGAGCAAGAGGGTGTTTTGATACTGAAGCACTGAAATATGAATCAGTTTCAAGGATTCTTCTGTATTATGTCACAAAGACCTCAAAGATGACTCAATATTCAGCTTACCCTTAAAGGAAATTCATCCAAGAATATTTACTGGGTTGTTTGAGTTATTGAAAAAACTGCATCCAGATGTGTCATGTTCAATCTGGTGTGACCAAAGACTGTTTATAGAATGGACGCCACCTGTCGCTGGGTGAAGCCACCCCGAGAACAGCACCCCCTGGTGACGGGCAGCAGTATAGGTCATAAATCCCACCTCCTCCAGCAATCCCTATGGAGCTGTGGACAAACGTTAGAAATTAATTACACAGAACATACATTTTTCCCCCCCTTGGTTGCGATGTTGACATGTAGTTAACGTAAGACTGGTTTGTGCTCAAGTCCTCTTTTTTCTGTACAGTTCCATTTCCAAAAGTTATTAGGTGGTTCATGTTTTCTATGACTCACACTTGATACAGCCTATGGGTGTACAAAGATTGTGTAGCTCACCTGGGGGATATACTGTTTGAGCCAAGCATCATCACAGAGACCCTCGGTGACTCTCTCGCCGAATGGGTACAACGTTACTGCACAAGTGGTGGTTCCAGGAGGTGGAGCAAATCCTGAAAATACTGAGAGCAATTTGGCTTCAAATTCATATACTGACGGAAGGCAGAGCCAAGTTGTCCATAGTTTATACAGTGTACGGGTGTGACTTAACGTTGCTGACACACTGGAAGTTACAAAAGACACCTCAAGACTCCCCCCACTTTGAAGGAGACTTTTCAGTGAATCCAGCATTCACCAATATTTATGTATATTATTGTGCACCTCAGTTTGCTTAAAGTGTCTGATTTTGACATAATGAGGGAGAAAAAGTTGACAGCGAAGAAAGAACCACTGCCAACCACATTCATGCAGCTCAATATCTCAGGGTGCTGTAGCTGTCAGCACCTTTTTTAATCAACTTTCCTCCCTCATTTTGTCAAAATCAGGCATTAAGTGCAATCTGCCACCCTCTTAATCCCCTAACGTGCAAATGTAAGCTTGCATAAAGTTGCAATACAATGACATTACAATACATTATGTAATTTAACCTCTCTACCGTAAATGTCACCCTTTTGGTAGGAATTCTTTTGATTTTGAGTTTTCTAGGAAAAACTCATATTTGTCTCAATATTTTGTCAATTCAATAAGTAATCAAACACTCGGGAGGGAGATCAGCAGACTTACAAAATAGTTGCTGAAGGCCTTAATTTCATATAAAACTAAAAGTGGTGACAAAATCAAACAAGAAACAAACACAGATTTCAAGCTGCAGGTCTGTGAGGGTTAAATAAGGAGAAGGCTGCAAAAAAAGAAAAAAATCCTCCATCACCATCCACCTGGGGATGCTATATGGGCGCCTGCCGCACATTAGCCATCCCCACTGCTAATGGATTTTCCCGGGTGGATGTCTGCATAACTGGGTTAACAAAAATATCATTATTGTTTCTGCAGTCTCAAAATCCAGCACCAGGGGACGTTTAAGAGAGGGAGATTGAGAAAAAACAAACGGGACATAATGGACGATCACAAACAGATAGTGTTACACTCTTTAGTCCCATGCAGCTGCTGTTGAAGCTGCTGCTAGAGCTGATCATAACATCACAGAGTCCTTCACTAAAAACTATACCTCTGCCCTCTGTCTCCAAGGATGTCCTTGGCGGGTCACTCTGAACAATAAATACACCCTGGAAATGGAATAATATCAACTCAATTTTTTTAATGGGTTCAATGTCAGACAAAGAGGAAAAGATCTTAACCTCCAACATCAAGTCAGATTAATTCAAAATAAAAGCTGCAGAACTTAGAAGTCAAAGTCAATTTTCAGAAGCCCCTTCAGACTCAAAACTTGGTCTTTCAACTAGGGTTTGATTCATCAAAGACTGCATGGTTCCTTGCAGTTCTTCTCTGATCGTTCCCCTCTGGAGTGACTGACAAAATCCCTGGATCATCTTGGGATGGATGCAGCCAGCTGATTTAGCAGACGTGTCATTAGTGACAGCTTCCTCTTATCCTTTCTTTGATTACTGACACTCATTTGATTTGTTTGGATCAATTATTGGGGTTACACCATTTTTTTTCCATCTAAGAGGTTTTCAATTAACTAATGTGTGGATCACTATCAATCTCTCAACCACAAAGCAGTCCACTCTGTGTTGAGGCCAAGAGATAACTGGGAACCTTTGATTAGCCTCCCACATTCCTGTCATGTCCACATCCTGAAGGCTAAAACCATTTCCCCATGTGTCCTGCTGACTGTCCTCCTCCTTTAGCACTAATGGGTGACAGAGGAGATGTTATCATGATTTAGAGGATCAGGTTTGTAATGTTCTTGAGACAGCAGGAATAGGGGAGCATCTTTTAAAAATGTCTATCAATGCTTTTACTTTAATAATTTCACCAATAAAACAACAATAGACACAATGAAATAAAAATAAGTAATAATGATAGAGATTTGAAGCCAGTGATGGATGATGATGATCATCAGTGAGATTAAAGCCTCACATAAAGGTTCATATTCTCTGTTGTTGACTGTGTTCCAGTTTCCCTGTCCTGGCTGAGATTCCCTGGAGTACTGCAGCGTCTGGGCTTTACTTACTTTGTTCTGTCTCTCCTGCAGACTTTCTGGGGCCAGAAAGAAATCCCTCTGAGAACAGTGAGTGGCTATGTCAAGTTCACTTTAGCCAGCTGTTACACACACACAGATCGACAAATGAAAGACGTCCGGTCTGACGTATATTTTCATGAAAAGCTAGTTCACCCTGTCAGTTCTAAGGTCCATTTTATCATATCATGCTGTGTCATCTAATATACTGCAAGAAAACGCATAGATTCATTCTTATTACATTATGTGGACTGTGTGATGCAGAATCACTGGTGGAGCCCTGTTCAGGATGTCGTCCTCTATTGGCAACAATGGCTGATCATCATCCTGCTGGAGACTCTGTGGCTGTGCATCACTTTGCTAATGCCTGTGCCTAACTGTCCAACGTAAGTCCAGCAATGTTCCTAATTGTCATAGAAGAGAACCACAGTGTACCTACAGTCAGGGGTGTTGCCATGTCTCCATTGTGCAAAATAAAAATAAAATAAAAAACATAAATAAAATAAAACAAAAACAAACAAAACAAACAAACAAACAAAAACAAATAAAGCTTTAAACAACTATACAACAACTCTCCAACTACTCAGAGAAGTTGACTGTTTTTACCACAAGGTCATATCTATGAATATTAGGTCATATGAGATTTTATATATTTTACAGAGACATACATCAACACGATGAACTTCTTAGCAAAGCATAGCCTAAATATGATGAGAGCTAATAGAATTACAACTAACTGTATTCAAAATAAATTTAAAGTGTTGGCTTGAACCACTCTTACACCATGCTGACCTCACCTTCATTTTTATGAAACTTGCCCAAAGCTTTTTCTCCTTTCTTTGTTGTGTTTTTGAAATCTTGATTTTGCCTTCATTGGTGGAGACATGGTACTACCTGTCAGATCTCACATTAAAGGGAAGGGAAGGAGAGCTGAACCATTTGCATTGAGGAGAGGTAAAAAGAGCTCCTGACCGACAGTATGTTTACAGTCAGGTACAATAGTCCGACTGACACTGGACTTTTAAAAAAGATGTGAACATGTCGGTCCAACTGAAATCTCATTAAATCGAATTGATTTTCTCTGTCATGTATTCAGCTCATCAAACTGAAACTGACCTAAACGTTCTGCACGTGCTCCAATTCACAAGCCAGACTCTGTGCCGGAAGTTGAACAGCATGGATATGTAAAAGTGGATGTTAAACAAAATCTCATCAGACAAAGAAAGGACTCAAAATAAATAGATAATAATACATGTATACAAACAAACAAACAAACAATGTTTTTTATCATTTAAGATAGATCCTGCACATACAGCCTCTAACAAGCGTGTTTTCAGACATAATAAGTCAAACAGGAGATGACCCCATAGTAACAAGCTAAAAGGGTGCATCTCACCACCTACTGTAGCAGAGGTGGGCATGCTATTGTCAATGATTCAATTCTTGCCCAGTATATGTAAACTGGGACAAGGACAGCAGTCCAGTTAAATCACCTTACTGAGCTTAATGACCCTAGCTTCACTTAACTGTGCATGTATATGTATTTAGCGTGACTTTGCCCCCATCTCTGATGCCCCTGCAAACAGCACACAGTCCCTCCATGCTGAGCTGATCTCAGTCGGCACTGATGGGCTGCAGCAGAGGTGTATGTGTGCACCTTATGTTGTGGATGTTATGAACCGTCATGATTTATGAGCATGTGGTGGATGCTTCAGAGGGGAGTAATTACCCAATCTCAGTCTGTCATGTGCAATAAGAGGAGGAGGGAGACAGAAGATCCATCTTCCTCGCTCTGTGTCTTCAGCTCAGTGCTGCTTTTTTGTTTGGAATTCTCCCGTCTTTGAACCAAACTAGTTTTGCTGTACACTTTGATTTCAGACAGGAGAACTAGTTTCAGTTTAAGTTAAAGTGCCTTCTCTTCACAGAGCTGGTGTTATTGAAACATCTAAGGATCTTTTATGAAGTTCTGTAATGATGTGAGGATGTGTTGTCAACCCAGATCTCTAACAAAGCTGAAAAAACAAGCCCTACTCTTTGCCAGCAGATGGAGCTTTTGTGGTTGATCCATTCTTGTTTTCCTCCTCATTTCAAAACTCTGTATGCATGTAAACACCTGTAACTTAGAGGTCCAAATCTTTTGAATGAAATCATCCTATTTTGTTTGTTTTCAGAGGTTATCTGGGAGCTGGAGGAGTGGGTGATAATGGTCTTTACCCAAACTGTACAGGGGGGGCTGCAGGTTACATTGATCGATGGATGTTTGGGGATAACATGTACAGATACCCCACATGCAAAGTAAGACCTTTTTTTTCCTCACCATATATAGTCATCCATCACAAAAGCCTCACTGGGAAATATACGTGATAAATGACCTTCCTGGTACTTTCAAGGCAAACTTGAGTGCTTTGAAAGGCTCCTATAAATAAGATGCATTATTGTTATTTTTATTATTATCTCCCCCTGTCCAGGAAATGTATCAAACCACACAGCCCTTTGACCCAGAGGGGGTTTTGGGCACTATCAACTCAATTGTCATGGGATTCCTCGGGATGCAAGTAAGAAGCCCTTCTTTTTCTTTTGTGATGGAACAAGAATACATTTTTTGAAATGTGGAAAAAGAAAGAGAGAGACAATTTAGCTCAGTTAAAAGTTGATATAACATCCATGAATGATCATGTTTAACAGCTCCATATGTCAACAAGATAAACTCCACAGTGAAGTTTGTTCTTGAATTAAGACGGTGTAAAAGACAGTTTACCCCTATTTCCACATGTACAGCTGTCCTCTTTTCATGAAAAAAAAACTGTAAGAGTGTCTCTTGTAACCATTTGTGTTGTGGGAAGTCGCCCTGCAAAAACAGCCACATTGCTCAATTCCCAGTGGGTGCTTCGCACCGACCCCGTCAATCAGCAAGACTTAGACGAGACGCCAGGTGTCTGCTGCCCTCTCCTATATGCTCAGCCGTGCCAAAGCCCTCAGCTGAAACATATTCATCATCACCAAATTAATCAGATGGTGCCGATGACTTACACTTCACATCCACCACAATAGGGCAGGGGAAATGGGACCGCCAAGTCATAGACATTGACACCCTCATCCCAGGCGTATTTTGTTACCCAAGGGCAAATACATGGTGTTTACACGGTACTTCTCATTAAATGTGTGATGATGAGCTGTGGTGACAGTGTGTGTACTGACCTTGTTCTCTACAGGCTGGGAAAATTATCATTTTCTACAAAGGAAGGAGTCTCCACATCCTCTGTCGGTTCCTGGTGTGGGCCGTAATCCTGGTGAGTTATATCATTAGCAGGTTTTGGATCCACTCCATTTTGCTCACAGAGCTTACTTTCAAAAGACTTTAAAATACAACAAAAGAAATATAGGTTAGATTGATATAGTTGATAACTTTGAAACATGACAACAGTCAGTATTTAGGAGACAAAGTACCCCTCTGGCTCACAGACAACTGAGGGCTTGTCTGCTCTGGCCGTTGCTTCACAGGTTAATCTGCAAAGTGTTTTCCTGCCACTTTGATATAAGAGATAACTGCTGAAGCCATTCATTAGCAGGACACTGCAGAGGACACGTGTGATCTCAGTACAATAAAACAACATGCATGTGTAGATGGTTTCCGGGCAGTAATGGGTATCCAACTCCTCAGGGGAATACACTCTATCCCTCCTGTTTTTATTCTTTTATTTTTCTATTTGAAGGGTTTTGTGCACTCTTTAGGAACATCTAATAAAGATACTGATCAATTAATAAACTAGTGAATCCAAAAACTATTAGAATAGTATTTTTTAAAAAGGGTATATATGCAGCAAAATGATTTTTAAAAATGGTTGAAACATTTTAGTTTAGGAGTCTAACTGTTATCAACATATTTAACTGTGACATTGTAATCACTTTCTTAAAGCTACTCTGAGGAACTCAAGCTTTGTGTCATTTTTGGCGTCCCCTGCTGCCCCCTAACAAAAGAACTTTTGAGTCAGATGTTATGTGTTTTGGGAGTATTTAATGGGAAGAAAAGCCTAAACAGAGGTTTATTTCTTCAGCTGCTCAGCAGACACCCAGCTCCTGATGCCAGTTTCAGTTGTTAAAAAAAATTACAGTAGAACACTGTATAAATTGCCTGTGTTGTCACTGACAGTCTTGCTGTCTTTTGTAGGTCAGGAATCAATATTGATTTCAGTCTGTTTTAGAGGCAGAAAAAAACTCCTCAGAGGAGCTTTAAACATCTGCTGCAAAATATTATACTTTTTGAGATGCATGCACATGACATCAGGGATAAACTGATATAACTAATATATCATCAACAAAAATCCAGTTTTTTAGACAAGCATTAAGGAATATTTTCGCTCAAATGTGTTGTTTAAAACCCTGCTCAAAGAAAACAGGAGGTCCTGGTTGTCTCAGATCTGTTGTCTTTCTGGGTGGTCTGTGAACAAGACAAGAGGCAAGCTGGCCTCTTTTTCATTTACAGGGGGGGGCGTCCCACTGGGAGAAGCTTGGTGTTATATGAGATGGCCCGTTTTGCATTTCTAAACCTGTGACGGGAGGCTGTTAATTTTCTCTAATGAGATTGAGAGATACCCACGACCAGAGACCTTGCTTTGCTGAACTCTGTTTGGCCACAGTATTCACAGAGTATATGTTCAGGAAGATGCTCCAGAGAGGAAGCTGCTCACAAAAGGAGGTCAGAATGAGCCTTCATGCCATGGAGGCAGACATCCTGAACCAGCAGCCCTGTGACCTAGAGCGATGATGGAGCTGGAGGAGCTGGAGCAACACTTAGATTCTAAAACCCAGCTCTGCTGTATGAAAAGAGACAGAGAAAGTCCAGCCAATGGACCACATGCAGGAGTAGAAAGAAGAAGAAGAAGAAGAAGGAAAAGAAGAAGAAGAAGCTGTATGTTACCTTTAGCCTTTTCTGCAGCTTTTTACGCCAGCTTCATTCAAACTGGCATCTGTGAAGGTTTTACCTACAACAAATTATGGTACATAAGAGATGGTAACATTAGACACATTTAACTAAGGGTTATACAGTTTTTAAAAAGTGGATCAACTTGTAGAATGACAGTGAAATAGATTTCCTCACATTACAATGGTTTTAATAACTTCTACAAGACACTATCCATGTCTGAAACAGGACTACAATGTTAAAGCTAAATTGCTCTGTTTCCTTTTTGAAAATTTCAGCATCTCCTCCACCAGCTAAGAAAGCACAATGCGTTTTACAGACCGGCCTTTTCATATTGACTTTATCCTACATTTTTTCCTCTGAGCGGAGGCAGGAAGCAGAGCTAAACGGCCTCTTATTACAGACATGTGCTCTTATCATTAGCAGGTTTCCTCAGTGGAGCTTATTTCTGCCTTCATCCGACCACAGAGCTGACATTATACTAAAGAGGCTCATAGAAACAGTGAGGGACAAGCTGAGGCTTTACACTGGAGTTAACTGAAGTGTGATTTCAGTGATGGATTGATATTCAGGAGCAGCTATGCATCTTCCTCTTAGTAAACAACAGCCCCTGTTAATTAAAGTCCAACGATCAGGCTCCAGAGTGAGAGATTGAAATTGAGCGAATGTCCCACATACCAGCCCTATTCCACATCCTGCCGCCTGGATAGCCTGGAGACTCAATCCAGCTTAGGCTAGGCTATTTCGACACAATTGATTCTGTCATCTATACACATGATGGATATCCACTTTTACAAGTGTGATTGGATTCAGATCCACACATCTGGGTTTCTGTTTAAAACAGAGATGTTTTATTAAATATATAAGAGTAAATAGAAAAAAAATAAAGACGTGTTGCTGTAGAGTTCATGAGATGAAACACTGTCCTTTTGTATCATGGACTCAACATGAGTCAAATGACCATGACTCCTTTTCACTATGAATGGTCAAACAGCATATTTGCAGCCCGTGTGAGACTTCTTGGACCTTGTTCCATGACTCTCACCTAATCATTCAACCTGCTGGACAAGCTTGATTCAGTTGCTTTACATTTTAGCAGCCTAATGTAGCTTGCTTTATCACCCCACATCGATTTGAAATCTGTTTCATTTCCACCCTAAGGGAATTTCTGCAGCCATCCTTACTAAGTGCACACAAGATGGAGGATTTATACCTGTCAATAAAAACCTTTGGTAAGTGCTTCCTGACCCTCTTAATCCAGCCACTTTTCTCACAAAGAAAGAATGGATTTTCCGACAGGCACAAATCAAGGTTGCTAAAACACATACTAACTTCCTCCTTACTACAGCTCCAACTGTAAATAATCACCCTGTCCGTCAGGAGTGTGAGGTGGAGCAGTGATACATCCTACATGATGACTCTTCCTCACAGCCAGCAAGATAACGGATGCTTTATCCTCTCTACCGAAGAGGCCTTCACCTCACACTTTAACAGCTCTGTGAGATGGAGTGGGACCAGACTGGAGCATGTGCACAATGACAGCAAAGTCAAACTGCTCACAAACTATCATCTAGCTTTTCCTTCCAGATGAAAAATGGAATAAACATGGGATTTGATCCATGCACGTAGTAGCTCTGCACATTTACTACCTCAGACAGTGTTACAAGCCCTGCATCTATCGCACTCCTGCATTAGCCTTAATATGATGTCAGTCATTTTAATGCTGTTGCAGGAAGACTACCATTTTGTCCGTGATGTGTAAGCAAATTTCTCAAGATGATCCACAGGGGCTCATCCCTCGCCATTACCTGCCCGGCTTTTATGGGCAGTTTGTCATGCAAAGGTTATTGAGCTCTTGCCCACATCCCTGCCTGATTGTCTAAAAGTAATTACCTTTCTGCCAAGAGTCCATTTTGGCCCCACTTCAGATGAGATAAAATTTTAAAAAGCCTAGTGCAGGAAGGCTCCTGGAGGCAGCCATTTTACATTAGATGATATTACATCAAACATTCTTGCACTTAGGAGCAGACAAGGACATGGCTGGCTGGCACGGCTCCATGGGGCACGTGCCAAGGATCCACTGCTGATGCTTTAAGACCAGCTCAGCCGACTGGCTCACAGTTTGCTAGTTGGACACACGACTGCTGTTGGTTGTGTATCTTCAGTGTTGCTTTTATAATCTTGTATTTCACATGTCTCACATTTCTGTTTCTCCCATAAGAACCAAGCATAAATGTTGCTGTTGCGGTAAAATGTTGCTCATGGTCTCTGCAGGTCATTGTCCTATGTGACGTGTATGGGCTGCTTCTCCTTCCTTTTGCTGGGGGGCATGTACTTCATCACTGACACAAAGAGCTGGTGGGGTGGAAAGCCATTTATATTCCCAGGTAAATTTCACAAATCAAAGGGCCCAGTGCTATTCCTGGTTTGTATGCTTCCTGTTAAAGAATGAAAACTCTGACTGGTATATCATTTCAGACCTTGAGCACAAAACACTTCAGGCCGAATCTACTAAGATCCCAAATAACAAGCACTAAATTGTGTGTACAAACTAAAAAAATGCATGTGCTATTATTGGGTGTGTTGTGGGTGATCTACTGTGATTGCGTGTGCAATTGATAACAGGTAAAAAAAAAAGTGGTGTGGGCCGCCCTATTAAATGAGGATTTTGTGTGTGCTAACAATAGTCACAATGGAGAGCTTGGGAGAGCAGAGTGGCCCTAAACGAAAAACGATGTTTGAAGCATGCTATAGATGCAAAACACAGACCAGAATCAGTTTCCAGGTTTGATAAATCACATTGCGGGTGATACATGATTCCATCTCCATCTCCTCCTTCCAGTATTTTACAAGTATTCTACAAGCACAACCACTGCTAATGGAAAGATGAGTAAAGCTGCACAACACACTCAGCAAATGCTCGCCGAGTCATTCAGCAAACACATACCATATGACCATTTTTTTTGTAGGATATACAAAACATTTTTTGTGGTCAGATTATTTTTATCGGAAAATTTAAAAAAATAGTAATCGAGATATATTTATTTGTCCATATCGCCCACCATTTCATCGTTCAACCTGCAACACCATTTTTGATTTGAGTCAAGCAAACTTTAAACTTACATAAAGTCAGGCTTCATTAACAATTCTAAACTCACTAGATAACCACTTTCAGTCAGGTCTGTTAATACGTAAACTGCGATACCTTTAAAATCCAAGCATTCTGCTTTTTAACTCGCATAGTTAAGCCTTTTGTCCCTTTTGGCACACCATAGTTAAACTGCCATTGCTGCTGCAACCATGATGACAATAACAGCACCAAGCTTTTGAGTGGTACATTTTACTCAAAAAACTTACAGATGGCTGAGTTAACCAGTAAAAAGTCATTGCCCTTTTTGTCAAACAGGTTGAAAATATCACCAAAGAGCTTTTGGGAAGACTTTGGGCCAACACCTGCAAGCAAAGTATATGGTGCATGTGCTTTTCACTCACACACATTCAGTTTAAGATCCATACCAAAATGGTCTGCTACAAATATGTGTACCTCTACACCCCTACACTTTATTGCAGGACCTACAAAATGGAACTCCTAAAGAGTGCAGATGCTATTGCATTTGTTGAAAAATGATTACAGATGGACTGCACTGACACTGACTGGACATTCTCCAATTTCTTAATGTATTACATTGTCATCCCTTAAAAACACTGTTTCCAATAGAGCAAGCACTTTAAAGCTGACCATGCAGGTGCAGCATTTAATAAAACAGCAAACCTAAAACTCAAGATCATAAATTACATCTCACTGCTTTTATTTGATGCCTAAATCAGGACACTGGTGAGAGGTGCTTATTATTGAAATTCTGCATTGGAACAAGAATTAAAAAACAATTTTTCAACAGCCTTAGTTTGCGTAGCAGTGAGATTCGTCATAATCTACTTGCCAGCCCATAATAAACACTGAGTAGCAGCTTGTGTTGTGGAGCAGAGCTGCATCAGTGAGGCTGATATCTTGATGTTACGTCCTGTTAAACAGCTTCATGTGTTTTATGTGCTTCTCTTTATTCCAGGGATGAATTCTATCTTCGTATATGTTGGCCACTCTCTCCTGGGCTTTTACTTCCCGTTCAGCTGGGAGATGCACAATCAGGAGAGTCACTGGGAGTGGCTCTTTCAAAGCCTATGGGGAACTGCACTCTGGGTAATCATTGCTTACTTTCTGTACAGGAAGAAGTTCTTTCTCAAAATATAAATTGAGATCAATTTTTCCTTTTTAACTCTGTTTAAGTGATTATTTGATTCTTTTTAAGTCATATGATAAATATTTTGAAATCTGTAGGTGTTTGAAAGAAGTGTGATTAATTTTCCATGAAATATAACCTGCACAATTTAATCAGATCAGATTTATTCCTGCTGATATAAGAACCATCGAGGAGGAAATGTTGTCAAACCCATGCTCTAGATACGATAACCTTCATCCATGTAACTCATTTGACCATCACTCAGTTTCTGAACATTATCTGATCCATTGGCTGCGTGCAGCAGAGGATTCATTTGATGCCCCTTGTTTTATGCTCTGAATACACCAATAAATCAAATACACCAAAGTGGTACTTACCAAATTAGGCAGAGTGATTCCACTATAGACAAGGCCAGCCTTTATGAGTCTGTTACCAGGGCCACTCTTTCTATCTCTGTGTTTGTTTGTGCACCGGTACCATCTGCTGTATGAGCGACAGTACTTTAATGGGGGTCAAGATGAACAGCTCGCAAAGGCGTCTCATCTGGAGGACTGAAACATCTCTCACTCAGTGCATCAGAAACCACAGAGATTTTTTAAAAAAATCAAATTTCTGAGAAGGTCCTTTAGCTGCAGCCCTTCCCATGTTTAACATATCAAGAGGAGGTTTGTCTCTACAGGAAGGTTATCAAACTTACATGGGATAGCTGACCAGTTGGTCTAGTCATTTTTAGATGCTTTTATAGATCAAACAGTACTTTGCAGGTTTGGATATGTTTAGCTAAGTGTGCCCTCAGCATCAAGTCAGGTGGTATGTAGATCATGAAATAACCATCCAGTTAATGAAGTGAATCATGTCATTCCCCTGCCCTGGACTGAAATCATATTACAACATCCTTAAAAGCCACAGTAACAACAACATGTGTGTGTGCTGTCCTGGTTTGGATAATTGGGTTTTGGTAACTCTCATGAATAGATGTTACTGTTTGAACCCCTGTAGGTACATCCTGTCTTCTTGTACATGACTCAAGGGTCTAATTGCTTTCCCAAACTACTATGCTAGTGATGGAAATGCATAGCAGCATCTCCATTACATGAAAAAAATCAATGCAGCCTCACCACAGAGGTCTAATTATATCTGTAGTGTGCTTACTCCAGTGATAAAGCTTTGTATTTAAGTACACGCCTTAGCCTCATCTAACTTAGTGTAAGCAGGGGGAGTGGTAACTTCATCCACAGTACGAACTAAAACGTGTTAAAGACTGATTGCAGCTGTTTATCATCAAATAAGTCCAGACTTTCAGAGATTCAGATTAAAGATGTTGTTTGTTTGTTTTTATTTGATTTCTTATGACATTTCTGCTGCAGTTACTCCAAACAGATTAAGAAATCAGACTGCACCTTCAGCTCCCTTCATCTTTGCTGATTCTCAGTGCTGTATTATCTGTATTATGATGTTTGAAACTTCATACAGTTTTTTATTTTCATGCAGACTTAATGGCCTTTTTTGCCCTATTATGAATTCAACTCTCTGAGCATTCGAGATGAATATATTGTATCTTGGAGAAAAAGAAATAATTTCTCAAATGTATGAGCGATACATGTTTGATGAACACACAGCGAATACAAAGAGTTTTAATGTTTTGTTTTTTATTTTATTTATGTTCTAAAAGAGTAAAATCTTACATGTGTTTATGTGTCAGGGACTGTCCAAAAATGAATGCAAAGGCCATATAGGAGGTCATTCTGCTTTTTGACATGTTCTCTCTGTGAAGTAGTACGCAGAATAAACTGATCATACAATATTTGATCTATTTAGTTCCTGCTCTTGTCTTTTCTTGTTGTTTCTATTCAAAGTCAGAGCTTGGTTCTCACATTTTTAAGAATATAAGACATGACTTTGTCTAAGCAAAGCTGGTGCAAGTAAGACAAACTGGGTGGACCAACGTCAGCAGGTGGAATAATGATGAGTGTATGTTTTCTTTCACAAAGTTGATGTTTTTGAACCCCCTCAGTTCTTTCTGCAGCCCAGTGTTTTGCTCCATGTTGAGAGATTGATTTAGGAGTGATTGCTGTTTGATTGACCAGTGTCCTGCCTCAGGCTGTAGCAATGCATCACTACACACCATGCAGTCACAGAGAGATCCCTCGGTGTACCACAGCCCTCAGCTTTTAGACATGAGCAAAGGAAGGTCCCACATAGCCCAAAGGCACCTAATCTGGCTGTTTTTGGCAGATAGTCTCTGAACATATTCAGTGTAATTAATCAGCTAATAAACCCAGTAAATGGCTTATCTTGTTGGACTTATATAGTCAGTAGTTTGTAGAAGACTAAAATCTTGCTTTGCATAAAAAAAAATAATAATAAAATAAAAAATAAAAAAAACTTTAGCACAACGTTGCTGGATGTGGTTAACGTGAAATAATTCCAGTATAAATTTCAACGAGTAGTACTGTCCAGACTGTGATGTTGACGGGTTGAGATACAAAATGAAGAAAGAAACCAATTCAGTGTTTCCACCTAAAAAACTGCACCTGAAATGATTAAAAGCAGACCTCACCACCCCCTGGACAGTGTTCATGAGAGCCCTGTTAAAATTTACCTGAATTTCACTCATGTTATGGTCGGCTGGTGCAGCGGAAGCAGCAGAGGAGTGAGTAGGCCAGTGAAGCGGTGAGCCCCCCTCCCCTCCTCTCCTCTCCCTCCCCTCCCCCTCCCCCGACCGACCAGCCAGCCCAGCAGCAACAGCGGCAGCAGCCGTGGAAGCAGCACGCAGCCGCGCGCCTATGGGACACTGGAGGCTTCATCTGGACACAGGGAGCCACGCTCAAGGGCCACACAGCGGTTTATGAGACGTTCATTTTTTTGTTGGTGTTACTATTTTTAATCGTGGTTGGAAAGAACTTTTTTGAATCTCATTTTCATTGAAAAACTTTCACTTATGATTCGCGAATATGAGGTCAAGTTGTTTCTCTCGTGGAAACATCGCTTTGATGGTGGTGGTGCTGCTGCTGGCGAAAGGTAAGCTTCATCATCAGCGTTTTATCCAGGCTGAAGGAGTTCAGTTTGAACAGTTCCACGTTAGTGTGCTGCCGGATAAATATGATTTAATAGTCAAATTCCACCCCGGGGTTCAATTAAACATTTCTGATTCTGCTTTGCGGGTCGAAATTAAAAACAATTAATTCATCAATCAATCAGTAATAATTGATTTTCATTATAAGGTGTCTTATCATAACAGAAGTTATCTCGGAGATCAACAGGGACTGTCTGCCCCACGACCGCAGCGAGACCAGTTTTTCAGATGGCGGTCCCCCGATTGCTCAAGGATGGTTTTATTTCCATGGCTGACAACCTGACTGATATTCCCTCAGTTATTATTTAATATGCAAGGGGTTTTTTTGCACATGGTCGACCATTAGCTGTTTAGAAGTTGTTTTTGACTTTTCTTTGTCTCTGCCCAGTTTGGGACGCTGTTAATCAGACATCAGCTATTGAAAGCATCTTCAGCAGTCATCACAGTCGAGGTTAAGGTCTTTTTGTTATTTATTTTTTTTTATAGGAGGTTCACAGGTCACACTAAGTAAAACTTACTTCAGTCATGACTTACTACAGAGAGGAAAAATAGAGGGCAAGAGGAAAAAAGGAAGAATTTTTGGGCTTCAACAGATCCAGTTGATGTAAGGTCCAAATGGGAGCTCAGAAACACAAGAAAAGCTTCAGTGCGTAAATTCAGGTGGTCTTGATTCTGGGTGTTTCAGCCTCTGAAGGCTGAGTGGGTCTGGAGCATATTCAGTGAGGCCATGATAGTCAGCACTCTTGTTTTGCAGAGAGTGATACTTGTTGGGGCTCAGACTGTTATGTGTGGTATGGCACATTGAAACCTTGAGTCAAATGAATACAGCCATATATCATAATATCATAATCCCATTCACAATCCCACAGCCCAACTGTACCAACACTGTCCTCCCATGCCAGCTATATTTAAACCGTCTCTCAGCGTTTTGGATTGTGACTATATTGAAATGCATCAGATAGGAGGCCCCTGAATTTGTTGTCAGAGACTGCTTAATGTCAGAGCTAACGTCGCAGATAAAGAAGTTGAATTACAGTAAGGTCACAGTCCTGATGGATTCAGATGTCAAAGGGCTGTTTGAGCTTTTCCTGCTTGTAAAAGTGGATTTGAAAACTAAGGGCCTGCACGACTGCTCGGGGAAGCAGTTTATAGACATGTATTCAAAATTATTAACACAACTATTGTGTTGCCTGTTGTGTCACACTGTGTAGTTATTTTTCAATGTGTCCTTTTTGGTGTAGAAGAGCTGTATATTTTCAGATCACACATGCAGTAATGATAGAGCTCCTATCACATACCTTCTTATTCTTAGTTTTGCATGTATTTTTACTTTGTCCTTCTTGTTGACCACAGTTGGTTTAGTTTGAAGGACAAGATGGTAATTCATCTACACACCCTGTATTACAGTGGCACCCTTCACCTGCGTGGGTGATATAACAAAAGACCTACGCTTGTTTGGAGAGGTGAGGAGGCAGGCTGCAGGCAGGTGTGCAGCAGCTGCTGCTCCAGTCTCTAGGCAAACATTAGCTGCTTGTTTTGTTTAAGGAAATATCACCTGTTATATGACTGAACACACTCACACCGTTCAGATTGAAGGTTTGACATTAACTGCCCGCAACACAACACATCGGATTCATTATACTTTAGAGTGCATGCTCTTGCTTATGATGTGCTTTTTTATAACCACACATGAAGCACATCTCAGTTCACTACAGTGTATTTTCCATTGCCAGCATCATGAGCTGTTTGTGAGAGGAGCAGTTTTTAAAGATTTTTTTATGCCACAAAGATGCAAATAGAGGGTGAACACACACAGCTGTTTGTTGGTTTATAATGAGTATGGTTAGTGGGATCTCATTCCTGGCTGAAGGTTAACAATGTATTCACTCTTTTTAACCTTTTGGGACTACTCTTGAAAGAAGCTTTGATTAAAAGTGACCAAATGCTCCCTGCAGACTCCCCCTTAAAGAGAGGCACAGATGTGGATGTAAAAGCATGGATCTGCTCATATTCTACTGTGACCCTGTTACTTTAGCCTTTACAGTGACCTTTAAACTTGAGCCAGTCTCCTACAGCCCCCAAAGACTGCATGTTTGTGGTGCCTTCAACTGATTTTCTATCTCATTGCTTAAGATCACTCATTTTCACCTTTTGCTCCTGTTGAGGGCAGGACCAATAAACTTCCTGTGTATTAACAACTTTCATTTGATACAGCTCCTGAGTAAATGAGAAGATGCAGTAACATTTTGTGTTGAGCAGACAGCATTATCAATCTTTTCCACTCTTGCTGTCACAGCCTGTCTTAAGTATAACTGGTAAACATCATTATAAACTGGTTTTGCTGTTAGGTTTGTCTTCACTTGGCCATGAACTGCATTGTTCCTGCGTTATAGGGAAAGTGAAAGAATCAGATCACTGGTCCACACTGGTCTATGTGGCTGGCATAGAGTTGTGTTTAACATTGTTCCTTTTATTATAAAGAAGATTTTGGCAGATGGAGGGACACCACCTCCATCATTTTGACTGCCATTACTGAGGGCCAAGCCTTTAACTCGGGTTGTTTCATTTGGAGCTGCTGGCGTTGCATGGAAGCTGCTCTTACCTGTCAAAGCTCACTGCCTGATCCTCTAGTCAGTTCAGGGTCACATTTCCCTCCAGTGCACGGATAGAATCTAATTTGCTGTAGCGAAAGGACAAAGAGACATTGATTGAAATTTTGCCCTAAGGGCATTTAGTCCTCTTGTTTCACATGGGTCTTGACAAGTTATTTTCCAGTCGCCTGGCAATGCACGCTGTGTTTGACCCCTTATCTGAAACAATGAGCAAAACAACAAGAACAGTTTGTTTATTTCCACATGGTTTGTTGGACCTGTGGATATAGATATCAGTCAATGTAGCATTTAGCTAACTTCATCAGTGTAATGCCGTATGTTTCAAAGGAGTGTAAAATTTTTATAAAGCTATACAGTTTGGGATCAGATTGGCAAAAGTCTCTCAAATACTCATGCAAACCTTTTGCCCAGCCAATAATAATATTTGTGTTGGTTTCATCTGAGTTCCCCTTGTTGTGTGATGAACTTCAGTGAGGTGGACAGATGTGATGGAAATGGTTTTCCTTCAGCCTATAAGTTCTCTTTGAAAACGTCAGAAACTGAGAGCTTCAAATGTGCTGCATGATCAGTATTTGATCACTTTTAAGTGTGACCTGATGTGGTACGTGGCTCACACTGATCAAGAGTCAGAATCTAATCATATCAATCAAGTGAACTGCATTTATTGAGTTATTTCCTCTCAGATGCAGCAGTTCAAAGTGTGTAATCTTTATCTCGTGTTCCCTTTAACATCAGCTGTACTTTTTTTTTCTGGCTAACATTAGCCTGCTGAACCATAAGGGTCAAAAAATGTAAATATCACATTGTAAGCATTTTTGAGCGTTTTACACAATGAGAGTGCCATCGCAAAACCTGCTCTTCATGTTTCAGAAGGTCTAAAGTTAGTGTTTTACAGGCTTTGGTTTGGCTGGTTTTGATCAGGTTAATGGTATCATGAGACATTACAAAGATAGATTTTATTTGAAAAGTGGACAAACCACATTCAGTCAGCTAGTTGGTAGAAGGTTTCATGAAACCTGGCAGCTCAAGTCTGGACCACCGTACTCTGTTTGTGGCATCTCTCTGATGGGTACAGGGGTGTTTTAACAGTGTGGTTTAATCACCGGCCCATCAAAGTTCATCTGGAGCGCTTTGGTGTACCACATGTTCAATTCTGATGCCACATGAATCCTCAGACAGTGTTCTAAGATTCAGTTAATCCCCGAAGGGACATTGTATTAGATTTCTTATTGACCAGTGAGCATTGTTGGTAGGATCTCAGCTCCTCTGTTCTGGGGGCTAATTGGATTACATTATGGGCTTATTGATTATGATGTTATTTGCTTTACGGCACACCACAGGGAGCTAAACTTATATCTCAAATCCGGTCTGATGCTGTATCACGTTGTGTATAGATGTGAAGAAATTGGATCAAAAGGTGAACCAAGAGGCTGGTGTTCGAATGATGACTGTCATAATCCGTGCTCAGGTTTTGTTCAATTCAATCACTAAAAAGCACCAATCTTATCACTCTAACATTAATCGAAGCAGACTGATTGTAAGAGATTTCAGAGTGCAGTAACATTTATTCACAATTAAGACCTTCAGTTGTTGGATTATTTGTAATCATTAATGGATTAAATGTGTGTATAATAGATGTTGAAACAAAGTAAGGGTTTATCATGAGCATCAGAGATGATTAAACACATACAGCCATCAGCCTGTATGTGTCCAGTCAAAGAATCAGCATCACCCATGATTAGTCCTGTCATTGATCAGCTTGATTCATGGCCAAAATGATGCAGCTCCAGTTGACCTTGAGAGAGAAAGGACACAGGGCTGAGCTAATACCATAAGTGCTCCAGTCTAGCAACAGATTTGTGAGTACAAGTATTCCTCATGTGCTGTGTGGCTGACACTCAGCTGGGATATCTGGATGAGACCATTGGTTTTATTTCATGGAGATCTGCTAACGAGATCCAAAGCTGTGCGTTTGCTTTGGGTTAGGGTAGCACATGAGCTCATAGCTGGTAAATCGATCAGCCAAGGCACACATTGAGCTAATTGAGTTCCTGTCTTTGTCTGGGACAACAGAAAGGGCACCCCACCCTGTCGGCTCTGACCAGTCCTAGACTCACAGAGGCTGACTGAGCACATGGTTTCAGGTTCTGGGATGAGCGTCAGTCGATTTTAACACTCAAGAATTAAACCTAATGCAGTTTGTGAGGACTGGTCAGAGCCGACAGGGTGGGTTGCCCTTTCTGTTGTCCCAGACAAAGACTGGAACTCAATTAGCTCAATGTGTGCCTTGGCTGATCGATTAACCAGCTATGAGTTCAAGGTAACTTTTTTTTTTCAGTAAACCAAAACAATCCAACTTAATACTATTAAGTAAGAAAAATAATGTAAGAAAAATATACATAGAACTGTAAAGACATGGTACATAAGTAAGTGTATGTGCAAAACTTACACACACAAAGTCACTGATCAATAATTCAACTGTAATTGAATTGTAGTCAAGTCAAACCTGCATAGATACAGTTATTATGGAATTTACACTAACACACATCATGATACCTTAACACTAGAAATTAACCAAAAATGGAACCAATTCAAGGGTGGATCCACAGTTTTAAGAGGACATAAATCTATGTTCTCAATAAACGGCTGCCAAATATCCACAAAAAGGTCCCAGTGTTTCTTCAAGATGTGTGATTTTCTCTGATGACCCACAGATTGACATCTAAGATCTAATAGATAGAGAAAGAGGCGAAATCTGGTTACTTTTATATGTTACTTTAACGTAACTTTAGATTTGCTGTGCTCCAAAAAAAGATTTGTGGATCTAATGAGATGTTAGTCAAAGCTTCACCCAGATCGGGGCATGAAGCTGTCGTTTCAGTTCAGTTCCTCGTGGAATGGAGCATTGTCCTCAATAATCCCACTCCTGAAACACATGTTTGAAGTTTGGGGAGTTAATTGGTGTAATTTCTGAGGGTTGAAGTGAAGCTGGTAAAGAAGGTGGTTTTTGATAGGTCTAAAGCTGGCATTAACAGTGATGAAAATACTGTGTAACTCCAGCTTTTGGAGAAAATGGAGTAAAAGTGATGGTTAAACATCAGTTTGGGGAATTAAAATTCTGTAAGTGTTAAGTTAATCATGGTGAAGTTTACACACTGAGAAACTGGAGCTTCAAAATCTGTTTTTTATGTTGTGTGTCTTGTATGTTCAAAGACATAAAATTCTTATCAGTGCAAACAATAATAATAGATGCCTGCTGTACATCTTTGTACCTCATATCTACGTGTGAGAGCGATATGTGACTAGTGTTTGAATTTCCATCATACTTGCACATCCTGTGTGCCAGGCAAAGAAGGTGACTCATGCTTTGGCCCATCGTGGCTTCACAGATGCCATGTGCTGTGTAAAAAAGCCTTCTTAGTCTATTAACTTAATTGGTTTTGATATTTCTGTTTGCCCTATATTGGCATCAGTCCTGGGAAGAAATTTAATTCTGACTGATAAATAAAATAAAATTAATCGTGTTGCATTGATTCCAGCCACTGTGGCTTGAGGCCAAGGCCATCACTGTTAATATGTTCAGCTTCCATTAGGTAAGGCATGGCCTCCTCTGGTTTGTTCACAGAGCTGCTGTCATCTGTTGGGTGTTAATCATGACAGCATCATGTGGAGAATATCTGTACATGTGTGGTTTGAAAACAGAGAGGGTTTGTACAAAAACAGTCTCAGAATGTCACAGGATAAATAATTCTCTAGTTTTCCACTTTCCATGGCCTTACTGTAAGATAACGGCTCCATCTACTGGCCGTCATAAGTACTAACACGTTCAAATCTTGGGTTGCATTAATGTTTATCATTTAACGTTCAACTAACATCTAGCTGTTATTTGTATTTGTAACTTTACTTCATAAAATTTACTATAGGCTCTTATTTTTACACATAAGGACCTTTATAAATCCCTATAGATGCATTTGTAAGGCTTTATAAATGTACTCATGATGCATTGTACGAAGTGGGCACATATAAAGTGCTGCAGAAATTTCTTCTTGTTTTTCAAACTATCCCTGTGCCTGGAAAGTTCCTCCCATGTGGTTGTTTTGTAATGAATGTCTTTGTTTGATTAGTTGTCTCATAACTAACTAAACTTTACTTTAATCTGCCCCCTTGCTTTAATTTCACTCCAAATTTAAGTCTCACCACAAGGACAAAAAAATGGCAGGTAGTTGTTATTGATCACTGACAGCTGTTGGGTTATAAAACCATTTGGATGGCATACAACATTATCTGGCACTTAATGTGCTTAAAACATCGCAATCCCCTCCCACAAAGGCCCATCAGACATTTTAATGTTTCAGTTCATTCAAGCTTTGGTCTGCCTTCGATCATAGTGCTGCACCTCTCCTGAGTGTACGTACATCCTTCAGGAAGGCCGGCCTTAATTTAACCATCAGCTTGGCCTCCTATCATCCAACCCTGAGAAATTAAATCAATGGCTGAAACCAGAGCAGCAGCCTCATCTGCACAACAGAAATAGAAAATCTAGTTTTGCTGTTTGCTAATGGCATTAGTGTGTTCCCTACATGGTTGCCAACCATCGTTAAAGCAGGGATGTAATTACAGGAGAAACACTCACATATCCATTTTCCTGTAAAACATTTAGCCCGTATTGATCTACCCAACAGACACACACCCACACTCCCTTCTGGCAGATAATGATTAATTTCTCACCAACTCCCGTTACCCTTTGTAATAAAGTCCTTCAAGGTGACTACAAGGAGTATTACAAACCACAGGGTATTGAATGTATGACAAATGAAGTCATAAAAGAGCTGTTTAATTGATATGCAGGTCCATCTTTAGTCTGTGCAGTCAGAGAGGAGAGGTTGTGTCAAGTACAGATTAAAAAAAAAAAACACAACCTGCCATGTTCAGTGTATACGTGCAGTTTAGCATGACTTTCAGTCAGAGGTTAAGGAAGAGACACCTGAAGCTGTTACCTTAGGTGCTTTTCAACCTAAAGCACTCAGACCTTCAAGTTTCAGGGACTTCTCTGTAAAGAACTGACGATGCTTTAAAGACCCCTGCTCAGGGAGAAGTACTTTCAGGTGGCCAGGGACTTTTGGAGGCAGGGTCTGACAATATTCCTTAAAAAAAAGACAAATTTACCAGATACTGGCAGCACAGACACACAGAAAGAGAGGGAAGAGGGATTCTGGACGATATCCTACATAACCTAATGTTCTCTAATCAGTAAAAGTGGGTTTATTCATGAATTTTGATGCTGTCCATGTACATTTGTGGGTGTTTTACCACTTTGAGGGTTATTCTTATCAGAAAACAACCTTATTTCCAAATACTGTCCCTGGATTTCATTGACCTGATTCGTACAATTTACCCAGGTCTTCAGGCCTTAATGACAAGTTCCTGGAGCTTACAATTCTGGGTACTCAAAGAGCACCTTAAATGGTTAAAGTACCTGATATTAAAGGTCACAGTCTTGGCAGTTGCCTGAGGCTTTACTCTTCACATGTGTTACTTCAGTCTAATTGAATCTGTCTTAGCTGCCTGTATATATATATATATGAATAACATTTGGAAATATTGTCTTTTTTTTCTGCAGGAACCACTGGGCTGTACTTCCCTCAGAATGAATATATTGAGACAGTGTATGTTGGCCAGCCAGCAGGGACTCCTGTTCTTCAGGTCCACGCCATGCTAGACAGCCTCTCTGAGCAGCCACACTTCTACCTGTGCTGGACCAGCTCTCTACGGCGACCGGTCTACAGCTCCTGGTTCAATCTGGATGTCAACACTGGAATACTGTCCTTGAACAAAACCCTGGAGGAGGGCGACTTTGCCCTGTTATGTGAGTTGAGTCCTTTTTGAATAAACCTGCGATTGAAGAGAGTGGTTCAGTTTCTTGACATCTATGTCCTTGGCGTGCCAACAAAGGTACTGCCTCTAGTCTAATGATGTAGCACCAGAAGTTTTGATTTGTCTTTGTGTATCTCATCAGCACAAAAGTCATGGTCTGTGCAGAAGTTATTGCTTCATGCCATGGTGTTAAGGACCTTCACCAAGAAGTCCCAGTGCACCAGCAGGACTTCTCCTCGGATCATCCTGGACTTTGTCAACTCCACCATGCCCCATTGTGCTCAGACGGACATGAAAGAGCTATGTTTCCCACACAGAGACACCTCCAATCCCCACATCATGGAGAACAGGTTCCCGGGGGCTCTGCGACAACTGAGACGTCTCACCAGACTGAGCGTCTGCCCGAACTACACCATATCTTATGATGTCGAATCAGGTTTGACACATTCAAGAGGTACTTTGAGGGAATAAAAATAAGAATAAGAGTGAGAAGAACTTTATTGATCCCCGAAGGGAAATTCAATTGTCTGTAGTCTCATTTGTCATGCCTTAAAAAGTCATCTACTATTTATAGAAAGTAAAAATGTTAAACAAAAAGTTAATACATTCAGAAAAAAAGGTTGAACCCATAAGCAGTTAAATGGTCCATGACAGTCTGGGTTTAGGTGCTAGTTTTTATTGGTTTAGTGGACCAGTAGCTCATGTAGTAACTAACTCAGTGTGAGTATTGCTCTGCCTTTTATTGTCACAGAGTCAGGATAACACATTGACTCAGAGGCCAAATCTCAGACTCTCTCTCATTGACAGACACCCCAGCTCCATTTATTGTGAACGAGAACACCACAGAGCTGGTTGTGACCACGTCATTGGACCGAGAAGAGACTGAACGCTACAGACTCCTGCTGGTTTGCACAGTAAGGACAGAAACTGTCATTACCAAGGTGGAAACATCACTGGATGTCTTTGTAAATGATGAGGACGATAACTTACCATATGTGAACGGGTCAGACTCCACAGATATTGTTATCAGCTTTAATCGGACAAAGGTAAGAAAACAAAAGTGCACTTTTCTACATTTTGGTCACACATTTGGATCTTCATTACAACAGCAGTCTCTGATCTATTTTTCCCTAGGGGGGCTCGTTTGGCACTCTGTTTGTCTTTGACAGGGATTTGACCCCCATCTTTCCCATAGACCAGAGTCACAACAAGTATGTAGGGACTGTGCTCAATAGTGATCCATGGATAAAGGAGACATTTCACATAAAAGGGACCTTCAGTGAAAAAAAAGCTGCTCATGGAGGCATTCGAGAAACTGTTCACAATTACCGTAAGTAGTTTTGGCACCACCTGGATTCATGTGTCTTCATGAGCCGCGTTGTCTCAATGTTTTTTTTTTATGTTTTCTGGATCAAGAGCTTGTCCTTAAGAGGAACCTGTTTGTGACTGAGAACCACACCCTACAGCTGGAGTACCTGGTCAATGACACCACTTACCCTGGTCCAGAGGGAACGGTGTTGCTGCACTTCAATGTCACCATTTTACCGGTTCAGATCCACTTCACCAACATCACACATATGTTCACACTGACCCGCAAAGCTTCTGTTTATGCTCAGGTAAACACACCACTGCCTACCTAATCATATTTCAACCACAACCACAACCAGCTGCTGCAGGGAGTATAGGCACTCTTTTGAAGTTAAAGTCATTTATGACGACACTTATTCAATCCATGATTGACAGAAAGGCTTTGGCATTTGGACTTTGTGGGGAGACTTTGGGGAGACATGGTAAGAACATGTATATCTTTTAACTCCTAAGTTGCTTCATTCTTTAATTTCTGTATTTATCGCGGCTATAAATCTGGAATTTCCCCTTGTGGGACGAATAAAGGAATATCTTATCGGATAAGATAAGAAAAAATACTTACAGATGATTGATCTGATGGGCAGCAGGAAAATCCCTTCATGGAGTCCTGACACTGGTGGTGGTGGTGGTGGATGACTACCTTTATGTCCAGATGGATGATGAACGGGAAAGAATGTCTGTGTAGATTCTCATTCATCCAGATCATGGTTACTCAATTTGTTGTTGAAAGGGAGCGAGGACCTGCTGCTGCTATAATAAAACAGACAAGTATGATATTCCATTCAGTATGAACTCATTTGAATATGCTTCTGAGTAATACACTCAATTTCTCTAGATAAACTACATTTTACACAATGTACCTTTAGAGAGCAGAGCAGTGATAGGCTGACAATGAGGGTGTGCTGCTGTGCTAATAAATGAGGCCAAGGATGATCCAGCTGATTAACCAATGACAGCCCCGACACTGCACACTGCACATGAGTGCAGAGCTGTGTGAGAAGGTGCCATCAATTCAAGGGCTTTAACACTCTGCCGTTTCTTGATGCAGATACAGTAAATCACTAGTTGGCAATGAGTTAGGCAGTATTGAAACAGCAGGTGGCAGTGTTGAGCCTGTTTTTAATTTAACAGCTTTGATGTGTTTTTTTAATCTCAGTCATAAGGCTTTATCTTTATCTTTAAAACTTTTAAGTGTGTTTTACATAGGCCTTAAGCACGTTTGCAGCAGTCTTTAAATGTTGTTTGTATTGCACTGAAGTAGCTCGCTGTGAGTACACCAACAAAACAAAAACCAATCTCTTGCTAACATGTCCTCAGGTTGGGAAAGTCTGCGTGGAAAACTGCCAGCAGTTTGATGGATTCACTGTCACTTACCGACTCGAGGTGCCCGATAAGAACATGTCTGCTGGTGCTCAGGCCTGCTACTCAGCTGTGAGCATCACTCAGGCCACAGACGAGATGTGGGGACTGCTCTATGTGAATGACTCTGAGGCACTAGGCAGGCCTGAATGCCAGGACCTGCAGTACCTGGTCATAGCTCAGGAACAGCACACTCAGCTAGAGGCCAGCACACAGATCCACATCATACTGGAAGGTGAAGGTGAGACAGTAACAGCTCATTTCTGTTCTGCTTTCTCTGAACGCACTCATCAATTCCCAAAACACAGAGTAGTAAAGCATGTTGCAGAATTTTGCTATCTCCTTAATGTTTTCATTGTGTTTTCTCTGCAATGTTGCACTCAGCAAACAAGGCCAGTCCAAAGGAGCAGCATTTCCTGTCTTGTGCAGAAAACAGACGTCGTGGAGACTGCGAATCTGTGTGGGGTCTGGGGGCCACAACAGGGAGATGCCAGTGGAGGCAGGGCAGTGAGAAAGGTACATAAACTCATATCAGCTGTTTTTGTAAGTGAATCATGTATATTCTCTAAATTGATGGACCAGGGGAGGATTTCAGTAGACCATAACATTCCACACACCCACCTTGATGGCAGAATGTGAACAAAGAACAGCCAGAGGCTACTGTGCGCATCATCGATTGACAACAAGGACATAAACCAGACAAGAAAACGAGAGTTTAAATCAACAACCAGCCCTTCCAGCTTTTTCTTTGTTAAATAACCTCAGCTTGAATTATGAACATTGGAAGCCTCCATCTAAGAAGTGAAAAGAAAACATCACTTAAAGTAAAGAAAGAGAAAACTTTTGGATTCAAGCCGACACTGCATTATCACTTAGTTACTCTGATAAGTTAAAACAAGTCTGGCCTTATCAGTTTAACATAATCGATCTACTTGGTCCTAATCGGGTAAAATCTTTCTTTTTGGACAGTCTTTCCAAACATACATTTTGTAAATTACTCTTATCCATCATCACTTGTGGGTGGGTCAGATTTCAGCCTTTTCCTGACAGCTTTTTTGCTTGCAATCAGAGGAACATGCACCAGTTTCTCATCATTCACATTTCACCTATCAATTCAAATATCAACCATATCTACTGTGCTGCATACAAACGGGATGTTCACTCCAAATATGTCACTAACATTTATTTCCTGCTCATAAGGCACAATTACTAGACAACTCTAGGAAACATGAGAGTAGTTGGTGTGATTTAGCCTCTTGCAGCTGTGTTTAAATTCTCGCCATGAGGTCCATTTTTAAAGAACTTTTTTAAGACAAAGATTGTCACACTAAACTAAAAAAAACTAAATTGCAAGTTTGAATGTTGTCAGGTAATTTTTTCCTCTTTGTTTTTTCTGTCATTTTTGGTTAAAAAGGTATATCGGAAAACTACTCAACCTGCTCTCCTGACCTGCAGACGTGTCCAGATGGATTTTGTGATGCAGTTGAAAGCAAAGACTCATCGATATGTCCTCAAGATTGTACAAGTAAGGGAAAACATTCCCTGCTTTTTAATATATCTGTAGTTCTGATTGATCAAATGGTGTGAAATCCATATTTTCTCTCGTTTGTAAATAAGACTACTTTGAATTTTGCATTTATTTGTCTCATACTCTACTTGTTCCCCAAGAGGAAACTGTAATCGGGGGCCACGAACGAGGCTTGAGGAACGGCATCCAGGCTGGTTATGGCACCTGTTACTGTTACTCTGAGAGATGCTTCTGTGAGAAGGAAGATGTCGAGGGTGAGTGCTGCGTTTGTACATCACTGTCAGTTAAAAAGGAGATATTGCCTCCAAGAGGTCTTACTGCAGGACTTCTCCAGAATGAAACAGAAATGGGTTTCTGCTGTCTTGACAGTTGTGAATCACCTTTTCTTCCAGAGACATTATGTGATGACATGTGTAAAACCATCATTGCTACGGCACTGCTCCTCTCCTTCATCGTCTCAATCCTCATGTCCTCATACTTCATCCATCGCTACCACAAGAACTCCTCTAAGCCCCCTATTGCCTCTGCTGAAATGACTTTCCGCCGGCCAGCCCAGGCTTACCCCATCAGCTTTCCTGCAAACAACATCAGACGGGGCTCGCAGGAATCCATAGAAACAGACACCTTCAAAATACCTGTAAGTTACTTCCTACAGGTTGTGAAGGACTTGAATGAGGCAAGTATGTTTTCAAGAAGTCAAAAATGCTCGTGTGTTTTCATAGGAGGATCCGAAGTGGGAGTTTCCTCGTAAAAACCTTGTACTTGGCAAGACTTTGGGCGAAGGGGAATTTGGAAAAGTTGTCAAAGCAACAGCATTCAGGCTGAAAGGAAAAGCTGGTTACACCACTGTGGCTGTCAAAATGCTTAAAGGTAAGACAAGCCAGACTCAGACCAGAAAGACTGAACTGTCTTTGACAGAGGTGACTCAAATAAGCGATGTGTGCTCTGTCTCTGTAATAGAAAATGCCTCCAACAGTGAGCTGCGAGACCTGCTGTCAGAATTTACATTGCTGAAGCAAGTCAACCATCCCCATGTCATAAAGATGTTTGGAGCATGCAGCCAAGATGGTAAGACCTCATTGAACCTGCCTGACTTCAGCAGGTCATGTGTGTCACAAACTGAGTCTAAAAGCTTTCTCTGAATAGGTCCATTGTATCTGATTGTGGAGTATGCCAAGTATGGGTCACTCCGCAACTTCCTGCGGGAGAGTCGGAAAGTTGGCCCAAGTTACATGGGCAGAGACGCCAACCGAAACTCAAGCTACCTGGAGAACCCAGATGACAGGGCGCTGACCATGGGTGACCTGATCTCCTTTGCATGGCAGATCTCCAGGGGCATGCAATACCTGGCTGAAATGAAGGTATTTCCCTAACAAGGATTGCCTTAACTTTTTGACGTAAAAGTATCTAGTGTTCTGGTTTCTGATATTGTGCTGTGGAAAAAGTGAGACTAACAGTATTGGAGTAACAGAGGTGCGTCTAATAATAGGTCAGTGAATTTGGAAAAGGAGAGGGGCCTGATAACTGAAGGGTCGACCTCCCATACCGCTTTTAGAGACTTCATGTCCCACGAGCAGGCCTGTATCCTGTTGAATATGATGGTGCCGTACTATTCAGAGCTTTTTAGATGGGTTTGTTCTTTTACAGCCTTTTTCAGAGGGAATCTGGGCTAAACAGCATTGTGTTTATGTATAATACTGAATTTCCCTTCGGGGAAAAACCAACGTTATACATTTCTTCTTCTTCTTCTTCTTCTTCTTGAAATATAGTCTATTGCTCTAAGACTGCCTCTGAGGTGTCTATGATAAAAAGTATTCAACATAATTTATACTTTAAAATGCACCTATCATTGTTAAATTACAATCATGTATTTTGGCAGCCATTGTTTTTACCATAAGCAAAATGAGAATCTTGGTCTGACAGCTTGTCCACAGGGACCTTGCAGCACGAAATGTCCTCGTAGCTGAGGGACGGAAGATGAAGATCTCAGACTTCGGCCTTTCGAGAGATGTGTATGAGGAAGACTCATATGTCAAGAGAAGCAAGGTATAAAGACAGAAGAGCACCATTTCTTCACAAACCACAACCTCACTGACGAAATTAACATGTTTTTTTTTTCTGCTTTCCAGGGCCGTATACCTGTGAAGTGGATGGCAATAGAGTCTTTGTTTGATCACATCTACACAACACAAAGTGACGTGTAAGTTCAAAAAGCAATTACATTCAAAACATTGTTTTTTAACACAGACTTAGGTATATAAAATAACCTAAAACTACATTTAATAAATACACAGCATCTGAAATGAACAAACCAAAAATACTTACAATGATATTAGAATAAATCAAGTGAGAGCTAACAGCATGTCAATAAATTGGCGATAAAAGTTGAGTTTGACAGTTGAGTGTGGTGAACACTTTATATGAACCCACCTCTCATAATGTATTATTAGTACGCTTATAAAGCCTAACAAATGCAATTATTATTTCTCACAGCTTATAGTGATGTTTATGAAGTGTTAGTAGCAGTGAGCATAACACCTCTTGTGGTGTGGTCTGGTGTGCCTTGGTGCATTTGGTAAGAAAATGATAATTATTCAAATGTTTTATTGTTGTCAAGTATTATTGTCTGACTCTTCACTGACAGTTCTTGTAAATGTGTTATAGGATCATGTAATCGCCAATAACTTCATACAGAGCTGTCACTTTACTTGAAGAGCTCTCAGTCGTGGTTAAAAATGTTAATTAGACATTTTCCACAACAGAAGTTATAACTTTTTTTAATAATACATAGACAGATGTCTTTATTTATTGAATGAATCATTTATTTTACCAGGGCAAATACACAAGACATTGCTTCATAGTGTAAACAAAGTAGATGTCATGCACCATGACTAATCTGCAGCACCTGTTCTTGGTTAGGCTTCTAACAATCAAATCAGAAATTACAGAGAACTGAGTGTAAAATACTATAACCATTAAAAATAAACAATGAGATCAGTATTCACAACAAAATGAAGGATTTCAACCAAGATGGGGGCCAACAAGAATAGAGACTAAACACAATTTAACAATGACCACATTTTAAAGTCCACCTAAAGTTTACATGTGCTGTATATGTTTGTATTTGATCTATGAATTTTAACTGTACTGTTCCTGATCACAAACTTGCCATGTCTTTATATGTGGATTAAAATCTCCAGTTATGTAATTTGGCTCTATTTTCGTGCCTCGCCACGGCGTAAGTCAGGTCCGCCGCGCCGACAAGGCGTTCTCAAGCACAATTTGGTATTTTGGTGAGCGGCGCAGCCTGGCGTAAGTATCCCCCCTCCCTAACTCAGTTCCTCCCAGCGGCGTAAGTCGTAGGGAGGGAGGAGAGAGGGTGTGGAGTGGGTTTAACACAGCCGAGACCTGTATTGACCAATAACATCAGCTCCTCTCCTCACCTTTAAATCCGCCACCGGCGAGGGGTATTACTATTTTCGTGAAGTAGTCAAAGAGATCAAGAGATGTCTGAAAACAGTAATGCTACACAATGGCGACAGAAGACAGCCCCTCAACAAATGTCACTGTAAGCGCTGCAGAGGGCGTCCTTCGCACTCTCTCATATGAGCACAGATGGATTTGGTGTGTGTAAGGTTGGACCCACTGGTAAGACAAACACCCTTTTCCACAAATAAAGACACTCACATAAAGTTGCATATATTCAAACCTCATGTGACAAAGGTGGGTTGTGCGCACAGATCACAACATAAACTCCAAAAATGGCATTAAAATCTGAACCATCTGTGCGTAAATGACGCATCGCGCTCCGTGGCCTGGCTCTTTCTTTCATAGATGTTGGCATATAAAATAAATTTGGCTCACAAAATTGAATATTATAATATTTGTATGTAGGCTTAAAATAAATAACTCATCTGATCACTGAAACAAATCATCTGTTCAGCGGCCGCAGCAGCAGCTGCAGCAGGACAGGGAGAAGATATGGAGACATGTCCAGGTCGAGCTGCGTGAGAAATAAGATGAAGAGGAAGAAAGAAAAGGAGGGAGACGAATTACATATCTAGTTAACTTCATCATGTGTGTCTATTTACTAGATATTTAATTTAATTCAATGCGGTTTCAACTGTGTTGATTCGGTCAGGTTGAGTGTCCAAACGCGTGCCAAACGCACTCATCAGATCAGATATAGATCTAAATGTATGTGCTGACTCAGATTATTAGTTGTTGTTGATTATTTATTGCACTGAAATGTGCCTGACACTGTGGAAACCTGCCGGTGAGGCATTGGTGATGTATGCCGATACGCAGCCGGTCTACCAAAAAACCACTTGACCAGCTGCGCTTCGCCTGCGCTAAAAGCTGACCAGGTTTGAATCTGCGAGCTTTCAGCACACTTTATACGCCACCGGCGAGCACAAAAATGTCACTGCGGCAGCCTATTCTGTGTCTGCCACGCCACAACGCCCAGCTTGGTGGACCTTGGTGCGCCTCAGTTCACGAAAATACCAAATTGACTGTATGCGGGGCTCCGCCACCTCACCGGCGGACACGAAAATAGCGCCCATAGTTTTATTCCTCTTACTGAGACAGATGATTTACCGAATGTTGTTTTTCACTTTGCTACCAAGCAGTTTCCACTTACTGCACCTCTACTTCTGATTTCACTGCTTCACTGAATATTTTTGGTGCAATGTAAATGCATCACCTCCTCTTCTTCCTTCTTATCAAACTTGACCCTGAAATCTTGCGTAACGGGTTCTCTTTATTGAAAAGCATACTGAGACCCTTTTGTTATAGTCTGAAGTCAGTGGATTATGTTGGATCCATTGAGACACTCCAGACATTTCTCTTAAGAGTATCTTAGCTGTTTTACAGACCTATAGATTAGTGTGCCATCTTCATACATTTGGCAATTAAGCCAGTGAAGTGAGAGAAGGAAGGGAGCTTTTCTTTTGTTATAAAAGTATCCAAGCCTAATAAATCCTTGGGTTTTGATTGCCTCAGCTTCATACTGGCTTTGTGAATCTCACTTTGGTCTTTCTCTTTTATAGAATAGGGTGTTAACCAGTCTCCCAGTATTTTTTAATTGAGAATTTGCGGCCAATTCCTAAGCCGACTGCATAAAAAATATTATCAGTCATTTTCTATCTCACTCCTTTATAACTCATTTTTCTTATTTTTAATTCTGTAACTGAATTTTGCAAAATACGAAATAACAGCTTAGGAGAGTATAAAGCCTTATAGATGTTTTTATAGGCTTTATTAAATGAGCGTATGATGCACGATAAGAGGTGGTTTCATATGAAGTGTTACAGGTTAATGTTCAGAAAATGGTAGAGAGAGAGTGGAAGAAATCAGATTAATAAAGTTTAACTTAAAAAGTGTAACTCTTTTTGTTGTTGTTTTAATCTAGTTGGTCTTTTGGCGTGCTGTTGTGGGAGATAGTGACCCTGGGAGGAAATCCATACCCAGGTATTGCTCCTGAGCGCCTTTTTAACTTGCTGAAGACTGGATACAGGATGGAGAGACCTGAAAACTGCTCTGAGGAGATGTAAGTTCTACTTTTTTCCATTAATCTCCTTGTTTTTACCTGAAGTCAGCCATTGTTCTATAAGAACGGGATAAAATGATACTTAAACCCACTTTTATAACCATTTTTGTAGGTATGGTCTCATGTTACGATGCTGGAAACAAGAAGCTGACAAGAGGCCCACATTCTCAGACATCAGCAAAGAACTGGAAAAGATGATGGTGAAAAGCCGAGTATGGTGATATGCAATACATTACAAGATATGAAACTGACCTCTTTCTCTGTGCATGACTGTTAAACATCATGCTGCACCTTTTGCTGTACTTTTGGTCCAAAATGAGCAATTTGTATTTTTTTTTGGACAAAATTAGGACATAGAATCAAAAAACAGACATTAGTTCCCTATAGTTTCAAATGTGCCACTCTTCCAGAATGAGAAGTTTCTGGATAGCAATCCTGTAATGTGACTGTGTGAGCAGTGTAATCAGAAAGCACACTGACTGGGCCCCTGTGGTTAAAATGAGGCACAGGACATGAGTAAGCAGAAATTGAAGAATGAAGCAGGTTTGCCCCGAAAGACAGGCAGTGGATAATTCCCATAAAGTAATGAGTAGATGGTGTAGGCACTCAATTCTGCAGAGTCTTTTCAGAAACCTCCCTACATGCTTTCTGGCATTTTTCCTCTGCTTTGATCGTTGTGGCTCACTCTCTCAGTTATCAGCTTAATCACACCCTGATCTGCTTCTGTCAGGATTACCTGGACCTGGCAGCATCCACACCAGCAGATGCCTTGCTCTACGATGACGCCCTCTCCGAAGAAGACACACCACTTGTGGACTGTAATAACGCCCCTCTCCCTCGAACCCTTCCTTCCACATGGATTGAAAACAAGCTCTATGGTAGAATCTCCCACGCATTTACCAGATTTTAGACACACTAAAGTAAAGCTCTGTTTTTTGGCAGTTTGTCTTTGGCTTTTCCAAAGTCACATCTCTGTGACTTTGACTCTTGGCTGACATATCTCCCATTTCCATTGTAAATGAGAGGTTTAATGAAAAAAGATTGTGCTGACCTTCGTCTTTTGTCTGGACCTGCTTCTAATGTACATGAGTACAGTCTAGAACTCTACATTGTAAATTATGAATACAACCTTCATTTTGATTTACGTGGCACTGCTTAAACTCATATTTTATGTACATTTTATTTTAAGATGGTAACTTTTAACTCATCACATTTCCATTGTTATCATTTCCATATTTGTTTTAATGGGAGGGGTGTAACATTTGAAACAGGTCCACGCTTAATCAATTGCTCTCTGGGGTTTTTTAATTTCAGACTGTCTTAAATGTCCTGACTTTCTAATATGTATATTAGCAATTAATCATAATGATTTAACATTGCTGAACAGAGAAACAGTAAAGCTCTTGAATGCAACTCTCTGGTGAGATTTCTCTAAAGTTAAGAACATATTGGAGTTTTTAAACATTGTCAACTAGCATTTTTGAAAAGTTACAGAACCACAGTTAAAGTTCAGGTACTCATGAGCCTAAGTATAGCCTTGAACTCCAAATAATGATAAAACTGATCAAAGCTCCGACTTCATACTGTCTTATTTCAGAGAAAGATGCCACAGAGTTTAAATTGGGAGCCTTACTGTACACTGTTTATCTTTCCTTGAGTTCAGAAAAATGATGTGTTCTCGTTTTTAGGCATGTCATACCCGAACTGGCCAGAGAAGAGCCCGGTACCACTCAACAGACATGATGCCACTAATCCAGTCTTTACAAGATATGCCAATGATAGTGTTTATGCAAACTGGATGGCTTTGCCCTCACCTGCAAAAGCTGTGGACAAGCTTGATAGCTAGACACAAACCAACCCTGTTCAAAAGTTGACCGTATATTTTCATGTACAGTCAACTGATGTGAATATTTCTAAAAGACTGTATATATGTTATCTGATACTAAAGTTGGTTCCCTTCTATTTCATTTGCACGGGTGTTCAACAGTTAAATGGGGTCATTTAAGTGCAAAAGCAGCTGGATTAATATAGGCCATGCTTCATTCAGCTCTTTAGTATCACTTATTACCTCATAGGTCATGTTGGCCGAGTAATAACACTGCATGACTGTTGTACCAGATTGTATGCCAGTGTTAATGTCTTTAAAGTGCCTGTGCTGCTTCTACAATAGTCTCACTATGAATGTGCCACTGCAAAGATCTTGCTACAGCCCAAGAATTGAGGGGGACATATTTACCATCACCTGTTGTAGACAGCAGGGATTGAGTGGACTAAATCCAAATGTTGAACATGTTCTGAAACTATTCAGTTCCTTCTTAAAAAGATTGAACCATTGGAAACATCAGAGCTTTCTGTGTATCTCCCACAAGATAAATCAAACTGTTCTTGCCAAAGAAATGACATGTTCAGTGAACAGCTATTGTTTTCTGTGTTTTTCTTTTGTACATGAAAATATCAAGTCAGGAGTGCTACTCCTGTGTAACGACATGAGGCGTGATGTAGATTGTGACCTTGTCTTGTGTCGGACTACTGTACAATTTTTCACTGTATTGGCAATCTTTATGGAAAAAAATGATGTGAAATCATGAGTGTTATCACTATTCTGTTGTTATTATTTGATTATGTTCCAAATAAAAGATTAACCTCACATCTCTGAGTTCTTTATACAGAGTTATAAAACAACATGTCGTTTTGTATTTCACATAGATATGGAGGCAGTGGCTTAGAGGTAAAGGGGGGCCTCTACCACTCTTACAGCTAACATATCAAAGTAGGGACTACAATACTGAACCAGGAGCTTAAACTGAATTAGGGGAGACCAGGAGTGGTTGTAATATGGGGTGATTTGTAACACACCAGTTTTACCAACAGGGATAACACAAGAGTCCTATGATCACTTCAGTGTTTACCCACTCCCTCCACACACAAGAAGGCTGCAGAACTGATTTTGAGGTATGTATGTCTTTTGATGGAGACTTGCGTAGTAATTATGTTTTATTGGATCATTTTCAGAAAGCTGTTTTAAAAAAAAGCTTGCAAGTCAGAATTCTGACTTTTTTATTATTATTATTTTTTTCTTCTGTTATTTAGACTATTTTCCCCCTTCTGTTTGTCAGAATATTATTCCCTGTTTTTCAGACTATTTTTTCTGTTTTTCAGACAGTTTTTCTGTTTTGTTTTTCATTCAGACTAATTGTTTTTCCTATACTCTGGGATCTCGATCGTTTAAAAACAGACGCTTTCATCCCCCTCTGCTCGTTTTATTGGAAGCAAACACGGGCCACTTGTTCAGTTTAATCAAGTTTTACTTTCTTTTGGGTTTGAGACACAGGGAGATACTCCTTTCTTTAAGTCGGATAGATAGAATCATCATAAGTTTGTCTGCTTTGCGCAGGCACCTCAGGATTTGCATACGCTGTGTTTAACTAAAATTATCATTGACCCCACAGTCGAAGTTATCTAGGAAAAATCCGCCAATTTGGAGCAGCAGCAGTGGCTCTCAAGTTTTGAACTAAGCTTAGCGTGAGATGGGGGGGGGGGGGGTGATTGAAGATAATTATTAGTATAATTATCTCTTAAATACAACGGAGTATAAGGGGCACAATTAGAAAAAAAACTGAATAAAGTCATTAATATCAGTATTAAGTCGTAAAGTTACCTGTTGTGAAGGAGAGTTGTTAAAATCAGCACTGTGGAGCATTTAGATGAATAGTACTTTAGTATAGGTGTCACAAACATGGAGATACTTAATCCTTTGGTACATGAGCATTACACTGTCATGAGTATCAGAACTTATATTTGAGATATATGAGAAATGCTGCTTTTGTGGAGGGGAAAATGGCTGGAAATGGCTGTACAGAGGCTTAATTCATCAATACAGCTGTTAATAGCAATAGCATAGGGCTTTAGTTTATCATATGAGTTTATCTGCCATGAGGTGTTGAGGTCTCTGCATGTGTAGGTTACTGACTTACTGTAATCATCGGGTCTATCTCGTCCTTATAAAAACCTGCTCTATTACGGCGAGTGTCTGTCTTCTTCTGTAGTCAAACCGTAAGATATCAAAATCTACCCGGATACAGCAATGCTGCTTTTTTATTGGCTGTTCAGTAGATATACTTTATTTGATTGGCTTGCGCGTGGCACGCAGCTTCTGAACTCTCGGAGGAACTCAGTTGATTCCTACCTGTTCCATAGTTAAAGAGGTGCAACTTGGTGGACATCACCTTGTTCATTTAAATGCGTGAGAAATACAATGTGTGGCGTGTGAGCGTGTGAACGGGTGGGAATGCGTGTGTCACACGCTGAATGCGTGAGACTTGAGAGCCCTGTTAAAGTTATCTGATTGCATGAGATTATAGCAGGATTTTGAAGTATCTCGTTTAGTTGGGATTTTTTTTTCCCGAAAAACAGAAAAAAATAGTATGGAAAACAGAATGAAAATTTGTTCGAAAAACAGAAAGAGGGGGAAAATATAGCATATTCGTAAAGAAACATAGAAGAAAAAAAATAGTCAGAAAAACAGAAAGAAGAAAAAAAAATAGTCAGAACAACAGCAAGTGAATTCAATATTCCTCCGTATGACAACATATAAAGTTAAAGTTCTTCTGCTGTATAAACTCGCAGCTTTTGACAATAACCGTCTCAGGAGTTTATAGTTCCATTATAAACTCGTTTTTTCTAAATAAAATAACAGTAACTGACCGCTGCAGCGTGTGCAATGGTGAACGTCATTGAACGAGCTCCCATAGGTCAGTTTTTCACCGGAAGTTGACAACGACCTATACTTGCCTGAATGCTCCGTGGCATACTGCAACCAACACAGCCTGTACAGTGCCGGTGACTTCATACTTTAACAACGGCTCTAAGGTCAAACACAACTGGATAAAGACACAAAAAGGTGAGTACTTGTCTTTTTTTAATTTGGAAGCTGCCGATCGGCTCTGAATGCAGCTCTTTAATAACCAGTAAACGCAGTGAATCTTAAAACCTAGCATTGCTAGCCGCAGAAGTCTGTCTGCATCCTGTTTGGGTTTTTCAAAATAAGTGTACTCAGATTTTCCTCATCCAGACACGGTTCTTGAGAGTTCAGGGTGATGAAGAGCGTTTTAAACTCAGCTGTTATGGTTAGCGAGCGATAATGAACCATTCCAGCTGAGCTCTGATCTCTCTGTTGTCATAGTAGCTTAAATGTACCAAACATGTGTGATGCTGGGGGAATATCATTAAAGTTACTACTGGACAGCTGTATGTCTTAAGTCTGCATCCGTGGGTGTTTTTGTATGAGACATACTCAGACGAATACTTCGGAGAATGCTTTTATTCTGAAAACCACGATCCTTTACCGGTTATGAATCCAGTATTTCGCTTTGGAGCTCGCCCACCAGGTCTTCTTGGTACAGTTTAGCTTTGAGCTAATGTTTCAGGTGAAACTAGACCCCTCTGCCTCTACAGAAAACCTCAAATGGTTTTGATTTTTTTTTCTGAATCAAATAATGATGAGATGTTTATTAGAAAACAAAAAGACTAACTGCCACCACTTTACTCGAGGATTTTTGACTGATGGTGTATTTCTGTTGTTTCTTTTTAGGATTAACACAAGACAAATGAATAAAGAGATCAACAAATCCAAGCCAAGAACCAAGATTAGCACCGTCACATGACAGAATTGCTACCTAGGCCTCAAAAAAGATGTGCAGTGGCACATTGTAAGTAATGTAATCTCAAGGGGAAGGGAATGACGACTTGTCAGCTACAGCTTTCATGTTAGAGTGATGCCCAGGCGAGGGCTGCCACTCCAGGGCCGGGTCCGCTGGCTCTTCCTGGGCCTTTTGCTACTTCTGGTGCTGATGCTCTTTGCCTACCTCCTGGAATGCACCCCTCCTGCAGATGTCAGCCTGGTCCTACCAGGTTTAGCAGGGGAGACCTATGGCAAAGAGTACTACCAGGCCCTGCTGCAGGAACAGGAAGAGCGCCACCTAAATCGTGCTGCCAGTCTCAAGCGCCAGATTGCTCAGCTCAAACAGGAGCTGCAGGAAATGAGCGAGAAGTTAAAGCTTCTACAGGACAAGAAAGAGCTCCCTGGGGTGCAAGGCTTGGTGGAGACTAAAGACCAAGAGCCAGGAGATCTGTTGGAGTACCTGCACTCACAGATTGACAAAGCAGAGGTCAACACTGCTGCACGCCTCCCCAGTGAGTATGCTCTGGTGCCTTTTGAGAGCTTCACCCTGTCCAAGGTGTACCAGCTAGAGATGGGACTTACACGGCACCCAGAAGAGAAACCTGTCCGAAAGGATCGCAGAGATGAGCTGGTGGAGGTCATTGAGGCGGCGCTGGACATCATCAACAACCCTGATGAGGAGGATGGTGTCGAGGAAGACATGCCGATGCGCAGACAAACCTACACAGAGGGTCACTTTACTGAAGGTAAACTCTACTTGATGTGACTAAAGCCTGATCAACGTTATAACTTCTGTTTGTGTAGCATTCACTCTCATTCTGTCTAACAGGACTGTACAGGACAGAGCGAGACAAAGGGACACTTTACGAGCTCTTCTTTGCCAAAGATGATTCTACCAGCTTTCGTCATGTCACTCTGTTCAGGCCGTTTGGCCCATTGATGAAAGTCAGGAGTACGTCTCTAGAAACATCCGAACTGATCATCAACATCATTGTACCTCTGGCAGGCAGGGTGGATACTTTCTCACAGTTCCTACACAACTTCAGGTAAGGACTAGGAAGAGATCATGAAAACTTTCTGACTTCAAATGAACAGGCAGTGGAAATAAGTGTTGACCACGTCTTTGTCAGCTTTTTGTTACAAAAAATGACCTTTGGGGTCTTTTCATTCATGTGAAAAATTGATGTTTGTCTCTAGAGAGGTGTGCATACAGCAGGACAGACAAGTCCACCTCACAGTGGTTTATTTTGGACAGGAAGGTCTCCAGGAGGTGAAGTCATCGTTGGAAAAACTGTCCAGGTTTGTTTTTGAACCGAGACAGTTTTACATGTTTCTTTTTTTCATGACAGACTGTTTTAATTTACAGATAATTTGGGATTTGATTATGAAACTAGCACATCTTTTGTTTTTCAGAGACGAGAAATTTTCCAACTACACTCTGATCCCAGTTGATGAGGAGTTTTCACGTGGTCGAGGTCTGGATATTGGAGCCCGTGCCTGGAAGAAGGGCGACGTCCTGATGTTTTTTTGTGATGTTGATATCCATTTCACTTTGGAATTCCTCAACACCTGTCGCCTCCTAACTGCTCCAAGTAACGTTTCTTTGTTACTGTATGTATTTTCATTAGACTTGTCTACATTTGACTTTATTGTCTCTAATATACTTCCTTCTACCTCTTTAGATAAGAAAGTCTTCTATCCAGTGGTGTTCAGTCTGTACAATCCTGCTGTTGTCTATGGAAATTTGGAGCTGGCTCCACCCATTGAACTCCAACTGGTAAGGGCTGAAAATCCACTCTCTGCAGCCTCTGTATGAACAGACCCTGCCAATCGTAATGCTGACTTTATTTGTGTAGCACTTACAGAAACAGTGATTGAAAAGGTACTTTAACAATGTGCATGAATAAGACAAAGCGTAAGAACAGAGAAAGAAGGCAAAACCCCTACACAAAGGAGAAACCCATGAAAGTTCACCTGAACAACACAAGAGCCCAGAAGACGCATGAAGACACTCAAAGCATCTCATGTCCTGTTGTTATCTTATGTTCCCCTGTTCCCAGATTCACAGGGGAACATAAGTTGAAGTAAAGTGTGACTGTTTCAAAACTGTCATCACTGAATGTAGGACACTCCTGAATGTTTGTCCACTGAAAGTCTATCCTAACACATTCAGATAATCTCTCATGACCCTGATTTTAACATTTTTAGTTCAACCAAATCCACGTTTTTCTTTCTTGTCTTGTTGTGAAGTACAGAACAATTTTTGTCTTCTTTTTTTTTTTTAACAGATTCACAAAAAAGATGCTGGATTTTGGAGAGATTTTGGTTTTGGAATGACATGTCAGTATCGCTCAGATTTCCTCAATATTGGTAAGAACTCATCACTAAATTGTTTTCATAATTAATTCACTTAAACTAGCAACATGAAGCCACAGCTTAAAAACTGATTATCTACCCTCTAGGTGGGTTTGACCTGGAAGTCAAAGGCTGGGGTGTAGAGGATGTCCACTTGTACAGGAAGTATCTTCGGAGTGACCTTATAGTAGTTAGGACACCCGTGTCCAGTCTTTTTCACCTGTGGCACGAGAAGCAATGTGCAGATGAGCTGACTCCCGAGCAGTATCGCATGTGCATACAGTCCAAAGCTATGAACGAGGCCTCCCACCCTCACCTGGGCATGTTGGTTTTCCGTGAGGAGATCGAATCTCACCTACGAAAGCAGGCCTACAAGACTCAGAGCAAAGCAGAAGACTGAGCTGACCCTGAAGTACCCAAACATGATCTCACCCCTAGACACTGTGAGGTGCTGACATTGTTACTAAACTGCAGAAAAGACCTGTTTACTTGGATCTATCTACATTTCACCGCACAATTGCAGACAAATGAATGTAAAAAAACATTTGATCAATGTGAAACTTTGACACGTGGTACCAGTCTTACTGACGACTGACGGTAGTAAGAAATAGGAAGGCTTAATCCAACATTTTTTACCCTTCTAAAGACGGTGTCCTTCAACAGCTGATTTATCGGTTTCATGTAGGCTAAAAGGGTTTTCTATGTCTTGACATTGATTCACTACAATTCTCTGAGGCCACAGAATGCCTCATTGTACCATCTTACCTTCTTTAAACACAGCAGCCAGTTTCTTTACCATTTCAGTTTTTTTAACCACATTATTTCCTATTCTGCCAAATATTATCTCAGTTTGTTTGACATTTGCTGGTTAAGCTGATTTCAACATGACAGAAAAACTTCGAGCAAGAGAAAACGGACAAGATTCAGCAGCATTGAAATGCAAAACTTGACCAGTAGATGAGTCCAGCTGTAGGACTTTTAGTTTACTGCAGATGTAAAGAAAAAACTTTTTGCTTTTAAAAAATGGATATTAAAAATTAGAGTGACTGCACAAAAACCAGCTAGTATCTACCGATTCCAGCTTTTATGCAAGTAAGAGATCAGAGCTATTTATTGTTGCCATTGAGTTACTGAACACTACTGTTCCTGATGGATTGAACAGGACAAAAAGGGACCTTTTCTGTGTTTCATGTGATACTTAGTTACTATTCCTCTGTGGTTTCTTCAAAGTTTCACAGAGAGGCAATTTGTTCATGTAGATTTAGCATTGCAGAGATGTGTCCACGGACAGGGATTATTATTATTATTATTATTGAAGTAATGGATTCATCACTTGAGCCCAGGGAGACAGCTCACAACACAGTCTTAATACTGGACTGAGATTGTATAAGGCTGACTGTTCCAGCCGCATGTGTAAATACTTTTCTAACATGGTTTGTTTTATACTAAGGAGTTGCATACTTTGATTGTATGTGCCTACATGCTTGCAGTGATAGGAAATCTCAAAGCTTTGCCAAGTGTTGCAGGTCTGTTTTTATTTTATGTTAATAGAGGAGAGAATATACATGTAAGTCAGTAACTGAGAGTGGAACAAAGACCAGACTAAAGTCCGTTTTCTTTTCTTATAATGAAAGCATGTCATTTTCCCCCTGTGATATAATTCTTTTAATAAAAGTTTCCAGTGAAAATCTTCAAGTCTTCACTCTTCAGGGCAAAGACATCTTCCTCCCACTAACAAACATTCAACTTGAACAAGAAGCTGTTTCGAGAAAGAATTTATTTTGAGATTTTGGCTATGAAATAAAGTTAAACTCTGGCTGTAATGTCATTTCTGCTGCAAAGATTTGATGTCATTTTGCATATTTTACATATTTGAACCTACCAGTTCTTTAATTCAGACATCAAAAGTGACCTGCCAAACTTGGAAGCTGTCATAAACTCTACAAGCTCATTTGTGTGTTTAAGAAGCATGGCAGGAAACAGTTATATCAATCTGAGAAATTAAACTACTGAAATAAAAAAGGGAGGAGAAAATAAATGGGAACATAAACAAAAAAAAAAAAAAAGAGGTATAAACTCTGACAGGATGATTTCTAGCTTTGGACCTTCATTGTGTTAATGTGCTAACTGTTCCGGATGGATCCCCATGGTCTTGTAGATCTCTTTGAGGAGAAGCAGAGCCGTGTCTTCAGATTGCCTGGAATAGAAAGAGGTGTTAATCTGAGTAGCAGGGTTTCTTTTGTAACTGATCTGTACTGAGAGAATCAAGAAAAAGATGGCTGAATTGTCAACTTTTCTGTCCAAGCCACATTCATGTGTTATCAACCTTTGTCCATAATTACAAGCATTCATAACACTAACACTAGCTATAGAGTGCAAAACCATAAACACCTTTTGAATTTATGCTCTGTCTCATAATAAGTTATAATTTCTTTAAATCTCTTAACAGAAAAATGTTTTATTAGTACTTAAAAAATGCTAAAGCAGGACTGGGTGGGCGTTTTAAGTAAATTATAAACTATATTATTGTTGATCTAACAAATGTTCACTGCTGTAAAGTGGTGGAGGGAGTGAACTTCCAAAAACTCTTCACAGGTAAATATGTGTTGGTTTAAGGTTTGAGTCTTCTGTACCAGTAGCAGAGGTGACTCTGAAGGGCAAACAGGTACTCGTTGAAACTCTCAATGGGCTTCTCCTGCAGGACATAGTCAATGCGGTTCCCTGCATTCAGGCACCCGATCTTCACCTCAGGCTCCTCTTCTTTCTGTGGCTCGAGGCTCTCTGAGATCTTGTTGTCTTAGGAAATCCAGGATGGAGTTATCATAAATTTCCCACTCGACCAATAACATGATGAAGTTAAAAGTCTGAAACTCACCCTCCTGAGCTTGCTTCTCTTGCTCTTCAATTTGATTGGCTACAATGGCCAGCTCAGCCTGAAGCTGGGCAGACGAGGTGTGAGCCCGAGCAAACTCGTTGAGCGTCTGCCAGGCACTCCTGAGAGAGCTGATAAAACCCTGCTTCAGGTCAGAGCCCATTCTGGAGAGACTCTCCTTCAGTTCTAAGACAGAAAACAGATCCACAATAACATCCAGCCCCATGAAAATATTAGAGAAACCAACAAAAACAAAAAACTATTTCTGGAGATTTAACAGATACTGATTGACTTACTTGTCTTACTTAACCATTAAATGCTAATGGTGAATGGACAGTGCCTCTGTGGTGCCTCTCTAGTCTACTGTCTACTCTAAGTAAAATATTCTCAGCCACATATTCTTTAGTCCAGGTTTAATAAAAAGTCGATCCAGATTCTAACATCAAGAAAAAGCGTGACGTCGTCATCAGCTTATCTGCTCTTTCAGTGACTGTGCTGAAAAACTGATGCTGGTTCATAACTGCTCCAAACTTTGACCTCCTTAAACCAACAACTGCAATCATGACTGGTCCATGTCTGTTTTTGACCTTCTGCACTCGTTTTTTTAGTTACTCATAGTGCTGTTTTTATCAGAGGAGCAGGTTCAAATGAACACAGCTTAAGAGGACAGAGAGGTCTGAAACCAGCAAGAAAACTACAGCTGCAGCTCAGGAAATGAGAATATCCCAGGAAAAGTTCCTCTTTTCCTCATAATTGAATTCAAAAAATGAAATTTCTATATACTCTCGATTCATCACAGACACAGAGTGAAATATTTCAAAGCTTTTTTAGTTTGGGATCTCAATGATGATGGCTCACTTTTTTATTAACTTTTCGGGGACATTTCAACAGTTTGAGCTGCACCTGTAGATGATTAATTAATTTGGGCATCTAAAACACAGATCTGTGTAGGCACTAGGTATCAACTTGTAGAAATAGTTTCATTTGCTCCTATCATAATCTGATTTGTTAAAAAAACAATTATACTTAACGATTGTCTATTTGTTCATGGAAAAAAAAGGTCATTCTGATTGTAAAAGGTGTGTGCTGTACCGAGGTGAAGCCTCTTCCTTCCTTTGTGATGTGGGATCAGGACAGGCTTTAAGTCCAGGTCTGGTATTATCATGGGCTCGATCCTATACGCCACTGGGTCCAACTGTAGAGTTCATATTTGTCAATATTAAAAGTGATCATGTCAAAAGTGATTCATTTTAAGAGAGTAAAAGCTGTCTGTGACTGAATGAAAAACCTCTTTACAATAATAAACACCATAAAAGCGGAGTAACAGGGTAACTTTGGAGCATCACTGACAATCATTCAGACTGAAAAAGTGACATACTGGGTGATAAATGTTGAAGAATCCCTTGCAAGTGGGTAGCTGGTAAGTGTCTTCGATCTTTTCCAGACCTCGGACTGTTAAGAACATGCCAATTGGAGAACCCAAGGCGAAGAAATTCACTGGCTCAAAGTCGAGAGCCTGGTAAACCACTGAGACCTACAGAATGAAATACAGAGTCATTAGATACCATTTAACCGTACACTGCCAACAAATATTCAAAAGTGAAAGCCAGCCATGACTTTGCTCTGTCTACCTGTCCAGTGCCAACTTCAAAGTAATTGTAGTCCACATGGATGGATGAAAAGGTGTTGCCAGCTGGAGGTTTCAATGCAGAGGTATCAGGAAGAGCTTCAGTGGCTCCCGGGACCACCTCAGCCCGACTGAGCTCTTTCAGCTCTGCTTTCTTCTCCTGAGCCGCCTGACGTGCTGCCTTCAAACATTAAAAACAAAAACAGTGAGACAACGTCAGGCATCGCCAACAAATTGGAAGCCTAAAAGGTATTTGACAGACAAATATACCTGTTTGTTGAGTCTTTCCTTGACAAACTTGGCTATCTTTTTCCTGGGACCCAGAGGGATTTTCATCTCTTTCAGGTCCTCAATTGTGCACATGAGCTAAATGAGCGACAAATTAGGATAAAGATTACTTTCAACTCATTCAAGTGACATTATGTGCAAGATGTGAAGAATAACATCATAATCCCAGGCTGTTCTGATTGTAACAATATGACCTCTAAAAGAAACATCACAGCTTGACTTTATACTCGTGAGAAAAGACCAAGACCACATCATATTGTGTTTCAACTATTGCATTTATCTAAAGAGTTGGTTATAGTTTGACCACAAACTAGAGCTGTCCTGTTATCTGTGCCAGATTCAGCTTCATTCATTTATCTGGCACTATGAATACCTGCTCCAAGAAAACAGACTACGCAGTCATTTGTGAGGTGCTCTGCTGGAAGAGAACAGCAAACCAGCTGATCTACACGCAGAACTCTGAGGTACTGAAGCTCATTGGTTTGATCCTTTGTATGTGTATTAAAAGACTTTGACAGGCAGTGCAACAATAATATCAATCAACTGGATACAAGGTAAGTAGCATGGAGCTGGAGTATTTTTGGACTTTCTCACTGCTATCCATTTTTCCACATTTTCCTGGCTTTATAATGAGAAAACAAAACAGTGATTCTCACAAAAGACTCTGCATCTATCTTCTCATCATCAAAGATACTCTTGTACTCTGACAAGCCCAGATGTTCCAGCATGGCAGAGAGATCCTGGATGTCCTCCCCGTCCTCCTCCACAGCCGGATGAACATTGGCATTTTCATCCTGTGGACTGGGAGCTGTCACCTGAAGGGTAAGACAGAACATTCATTTATGTACTGCACACTACTGCTGTAATCATCTGTCATTCAAATCGATATTTCAAAAAAAAACCAAAACTCTAGTTTAGTGATTATTCCAGTGAAGACATCATGACGCTGTAGTTTAAAAAGTAATAGTGTCTGTGTGTTTATGACCTCTTTGGTGTTTCCGTTAACAGCTGGTGTGAGCGGCACGCCCACAGAACTCTTCTTCTGATTTGATAACAAATCAAACAGAATCAGGGAACCTGCAGGAGCCAAAAAATAAGACAAATCCAGTCTGGTTGACTAAAAAAGAATATACAAAGCCACAGAGGTAACAGTTTGTTGACTGGTTCATTACCTAAACTATGTCCTGCCACTGACACAGATCCTCTGAAGTCTGGGTTCCTCTTCATGAACAGGGCATGGAGTCTGTTCAGCTCCTGGGCAACTGTGTCCATGATAGTCTGGCAGTAAGTGGGACTGTTGTAGAAAAGCACATCTAACAAAGTCTCATTGGTAAAGTGACGTAAACGTCCAGTGCTGGGCAGGGTGATCTTCTTTATCCTCCTGAAGAGAGAAAATGAAGGTCTCTCACTCACTCCTCCAGCCTGTTAAAGGTCACAGTGGGTGCTTTCCCATGTGTTTCATCATCAAAACAAACAACAATAATAACAGGAACAACAGCCTTCAAATACTGTGTCTGTGTGTCTAATGATAGTCCTCAGGGAGAGGACTATCATACATGTGACTAATGGAGCCACAGGACATATCAGTGAGCCATCACCATTTCATTACATCCATCAAGCCACACACACACAAACACAAACGCACACACACACACACACACACACACACACACATTACAGTCTCACTTCCACTGAACAGCATATGACATCTTCCTACAGGGAGAGAAATCAGCAGAGCACTGAGGTGACCTTTAGAAGGTGTTTTTACAGGGATCTGCCAGATAAACAGCCGCCCTGCTTCCTCCACTGCACATCAGATACTCTACTAGAACTGTGAGACAGGGACACAAACCAAAGGCCCAAGACTTGGTTTTCCTTTAGCCTTGCAAGAGATGTCCATGTTTTTTTGTCTCCCAAGATGACACAACCTTCATACTAAGAGAATACTGACTACTGAAATTTCCATTGTAAATGATAAATTTCCATTATACTGTATCTTAAGTCTAAGGTTCATGTAAACCTGCCCCGCCTCACCTGTCTACTCCTGTAGCATCCCCATGCAGAGCTGTGTGCCACTGGACTGGGAGGAACTCCACTCGGCTGATGGCTTGCTGGTCCAGGGATTTCTTAAAGTGACTGTTCAGCAGCTTCAGTGAAACATTTCTATAGTCGTCCACTGAAAGCACAAGATTCAGAGAGTTTATTTATCTTATGTCTAAGGTCTACTGGCAAATAAGAGGACAGACTGGAACTTACCACACTCCACCATGCTCCTAAACCTCAGGTCACACACGGGACCGATTCCATGAACCATGAACACCAGATGATCCACTTTGGGAAGTTCACCTGAAAATGAGGCACAGTTTAATCTCACTCACTGATCTAAAGCCCCGTCACATAATTTTTGCAGGACTTTTTAATACAAGCAACAAAGTGCTTTACAAAACAATCAGAAAGGCAACAGAAGCAAAAACACAGTCTGAATAATCTGAAGGCTTGTGTCATCAGCATGAAAAAGATGGATGACATTATATTCGCGGATTATATTGCCAAGAGGTAGTTTGTAAATTGAAAATAGTGTGAAAATAGTGTCAAATCCAGAATTGCACACTAGGGTACCCCATGGTGTAACTTCACTGACGGCAGCTGTTACTTTTAAGCCATTTCTCTCCTAAGACCAAGTTTATTTGGGTATACAGGGACTTTTTTACCATCATGCACTTCATCATGGTCGTCATCAATCCCTCTCTTTACCACTCTGGGCCGGGTCTGTCCATCCTGAGTTGTTCCCCACTCGTCTGGCATGGAGGAGGGCTGAAACTGTACAATCACCTACACACAGAACTGAGTCAATCAGACAACTGGGATCAACCATCACAAGACCATACCTTCATGCTGGACCTTTACCTTTGGATTGTGCATGACAATGGTCTCTCCGGATGGGAACTCCAGTCTGCGGTGCCACTGGTTGGTAGACACAGCTTTCTTATACTCAGCCTGAATTCAAGAAAACAGTTTTAACACAGATACCATGACAGATCAAAAAAAACAAGTGTGTGACCTTTATCAAGACGAGAACACTTTATGTGTTGTGTTAGTTCAAAAGAAACCATAACTTTGGAAACTCTGAAAACTGCTGTATAAAACCAGAATTTACCAGAAAGAAATAAAAACACATGAAAGGAAAAATTCAATGGAATATAACTCAGACTTGTCACAATTGGTTGGTGAAAAAATTAGAGAATTTGGAGGAAAAAAAATGAATAAATATGATATGAATCTCTTGCAGCAGGTGATACAAAACTAAGAATAAGAAGAACTTTATTAATCCCTGAAGGGAAATTCAATATTTCAATATTTCCCTGCTACTTTGATTGCTACAACTCAAATTTTCTAACAGCTAGATATCTCTAACTTATGAGGACAACCTCTGTTTGTGGTGAAGTACCTCAAGCTTTTCACTAAACTCCTCAGAGTATGGAATAAAGCGGCTGTCTGTGTCCCCTTTGTAGAACCACGAGCAGCGCCGGACCTCTGTAGGCTCCTCCTCCCAGAATACCGCCGACCGCATTCGGTCATACAGCTGTACATCGTAACGCCCTCCATCCGTCCGCACAATCACATTTTCTGGGTCTGGTTGAACTAGAGGAACAGAGAGCACACATGACAGCAGGTCGACTAAAAGTAACGAAAATAAAACTGAATGTGACAGTTTTACAACGAAAACAAGGCTCTACATTAAAACAACACTAACCACTTTTAACTGTAATCACAAAGTTCAGAAACCCACTCCTTGATTTTCTTTATTTATAATTAGTAGTTTGAGAAGGTACACTTCAGCATAGACACATGGTGGAGCTGTGTTTCTAAAATGTCCTTCTCTGGTATTATCGTGCAGGGGGTCAAAACTGAAATACTAACACATAAAGCTGAACTTAGCATTTTCAAAACAACAATTCACCTGAGTTATACGTCTCCTCTAGCCGTATGGAATCAATAAAACTGAAAGGCAGCCAGACGCTCTTTGACTCCACTTGTTTGCAGTAGAACCAGTGAGGCTGGACAGGCTCATAGACACTGTATTGGTATGGCATCATGGCACCAGCAGGAACGATGGCTCCAGAAGAGGCTGCTGGAGGAGGGAGAGTTTGGAGCTGTGTTGGCGGGGCCTTCAGAGAAAAGGAGAATCAAGATTTTAATGTCCTCTCCGTTAAACGGTGCATTCTTTCTAAACTTGGCTCCGGTCACAGAGGAGCTTATATATTTACCTTTGTGAAAGTGTTTTCTGACAGTGGGGGTGGCTGTGGGAGAGAGCTGAGAGAGTATGGATTCTGCTGAAGTGTGTGTGATGGATGCAGGACTTCTGGTGCTGGAATATAAGGACGCGCTCTGCTGGAGGCAGAGGTGTGTCGGTATGGATTATGACCCTGTTGCTGCACCTGGGGTGGTGGTGGTGGTGTGGCCACTGTGGTAGGTGGAGAGGTGTGACAACCCATAGGGCTCTGGCAAACTGTGCTGCCAAATGCTGGGGGTGCAGGATTCATTTGTGAGCCCAGAGTTTGTATTGGAGCCGTGCTGAGGCTGCTGGGAACAGAAACCTGGCCCGGTGTTGTTGGGACTGCAGACAGGGCAGGGGTTTGGCATGGAAACTGACCAATGGAGGCAAATGGATCACCACCGGTTCCAGAGCTGGCAAAGTAGTTAAATGTTGAGGGGGCTGATCCATTCTCGGAGGTCTGACCAAGAAAGCTGTCCTCTTCTCCAACTTCAGTGGAATCATCTACAAAAATAAAAATCATTTGAATTTTGACATAAAGTTCTTTTTTTTTTTGAATGCATTGATTGTTCTTTTTATTACATATTCGGTTTCCTTTTATTTTATTTTTTTTTTACAAAAGCACCACAGTGCAAATTTGAATTCAAGTACAAGTAGAGATCAATAAAGCTGAAATGTTCCAAAAAGGTTAAGTTTTTCTCTTAATTTATTTCAAAAAGTGAAACTTACATATTATCTAGATTCACCACACACAAAGTCAAATATTGACAGACTTTGTTTTTTTTAATCTTGATGGTTACAACTTACAGCTTATCAAAATCAATAACCCACTCTCTGTCCAAACATCAGAATATTAATTTAAAAAAACACTCATAAAGGATGTATATACAGAGATGTGGACCATCTGGAAAACCCTCTTCAGCTCTCAGTTCTTGGTCAGGATTCTTTTGCTTGAATTTCTGCATCAGTGTAACGTGTCATGGAAATGATCAGTCTGTGTCTCTGCTGGGGTCTTACTGAAGTCCAGGTCTCTCTGATAGCTCCTTCAGCTGATCTGTACTGTTGCTCGGGTGTCTCTCATCTCTCTCTCTTGATGATCCTCCAGACATCTCAACGGCGTTCGGGTCAGACCAGTTGGTTGGACAATCAAGTACAGTCGTATCATATGATCAGCAGAACAGTTTCTGGTAGTTTTGGCACTGTGGGCAGGGTCCAGGTCCCACTAGAAAAATAAATCTGCACGTCCATAAAACTTCTCAGCAGATGAAGCATGAAGATCTCCAAAACCTCCAGGTGGACTTTAGGCTGCACTGACTTTGAACATGATAAAACAAAGTAGACCAACAGCAGCAGATGTCAGAGGCCACCAAACCCTCACAGACTGTGGAAACTTCACCCTGGACCTCAAAGATGTGAGATTCTGGGCCTCCTTGATCTTCCTCCAGACTCTGGGATCTTGATTTTCAAATAACATGCTGTCTGAAAACAGGACTTTGGACCACTGAGTGTCAGGTCCAGTTCTTTGTCTTCTCAGTCCAGAAGAGACTCATAAAATGTGTCTCTGGTTCAGGAGCTGATCAGAGACTTTTTCAGGACTGAAGTGACAAGTGACACTAACAAGTGGACTAACTGACAAGAAACTGGACTTTTACACATTATTCTGATGAATGGAGATAGTGGGTTTTTGAGTTTCATGAGCTGTTAGGCGTGATCATCAAGATTTTAAAAATGTCTTTTAATGTTTCATTTTGTAGGTGATAAATCCAGAATAAATGGAAGTTTCACTTTTGAATTGAAATATAGGGGGAAAATACAACATCAGTTGTTTTGAACACAACATGTCAGAAAACACAAGAAAATAAATCCGTGGATGAATTTCTTTCAAACTGTGAAAATGAAACCAGTTTGTTTGGTGAAAGGTGCATTTATCTAAACTATTAACACTGCTTATGGATGAGGCTTCTCTCGCTTTTCTGACAGTTTGATCGTAAATCTACATTAGTACTGACCTGTATAATCATCTCTCACCTTTACTGACAATATTGAATGCTGCTGTTATTCTAGAGGTGGAAACAACCGTAAACGAAGTCAATGTTTTCTTCTCTCCATGTTATTGATCTTAAGACATCCTAACCGTTTTATCTCCAGACTATGAGCTGTTGTGTTTCACTTTCTTCTGACTAACATCCTGATTTGCTGTGTAGCTAAACCTCCAAAGACCAGCGCTAATGTTTTCCTGTGACATGTTTATCTCCAGCATTTTTACCTGGACCAGAGACTGCAGTGAACCTACCTCCTGAGAAAACCCCCGGACCAGCGGCCTGGCTCACGGGCAGAAAGGGCAGGTTGAAGTTGAACTCTGGTGCATCGCTGAACAGTAAATTAGCACTGGAGTTTGGGACATTATTATTTCTTCTTTCTGCCATTTTCCCCTCAGTTACACGTCGCCACTACCGGATCAAGAGGGCAGTACATGTTCCTGTCCAGCCTCTCTCCGACACCATATTCTGATGATCTCCAAATGCCACATCGTCATCTTGAACACTCACTTGTTGTTGCACATTATATACAGATCTACTCCATCCACGCAGCACGTTTGACGTCGTGGTTCGTTTGTTATGTACATAAAACCTCCCCCTCCCGTTGCCCTCTACAGGCCGGAAAATGCCACCAGGCTTTCAGACAGTCCACTTTGAAATAAAGCGTTGAACGTTACTTATGCTAAAAGCGTGTTTTAGTCACTCCTGTAGACTCCAAACTGAAACTAAACACCACGACCTTCCAAATACAGACTAAAATCCATTAAACAAGCACGAGTTCTCCGTACTCCGGTGTGATGTTTTGTACAAAACAAGCGAACCCCGGTCTGACACTGATGACGACACTTTCCCGCCCTATATCTCATGCGATTCTGGGTGCGCGAAAAGAGTTTTCTGAGAGCCTTACCTCGTGTGTCTCTGTACTAAATTTTCGGTGTAAGGTTGTGGCTAAGGATGTCTTCCTCTCATGACTGGATTAACACCCCCCTCGCAGTCGTTGAAGAAATATTTGGTAAGATCAGCAGCCGGACTCTCCTTTCACCGGCAGACAGACAGACTTGCGCGGTGCTGTTTAGCCCTTTAGCTTGTTGCGGAGTTCAGTCCCACGCTCCTGGAGCTTCTTCAGTTCCCACTCCTCCTGCAACTGTTCGTATTATTGAAACGTGGGTTCGCATCCTGTACCCACCAGCAGGCGTGCAGATCTACATGAACATTTCCACTCTCAGTTGTACTCTGGGGCACAGTGAGGGTTGTTGATTTTGGCATGTAAATATGAACGGCTGTATGATCATGCGACGAGCTGCAGAAGTTGTGAACTTTCTTTGCTTGTATTGGTCAAGGATTGCATGGGTATGAGTCAAGCTTGTTTACTCCTGGACACTCACACATCCAAGACAAAACAAATATTTAGAATTATTTTCAAAGATTTATGTTTTTAAAATTCTAATTTATTCAGAGGCATTAAATGTAAATTTATATTATTCCTGTTAGTTTTAGAAGAAAATAAAGTAGTAATAAAGCCCTAATATCTTGAAAGTAAAATTGTCATAACAATAAGGTCATGATAAAGTTGTAAATTTGGTTCACAGTGAGCTGCTGCCTGTAAAACCTGAGAGAGTTGGAGTATCTTCTTAAAGCTCCTGTTAGGAACTTTTGGTGTGTGTTAGTTTTGGAACCCCTCCGGGGGGACAATATAGTCTTTATTTATCCTGCTGCAACACGCTTGAATCTCAGATCTCATTCAGCTGATTTTTGACAGTCAAATTTATCATTCATTGTGATTATTTTAAAAATAATAAAACAGGGCTGTGTCTACAGCTGTCTACCCCCCTCACACAAGTTTCAGACAATAGATAAGAATATAAACATCTTCAGTCATGTTGATTATAGCTTTGTTTGCCTTTGTATCCCATTAAGAGGCATCACAATGAATTTCAGTCAATTTCCTAAACATCAAAAAACTCCACATTTAAGTGAATATTTTGTCACCACATTGTTATCAGTATCAGGACTGGAGGAGGTCCACGAATGACAGATTCTGCACTGATTATGAGAGATCAGGCTGATGTATAATGCCGATATTACATTGTTTTTGTCTATTTTTTATTTTTATTTTTTTTTGCATTTGACAAAAGACAATAATTTGGTACTAATAAATATAAAAATTTAGCAAGCAGCGCTTGAGTGAATATCATATCAATTAGATGTAGACAGAAGGATGTTTGGTTCAATAAGATAACACCACAGGAGTCTATTAGACTTCTGTTCAGATCTCAGACTTTGTTAAGAGAGAAAAAATAGTGCATGTTCGATACTGGAGTTAGAAATTAGAAAAAAAAATGTCATGTACAGTTAGTTACCTAGAAAGTCAGTTAATGACCCTTGGATGGGTTCATTCTGAAAGAGGATGAAAAAACATACTCTAAAAGTTTTACTTCAAGCAATAAACATTTGACATAAATATATGACTTATCAGTTACACATTTTTAGCTATCTTTGGGAAAGGGAATATTGGTGAAATTTACCTAACAGAACTCATTACACTCCGTGTAGTGCATTGGTATTTATTGCCCGGTGTGTGTTATATTGTATGACATTGTGGGTATGATTGTTGTCGATGCAGTACAACAGTAAGCCCCTCCAGACACAAAATGACCACAGAAATAACTTTGCATCTTATTGTCTCCTACCTTCTCCAAATAAAATGGAGCATTTCAAGTCTGTTATCATCCACATTGTAGAAGCATGATGTATGATTTATGAATTAAGTAATGCTCTCCTCTGTTATTTTAGCATCCTCACACAGCAGTCCTGACTCAGGATGGGAGTCAAAAGCAGTTGATTTCTTTCAGGGACATCTGAAAAAGGACTGTGCTGATACCTGGGTAATGCAGTTCCTGATGTTTCCAGTAATTCTCACAAAAAACTACGGAGCCATGGCCTGCTAAAGCTGGTATTCTTGTAATTGACTACCACCTTTATTCTGGTGCAGGTCCCGTCCTTGAATGATGTGCCTCTGCACTACCTGAAGCCCAACAGTCTGGTGAAGTTTCGCTGCTTAATACAAGATATGTTTGATCCAGAGTTCTACATGCAAGAGTATGAGACCATGGATCCATCCACACAGGCCAAAGTAAGCTCTCCTGTATCCTCCCTGAGTATAGTCAGTACATCATCTTTGCTTGTGATAATGTGTGAAATGCTTCTCTGTTCTCGTATGTTTCTAGGTGTTGCGATGTGGGAAGTACAAAGATGTGACCGAATGTGGGGTGAGTCAGCCCCCGTGAGTCTCCTCAAGAAATCCAAAAATCCCTCATCTTAGATGTGGTAACAGCATTGTGTGTCACTCTGCAGGTGGATTTCAACTCCAGGAACATTGTGACTGCAGAGAGACAGACCTTCTACTGTGTACCAATTCCCGGAGAAAGTCCCTGGGTGAAGGAAATATCCTTATTCTGCTTTAGTCCTGTACTAATTTTTTCATGGGCTGCATTCAAAGACCGCTTCCTAGTTTTCTTTAACCCTCTCACAGCTATGCCAGCTCCAGCCAAGTGAAAGTGGTCCCTTCAACCTCGTATGCACCAACCAGACAGAAGCGGAGCTATGAAGAAGACGAGGACATGAACACACTGAAGCAGAAGGAGCTGCTTACTGGTATGTGTGAAGTTGGACACATGGAGCTCAATGCAAAACACAATCATTTATTCCTCTGGTGTGTTTAATAAGTCAAGCTTTTAGTTAATTAAAAGAAAAGACGGGAATCAAAATCATGCAACAATGAAAGAGAGACTGTGGTCAAAAAAGCAGATTGGTTCTTCTGTCCCTGCAGGTCCTCAGATTCCCACAGAGCAGCCCAGAAGTGGAGACTTTAAAAGGCAGGAGACAGAAGCACCTTCCAGCCAATCAGCCTCTGCCTCACCCCTTGACCTCAACTTCCCCTTACCAGGAGAGAAAGGCCCATCCTGCCTACTTAAGGTAGGTGATGTCCATAGAAAACCGGTTAATCAGTCATACTAATAATCGATATTCTATCAGTCATGGCCCTCACAATATCACAAGCTGATATCACCATCATCTGATCCGAACTGAAATACGCTTCCCATCACTAATGACTATGAGTCATGAGGATTGATATCTGGGTCCATTAAATACCTAGTTTATCCTTTTTCACAAAATCTTCCAAGATCATAACGTTTGAGCTTATCAAGTCTGCCATCAAGCCGTGAGGGTCCCATGAGTTAACGTTATACTCCAGCTGCTGGTGCTGCCATCCTCCTCTTCACCCACAGCAGCCGGGGTGAACACTGCTAGACTTTAGAGCAAGTCCAGCCAGTCAGCAGAAAAACAGCCAATCAGCTTATTAATGGAGGTGACAGACGATTACCTTGTGAGGTGTTCAGGGCCAGGTCGGTTGAAAGTAGATCATAACCTCATCACGATGTGTTGAATGGTCACGTCCAGAAAAAGAAATATAGTTTTTGGTGAAATATCTGCATGAATTCAATAGTGTGAAGGAAGAGGATAATAGAGAGACTCAATAGCAGTATTGATAAGGACTCGGATCATGAAGGAGTCTCGATGATGGCATCAGTGTCATTAAAATGAGTGAACCCCATCCCTACGAATGAGAGATTAATGTATGAAAACATGTTGGTTTTTAACTCAAGTATTCACCTTGTTTTTTTCTGCCTTAATCATTTCATCCAGCAGGACAGAAATCCCAGAGTCCATTGTGGTGATGCTTTACTGAGCCAAACTGTTTCTGTTTACATGTATTTGAATAAAAAAAATCACTCGTGTTCAGTTAACAAACAACAACATCAATAATGACAATAAGATACCAACTACAAACTGATATTGGTCCAGCACTAGTTATGTGTCCACCACAGGGTTTTAGTACTTTTTATACCCTCATTTGGTTTCTGTAGGTTGGACCGTAAACACAGTAGCCCTCATTTTTCATCGTACAATAGGACGCACGTGAGATTTATGAAAGGGTTCGTATCTGACCAATCCCAGCGTACGTATGATCGGGTCTTGATAAATGCAGCGGCTGAAATCGATCAACATGTTTACGCCCTTAACTATTCGTGGTTCAGAAGCCTCTCCCAATGAGGTCAAACATGAAAGAACAGAAATATTAGAAAGATTCGAAACTTTTCCGAGCTTAAAGTGGATATCCTCGCGTCTGTGTTGGAAACTAACAAAGATTTGTTCTTTGGAAGCATCAAAACTGGTCTAAAAGCAGTCCAGAAAACTCCTGTCTGGAGCAGGATTATGGAGGCGCTGAACAGCGCTGCCGCGGAATAGTGGACAGTGGCTGAAGTTTGAATCAATCATTAGTCAATAAGTTGCTCATGATGATAAATTAATATCTCATACATGCCTCTTTTTCTAAAATTTCCATGACACGGGGTACGTTGCTCCTATTATTGAAAGTATTTAGTTTTAATTTGTTGCGTCTTTGTAATGTAGAGCAGACTGGAGAGTCTGACAGAGGCTGAACAAAAATAATTATTAACATTACCTAATGGTGTGTTGCTGCCCCTGAGGCACATTTTTATGGATTTCTATTGGATTTTATCACTGATTAAATAGCAAGAGCACTTTCTAAACGTATATTTTACATGTCAGAATCCATGGATAAGGTCCTGTCTCCTCTGTACAGCACCTTTGTGGAGTCTTTCCTCGTTATTGTTCTCCGGGCATCGGGTCCTCACGTTGCATCGGCACAGCCAACGGCACTCCATGCACCAGTGCAACATTGTGCAAAACTATACTGGCCCAAATGATGTCCCACACCCTTTCATGAGTGTACAACAACGTCTCCGCTGTTGGGCTAAGACTTGTAGGAGTCAAACACAGTGCTCTACAGTGGCGCGTGTAAGCAATGTTAAAATGGCGCTCCTGCTCTGTGGTAGTATTTCTGCGCAGAGTTATCAAATAGACCTATTCACTAAGGACATAACTTTATTTTATTTTATTTACGTCTTAATCGTGAATGAAATCTGTCTGATTGTGCTTAGTGACAGGTTTGAGGTTTGTATATCAATTATTTGAGACAGATATTTGCTGCACCGCAGATCCACACTGACTCAAACTTGCGTACACGATGTCAGACCTGTCGAGATTTGGTCGTAGCGTACGATCACGTGCAGCTTGATAAATGCTGATCCTCACGTCAAAATTTTCGTACGCAAGGTGTACGCAAGTTTTCTGCCGTACGCAAGCTTGATAAATTAGGGCCAATGACTTGGTAAGTAAGAGAGTCCATCACTTTTTCTGTGAGGACAATTCAAAATGATGCCTCCACCTTCAGCAGGCCCTCTGAAATTCAAAGTTTCTTGGTGTTGGCAGGTGTACGAGGACTGGGATAGTTACAAACTGAACGATACTCTGGAGGTCTACGGGATCCTCTCTGTGGACCCAGCTCTCAGTGCTTTGGCTGAAAAGAAGTAAGACATACAGTATAATTCACAGGGATTTGACTCTGGTGGTGCATGTGATTGTTTTGAACCTCCTCTGGGTGTGTCTGCACAGTGATGTCTCCTCATCCCTCCTGGACCCCACAGAGTGCATGGAAACAGCAGAGGAACAGAGAGTGCACAGCCCGCCGGCCTCGCTTGTTCCTCGCCTCCACATGATCTATGCCAAGCAAGTGCCAAACAACAACCCCCTGCTACCCTCCGACGTCCTGGAGGACAAAAGTTGGTGTAGTCAAAGTTGTCCCCGTTTTCTTTCACAATATAAGAGAACATGCCTGTCGTTTCCATAGGAACACGTTCTAACTCTTTGTCCTTCCTCTCCAGCTTTATCTTCAACCCTGAGTGAGATGGCCTCAGTCAAAGCAGAGCTGCACACGTACTTGACTCATGTTCTTCTGGGGGATGCTCTGGCCGCCGAGTACCTCATTCTGCATCTCATTTCTAACGTGTAAGTCTCCTCTGTAAAGTCTACACCGGTGCTTTCCCACTCGGAGGAAAAACTAATCTGTGGCAAAATCCACTCCCCAACTACTGTGTACGGCAGTCAGCTGATTTGGTGCAAGAAGCATGCTGGGATACCTGGCAGTGGGGACCAGGCAAGTGATGTGACCAGAGAGTAAAAAAAAATCAAAATTGCTCTTAATGAGACATCTAATTAAGATGCAGCCCCACTGCACACTGACAGAGCTAGGTGTTAAACAGTAGGAGGGGTCTATTTATATACCTCATCAAGGCTATAATATAACCACATCAAATGCTACTGGGCATCATTTAACCAGAGCCCACTTAGTGACCAGTCCCTATAGTGTAAGAGCACAGCAGTTCAGATGTCTGGAGCCAGACCGTATATATCTGAGCTGTGACGCAAAACCCAGATTTTAAAGCTGAATCAATTTAAGGCTAATACTCTGAATCAAGTTGGATCATATGACTTTTAGCAGACAAGTTGGCTTTTAAGTAGTGGTTGGAGTGACTAAATTCAAGACTGACTGTATAAAAAAACATGTGAAGCAGCCAGTGGAGCAAGCAGACTCTGGTTTACATGAGTCAGTTGTGCAGTCAGGTGCACCATAAACAGGAGCCTCAGTGTGTTTTTGAGTGCATATTTTCTCCTGTCACAGTGTCATTTGTTCACTTAAAGGTACGCCCGACGTGATGTTCTTCCTTTAGGCAAGTTCACCTTGAACCTAAGTGGATGTCCAATGGTTGGTTCATACACTGAAAACCTCAGTAAGATCATCCAGCAGCTTGTGCCTTCTGTAAGTAAATCTGTGATTTCATGCAACTTCCAGATTTATGACGGAGTAAGTAGGCCACATTAAAGAAAAAAATTCAAAGATACTGAGTTTTTTTTAAGATTCACAAAAATGTATTAGTCATTTTCTCATGAGAACAAAGTCGGATAAAGTCCTTTTTTTCACAAGAATATTTTTAAAACATTCAGAAGTCATAAGAAAAAAAGGAGGTGCAAAGTCATCAAATATTTGAGAATAAAGTCAAATCATAATAAGTCAAGTCATTTTTTAATGGGAATAAAGAGTAGCGGTTAATTTCTCGCGAGAACAGGTGTAAAAAAAGTCTTTTTTTTCATGGGAATAAATGAATAAAAAGTAATTTTCTCAGTCATGTCAGAAAAACTAAAGTGCGTGTAAATTCATATGAATTTGAGAATAAGGTCTCCATATCGTGAAAATAAGCTGTTTAAAAAGTCGTTTTCTCATGAGAATATATTCATAAAAAGTAACTTTTCAATTAAGATATAAATAAGTAGTTTTCTTACAAGAATAGGAGTGGGAAAACCAAGCCGTAATGTTTATTTTAGAAATCATGTTGTTACAAAGATAGTAGTAGAGTGAAGTCATAATATTCTGAGAATAAAGTCCCCATCTTGTGAGAATAAAGTCTTGATAAAGTGGTAGTTTTGGTTCACGGTGAAGAATCAGCTGTCTGGACCAAAATGAGGTCTGTGGAGCGTCTGGTTCGAGTGTCTCTCATGTTTTTTTGTCTCCACATTGTTATAAGGATCAGGACTCTGAACAGACTGAGCATAAGGCTGAGACGTGTGGTGTCCTCTTTCATAACAGCCTTATCATGAGGCTGATGGTTGACTAAAGTAACACCTTTGAATATGACATACTGCGACTTCAGTCAGATTGACTTTGAAAAAAACTGAAACCTCTGAAACAAAAATCTAAATCTGGAAAAAAAAAATCTTTAATGTGAGTCTAATGCTCCATCATAAAGAAGTGCAGCGTTTATTTATTTGTGTGTTTTAATAAGAGGAAAGACACTTTAGGGTTTTGATTTTATTTTTTGCTGCAGTCGTACTACCTTGGCATGAGCCTACAAAACATGAACCATATGCGGCTGGTGCCTAAAAAGGATTATGTGGGCAACCGGCTGCTAAGTGGAGCTCTGCAGCTGGCCAAAAACACTTTGCTCTTCCTGGATGAGACCCAGCTGGAGCAGGGACAGCTGGATACATCAGGTAAGGCCTCCAGGGTCTATCATTTACACAGAATGTCTTACTTCAGGTCCTCCCCTGCAGTATGTAGTCTCCGTGTGATTTGACTGAGCCCACACAAACCACCTGCTTCTGTGTGTTTTTCTTGTTGTGAAGGTGTGCAGAACATCACGGCCCTGGGTAACCTGATCTCGTGGCAGAAAGTTGAATATGACTTTAACTTCCACCAGATGGAATTCCCCTGCAATATTAACGTGCTCATCACATCTGAGGGCCGCTCACTGCTGCCAGTAAGAACAAAGTGGGATGGGGCCTGCAGTTACACGGCCGAAACACGCCCCTGATTGACACTGGCCTCTGACAACCTCAACTCAGTCCCCCAGGGGCGGCCAGGGAGTGGTTAGATTTCCTTTGGCCTCTCATGAGACGGCCATGTCTCATGCTGGGTGTGGTTTCAGCTTGTGTCACTTACTTATCTCAGTCTCCATTGGTTGGCTGTGGCTAGCAGCTAGGCAGCAGTAGCTCAGGTCTTACTCTGGTGCAAACAGCTCCAGGCATTTGCTATGTGCTATTCTTGTGTGTTGGTCAACTGGTTGTCATGGTGGCAGCTGTGTGCCACATGAACAATCCAGGAAGAGGCGACAGATTTTGTCCTCTAGAAGCCCCACAGTAAAGGCAGCTTTCTATGGACAAGTCACACTGTGATTTGAAGATGTAGAGGTGCGGCTTTAAAATTATTCTCACAAAAAAGTTCAATTTTTCCAATGATTTAATTAAAAAAGTGAAACTTCCATATATTCTAGATTCATCACCTATAAAGTGAAATATTTACAGACTTTTTTTTTAAATTGTGATGATTACAGATCATCAAAAAAATCAAAAACCCAATCTCTCCTAACACAAAAAACACACTAAAAAGGATAAATATTCAGAAATGTGGACCTTCTGGAAAATCCTTTTCATTTCTGTTCTCCGTCCGTGATCGAGGCTCCTTTTGCTTGAATATCTGCATCAGTGTGTCATGTCATGGAGGTGATCACAAGTCCAGGTCTTTCTGATCGCTCCTTCAGCTGGTCTGTATTGTTTCTCTACAGTCTCCCATCTCTCTTCTGATGATCCTCCAGAAACCCTCTATGGGGTTCAGGTCAGACCAGTTGGTTGGACAATCAAGCACAGTAGTATCATGGTCACCAGACCAGTTTTGAATTTCCCCTTGTGGGACGAATAAAGGAATATCTTATCTTAGCAGACCAGTTTCTAGTAGTTTTAGCGCTGTGGGCAGGGTCCAGGTCCTGCTGGAAAAGGAAATCTGGATCTCCATGAAACTTCCCAGCAGATGAAGCATGAAGGTGTCTAAAACCTCCTGGTAGACATTGGGCTGTATTGGCTGTGGACCCCAGCTCTAAAGTGAACCAGAGTCAGAGATCAAAGGCTCGATAATTATTTGCAGGTATTCAGAGGTAATCAGCTGATTAGAGATCCTTCCAGTGGATTTCTGATTATCTGAACTGTTTGCTGTAGTCATAAAGATTTGAACAAAAATAGTCTGTAAATATTTCACTCATCACAGGAGTCGTACACTGAGCAAGAAGGGAATGCTTATGAACACTTGTCAGAAAAAAAAACAACAACTTTATTTATCCCCAAAGGGAAATTCTATTGTCTGTAGTCTCATTTGTCATGTCTCAAAAAGTCATCTACTATTTATAGAAGAGTTGTAAAGTCTTATGACTGTGGGTACAAAAGATCTTCTGGATGTAGAAAATAATTTGTTGAAGAAAAAGATTCAGGTCCAATTGGTGACTTAGTCACTTAATATTCAACCCTGAATTTCCAGCGACACAGACTTCCTTTATGTTTACCTCGGTCTGTGTGAGTACAGGCAAAGTCACTGGAGACACAATGGTCTACAGACTGTGTGTCCTGCTGTGCTACTCTCATCTTCCTTTTTGTCTGTTTACAACTTCATCACACCTAAAAGGTTCATTCTGCCTCACCACAGGATCTACACCTGGTACAGCAGACATTACATAGAATGAATGAGGTTGTTTATGTAATGCTCGCTCCAGCTTTAAACCACTCAGAGGGCTGTCACCACATTTATACACTGACTGTTGTGTCTTTTGCATTTGATGTCTGATAATTTGAGCTTCAATTGTGGCTCCACGGTTAAAAGCTGCAGGTAACAGAGTCAGCGAGTATATAAGTTGAACAGTCATCCTTCAGCACACTGATGGTATGTTATGTCCTCTCTGTCACTCCAGTCAGACTGTCACGTACACCTACAGTCTACAGTTGACCCGGCCCACATGGAGGAGTATGTGAGCAGTATTCACATGCCTCTACATGTTGCATCACAGCTAAACAAGTTCAGAATCTACTTGAGTGTGGCTCGGCTGCTGGATTACACTATCTCTGATGATGTGACAAAGGTAAAGTGAACCATAATCTGCCTGTTTTTCTACACTAATATTTTGAAGGCAGGAGAAAAATACCTGGGGGGCTGGTGGCAGTTCCCGTTTCAAGCCTCTTTGTGTAGCTTGATACATCACCTGTTTGCTTTCGGTTTTTGTCTTTTTTTGGTGCAGTCAGTTGAGGATGACTTTGTGGACATGAGGAAGGATGATCCCCAGAGCATATCTGCAGAAGAATTCCACAGAATGCTTGTTGTTGCAAGGTAGGCTGGGATTTGTTTTAGTTTTTTTCCCCTCCAAAAGTTAAGGGTCAAATAATAATATAATTTGGGGTATCTGTGGTCTGAAGCAAAAAGAAAACTGACTGTGACTCTGTTGGCAGGTTGCTGTCTCTCAGTCTTGGACAGACCTCTCTGTCCAGAGACACCTGGTCGAGAGTCAAACATATTGAAATTCTGCGGAGAAGCCGACTGGACCAGCACAAGACTGTCAACAGCATCGAGCAGTAATCACAGTCACCAGAGGGATATTGTTTTGATTTTCTGCTTGATGACAGATTTATAATAAAAGATGTTTTTCAGGAGCAGTGCAGCCTGGTTTGTGAACTTTGACTCATCTTGTTTTCACTTTATCAAACGTACTGACAGTTTTATAATGGAGACACTGAGACCAGATTACTTCTATAAAACTTGTTCTGCGTCACTATTAAGTCCGCTGGGTGTTATGATAAAAAAAAATGGTTTATTTGAAAGTGAATGCCAAGCAGCAGCTCATTAATTTCTTTAGTTTGGAGAAAACCTCTCAAAGATTACAGCAGTACAATTCCAAGTAACCCTTGTTTCTTAGTAACACACTCAGTGATAAGAGTATAAAGGATACTTTAATTAACAAGAAATACCTCATTGTTTTACAGCGTGTAGTGTAAAACAGACAACAGTTAGTTGATAATTGGGGAGAAACCGCACAGGTATAAGACATGGACTGGTGCTAATGCTAGAAACTGTCCTTAAACGTTAAAAACAGCTGAGTCCACAGATCTGTCCTGGCCTGGGAGCCTAAGGGAGAGAAGAACCACCACCAACACAGTAATCTAAGGTGGCTGAAAAAGCACTTGGTGTAAAACAGGAGGAAAAAAACATCAAGTATGGAATAAACAGGGCTGCTAGCATTTGCATATAAAACCAGGTAGCAGACTCAAGCATCATGATACAGTTGAGAAGTAGTTTTTACTCCACTGGAGACCAGTGCCTGCAGTCCTTCAAGAGGGAATAACCCCAGCATTAAAACAGCCGTCACCTGGCTGGAGAACTGTATAATGTAGCATCCACACAGTAACCTGCAGCCCCCCTCTTAAAAGCTGTTTTTCAAATGAAAGATTAAGACTTCTATGTAGTGAGTTGGATATCTTGGGATTGAACTCCTATCAAAGCACAGTAGTATTTCTCACAATGACACCAGCACAGAGAGCAGTGGAGTGATGAACTACAGGTCACAGCAGGGCTTCAGGAACACACAAACACATACACACACACACACACACATATATCCATACTGAACAGCACTGGCGTACATGAATATCAAACAGAACTTGGTGATGGAGAACAAAGAGAACGTAAGTTGCAGTACATGAAATACCCTCCCTCCCTCACCAAAAAAAAAAAAAACCTTAACACAGTAAACCCTGAACATTGCTGTCTATACAGTACACCAAATGTAACCTGTCAGAGTAGATTTACAAGGTAGATTTTGCCATAAATACCTGATGTACATAATCCTACTTTAGTTCCCTGTTAAGGCAAATGTTTTCAGTTCGAGGAGTGCATAAAGCATCAGTAATCCTTATATTCCTCAGAAGGTGCAATTGCATATACCTACTATATGCTACTCATCTGCCTTTATCAAACAACAATGTACAACACTGGCTGAAGACTTAATAAAAGAGCAAACATCAGATATTAGTAAAACCATGAGCCGAATAATTATATATATATATATATATATATATATATTTCTTAAATACATATCTATCAAATACAGCTCTAACCAGGAGTTTTCTGGTTATTTATGCTTAACAGTGACCCTGCTGGTTATTCTCAAAATACAACACACATACTTTTGAACACACTCTACCACTAATGCGAAAAGTTAAAGGAAAGTCTCGAGTCTGGAAACACAAACATACAATATTCATTACACATCATTGACTGGGATACTCATAATAAGGTCCTGTGGAGTCATCTTTTAACTTCTTATTGAACTTACACATGGCAATATTGATGTTAATTACATACAATATGTTGTCTGTCTAGTTTCTAACAGCTATGCAAAAGAATAGTTAACACAGAACCATCTTTTTGGAATCACAGAGGAGATTTGGTCAGATTTTCCTACAACAGATACAAATCTTAGATCACAGACACCAATTGGTGGCATCTGTGATCAATCTAGAGCTGAACTTTCAACATGCAGCTCATGTTGCTCTGTGTTGTTACTACCATGAACCTCACATGCAAGCACTGTAGGCCAAATACGTATCTACTCAGACAAAACAAGGGGGTCATGTTTACATGCACAAAAATGTTCTGCAGACCACTTTCTGTGCAAGAGTTGAAAACTTCTTTAAAACTTAAAAGTCTTTTCATGTCCAGGTCATCTTTACTTCTATGTTTCTGTTGGGATTTTGGATTCTTCATAGAAATGTCACAGGGGATTATAAAACACTTCCCAAATAGCTAAAAAATGACAATTTTCTGTTTTCAATGCACTGAAGACTGAAGTTCTTTTGACACACTCAGATCACAACTGTTATAGATTCTGCATCGTCCCAATTTCTACAGGGCTGCAATAAACTGAATACAAGTGACTGAATTAGGAATAATTATAAAAGTTTGAAAAGTTTCATCTCGAAAAAGGATGAAAGTCACACTCACTTCTGTGTGATTCCAACAGACCAGGCCATCCATTATAATGTGCATGTAAACATAGCCACTATCACCTTTACTAGACTATATACGTGACAACTGTACAAGAGGTATAATTGCATGAACAGATTTAATTGGGGGGGTCCTATTAGAGAGCGTGTTTTGGCCAGGTAGAGATGCTCTGTGCAAGCCTAAACTACTGCTACCAAACAGGAGGTTCCTACACAGTTTGAGATACTAAATCTTGCTACAGGGTACCGGTTAGATCTGAATAATCCTCGTCTGGCACTGTGTAAACATTGCCTTTAGCTCATTCTCTTGGGTTTCATTGACAGTATCTGGTTCTGGGCTCTTCTGTACTTTTGCCACAGCAAAGTTGATGCCTTGTGTAAGCCCAGCCTGGGTGAGGCTGGCCACCTGAACCATTGAGCTTTTGATCTTGGCAAATGGGGACACTACTCGGCTACCGTTGCTGTCAGCAGGTGAGGGACCTTGGCTGCCTTCCAAATGTGAAGTCAGACTCCTCTGAGATCCTCCTGAGGCTGCAGAGCTCGCTTTTTGGACAGTGAGGAGGTTGGAGCTCGAAGAAGTGAACTCCACATCGAGCTGGGACGGCCTGGGTAGCTGGGGCTCTTCAGGCTGATGCTGCTTCTCCGAGCTCAGCTGCTTGTCTGCTGGGGTCTTATTCTGCACGGGGTTAAGGGGGGGTGCAGCAGATGGTGGTTGCTCTCCAAACACCTCAACAGGTTTTGTGTGTGCATCCTGGACAAACTGCTGGCAGTAGGCATCAATGGGAGTACCAAAGTCAATCAGAATGGCTTCTTCAGCCAGTGAGGCCTGCCCCGGGGACTTGTCATTACAAGTTTGAAAGGGGTTTTCTTGCTTCTCGTCACACCCAGTGACACGAATCATGGAGGGGATATTCAGCTCCACGCTCCCAATAGACTGGGAGCGGCTACCCAGTCTGGGGTTTGATACCACAATGCCACAGCTGGGCAGCACATAGTCCATGTTTTCTAAAGACCCAGAGCAGGGTTGCTCTGGATCAGAAATATATGAGTCAGAGTCCTCTGAGTTTTCAGAGTTCTCATCGCCTATCTCTTTCAGGCATCCTGCTGCGGGGTTGTTTTCTGATGTCTCCAAGCTACTGTCAGATTTCCACAGGTTGACATGCATAGTAGGCTTGAGGAAATTGACTTTGACATCTGGCTTTGAGAAGTTGCCCAACTTTCCGAGGGGCTTAAAGGGACCGATGTTTACGTTTGTCTTGGTCTGTTTCACTTTCTGATTGAGAGAGGAGAATTTGTCTAAGAGGAAACTTTTGCCCTGTGCCAACCCGGAGCTACCCTGGACAGTAGATTTGTTCTGGATGGCCATGATATCGTCATGAGGTTTGCACTGTCGCCTGGAACACATACACTGATGTTAGTAAGCTGCAAAAAGCCACTGCTGTTAGTTAGAAGCACAAGCTAAAACCTTGAATAGCTATTAGATTTTAATCGTGTGAAATTGTCCAATAAATGCTCAATCAAAAAGATAACAGGAAGACATACCTCTCAAGCTTCTTTTCCACCACAAGTAAGTCCAACCCTGTGGCCTGTTTAGTTATGCGGAGCATCTCAGCTATGCATTGTAATGTGTCTGAAATTACAATATAAGTAAATGCATGTCTTTCCGGTCAACAGTAAATGAGTAGCTTATGTTCCTGACAGCCTTTGTTTCCCTCCATTTAAAGAATTTTTAAAATCTCACTACCTTTCCCGTCATCATCAGGATTTCGGGTTGCTGCTCTCAGCGTGTGAAAGCATCCACTTGTCTCTTCACTCCTGTAATGCAAGCGCATACAGCAGAACTTTGGCTTCCCAAACAGTGTGGGCTCTGGACCTGCAGAAGAAAACACAACTTCACAAACTCCATTGTAAGGATTTGCTTACCCTAAATAGGTGCTTTTTGACCACAGGAACTTTCCTAAGGAACTCCAAACCTTCTGAGGAACTCCTAGTACTAGGATCTTAATCTAATACTATTGAAAGCAGTGTCAGTTAATCCCTGTACAATTATTAGATTGGATGCCTTAAAGGTGGGGTAGGCAGGATTCGGTTAAAGAAGCATCTTTTTTTGTGGTATATACACAAAAAAAGCTTTTAATATCGGTCAATGTTATTGATGACATTTGGTAACATAATGATATTGCAGTGCTCTGCTATGTCTGTGTTTTAAAAATTAAAATAAAATGTTCAATTTTTGGGCAGTCATTCTGACTGTACACAAAACCATTTTCTGCCTTCCCCAACCTGATTGGGTATGAGGCAGACGCTGCTCCCTCATGTTGTGAGGCACACTCCACATCCTCGAATAACATTTACCAGCCCAACAAAAGTTAACGATACGAGCGAGCAGGAGTGTCTGTTTGTGGGCAGAGCTTGCTGAAGCAGGGACAGAGGGGAGAGGAGGAGCTGAGGGGAAAACTGGTTGGGAGGGGTAGTGTTTACATTCAAGATTTCTCCCCAAATCTGGCACTTCATCAGATCCTGCCTACCCCACCTTTAACAGGACTACAATAAAAATTTCTTGGTGTCATTGTTGAAAAGCACTTTATGAGTTCTATTCAACAGAGACATTTCTAAAAGGAACTATTCAGTACACTTGTGATGCTGAAAATGCTGTGTTCATAAACCCTCATTTCCTAAACTTTGAACATTTTACCAATTTCGATCTTTTCCAAGCCCTCCAGACTGAGCCGCTGGTATTGGTTGACTTTATCTGCTTCATCATCGTAGCTGCGAGAAAAAAAAAAATGCACATGATTACTCAGTAATAGCATATCCTATTTTGTTATTTTATTTGTTTGCAAGATTAGAGTCACACTTACTAAGCGATGTAATAGGCTTTGTCAGACAGAAGGAGGAGGACATCTACATCTTTGTTGGATGAATCAACAAGGCTAGTGAAATAAAGAAGAGAATTTGACCTTTGACTGTAAACATGTTGGTAACAGGATGAACATTATTATCAAATATGGAACTGCTGCAAAATGTTGTACACTCTAACCAAAACATTACTCTGAAGGTTTAACTGCGAGAATTCTTAATTTCACCAAAATCACACTGTTATATATGAACATCAAGAACAATGATCAGATAACAGCATGATTTATATATGTTGAACATTCTTTGTAAGGTATTGATCCAGGGGCAGCCTCACCGGAGCTCTAACTACTGGGGTTCAGTTCAGAAATGTTTTCAAAATGATCTTTTTCAAATATTTTTAGATGGAGTATTAAAAAATACATTCCTATGTTGATCATTAATTTTCATATAAAATTTGTCATTTCAACTTCACATCACTCCAAGATAATGTATGTTTGAGCCTATGTCAGTGATTTAGGCAAACACTCCTATACAGATGCAGCTAAAATGTCAAATGTCAGTAAGTTCTTTTTTTCCCCATAATTTCATCCACTAAAGGAAACATATATATTTTAGTTCTTTTTTTTTTTTAAATCTTGACAGTTACAACGAACAGTTCACATTATCAGAAATCTACTGACCTCAGCCTGCCCTCACTGGAAGACATCTTCAGGACACACTGCCTTCACACCACCACCAACATACTCAAAGATTCAAGCCACCCCAGTCATCACATGTTTTTCCTGCTACCCTCTGGAAGGCACTACAGGGCACTCAGATCCTGCACCTCCAGACTCAAGAACAGTATTCACCACAGAGCTATAACTGAACTAAATAAAGCAAGCCAACAAGGACAATAAATGGGACTCTGATGCTAGCTCAGTGCAATTAACACACAATATGTGCAATATACACAATATACAACGGTTGTGTTTGTGTGTACTGTGTATATAAGTTTGGAAACCGCCTCCAATTCAGTGGTTTTCATTATTTTAAAACTTCCTGAATTGTAGAATAATACTTAAGTCATTGACATTCTGAAGAAATATTTATGGAATTATTTGGTAAACAAAAAAGTGTTATTCAAACCTGCATATGTTTTATAATTTCGATTCTTCAAAGTAGGCACCTTTTGCTTAGATGACAGCTTTGCACATCCTGGTATTTTCTGTCAGTTTTACAAGGAATGACTTTCCTGGAATGACTTCCAGGTCACAGCTGTGCATGATCAAGAGTTAATTGCTTGAATTTCTTGACCCCTTAATGTGTTTGAGACCATTATCTGTGTTGTGAAGAGGTACAGTTGGGATAAAGAGATTGAGAACTGTTCTAATCCATATAATGGCAGAAACCACTCAACTTAGCAAAGAAAAATCGAAAAAGTCAAATTGCTGCAAAGAAACTACTTCTAAGGAAGAACAACAAGAGAAAGAGAATAGCTTGGGCTAAGTGACATAAACAATGGACATTACACCAGTTGAAATCTGTCCTTTGGTCTGATGAGTCCAAATTTGAGATTTTTGGTTCCAATCACCATGTCTTTGTAAAATGCAGAAAAGGTGAGTGGATGGTTCCTACATGTGTGATTTCCTCAGTGAAGTATGGAGGAGGAAGTGTGATGGTATGGGGATGCTTTGCTGGTGACACTGTTGGTGATTTATTCAAAATCTAAGGCACACTTAACCAGCATGGCTACCACAGCATCCTGAAGCGACGTGCCATCCTATCTGGTTTGGCCATCCTATCCGGTTTGCACTTAGTGGGCCCATCATTTGTCTTTCAACAGGACAATGACCTAAATACACCTCTAGGCTATGTAAGGGCTATTTGACCAAGAAAGAGGGTGATGGAGTGCTTCGTCAGATAACTTAGCCTCCAGAATCACCTTTGTGATTATACACATATTTGTACCAAACAGACAAAGAAGAGACATGACAGCCGGACACTAACCTCATGTCACAGTTGATGAGGGCCCAGCCTCCATGAAACTTCTCATCATCAGGTAGCAGAAGTTGCATGTAGGTCTGCAGTAGGAGGCTGACCTGCTCCTGTGCTCCCCTCTGGCTCTCCTTCTCTTTCTCCTCATGCTCCTTCTCCTTACTGAAGATTGAGTAGAGGTCTTCTGTCACTGGTATGCCCATCATAAGGTCTGCAATTCAGGGAGGTGAATTAAGAAAAGTCCCTCAATGAGCTTTAATTGGTATGGCATAAGCACAGACACTCATACTATACTTCCATGATTTCTATCAGTTTCCATACCAATGACTGCTTGTCTGTAAGCATCCCTAAAGCGGTTCAGATAGTAGCGGTTGGCTGAGTTCACACCGTCCTTCATAACACCAGCCAGTTTCCTCTCCCCTGTCCTGGTGAAATCTCCCTAAAATAGATGTTTGTTAATGTGTCTGTTAAATATACATTTTGACTTACTGTTGATCAGTTAACTTTGTGATTTTAGTCAAATTTCATGTTAAAGAAACACAATCTATATTTGCCATCTTGATGTGTTCAGTGAAATACTCAATAAATCTATGAGCTCTGCTGTTGGGGAAGCTCATGTCCATGACTTTAGCTGTCCCCCTAACAACTGGGTCTAGAAGATGGCCCACTTCCATGTTCTCTGTTCAAGCAAGCCAAAAGCAATGTTACCTTGAGTGCAGCTGTGCCTGCGTACTGCCTGCTGATGGTGTCTCCATTGTTGGCCCACATAATTTGGTATATTCTGTAGCATTTGAGAGGCAGAGGCTGCTCCGGAGGCATCACACCAAGCTTTTTCAACTGAAAATTGACGAAAGAAGACCTTTATGTCTATGATGTTACAGAGAGTGCACCTGCCTTTGTTACGGCTTCATCGGTCAGGAAGGTCGGATTAAAAGGGGCCTTATAAAAGTTAGATCCTGTACCCGAAGAAGTGGTTTGGAAGGTGTAAAAAGGGTCAAAGATGAGAAGAGTTTACTCTGCAATCATATTTTATAAATGCTCCCTCACTGTTTGTCATACATTTTGAGTGGTACTTGGTGAAACTTGGAGGGCTTTTTGGGTAATGAACCTAAAGATAGTAGATTGAAGGGGTAATCAGTTATGTATCAATCAGTGCATGCCCAGGCAGGACCTGCGTTTTAGCCTATTTGCCATCTGCTCAGTTGTTTTGGGATACACAGACATAATAATCAGTTGCACACAGCTTGGACATGCTTTAGGAGGAGTTGTTTGTGAAGGAGGGTTTTGCTTGAATTTCCTTAACTTTATCTCTTATAGGCTGACTTGGCAGTCTCAGGTTATTTCTCAGGAGCTAGACAGTTTGGTTTGCACACTTTATCCTTCTAAACATTTTAATATGATGCTGCATATAACTCGTGCTCCACATGTTATCTTTGTTATGGTTAACCAGTTCTATCTTAATGACTGAATTTAAATTCACTTTCATGTCTTTTGTTCTTTCTTGGCCACAATATGACTGTCAACACACCTGTTGCTCCATCACCACCCGAGCAATAGCAGCCTGGACCACGTTGGTTCTGTCGAGACAGTCCATACAGTTTACTCTGAAGAAACCCTCCTGCTTGCAGATGACTCCTGCCTGGTCCACCCTGTCAAAGGAGAATCCATCATCACAAAATTCTCTCAGATGACAACAGTCTTAAGCCCAAATTTAAGCACAAAAAAATGAACCACATTCAACAAATTGTTTCTACTCCATCAATAAGAGATCATGATACATTTTCTGAAAAGAAGAGCACACTGCAGACACTCACCAGGCCCACTTCATGTCAGTGATGATATCAGAGATTGCGTCCGTCAGTATTTGCACATTTTCAAACTTCATACCTCGACTGAAAACAGGATATACAAGGTGAACGGGGAGGTCAGGACAATGTAGTTAAGACAGATTGCTCTGCTGAGGAGTGTGCGCCTCTTACCAGTGCTCATGGAAGTCAAACGAAACATATGTGAGGTTAGGGTTGTTGTAAAGCAGGACTTGCTTCAGATATGCGTCACCTATCAGCTTCTCTCGTCCACTTTGATCCACCAAGTTTACAATGACCTGAGGAATACCATAAAGAAGACTGTCATTTAGCGCTGCAGATAACATCAAGTGTGATCCTTGCTGGGTAATATTCAAATACTACATGATACAGCAATGGTGGATTCTCCCCTCTGGGTGGGAGTAAGTTTTTGACCCATGTGGATGACCTCAAGTATCTCAGAATCTTGTTCATAAAAGACATCAAAATGGATTGTGAAATCAACAGTCAGGCTGATGTTTCATCTGTGATAATGCAGACAATGGACTGGACAATGATGAGTAAGGGGAGCTGAACCTGGAGGTAAAGTTTTCTATGTACCACCATGAGCTATGGGTGGCAACCAAAAGACTGACATAAAGCAGCCAAAACAAGTTGCTTCTGACAGTCAGACTCCTGACATCAGGAGGGAGCTCAGAGTCCAGCTGTTCCTCCTTTACATAAAAGGAGACAGTTCAAGGGATTTGGTACCTCCCTTTAGAGTGAAGATCCAGAGTGTACCCAGGGCTCACTGCAGGAATCATTTGTCTGACTTAGGATGTACAGATTGATGGATGAGTGGATAAGCAGAACACTTTGTGGTTGCACAGTTCCTAGTCAAAAGTTTGGATCCAACTGCATGGCACAACTGATGGTCTCAAACACATCAAGAAATCCCAGCTCTTGAAAAGCACACCCGTCAGTCTGTGGGAAATACTGTATATGGTGATAGAGCTGAAGTTGTAATCCTGATACAAACTGTAAGTGTACACTCAAGAAGAGCTGACCCACCTGTGTTTTGTAGTGTCGAAGCTGTTCTTCGAAATGAGCAGCAAAGTATGTCATAGTCTCCTTCTCTCCTTCAGCATTGGGAAAACATGAACACAAATTTCCGTATTACTTAACTCAGCTCGGCTCAAAACAACAATCCGGCATCAGATTAGCATCTGACCAAACAGTAAGTACTTCTTCGGCAATATATATTTAATGACATCTTACATAAACACTGGCATGGATACTTAAAAATTAAAAGTCTTTTAGTTTGTAAAATGTCCTAAAATGTTCTTATCACCTCCCCACACAGCTTAGTATTCAAAATATGTTCTTGCAGATGCCTGAGATTCACAGGTTCTTATAACTCACTGAGACACTGGGTCAGAAATCCTGAATTACAGCTAAATCGAGATGACTCACATCCCTGATAAATACATCTTGTTTGCTACCTTTTACATCATCATATTTTAGGAGACAAGATTTTGGTTCACTTAAACATGGAGTAAATTCCCCTCATTATTCGAGTAAGAAATGACAACACAAAAGTGAAAAACTGAACAATTACTGAGGAGAAAACTCTATTTTCATGTAGTGTACAATCTCACACACTGGAAAGAAATTTGTAATGAAATGACAGATTTTTTCAAGGAAAACCATGAAATCTGCAAAGTCCACAACACTAATACAAAGGCTCTGAGAAACTATGCAAAATTGCAAACAGTGAGATAATATGGCTCCCCTGACCTTTCTCCAAGCGTGGTCTGGGATTGTAGCGGTACCCTGCTTGGCTCCAAAAGACAGGTACAGAGCCACGCGTCTGCACAAATGACAACGTGTGGCTGTGCACATGAATCAGCTGCTCTGTCTCAACATAGTTAGCCACGTGACCATCAGTATCCACTCCTCTGCGTTTGTACCGCATACCTTTGAGTAAGATCCAGAGAAAGCATCATCAGTACTAAAGTCATTCACTTTATATACTATTTATTGCTATTTAATGATAATAAAAACCAAGATTGTCTACATAACTCAAAGCCATTTGTGGAGAAATCTCGATTTGGGTTTGGGGCAAGACCTGTCAATATGTTTGGACTAAATCAAACTTTCTCCATGCCTAATTAAAGCCAACTATGGCTCTACCTGCACGGTGGCGGCTCCGTCTGGAAATCAGTGCTACAGTGAAGCGGGGATGTATGTCATCAACACAGGTGGTCTCCTGTGGGGGGGTCTCAGGGCTGCTGCGCTCATCGTCAGTTGTCTCGTTGTAGTTCACTACAAGTTCTTCTACCTGTACAAAGCCTTGAATGATTGGTGTCACCCAGAAGTCCACCTCTGGCACCTGAAAGAAAAAAAGTTGAAATGAATAATAATAATAAATAAATAAAATGGCAAAAAAAAGATCAAAAGAAGTCATCATCTATGAGAATATTTTGAGTCTGATGAAGCTCTGGTGTTTATGTCAGATGTCTTCATATTGTATGTTGAGCCAAGTCTACGAAAATGTCTGTCGCAGCTGACAAAGTTTTCTGAATGTGAATATGGGGAAAAACAACATTAATCAATTATTAAGTCAAGTAATAATGATCTGCGCTGTGGAAAAGCTTTACCTGAAGGTCAATAAGGTCTTGGATCATGTGTTTATTCCAGAAGAAACGGTCATCCACCTTGAGCAACAAATACAAATTTGAATAAATCATTAATCAAATCATTTCCAATGAGCTGTAATGTCAAGTTGGCACATTTGGCCCCTATTTTCCAAATCTAACTTAAGTTTCCATCCCTTAGTCAGTGTAATTACCATAGGTAAATGTTTGAACCCAAGTTTTCTATGGGCGAAAAAATGTCTGTTTTCCTGAAATAGACATTGGCCCTGGTGTGGAAAGGTGTCCTCCACTTGGCTGGTATGTCTTTACTCACAAGTCATTTTCGGTTCTGATTCTCCTTTTCTTCAGATTTCTGCAGCAGCAGCTGTTTAAATCTTGACATGTTTGCTGGGATTTGGTGTAAGCAAACTGGAAAATGTGTTTCTCTACATACCTGCTTCCACAAGGGTAAGCTGGTATTGGCTAAGTCTCCCTGGCGCTGAACACTGTTGGTCAGGTCATAGGTCATGCTGTAGTAGAAGGAGTCTGAGTCCATGAACATCTTGCAGAGCTCATCCAGCAGCCTTCTTTCTAAGCGTTCCCTCTCTTTGTTTTCCTTGACCTGAAAGGCAGGGGAATACTGGATTGGGTGGGTACACAGAAAAGAGTGATAAGCTGACAAAAGTAAAACCCTGTGTGCTTCAAAGCCTTGTGTAGAAGAAAAAGAAGTGGTATAGTTTATGTTCGATAAAGGTGAATAGCATAACAAAAACCTTTTTCTTGATCGGCACTGCCACATTAGACTTAATTTGGCTCAAAGTTTTCATCAAGAACTTTGACTCATCAGGAGACTGGGCCAGTTTCTCTGGTTTGTCAATCCCGAAGTGATGCTTCTTGCAAAGCTGGAAGAAAGGATCCTGAATCAGTTTCACATTATTTTACATCTCTCATAACATAAAAGTGACATCTGCAGAAACTGATACCAACTTGAATTAACTGAAAAATAAGTCTGTAGCTATAAACTACGAAAACACAACATGCCAAATAAAAAGTTCGCTTTACCGCTCTCTTTCTCAGGAACCTAAAGCGACATTGATCATAAAAAGTTCTAGGCACTAGAGGGTTAAAATAGTTACTCTACACGACAAGGACAATGCATAATAGGATGGGGTCTAAATGCTTATCCTGGAATGGCTCTCTGACTCTATTTTTACTCACTTGAAAATACTCTGTCTCACCATCCATGAAGCTCTCCTGAAAAACTGAAATCTTAGCAACACTTCTTTTTTTTTGTAATCTTTACAGTTTTGTCATATTTGCATTTTATTATAGACTTAAATGTGTGGCTGAAAATAAAACTTTTTTAAGTTAAAGCTCCTGTGAGGAGTTTTTTTTTACATTAATGAAATATACTTAAATTCATCAAAAAATGTAACAAGTTACTACATTTTGGGCACAAAGTTATTACGTTTCTTTACATCATGTTGCATCATGTTACATTATCGACTAATTATTACATTTCAAGGTTTAATTTTTTTTTTTAAAATAACATTTTAGGCCATTGTTACATATTGGGCTCTAAAATGCCTTTTTATTATTTACAAAAGCAAATAAGACCATATGAGACAAGACCGACAGTTATGTACCAAACTTTTTTATACTAAAAACTATAGTGAGGGGGGGAGGTGTCAGCTAAACAGCTTAAGAAATAGCCCTGTTTTCACCATTTCTTTGCAAAATATTCACAGTGAACAACACATTTGACTGTCAAAAGATAGCAGGATGAGTTTTTAGTCAGAAGACACAACATTAGCATTTACGGGACAAGATTTGGTCCAGAAGGGGGTGCCAAAATCGACACAAACCATGAGAGGCAGGAGCTGTAACGACTGCCTTCTGACAAAAAAAATCTCACTGCTGACTTTTTATAGTTCAATAAATCATTCATGTGGAAATTATGAATAAGAAGGCTGTCTCAATAGCTGACACCTACCCCCTCGCACCAATCTGAGGCAGTAAAATAAAGATATTCAGTCTTGTTGCTGATGGTCTTGCTTGCTTTTCAATATCATCAAAAGGCATTAATATGAATTTCAGTTGACTTACAAAAACTCCACACAGGAGCCATAAATTAATAACAGCAAAACCTTCTACACCACTGGTGTCCCATAAGACAAAAATATAAGCTTAATGTTTATTGTAACATAACACTATAGTGTTAGCAAACACACCTCCAGCTCAAGCTCCTGAGGCTCTTCATCAGACAGAGGAATGACAGTTATTTTGGTGATCTTATAGACTTTGTGGTTGCCGGGTAGTTGGCCCACCAATGCTTTCTGACGTATCAATATAAGGCCCAGTGGAAGATCTGCCAAGAGCAAAAGTTAAAAATTTAATTCCATCAAGTAGAAAAAAATTACAGCTTTACTAATATAATCTACCATATTTGAGAATGTGGATCACAGTCTAAATTTAACATTTTTACACCTTTTGTAAGAAAGAAACATTCAAACCTCTTCATAGAAATAAACAAATAAAATGCATGATGAAGAGATATTGGTAATAATGTGGGTGCCATGCTGGTAGGAAAACAGCTGTTTACAGTGCAACTTTTGAATGTTTGTCATTCTCCACTTACCTGTGTGAAGCTGTATCTTTCCAACGACACCCTCAACCAAACCCAAACACACCGGATTCCACGCTAACAATAGGTCCGTTGCTGAAATTATTAATGGAGGAGAAACATGAGGACAGTGGAGCAGTAGGAGACTTAAGTAAATGTGCTCTCTGCAAAACACAGAATAATAAAAAACGTGCAGCTTCAACACTTAAATGAAAAATTTTAATGTTGTTTCTATTATTAGGCAAAGTGCAATTTGATCCAAAAACAATAACAAATATACTTGATTAACATTTATAACCAGCAGTGAGAGTTGTAAACCAGCACAGGCCCAAAACTGCTCACATCACATTACATAGGTGTGAGGGCAGAGCCAGACAGACAGACTGTCAGCTATGACAGATGAATGAGCCACAGAGTTAAAATGTTATGACAGGGAAGGACATTTTGATGCTATGCATGCTAAATACAAAGTACTTCATGTTAAAAATGTAACAGCGCAGCATTTGCACACAGTTTGAACTGTTCACAAGTAAAAAGAAAAAAAGTTGGTTTGGTATGAAGGGCAACCATAGAGGAAAACCAGTAAGGGCTGGAAACTCTTTTTCCAATTGAATAATGAAACAGAGGTGCAACTAAACCCCCGTTCTGGATGGCTGCACAGCGTCCATCCAACTTCCACAGACACAAAGAATAACATACACAGTAATCTGGTAAGACTAATGAAAGTTTTCCTTAGGTATAGAGGTGCACTTATTTAAGTGGAGGTGAAGTTCCCACTGCTCTTAGTATTCTATGATGTAAAAAAGCTTTTTTACCCTTTTAGCTGGAATCAGCAGCCGTGCTCACTAATGTAACTGAACCAAAATGTCGTTTCAGGAGCTATTTCAAAGATTTAGGGGGAATTATGGCACACGTATACACAGTTCTAAAATATATCTTAGGGCTTTACAATTTAAAGTCAGTAAAACTTTAAAACTGCGACACCACACAGCTAAATCTAAAAACAGTGATTGCTTTTAAAGTTTAAGATGTTTTCCCTTCATTGCTATTTTAAACATTTAACCCAACAACAAGCACCCACAGACAATGCAATAGTCTACTGAGTGAAGTCTCAACAACTCCAGTTTTCTGCAATACAAAATTAATGTTGATTTGTTTGCCATGGGAGTGTAGTGGCTTTGAAGAGTGTTCTGTCATGATTGTTTTTGGTTAAACAGAAAGCATCTGTCCTTGACAAATACAATCTTTCAAGTAATTTCCTAATTTTGTGACTTTAGATGTTAAGATTAATAATCTGTCTCTGTACGTGACAAATAAAAAAAGCAAGCAGTGTTGAATTGATTTTAACAAACCTTCCTGGGCTCTGCTCTGTCCACCTGTGTCCCCACAGTATGTCAAACACTCATGTAAAGCAATGTCTATGGCTGATTATAGGTTGTTTTGCATGCTAAGTAACTTTACAGTCAGATGAAATCAAAAAAAGCAATGAGTTAATGAGTGTGTGATGAACAAACAGCTATTGTGATTCAAACTCAATGCACAATGCTTTACCAAATCCAGGCTAGGTTAAAGATCCAGCTAGGACACACACAGACTAGTCATAACCTAATAAACACCTTTGCAATCTACTGCAACACCTCCACCTTGATTAATCCTGCTCCCAGGATGCTCCTAAACTTCCAGTTTGTGTTGACATGATCAGACAGGTAGTTCTTGAACCTTGTATTTACTAGTGAAGGTGTAGTGGGTGTGGTGTCTTTGAGTGTGTTATATTGAAGGTGTTCCTTATATTTGGTACATGCATCAGTATAAACTGTCTCTACAGCAACACTGTCACCAATGAAAACTGTAGCCTACATCTCTGACAGTCTTCATATATTACTCTGAGCTCTGCTTTGTGATGACAGGAGAGAGTCAACAGCTCTGGGGTTTACTTGGGCTGTGTGCAACAGAGACAGTGATTTTAAGACTAGAGATGCCACATTGGAGTATGTCTACATTTACTTAAGCATGAGTCTGATTGAAGTGTGGACCTTAACGGATCATACGAACATATACGTGCTTTAGAGGGGCTGAAACTGCGGAAGTGTTTAAGAAACATCGTAAATAACCTCCTTTAAATTACGATAGTCTGGATAGTCTCTATATATACAGCGTGATAGGTAGTTTCATTTGCAAGGGTTTCGTCAGGTACATACCAGGTCTGACGACCATGGTCCCGTCCTTTCGGCTGCACCACAGTGCATTGTCCCCGCTCTGAAGAATGTAATCATCCTTGGCTTGAAACAGCTCCATCTCGGACCTTAACGCAATTCAAACCAAGCAAATAGCTGGCAGCCAGGATCAGCAACGAATACGTCCGAGATGTTAACGGCAGACGGCCACAAATTTGGTCAACTCAGCTCTCGTGAGCTATGGCAGCTAGCTAGCGTTACCCAGAACGCTAGCAGCCACTACAGCAGCTGGGAGCGTACCGGTTTGGATTGTGTCACATTTACGCATCCTGGTACTCGAATTCCAACCTAGATAAGGAGCCCCCACTTCCGTGTGCCATGGTAGACACAGAAATGGCAGAAAGTAACGATGAGAAGAGGTCCCAGCAGCTGCTACGTTCCGTTCAAGGCGGAACCGACAATTTCCTGCCTCAAACAATAACACGTGACCTATGTCGTCAACAGTGGCGTACAGGTACGTACAGAAGTTCGTTCGTCCCCTTCACAGGGCGCTTTGATAAGACTCGCATGTCCTGTGGATCATGGGTGTGGTCATTATACCGGCGAAATGTTTAAAGTTCCTGAGTAGAGCGTAGACATAAACCCAGATGTACTTGGGTCAGTCTCTCAAAATTAGCTTGACTAGGCGTATGGTATGTGTAGAGTCGTCCCTGTCGGCTAAAATGGTAGGATACCTCGGGTCCTGTTTCCACCAGCAGATTCTTAGTCAAAGGGTCGAACTGACCGTCATCCATTGCAGCTAAAACGCTTTCGAGTGAAATGTCAATTCATATAATTTTAATTTCTCACAGTGTATTGCTGACAGGGGAAAATAGCAACTTAAATTTTCTGTATCACTGTGGAACCCTGGTAAAGGATTTAACTGACTGAAGAAAGTTAAATATATTGATACAGTGAAAGCATATGCAATACAATATAACATGATACAATAAGATACACTGGAGTTCCATGTAATATGCTGACATGATACAATATTATATGATTTTTGGTACATCACGATTTGATATCACATAAAATAATGTGATAAGGTATAATATATGACATGTGATGTGACAGGTAACATTCGTTACAATGCAGTCCCTTAATATACAAGAAAATATCATGATTTGATGTACGAAATAATACAAAAGATAATTCTCCATGATATAATGCATTTCGTAATGATGCATTTTTTGTATCTGATATGATATATGGTATGCACCAAAAATGCAGACAATGGAATGGTCAGTGCCACAAAATAAACAAGCAATGTGTGTGAAACCAAAACTACACAGTGAACCCACTTCAATCACAAAGCAAGATCCTGATACTCATCATGTAAAAAAGCCTTCTGAATCATCAAAAATTTGGAAACCTGATGGAACAATTGCTTGGGAGCTGTAGATACCCCAGATTCATCAGTCCAGAACACCTTCTTCTAGTCTTCAGTAGTCCATTGGCAGTGTTTCATGGCCCAGGCAAGCCTCTTTTTCTTATTCTGAAGTCTCAGCAATGGCTTTCTTGCTGCAACTCGACCCATCAAACCTTAAACTGGAAGTCTTTTCTCCACAGTTGAAACTGAGACTTGCTTTCTACAATCACTATTAAGCTGTGCTTGAAGCTGTTGACTCTGATGCTGTTGTGGCTTTGGGTCTGCGAGACCTCTGCCTGTCAGCATTTCCCCCAGTTTCTGAGTGCCTTTTGATGGTAAAGAAAACTGTACTCACTGACACCTTGACTTTCTTGGTAATTTCTCTGTAGGAAAGACCTACATTTTTAAGGGTTATGATGGTCTGTCTCTCTTCTATCGTTAATTGCCGTTTCCTCACCATTTCTATAGTAACAAACTAATTTCTGCAGTACACTACTGTTCAAACAATGCTCACCATGGTATGGTACCACAGTGTGTTCTAATACTACTTTTATGCAGACAGAGAGGGTTGTAAGTGATCAAGAAAAGATGGGACACCCGTGGGAATTGGTAGCACCAACTTTCAAGGCTTGATCTACCTCCATTGCAACAGAACTGCTTTAAGTTGTTAACCCATTTCTTGTTCCCTGAAAAAAGGCCTTTTTGTATAATTCTGAAATGTACATTACTTTTCAGTTTTGGTTAACCTTACCTTTTTCTATTACCTTTTTCTATTTACCTCTGGCAGTTCACCACTTACCTTTGTACCCTATATATATATAGTTGTGGTGCTAGTATTACGGTTGTATAAAGTACCAAACAAATATACTTCAGTTTAAGTAGTAACCTTACCAGAGAATGACTTAAGTCAAAGTGAAAGTCTCCCATGAGAATTCCACTGGAGTCGAAGTCTTAAAGTATGTACTCCAAGTAAAAGTAAAAAGTCACACACACACACACACACACACACACACACACACACACACACACATATATATATATATATATATATATGTGTGTGTATATATATATATATATATATATATATATATATTTTTTTTTTTTTTTTTTTTTTTTTTTTTTTTTTTTTGCAAAAGTCACTTAAACTCCAATAAGCACACATACTTGCTAGCAATACACACACACCACCAATCAGGAGAAACAATAGTGCATCCTCCTACAGTCAAGAGGAAACTTAGGACAGAAGTTGGGCATGACGAGAACCATCAAACAGAAGCTGGACATTTAGGTGGGTGCAAGCAACTGCGAGGCCTTCAAGTGTCTGCGGACATGCTTGAGGGACTGATTGATGATGATCAAGTGCAATGCAAATCAGCATTAGGTAAAAGGAGAAAAAAAGTTTTTTTCCCCTTACCCCTGTCATAGTTATGAAGTAAAAAACAGTAGTAGCGAAGATGCAAAGCACAAACAAGGAGGCAAACAAAAGAAAATGTGAGGCAAAGTCTTCATCAGATGAAGATTTATGTTTCTGTGTTGTTTGTGTAGAACCATTCTCCAACACACTGCTCAAAGGAAGCAATGGAGCAGTGTGTAGTGTGCAGGCATACTTGGATACTTCTGTTTGAACAACAAACAAATATATGCAGGGAATACAGTAACTTTACTCTTATCTCTCTGACTGAATGTGTGTGTAGGTGACCATACCTCCAGTCCCAGTGGCTGCCCTGCTGGTTTTATGAATGAGTGTAAATCAGCATGCCCCACTCTATGGTTCGAAGTGTTCCTTGGTGATCCCCCACAAAGTCAACAAAACGGAGATCAACACATACGAAACATACAGTATCTGTTGACAAAAAAGTGGCAATTCGTATCCAAAATTAAAGCCGCTGCAGGCTAAACACTGGGGTCGAAGTGATGACACGCACTCCATATACTATATCGCACCAAAACTCTGTTTATTTAACACAACGCTGCATACACATACACCCGTTAATATTAAATAACGTTACTTCACAAAAAGCGATATATGTCCATTTTACCCCAAAACGTGTGGTCAACAGAAAATGTCCTCCCTGTGCTCACCCTACTCGAAATTCCAGCAAAGGCACAAATAAATTAACTGATCCCCGCTGTGCCACCAAAACCACACGCACTAATCAGTGCCCAAACCAAAAACCCACCTGTGCTGAAGGCATCTTCAAAACTTTCGTTTCGCTCTTACACACACACACTTAAGCTGCATTTGTCATTACACATTCATAGCTGTACCAAAATACCATTCAATGATAGAAATACTGATATAACTTTTGAAACAGCAAGTAAAGCAATGCAAATACAAATACCAAAACACATCAGTCAAAACTGGTTTAACTTATATTTTTCAAATTAAGTGCTGATTTCTTGGCAGTATGAGATATGCGTGACATTTCAATGAAGGCAAAGTGCAAAGAGGGCAAAATCAGTAATGCACCAAAGTGTACTTTCTCTGAAGCTTATTTACTGTGTTCTGGGACAAAGGAGCACCAGGACAGTCATGAGGCTGGCAGAAAGTGCTGCTCTGTGGAGTAAACTTTGAAGTGACTTAATTATATCTTAGCCCCAATACTTCCACTCCCTTACTTATTGATGAGTTGACTTGATCAAAAAAAAACTACAAACAATAACTGATCTGGACAAAAAGGCAACTACTGTATTTATAACTTTTTTAAGAAAATACTTATTTGTCAATGATTGTAAAAAGGCCTCTCACTCAATTTTTGTACTGACAGGTAATTGCTGTCAACACGTGCATCATGACTGCTCTCTCTTAAGGCATTACGTAGAAGGCAATAACATTGGCTTGAAAAAACATGGTTGCACTAAAGCTACCATCAGTTATGTGCTGAATGTCAGGAAATACCAACACTGTTAATCAATGCATGCAACTTCCACAAATGCTTTAGTAAAGGAAGGGGGCTTAACTGGAGCAGACTTGCTAACTATCAAATATACAGTAGGCTCTCCTTCTCTTCTCTTGAGTATTAAATGTAAAGTCATCACGATATCTCTTTTGCAAGCTCAACGTTCTCTTTGGTGATCATGCTGGGCTCTCCTTTCTGTGTAAGGTCGTCTCCCTCCATTGAGGTCTGGCTGGCAGACCTGACAGGCTGCTCCTCCAGTTGCTCTAGTTCTTCCAGTATGTTTTGGACACGACGGACTCCATCCCGTCTTGCTTGCCTTACATCTGCACGACCCTCTGGGTCAACAGAGTCTAGTGCTAAAAGCTCTTTAGTCAGCAGCTCTTCCAGCAACAAGTATTTCTTATCATTCTTCTTTCCATCGAAAATTTTCACTTCTTGCTCCAGTTTCAGGACCCGTTCCACTATCTGCTGTACTTTGGCCAAACCTGGATGGATCTGGCACTGAGCACCCTGCTCACCCTCTGCTTTCATCTCAGGGGGTGCTGCTGTTATGTCTGGGGCTTCTGGCTTTAAAGGCATTTGAACTGTAATATCTGCACTTTGCTGTGTTTTCTCTGGTTTTGGGGGTTGCTGTGGCTGCTGCTGTGGCTGGATTAACTGTTCAGGATGCTGAGGCGGGGGGGCTGCCTGGTGTTGTTCCTGCTGGAACTGTTGCTGCTGCTGGAGCTTCTGAGGTTGGTGGAACTGGAGAGGTTGCTCAGGTGGAAGCTTTTGGAACTGTTGAGGTTGCTGAAGCCGGAGGACATCAGCACCCACATGCAGTGGCATGTTTTCAGGTTTCTGCTGAGTGCTTAGATGTTCCTGGTCCATTTTGGGGGGCTGGTCTCTTGTGAAAATATGCTGCTGGACCTTGGGGTAAACAAAAAATCCATCAATTTCTAAGGCGACACATACACATCACACCTTTGTAAAAATCAAGAAGAATTTAAATGTATTAGTGAGGAATAAAAGTACCTGTGGTTCTCCCAGAGTTTGTGTTATAATGGGTGACTGGCTTCTAATATGAGATGGGAGGTTAACAGGAGGAGCATCACGATGCTGGGGAGGCAATATCGGAGAAGCCCTTTCCCGGGGAGGATGCGTTGTTGCAGGGTAGCTCGGCCATTCGTCTGCCTGAAAGCGATGGAAGGGCTGCTGGTGCTCTGAGAAAGGGGCGCGCTGAGAGTAAACTGAGGGATTCAACTGTGCTTGTGTATGTGTTTGGCCTCCTCCACCCTCATGGATCACTGGGATGGGGATGTACCCTGCTTGAAGACCAATGTTATTGGGCCGAGAGGGTTGGTGATGAGGAGGGGTTAAAACCTGTCAAACAAATGAAATTGAAACAATACAGTAGTCAGTATTAGTTTCACAATAACGGAACAGCTTGTAGATTTTTATTTGTTATTTCCAACCTCTGCTGTTTGTGCAACAGGTAAGCCAGCCTTTACGGGTTCAGTAGGACTACTTTCTGAAGGTCCATGTAATGGTGATCTGGGCCTGCAGAGGAGTCCCGGTGTTGGAGATGGTGCTTGACCCTCTGTGCGAATACTCTGTGCATGGCTTGGACGGATGTAGGAATAGCATGACTCTTGTTGCTGCCTCGGTTCTGCACCCTCATGGAAGACAGGTATGGGAACATAACCTGGGCGAAGAATAGGGTGCTTGATCTCCCTAAAAAAGCTTTTCTGTGAATCCTGAGGGCTTGGCTCTGGGGGTATGTTGGGTCCATTTGCTGACACTTCTTTATCCTAAAACACATTAAATAATGTGGTGAATTGATAAGCTGCTATAACACGTTAAATAATCGCTCAGTATATCTTTACAAATATGAGGAAGAACTCTTGTTGTTGATACTAAATCAAGCAAACTCCACTGTGATCATTTGAGGCAACATCAATGTTGCTTCTTGAATGCATAGCTAAATTATAAAGTATTTGTAACATTTCAAACTAGGGAGTTATTTACAGATAAGCCTTTGTTGGCATTTTAATCACTCCCAGACTCACTGTCCACTATCGAGTGATAAATTATTGAAAAAAATCCTTCAAACACACAGAAAACCTTGTGAAGGAAGAACCAGCACTTCAACCAAGATCTGTCAAAGTACTTTCATCACCAAAAGACTATTTACAACTGGGATCAATTTTAACTCTCCATTACAAAGTTAACTTAACTAATTTAAACATTCTTTTTATTTATTTTTAATAATATATGGCTTTGCAGTTTACACAAACAACCAGAAATGAAAAATAGTTTGAAATGTCCTATTTATATGTACCTATGTGATCATAAAGATAACTGATGTAACTTGTGTAACTTGGAGTAACCTTAAGTTTCAATGCAACTCCAATCAGAATCGTTTTCTGATTTTCTGACTTTAAGAACTAACTTACAAACACTTAAATTACTTTACATTAATATAATTAAAGAGAAGATAACCCCAGAATCATGTTGTATACCAGCTTGGTAATAACAGTAAAGCTAATTCTTCTCATCGATGTGCTGTTGAAGTAAAAGTACACTCTCACAAGAAATACATTTAAAATTTACTGCATGAGAGAGTTCAACATTTTCCATAGGAACAATTTGGAGTTTGAGTGAGTATAAGTTTCACAACTGCTTAGGGTAACTTGTAATATAACCGTTTTCACGGTGTTATGACTAACTACTCACCAGCCTGTGTCAGCAAAGGAGAAGCAACAGGTCAGCTGATAGCCTAATAAAGTGCACAGACTTTGAAATATAAGGCTGTTTGTAATGTGATAAAACCTTTACTTCAGTCCCTTATATATCAAATCTAACAGTTTATTGTTTCACGTCATAACATTTAAAGAAATGAGCTGCATTTTCACACCAAAGTTGAGAAGCTGTGATCGACTCTTTGCCTTCTGCCATCTTACGGGACAGTGCACCAATTTTATCCCATGACAGCTGTCTTTCTGGCAGATTCTTCTGGACACTAACTTTGGACAACGGTCTATCTCCAAGACGAAACACAGCCTATTGGCAGCCTGAAGCCCACGGCAAACTTCCACCCATGAGTGTCCTCTGAATATCTGTAGGTTTTCACAACATGGGCCTACCGTATAGGCCATTTAAAGACACCAAATTGATAGACCGAGCTACCAGCGCATAGCACTGGTGCCTACACGGCCAAAGTGAACTTAACCTGCCTCAATCCTTGTAAGGGAAAAGTTTGTCACGAGCTGGTGGTCGCACTTTTTTCCACTATGCTGCCTAACAAACGTTCTCCAGACACTGAGGCTCATCAGATAGCCCTTACGTACTGCAGGGTGACTCATCGAGTAATAAATAGCCCGGAGCAGGATCATGACTCGGAAACATAACAGGGTTGATCACCCGTTATAATAGGTTTATGAGCTATTTGTCCAGGGGTGACGGTGGCAGACCGACAAGGCCCCCGGTCAACAAGAGTGATATGTAACACTGATGCAGCACAGCGCTCCTGCCGCTTTAACAGCAAATACCGAGCCCCAAAATGCGCCCTACAGCCGACACATCTCCACCAAAGTCGTCCAGCCTACAAGTGCTACAGCCGTGAGCCGTCAACATTGGCACACCAAGTTTATCCAGGCGCTCTATTACCTTTTTCGTGTCGTGTCTCGGGTCATTCCAGGTTGTCGTACGGTTGTTGTGATCGACGAAAAAGGGCCATCCAGTCTGAGGGTCAATTTTTACTTCCCATCCGAGGGGAAGAGGGTCGTTGTCATTGTTTGTCATTGTCAGTAACGGGGACGTCGTCTTCATGCCGCTCATGTTGCGAGGTGTCGAATACTGAAACATTTTATTCAGGCGGCGGACTCTTTAAAGATTCCTTGAGGTGACGTGGAAAAGGGGGCTGGAAGTTTCTCGAAATAGCGGGGTTAATAACGGGGGCGGACATGCTGGATAGGAAGGCACAGACTTCCAAACCTGCTCTGTCGCAGGCTTAACCACACAAAGTCCTGAATGTATGGACCGCATAAGCTCGGTTTCTTCTGGGAACACGGTTTTGCGGGGTTTTCTATGAAGCCCATTTCCACCACTGAAAACGTGGAAAGAGTGGGCCTTGGTGGAAAAACCTCTCAGATGTGATGTTATAACTAAGATATCAAAACGGCGAAGTTTAAGTTATGAGATAGAAAGTCAAAATATTAAGATCAAATGTAGAAACGATAAAATATAAGATAAGAAATAATATGACAAAGTTGAAATGATGAGCTAAAAGTCAATTTGAAGAAATACAACGGTAAAGTAATTAAGTAAATGTGTAATCGATTTGACTTTTTATACCTTTCAAACTCGAACTTTTAACTTCATCCTGCAAATCCCACCTTATCAGCTGTCTCAAAATTTTGAGTCTTTATCTCATAATTTTGAGTTTTGGTTTCATAATTGTATTCTCATTTTGTTTGACATTTGGTGTCATTAGAATGACTTTTATCCCTTAATTTTACTATTGGGAGAGACCAGGGATGGTTGCAACATTTTTTGCCTCATCACTCATATACTGAACTTTTGAGCTAGAGTTTTCAATTTTTATACAAAACGCCCACATTTGTTTATGACAGAATACATTAATTCAGTTGTCTGCAAGATTAGCAACCTTTTGAGTTGATGTCAAAGACAGGGTGCTCCTGTCTTTGACTGCTCCTGTGTTAAAGCCTACCCACTATAGTGGGTTGGGCTGTATAGAGCACACACCACTATAAAATAGAGCCCAAGGTCTGTAACAGGTCTGCAGATAGACCAAGTTATAATCTGATTTGCCCAGTGGTGGTAAGGCAGTGGCTCTGTAAGCCTCTTTGATGTTGGCATACAGATGATCCAGGGTTTTGTTTTCTTGAGTAGGAAAGTTAACAAACTGTGTAAATCCAGCCAGGTGAGAGGAAAGGGTGACATGGTTGAAGTCTCCTGATATAATGCTGCGTTCCAGTTGTACTCAGAAGTCGGAATTTCCAACTTTCTGAGTCGGGAATTCATTTTTAATGCCCCCCTGAAGTTGGATTCCAACTCGGAAACTGTGTTTCTGGGACATTAATGAGCAGTACAGGGGTTCCACAAGGGACAGTGCTGGCGCCATTCCTGGTCACACTGTACACGTCAGACTTCAAATACAGCACTGAGTCCTGCCACATCCAGAAATACTCAGTTGACACCGCTATCGTGGCATGTATCAGAAATGGACAAGAAGCTGAATACAGAGATCTGAGAAGAGTCTTAAGTGACTGGAGTCACAAAAAACTGCACCTCAAACACCTCAAAGACAAAGGAGATGGTCATAGACTTCCCTCTTCAGCCAGTGAACACCTTTAGAGTGGACATCAAAGTGGTGACATCATATAAATACCTAGGCATACATTTGGATAATAAGTTGGGCTGGTCTAAGAATATAGACTTCATCTACAGAAAGGGGCAGAGCCGCCTCTTTTGCCTGAGAAGACTCCAATCAATTGATTTCTGTAGTAAGATGCTGCAGATGTTTAATCAGTCTGTGGTGGCAAGTGTTCTGTTCTACACTGCAGTCTGCTGGGGAGGAAGCATAACACAAAGATGCAAGACATCTGAACTAACTGGTGAAAAAGGCTGGCTCTGTGGTTGGACTCAAGCTGGACTCAGTGGAGGATGTGGTGGAGAGATCTACACTGAGTAAGGCTGAAACTATTCTGAAGAACATGGATCACCCACTTCACAACACCTTGATGGACCAAAGAGCCAATGGTGGTGGATGGCTCCTCTTTCTTCGCTGCAGGACAGAAAGATTCAGAAGATCTTTTATACCAACAGCCATCAGGCTTTATAACTCTTCTATAAATAGTAGATAACTGTAATAGTAAATAACTGTAATAGTAGATAACTTTTAGAGACATGTGAAGTGAGACAACAGACAATTGAATTTCCCTCCTCGGAATAATAAAGTTCTTCTTATGTAAAAACCTGTAAATTTATGACATTATCGTAATAGCATTACCATTTCAATATTATACATTTTTACAACTTCATTCTCAAAATCTGTTTTAAAATTTCTCAATAGGACCAAAGTCCTCAGTTATAGATAGAGAGATCTTTCTTTTCCAGTAAGAAATAAGGTTTAACACTTAGACTGACTCCAGATCCTGCACTTGAACCCACATTCTTTTGATGCTGTGATGGCTGTGTTGGTGGGAGACCGGGCACAATGACACTTCTGACACAATTTCAGACCTACTGAAGTCCAGTTGAGACTCATGTGGTCTGATTAAATGATTATCTGATGTGTGACCACCTTGCTGTATAGTAGTCTCACCTACACAGTTTTGGCAGGTAAGTCCAACTTATATTGTGCATAAGCGAGCTGGGGATTTTGGTCAGCAGTACAGTCATCACAATGATGAACTACTGACTGTTAATTACAAAATTCTTCATTCAGCTGATCTTTTCAAAGCAGGTCAAACATGATTCAATTTCATTTTGGATGCTTAGACCAAGTGGCACCTCTGAAAGTATGACGTGTCTTAAATAGCATTAAAAATGCCATGTATGCTCACCACCAACTCTGACTTTGTTTCCTTTGTTCTTAAACAAAGATAGCAATTGAAAGACCATAAAAAGAAAAATGAAACAAAACAAATCTTTTTTATTTGGCGGAAATGTTCTGACTGTTGAGACTGTAAAAAAACATGAGTCATCTTTAGAAAGCTTGACCTGTTAACAAAACTACTGAAAATAACATTTCTTACTGTAAGTAAATTAAAAATCCACCTTGCAGTATCTTAAACATAGTTGTCTTAAGCATAAACCAGTGCTTAGAAAAAGAAAAAGAAAGATAGCATTGGTGCAAACTCTAAAGTGAGGATATTTTTTTACTTTCACCTTTTTAACACCAGTTATTATCTAGGATGATGACTTGCAAAGTCTCCAAATGCTGCTATATTTCTTCAACTCTTTTGTAAATTTGCATGCTTTGAGCAACAAATAGATAGCAAATGTTTCACCTGTTTTGTAACTTCTGCTGTCCATTTAATATTAATTTCAATTGCTTTTGTATTAGCCCTGTGCCCTCCGTTCAAATAATTCATCATAAAACGACCCTCAACTGGATTGAAAAGTGCTGTTTATTTTGGTCAAATGTCACATTTATTATGCTTTTAGTAATTAAAACCAATAAAAGTAAAATAAATAGAATTATGACCAGCTGATTTTGGATCTGTTATCCTCCTGTTTCCCTTGACAGAACCATATAAGAATTAAGTATACTATCGTTGTTTTTAAGTTGAAAAAGCACGGCATGTTCCAACCATAGACTGTCTATGGTTCCAACAGATTCGTGACGCAACTAGAACCGTCGAGAAGGTTAAAGGGCTGCTTACTAGAATGACGTATTTCCTATGCGCCCTGTCAGTTAGCCCTTAACTCAGGTAGTTAGCTTTTCACTGAGATAACCAAGTACACCAGCTAGTTAACGTTTGCTCTAAGCCACTTACTGTCTGTCAGCACTGGGCGTGGAAGTCAAAAGCCGCCCTTAAACCTTAATCATGCCGGGATATGCAACGGTGTCGCATTTCTGAAAGTTATCTCTGAAACCAGCGGTTAGCAAAGCTAAAGTTCCCTGCTGTTTACACATCTACCGTAAATGTAGTAATAGCAAAGACGTTACTGCCGGACAACATTAAAATTAAATACTTAACGGGTTATTGTTAGAATAGGGTTGAAGTGGGCTCGATTCAGATTCGCATATGCTATAAAAACATTAAAGTCGCTCCCTTATTTGGACCAGCTTGCTGAAATTTTAGGAAAGTTTGTGATGACGTTCAAGTACTTAACGATAATTTTTTAAAAATCACCATAACTCATCATTAACCTAATTAACGCAACTTGTAGTGCTGACTGTCAATCCGACGATTTTTATACAGCCGAAGTTAGATTATTGTAATTTAGATTAATGCCCTCAATTTTTGTATTTTGTTGAGTTTTAGTTAACAAATTTTGGATAATCTTCAATACAGTAACAGGGAGTTGTAGAACAACCACTTCCATTCAGGGATTACATTTGGGTCCTGTGATTATCAGTGTTCAGCCGACCCACTCCATAACTCCACATGGCCACTTTTCAGGCTGTGAATAGCTGAGAGAAAAAAAATACTGATTTTGAGGTATGAAAGTTTCTTAATCAAGGCTATACTTGGTTTGTACTTATACCATTGCTAATAAAAATCACATGACTACACTGCAGTTCCTCCGGCAAAATAATGTTGTTGTTTTTTTTCTTGTCTATCTTCAAACCACCATGCTGCCTGCTAAACATTGTTTGACAGGGCTGAGGTGGGTTATAACACATGCAGAACAATTGTTACAATCGTCCCCGTATATGTCCCTTATTATATTTTATTTATTCAAGTATTTTTTTTTAGAAAGCTTAAGGTGTTACAGAAAGACTGACGGAGGTGAGTCTAATACTGTTCAGGAAAATCTCAGAGGAAGTGACAAAGAATAACAACCTAAACTGCTAGTATGGTGGGTTGCAACAAAGGAACACAGTTTTTGGCAGGTTCATGATACTCAGGCAGCCAATGTTTTTCTTTTTTGGTTAAGAAAATGCTGAAAAAGGGTTTTTGTAGGTATATGTGATATCAAGAATTGTTATGAGTGAAGTTGAAATTATTCCCCTCCATTCCTTTCATGATAATTAAAAATGAAAACTTATGTCCTAGGATTTAAAAATATGATGAAAATGTTGAGTAGGTGTCTCTTAAATTTTATATGTCACTGACAATGATGCTAAACTGATGCATGTCCCGACCTTGCTGTGGAGGTCTGCATCCTGACAGCCTTCCGAGATAAGGGATGTAAAGGATTTCCCACCGAGGAGCCTCCTTCATCGTGTACCTCATGTCGTTACAGTGTGTGGCCTCTAGATGTCAGTATGAGTACAGTATGTGTCAGTATAACGCAATGTTTGTGGCCTTTTCTGTTTGTCTTTTCCTCTCTGCTACATACAGAGCTCTAATTTTTAATGCTGTATGTTAAGATCAGACAGTGACCTGCCAAGTCTTTCAGGGATGCTCCAATCATGGCCCATACATCTGTTCGCTTGTGGAATGATCCAAACAGGTGTCTTTGTTCTCAATTTCCCAGGACTTTTGTTGGCCCTGAACCAACTTGGTAGGAACATGCTGCAGTATCAAATTCAAAATAGATGAAAATTTGCAAAAGAAACTAAACAAGTCTATCAGTTTGAACATTGAATATCTTGTCTATGTAGTGTATTCAGTTAAATATAGGTGGGAAAGGATTTGAAAATCATTGTATTGTGTATTTATTCACACTTTACTCATCATTCCAACTTCATTTGAATTGCAGTTTGTAATCTTTCTGAAAAATTTTGTGAACATATCAGACAAGTTATGCTGTAGTCATTATGTTACTTGCATGTATAGTAACTAGAACGACTCAAACAAGTGCAACAAGAGTTGAAGAGGAGACTGAAGATGGCAAAGCTGGAGTACAAAAGGAAGATAGAGAATAATCTTCAACACAGCAACATCTGTGAAGTGTGGAGAGGAATCAGCACCATCTCTGGACACAGCAAAAAAAAGAAAAGACAGCCAGTGGTGGGTGATGTGGAAAGAGCTGATGAACTCAACCTGTTCTTCAACAGATTTGACACTGCTGTCACTCCCTCTTCCACTGCTACTCCACCTTCCTCTCCGCAACAAATCTCCACTACAACTTCTCCCCTTCCTCCTCCATCTTGTTCAAATATCTCAACCACTTCAACTACCTCCTTCCTAGAACACCAGTCCTTGTCTGTCACAGAAACAGGGGTGAGGATGGAGCTTGGAAGACTTTGTCCTGGGAAGGCAGCTGGTCCAGATGGTGTGTGTCCAAGGCTGCTTAGAGACTGTGCTGCAGAACTGTGTCAGCCTCTCCACAAGATCTTCAACCCGAGTCTACAGCTGGGGCGGGTACCTGCTCTGTGGAAAACATCCTGCATTGTGCCAGTACCAAAAACAAAATTTCTTGCTGAACTCAATGACTACAGACCAGTGGCCCTCACTTCACACATCATGAAAACCCTGGAGCGGCTGATTCTATGCCCTGGACTCCCTGCAGTTTACATACAAAGAACACACTGGAGTGGATGATGCTGTCCTCTACATGCTTCACCATGCCCTGTCTCATCTGGAGGAACCTGGAGTTTCTGTGAGGATCATGTTCTTCAACTTTTCAAGTGCATTCAACACCATCCAACCCACCATACTCAAAGACAAGCTCACGGAGATGGGAGTGGATCCTGCCTGTTTCCTGGATCACAGATTGCCTGACAGGAAGGCCACAGTTTGTCAGGCTGGGGAACTGCGTTTCTGGGACATTAATGAGCAGTACAGGGTCTCCACAAGGGACAGTGCTGGTGCCATTCCTGTTCACACTGTATACATCAGACTTTGATTACAGCACTGAGTCCTGCCACATCCGGAAATACTAAGTTGACACCGCTATCGTGGCATGTATCAGAAATGGACAAGAAGCTGAATACAGAGATCTGATAAGAGCCTTCAGTGACTGGAGTCACAAAAACTGCCTCCTCCTCAACACCTCAAAGACAAAGGAGATGGTCATAGACTTCTGTAGATCCAAACCCCCTCTTCAGCCAGTGAACACCTGTGGAGTGGACATGAAAGTGGTGACGTCATATAGATACCAGGGTGTAAATTTGGATAATAAGTTGGACTGGTCTAAGAATATATATATATATATATATATATATATATATATATATATATATATATATATATATATATATATATATATATATATATATATATATATATATATATCAGGGATTCTTGAGAGTCGGGACAAAACACTTCCTAAAAAACTTTTTTTGAGAATGCACACTATATTGATTAGAGTTATTTATTACTGTAGAGAAAGGTCTTAGCTATTTAACCCCGTAAAGGAACAGGCTCTAAATAAAAACATTTTTTCTATAAATTAACATGTTTCCCTTAGACAGTGGATTTGTGTCAACTCCATCAGACACACAAAAAAGAATATAATTTTAATAATTCTAGTCCAACAAGAATCTAAAGTTCTGATGTATGTTGTAATAGTGTTTAGTTACTCTGATATGCCATGAAATATAATATATAAACCTAATGTGTGATTTCACACTATTTTGAAAACCAAGATTTCTAAATAGTTGTATTTTCAAACTTTGTTTTTAATTTTTATATTATAAAAACAATTTCTGTAAGTAAATAAGACACAAGAGGATGTAGAGCCAATGCTCCTTTATTACTTAAACAATATAAACTGAAGAAACAATTTTTTTTTTCTCCAAAATTGAAGAAAAACATACATCTGACGGTGTTGACGAACACCTGACGGAGTTGACGAGAAACTGACAGAGTTGATGACATTGCATATGTTATTGAACAAATGTGTTTTTAAACCGATTGACAATAGGTCAATAGGTGAAAATAGATTAAGAACTAATAACTCCTTGTTTTCATACTGAACATACCGTTAATGCAATTAACCACCGCGCCGACAAGGCGTTTCCAAGCACATTTTCGTATTTTGGTGAGTTGTGCAGCCCGGCATAAGTATCCCCCCTCCCCTAACTCAGCTCCTTCCAGCGGCGTAGGTCATAGGGAGGGAGGAGAGAGGGCGTGGAGTGGATTTAACACAGCCGAGACCTGTATTGACCAATAACATCAGCTCTTCTCGCCTTTGAATCCGCCACTAGCGAGGCGTATTACCATTTTCGTGAAGTAGTCAAAGAGATCAAGAGATGTCTGAAGACAGCAATGCCACACGATGGCGACAGAAGGCAGCACCTCAACAAGTGTCACTGTAAGCGCTGCATTGGGCGTCCTTCACACTGTCTCATATAAGCACAGATGGATTTGGTGTGTGTAATGTTGGACCCACTGGTAAGACACACACCCTTTTCCACAAATAAAGACAATCACATTAAATTGCATATATTTAAACCTCACGTGACAAAGGTGGGTTGTGCGCACAGATCACATCATAAATTCCAATAATGGCATTAAAATCGGAACCAATCTGTGTGTAAATCGCGCTCCGTGGCTTGGCTCTTTCTTTCATAGATGTTGGCATATAAAATAAATTTGGCTCACAAAACTGATTATTATAATATTTGTATGTACGCTTAAAGTAAAAAAATCATCTGATCACTGGAACAAATAATCTGTTCAGCCGCTGTAGCAGCAGCTGCAGCAGGACGGAGACATGTCCAGGTTGAGCTGCACGAGAAATAAGAGGAAGAGGAAGCTAGAAATGGGGGCAGACAAATTAAATATCTTGTTAACTTCATCATGTGTGTTTATTTACTAGATATTTGATTCAATTTCATGCGGATTCAGCAGCTGTGTTAATTTGGTCAGGTTGAGTGTCCACACGCATGCCAAATGCGCTCATCAGATCAGATATAGATCAGAATACATCGATATAGATCTAAATGTATGTGCTGACACAGATTATTAGTTGTTATTGATTATTTATTGCACGTAAATGTTCCTGACACTGTGGAAACCTGCTGGTGAGGCCGATATGCCGCCGGTCTCCCAAAATACCACTAGCCCATCCGGATCCACCTGCGCTGAAAGCTGACCAGGTTTGAATCTGCGAGCTTTCAGCGCACTTTACACGCCGGCAACAAGTACGAAAATGTCACTGCACCAGCTGATTCTGTGGACACCTCACCCTGCCACACATCCACGCCCAGCTTGGCGGACCTCGGTGCACTTCAGTCCATGAAAATACCAAACTGGCTGTACGCTGAGCTCCGCCAGACGAAAATGCCACTGCGCGGGGTTCACCACCCTCCGCCATGTCGCCGGTGGACACAAAAATAGAGCCCAAGGTCTGAGGGTCCAAGTTAACAATGTAAAAATAATAACCTTTTTCTTCTATCTGGTATCCCACCTACACTGGGGTTTAAAAGAGCAACATAGAACTTCTTGCGCATTCTATAAGACGCCAGTGTGTAGATTTTAGGTAGTGAAAATTACATACTGCACCTTTAGGATTGTACATTAATCAATCAATCAATGAGATTAGGTGTGTGTGTGTGTGTGTGTGTGTGTGTGTGTGTGTGTGTGTGTGTGTGTGTGTGTGTGTGTGTGTGTGTGTTGGGAAAGTTTGACAGTTATAATTAAGCAGACAGCCTGCCCATGGCCTACTCTACAAAACAGAAGTATATGGTAAAATAACATAAAATATAATATATGCTATGTATGTACTTTTATGTGCAGATAAGACCCTGGAATAACATTGTTATCCTTAACCATGTTCAAAAATAGCATAATGTCAGCACATTAAGAGGTTATAGGTGGATTTGTCAACTCCATCAGCTTACATGTCAACTCCGTCAGACACAAAATCTGACGGAGTTGACGCCTGACGGAGTTGACGTAAGGGCGTGTATTTTCCCTCCAAAACATTTATCGTACAGTGCAGCTAGCTACTTTTTTGGCAGTTGCTAGCTGTCCTGATAATCTCACTAAAATACTTTAATTGAACTCACTATGGTTTAAAAAAAAGTATAATAATGGAGAGACGGCGTTGACATGGTCCAGCTGTGACAATAAAAATATTGACATTGTTTCTCTAAAATATCAAAAACTGTAAAACCTACCAGACCATGTGTGGTGGTGTTGCATTCACCAGAAGCAGGAAATGAAAAGGGGTCCTCAGGGATATAGCTGACCATGATATTGCATGATTTAATGAGGTTTATAGAATAATCTGATGGAGTTGACAGAAACTTAGGACACAACTTTGATAGGCAGATTTTTAGGCAAAAAGCTATTTGATGTTCAGGCCATTCATTGTTTATATATTTATAGCCCTGATTTTTTATTTGATGTATATGTTTTCACAATTATAGAGTTTTTTTAATTTTTGGGGGGCTGGTCAATATTGTGACCTCTTGCTGAGGACACAAGCAATAACATGGACCTTCTAACCACAGACGTTTCATTTAAACAAATATCCCCCAAAAAAGTAAATATCTGTGCTAAAAAATAGGATTGGTATACACAAATCCATTAGATTTAACTTTTGAGTATGTCAAACATTTAGAATTTCTTAATTGTTTTGAATAAATTAGACTTTTCTATGTAGGACATGTTTTGTCCCGACTCTCAAGAATGGGTGATATATATTATATATATATATATATATATATATATATTATATATATGTGTGTGTGTGTGTGTGTGTAGACTACATCTACATAAGGGGCAGAGCTGCCTCTTTTGCCTGAGAAGACTCCGATCAATAGACATCTGTAGTAAGATGCTGCAGATGTTTTATCAGTCTGTGGTGGCAAGCGTGCTGTTCTAGGCTGCAGTCTGCTGGGGAGGAAGCATCAAACACAAAGATGCAAGACGTCTTAACAAAGTGGTGAAAAAGGCTGGCTCTGGTTGGACTCAAGCTGTGGTGGCGAGATCTACACTGAGGAAGGCGGAGACTATTCTAAAGAACATGGATCACCCACTTCACAACACCTTGATGGACCAAAGGGCCAATGGTGGTGGACGGCTCCTCTCTCTTCGTTGCAGGACAGAAAGATTTAGAAGATCTTTTGTACCAACAGCCATCAAACTTCATAACTCTTGAGTAAATAGTGGATAACTTTTCGAGACATATTATGTGAGACAACAGACAATTGAATTTGAAGTTCTTCTTATTCTTATTCTTAGTCTCAGATAGAAATTAAACATTGGGTTTCATTTTCATGAATAAGCAAAGAGCATTTGAGACGCTGGCTTGCTCACACAGATGTTCTTTATTTGTTGCTCAAGTAATTGAATGTTTGGGTAGCTTATATACATGGCAGAAATACATGCAAGATTTGCTTCAGCAGTAGTGTATGGTAGTGAAAATCAATGCCAGCATCAATTTCAATCAAAGAAGTTCTTCAATCAAAGAAATTTGAGACTGTTTTCAGCTAAATTGTCTTTTTATTGAGTGTAAAATGATTTTATTTTATTTTATTTTAGAAACTAACTTCATAACACCATCAGATTAATATCAATATACTTCTAAACTTGTTTAAAAACCTTTTGCCAATTGGAATTGGAGACACTACATACATGCGCGCACACGCACACACACACACACACACACACACACACACACACACACACACACTTACAGAGCTACATATCAGATATGGAAGTACACTGCAAATAAACAACTTGCTTTTGAGCAACTTTGAACATTGACTGACTCTTATAGACTCTCAAGTATGTTATGCCAAATACATTTCTAAAATTTTACAATATCAAATAACTTCTTCTGATCTAAAGTTACATACATGTATATTACACAACACATCCAGTATGCATGAAGTTAATATCTCAGCTGATACTTAAACACGTTTGTGTTTTAAGCAAAAGATTCCAGAATACATTATACACTTTTTACATATTTTCCTGAAATGACTTTCTGCAGCTCAACAGGGTTGAATAGGAGAAGTATTTCTGGCAATAGTTGTATGTTGTTCTGACAAACAAACAATGTTTTGCCAACATGTAAGGGTCCCCCAAAGGAAAAAAAAAACGTCTCAACATTGGATTGACATAATGCTAATTTTATGTTATAATCTTGTTTATAATAATACAGCTTAATATTGCCATTCTCTCATCTTATCATATTTCATATTCTTAATCACATACGGCAGTCATATGTGGTGCTGCAAACTCTCCTTGATGAGTCTTTATCCAAACGAATCAGGACACCTCCATCTAAGGGAACTCCGTCACTCTAGAGGGTTAATAAGAAATAGTTTTCAGTATTTATACCATCATACTCAAAAACTAAGTTGCTGAAACATTACAATACAGTATGGATTTATATCTATATACTAATAACAGCTACTTTGGTATCATCAACAACCTAGGTGTAACAAAGAGCCATACTTTGAACAGCCTTCTTGTTACTGCCACCAAAAATGATGTTCAAAACAAGATTTGAGAGTTCACATAAACTATGCTCACATTATTGTTGGCCACATGCCGTTTCTCAGCTGTTTCAGTCCTTTCAGCTTTCACAAGTAATCCCAGGTTCTCCATAATCATCTCAACCTTAGATGTGATCCCTGCCACAGAGCTTTCAAGGTGGAGGACCTGTTGGACAAGTCTATTGTGGTGATAAAAGAGTGATACCGTGGTAAACACCCATTGTAATTACAATCATATTTTTTCTAAAAAAATAAAAAATATTGCTAATATTTGATAACTTTCTGACCCTAGAAATCTCTCCTGGTCCGCAAAGGAATGAACTGAGTGGTTCTTCTGCTCATTGAGTGTTACAGGAGGCTTCTCCAGTAAGTCCTTTCCATAAACCATCCCAAGACTGTTGAGCTCAGCACAAAGTGCATCCTGACAAAAAAAAGAAAAACAAACACAACAGTTTTTAGTTTATTTTGGAGACAAGCCTTATTAAAACAAAGCAAAAATATTGTGAAAACGACATGAAATGGGTTGAACTCCTATTTAAGGTACATTCTGTAGAATTTAGCAGCATTTTTCCAACGAAATAGACTGTATAATGCAGAAGTGTGTTTAGCTTATATTGAACAGAATATAATGATCATTTCAATTTTGATGACTTAGAAAAAATATTTAATATTATAGAAGCAGCAGGCCCTCGCTCAAGAGGCTGATGTGTTGCACCACCATATTTCCTACAGTAGCTCAGAACGGACAAACTAGCAGGAACCAAACACTGGCTGAGCAAGACATACCAGAATAAGAACAAGGAGGATGGAGAGAGAGCATTTGTTCTTGTGCCCAGGAATTTGTATTGATAACGTTTTTGAATTTTAAAACATAAAAAAACATTCTATTCCTTAAAACAGTTGACTTGCTTGCATCTGTTACCATCTTTATCGCGTAAATATCTTTTGGTACTCGATGGCCACTGTAGTCTCAGTAACAGCAGAGATCGGCGAGAAAGTGTTCCAGTCTAGAATCTTACCGTTAGGTGGGATTCCTGACTGGACAAGTATACTCATTTGCTGAGTCATTGAGCTTTGAATATGGACTCTGACACAAACCCTCTTTTTTTCAAGTTCCATTTTCATCTTCTCTTGTTCAGCCTCGTCTAAAATTTGGTTACCATCACAGTCGAACCGTGAGAAGGCTTCAGAAATCTCATGGTCAGCATGTCCCATCCTGTAAGATCATCAGAATTGATAACAGAAAACAGAGTTTTGTCAGCATTTAGAAAAGAGGACTTATTCAGTGGTTTACACCGATTCAAAGACACTGATTTATCTTGTATTTTCACAAAGATTTAAAGTATTTCGACCCTTTTCACAACTTAACTGCCAAAACCAGTTTCCCTGCTAACTACAGATTCCTCTTACATAATAAATTCAGACCTCTTACTTACCCTTTCAGAGTTTCTCTAAAGTCCTTGAATTCAATTTCTCCAGTGCCAGATCGTAGTGCTTTCTGAACATCTGATATTCTTTCTTTTTTAAGTTTCAGCTTAGAAAATGTCCTCATGTAGCTCTAGATTACAAAAGAAAATCCTTTTATTTGTAATCCACTCAACCATCATAGCTGTGCCTATTCTTGTATCTTTTCTTCTGCCATTACCTGTTTGATGATATCTGTAATTTGTAGCTCGTCTTTCTGGGTTGAGAGCTCCTCCTTAACCTCAGAATATGTGTCATTTATGATGGCCAAGAACATGTTCTGTGAAACAAAGACATATTTATAGGAATCAGCATAAATCACAGCTACCAATCAGAAGTAATTCAGAGCCAGGTATTTAAAAAGGCTGAGCTAAAAACAGACTCATCAACGCAAATATCGTCACCAAAATAATGCTGAAATATTAAGACTTGCTAACAAGATATATTACTTATCATATAAAACAAGTAAGGCTGTATTTAGGCCTGTTAATCAGTCAAAACCAAAACTGTTATTAGTATTTTGAGGCTTGTGTGAAACTTAAAAGATGAAGCACATTTGTAGTCAGTTTTCTATATGTGATCATTTGGTAGTATTTCAATGAAGACTTGTTGTGTGCAACATCAGTTACACCTTTAAATCATTTGATTTTATCTGATTTCACCGTTTAAGAAACATTTTAATCTACTCTGTTTTACATATTTTATGACATTATTATTGTATGTATTATAACACACTGATGTGTATTTATTTGGTTTATTCTGAAATTAAAGAAATACAGACTCAATAATTAACTCTAGGTTAGCAGTGTATTTTAATTCTGTGTCTTTTAATGACAGGGCCTACAAAGTTTAGCTCTTCAGGATGTTAAAGTTCCTGTGAAGAGCTCTCTGTCTGTGTTCATTTTGGCGCCCCCTGTGAACAAAGTGATAACCCCTAAATTGTTGCCAAATTTGTCTTATCTTCACAAACAGGGAGGTAGTTTCCAAAAAAATCTTCACCTGTTTTCTCTTATAATCAGTACATTTAAGTCAAGCTATGTTTATATCTCGAGCTGTATACATGACAGAGAGAATTAATCCCCAACTGCATTATCCAGTAATGTTAGACAATGAGAAGTTTGATTTAGTGTGATTCAGTCAGACTAACGTATTTATGTACATTTCAATAGTTCAGTTTCATTTGGACTAACATAACACATGGATTTTTTTCAACTGCATGTAAACATACTGAATGAAATGAATCATTTCTTGTCAATGTTGGCAGTGGGAGAAGTAGCAAAGGTCATTTCTTTAGCATACCTATCCCTGACAGCAGTTACAGGTATTAACATTTTTAATATTAAAATTATCAATTTTGTTGCTGATGGTCTCACTATACAGATGAGAACATCATAGAGATGCATCACCTGTTTCATCACCATCAAAGAACTCCTCACAGGAGCTTTGAGCTATGTAAATATTGATAAATTGATATTTACTCATTTTTAAAGTTAGGAATCTTTTGCTGAAGAGAGACTTACCAGTAGAACAAAAAAAACAAAAAAAACATAGGTGAGGAAGTAGATGGGTCCAAGAACCCTGTTAGCACGGTCAATAGCATCGTAATCGAAGTCTCCAAGGATGATCCTGAACTGTGTGAAGCTGCACAGAGAATGAAGGTTATTATGTTATTGCTCAATCATTCCATCTTAATACAAAGCCACTGTTTTCTGACTTTTCTCACATGCACTTGATGAAGGTGCTGAAAGATTCAACCTCTGTTCCAAAGAGCAAATATCCAAGCTGAGCGTAGGCAAAGAACACGATGAAGAACATGATGGCAAAGCCCAAGATATCTTTGGCACATCGACCCAGGGTGGATGACAGCTGAGTCATGGTCTTGTTGAAACTGATGTATTTGAAAACCTAAAACAGGAAAGCGCTCAATTTCTGAGATGATGCCCGGTATACAGCTATGTGTCAAAGTAAACGGTGATAGCACTTTACCTTGATCCATGCAAAGAACAAGTTCACTGCATTCATGTTATTGTATTGTGTTTGCCAGAAGGCCAGAAATTCAAAATCAGCATAGATATTAGGGTGTTCCAGCAGGTGGCCCAGCAAACTGTCCACTTTGATGGTTCGGAAGACATTGAATGCGATGGCAATGATAGCAAGCTGGAAGGGAGAATGATTTTACTTCTTTGACTTTGCGTGAAGTTGGACGTAAAAATAATTAAATCAAATGAAACATTAGTATCTAATATCGAATTTCCCCTCTGGGATAAATAAAGTCCTTCTCATTTTCTTACCAAAATTACAATAATATCTAGAATGTTCCAGATGCTCTTGAAATAAGCAAACTTGTGTATTCGCAGCTCCAGGATCTCCTCAACAGCGTAGTAGAAAATGAATAAACAGAACAGTATCTCACAGCCTAGGATGAAGTAATCCCAGTAGGTGACATATCGAATGAGTTTGACTGTTCGTATCTGGTGGGAAGGGATTGCACCACCTGTTGCTGGAAACTCAACCAACAACCTGAAAGAAGCAGATTAAACTCTGGTCATTTATGGTTGAGCCCACAGCAGCTGGTAAAATGAAAGTTGCAGTTTACCTGATGACACAGAACATGTTGATGTTTGCATTGTAGGTGGAAAAGTCGACGAAGGCCGCCCTAGTACCTCTGTTGAGCCACAGGTTATTTATCAGTTCCCTCAGTATGATTTCACTCTCCTCTTTAGTTTGACTCAGGTCTTGATAGTATCCTGCTCCACTGTATGTGGTCAATAAGCCCCAGTGAGAGGAACCTTTGATTTCTTTCTCAGTGTGGTAGGTCCAGCTGCAGAGAAGAAGGAAGGAAAACATTTCAGTTGTATGTTCATGTTGCACATCCAAAGTCAAGTGAGAAATACTGGAGGCTTACGCAGTTCCATTGAAGAGACCAAAGCTAAGTTCATCCTCCTTTTTGTCACTGTAAACATCAAAACAGCCAACTATCTCATCCTGGAAACTGCTGTGGACCTTGCAGGAGTTGTTCATAATCTTGACCTGTCTCAGTCTGGGGACTCCCAGCAGCATGTTCTCATAGTAAATAAAGGACTGGTTTCCACTGTCCAGTGACTGGTTGTTGTACCATTTAGTCCAATAGAGGCCATCAAGCAATGGACCCTGGGTGTACTGTTGACATAAAAGAAGGAGGATGTATTTAATTTGCAGAAAAAAACTTTTCAAATGCTGGTTTCACAGTTATTTAATGTAAACGTGTGCATGGAAGAAATTAGTGTGCAGGAAAACTTACGGTCCAGAAGTCAGCCATGGTGCTAATGGACTGAAACCTCACTCCATTGTCACTGGCTGTATTCACAAACAGGTCTGTCATGGCTTTAGTGTAGTAGTATGTGCTAGAGCTGGTCATACCATATGTCACTGAAACACAACGTTTAGTCAGATTAATAGTTGATTACTATCTGGCTTTGCTCAGGCTCTTGCTCCATTCAGCAGTTCGTGATAAGGCTACCCAGAAACATCCAAATAAAGACCTCATTGAGGACTTGTTTGGCTATGTTTTATGTCACTGCATTTAAAAAGATGTAGATTAGACACCGTTTGTTTGTAGAGCAAGAACACCGGCCTGACGCAATAGCCTTCGCGAACAATGTAATCTAAGCAACAAAAGCTAAGACCAAATGCTCTTATCACTAAAAGGCAAGAGAGCAGCAGTCATGTCCTTTTCACTCCCATCACTCAGGTGGACAATGGCTTTCAGGCACAGGGGCAGGGAGGGCAATTGTGGCAAGCATTAAAGTAGGAGGGAAGCTTTTGAATCAACAGTCCAAAGTGCTCTTTACATACACATACTGTAAATGGTGAGCACGACAACAAATAATGACCATTACTGCAAAGCTGGTTGGAGTATGCTGAAAACAAATAAGATAAATGATTACATAAAATATTAGTTTTTAGATTCAGAGTGTTCATCAAATTTTTGCCCTTTTTTCTCATAAGGGTCATTTATGTGGGTAACAATACGTGAGTGAAACAGTTTCTTAGGCTGAGATTCATTAATTTTCACAAAAAATAGTTGAAATCACTCAAAAGTTTCTTAAATGACTGAAATTAAAAATGAAATATCCACAGGGATTTGTGTATAAATATAAACATATGAATACTTACGGAGGCATATGTCCATCAAAAAGAAGAGATAAATGAGTAACTCCCGCAGTGTGGTCCGAACAAACAACTCTCTGTTGTTTGACGTGTTTTCAGTCAATGTCGTGCCCCACAAGCCTAAAACAAATCAAATTTTATGACACCATGTGCCATTTATCAGATAATTATTGAGTATTAGTGAGGTGTCATCCATTGTCATTAAATTCAGATGACAGAGAAGAAATCCCTACCTTTGACAAAAGTGCAGCAGCCTTTCTGTTTCTTCACCAGGGTCTGCTCAGTAGATGGTGGTCCCTCTGGGAATGAGGAAGGGGTGTCCAGTCTATACATGCTGTCCATCTGAGGCCGTGGGTTGTAGATGGTTCCTACAGCTTGGGCCAAGGGTGGTGGGGTACTACAGAAGCCCTGGTTCACCCAGGCTCCAATGCTCTTTCCATCCATCTCACACTCCATCTGTGCGGTCAGGTGGCTTTCAGCCCGGTTGTTCAGGCACTTCATGCTGCTGGACACCTGCTGTCCTCTGTATAAACGGCAGGTTTCAGGTCAGAGGGGAAAGTGAAGCAGAATGAAGAGGGCAGTGCTACAGAGTTGGTTATAAAGAGTGGATGACATCAGCTTTGTTAAAGGCGGAGCTGCAGGTTGCTTGAGATTTATGGTCATAAAAATGCCACCCAAATAAAACACGTACAGGTGGCAAAAGGACAGAAGTGACAAAACCAAGTTACATTTCATGTAGTCCCATCATTTTATAGTAAATCAGGGGATTATTGTAATTTATTTGCCACGTGCCTCTAATATATGATGATCTATGAGTTTTGCGTACGGAAAATGATCAGTGATATAGAGGGAAACCACTGAAACAAATGAACCTAAAAACCTAAAGAGACAGTCTCTATAACGTATCATAACTCACTATGAATATACTCATAATGCACTGTAATGTATGACCAAAGTCATATGGTTATTTATAGTGGTTAATGCAGTGATCATAACTCATAATAATACCCGTATTCATTAAAAATTATGTCACCAAACTTATAGTGTGTTATAATGTGCATGTAGGTGCGACCACTATAACACATTATCTAATCACTTATGGGTATAGGTCAATGCATCATATTTGCTGACCTTTCACTGTGGTCACATATATAGTAATACTCAACTCACCTTAATTTATGGAACACCTTTTATACCTGCAGCCCAAAGTGCTTCACAACATGAATGAATGAGTGAATGAATGAATGAAAGCTCAAAGGGTGACAGAAATACTAGAATAAATGAATAAATACACAAGCAATAGATTAAATTGAACAAAATGAAGAGTATTAAGATGGTGGTAATGATGGTGATAATGCAGTCAGAGTACAAAAATAAGTATAGTTTTAAAAAAAAAAAGTTATTTATTTATTTATTAAATTCAAAGAGAGTTTCAGAGTTCAGGAGCATCTCTGTCTGATCCTTTTGTGAACACACATTTAATAGGTCATAATCATATTACAACACATTAAGAGGCATTTTAATGTGATTTTAAGTCCCTGTAAGCATTCATTGGATGCTTTGGGTAAAGTCACTGTAAGTAGTCATTGTTTGCTTTCAGTAAAGTGAACTGGAAAAGGATACAACCAATGCAAAAAAAAACAAAGAAATAAATGTTGTAAGATTTAATGTTACACAGTTTGAACATTTGATGAGCAACAATCCAAAAAGCTCCTGTAAAAAATAGCCACTCCCTCTTCATTTGAAGTATTTAAAAAGAGATGAATACAACAATACAGTGTGAATGCTAAAATCATTTTTTTTGAAGCAGAGAACCAAGCAAATGGCTGTAACATATTTCTGCTCTTTTCTGATTTGAGAAATAGATTTAATACTTAATTTAATAAATGTATTTATGATTCTGTGTTTTTTGCTGGTAGAGGCAGGCATACCAAACAGACTGAAGTAGAATATCTAAAAACATCCTCTCACGTTAAGGTGAAAAAATGAACTGCAAGGTAGTAAAAAGTGGGTTATGTAACAGCAGTTGGGTGCTAACATTGTTCTTCAGTAGATGTCTTGTACCTAATAAAGATCGAGTTTGAGTCCAGTTCTGGGGCTTTCATGCTTCAGCGGCTGAAAACAGAGCGATTACACAGTCATTACCACACAATGGGATTTAATTTTGCCTGCTTTCTTAAGCTGTGGCAGGATAAGGCAAACAGCCTGCCTCACTTTACAATGGCTTGTGGTGTTAAGAAGTGTACAGGTTCAATTATTTTATTTGCTCCTCCATAAACCCTTCTTATTTCCTGCAGCATCTCCAACTTGTGTTCTCACTGAGCCTTATCTAAAAGCACAGGCGGAGAGAACAAAAGGATGGTTTATTTCCAAAGGTGTATAGCGTGACAGCACTGCAGACGTGTCCTGCCATTACTGAGCACATGTCAAACACAGAAAAGAGAAGGCGCTGTAAATCAGTAGTTGTCTTTACGGCCCTTTAAGACCAAACAAAAAAGACAAAGTGAGATCATGCTGCCAATGATTTGATGAAAAACTTTTGCTCAAAATGGAAAAAAAGAGACTAAATGTGCTGTTTTTGTGGATGTTATGCAGAGCTTTTCATTCTTTCATGGCTCCAACAAACTTTTACAGTTTAAGGCTCATAAAACTCCTTACTTAGTTCATCAAGTATTCTTTCAAACATAAAGAAACTGATTGTACCATCAGACAAGAACAAGAAAGAGTGTTTTTAATACAAAATATATTTTATTTTTCATGGAAATATATAATTTAACACAAAATAGGTCTCTACAAATGTGTACTTATATTCTGACAGAACAGTCAAACGTTTGATTAAATATTAATGAAATAAAACTTAAAGTGGAAGCTTTTAAGCACAACCAAAAACAGAGGCAAAAAAGTCACTTTCTATGTATATGTTCACTCCCATCCAAAAGAAGGAGAGAAAACTGGTCTATCTATCGCATGTTCATGTGGGGACATAATGGCTCCGGAACGGATGTATTATTGATGAATGCATACACTCCCGTCCAGCTGGAGAGTCGTACCTCAGACAGGGGTAGTTTTCAGGCTGGACACAGTCAAATTGCAGGTTTAGCCACTGCTTGTAAGGAGCGTTGTGCCTCCTTGGGTCTGTCAGGATCCGGTTGAGGGCCATGATGTAGCTGAGGGCCATCTGCAGAGTTTCATACTTGGACAGTTTTTTGTCCTGGCCCCACTGAGGGACCACTTTTCGCAAGCAATCAAAGGCTGTGTTCAAACCCTGCATCCTCTTCCTTTCTCTGGCGTTGGCAGCCATTCGTCGCCTTGTGGCAGTCTCATATTTTCCTGGACTCTTAGAGTCTGGTGATGAAGGCTCCGATCCAGAGTGGCTGCAGCTTGGTCGACGTGACTTCATGATTGTTGAACAAAGAATGAAACCAGTTTAGGTCTTCAGTTTAGACAAAATAAGCAAGGAATCAACAAACCTAAATGAGAAGTTTCTAATATCGGTTTCAGTCCCCAAGCCTTCTGGATCTCACAACGGGGCGATGTCTGAGCTGCAGGTCCTTTGTGCTGAAAGATCTCTTACTCCTGAGTATGAAGAGCTTAAGGAGTCCAAGTTGTCTATGAAAGTGAAGCACTGACGGGGCAGCTTTTATAAGATAGGACAGCTGAGAAGGTGGCAGCAGGTGGAGTCTCCTCCACCCACCACCCCACCCCACCCACCCACTCACCAAATTCACACACATATCCTGAATATTACCGAGACTCACCAAGAGCAGCACCCGCCCTCAGCACACACACACACACACACACACACACACACACACACACACACACACACACACACACACACACACACACACACACACACACAACCTTAATGAAATTCCAATTATCTCGGGCTGGGCTATCTGGTTGTGGCTTCATTCAGTGTGCCATGTGTCACAAACATGAAATCTTACCATCTGGTAGCCAAACTCACAACAGTTGATAGAGCAGGCACGTTTTCTGAGGCCTGAGGACGGAGATTGTAGACTCCCTTCATTTAAAAATAAACATAATATCACCTAAGCGCCTGACCTTTTTTAAATAAGTACAGGACTCTTTTTATAGCATCGTATTTACATGTTGTATCAGATATCATTTTATTAGATTAAAAGAAAAATAAAGTTTCCATCAGCTGTTAGAAAACTGGAAGGATTACTAATGTTGGCAGAGTTACAATCAGGGCAGGAGCTTTATTGAATACAATAGAAAAAGTCATTACACTGAGGCAAGGACAGGATTTTAAGCAAACATACAGTGTCTTGCCTTCTATATAATAGTTGAGTTATATTTGTCTTTATTTACAAACCAATATTTCATAAATTAAATTAAAGTTTGTTACTTGAAGATATGACATTTTGTAAAACAAAGGTGGCTGGACTTGTCTGATTTGGTATCTAAGACATAAATCATCATAGATCAACATGTCAAATGCCACTGGGATAAAACCAAATTTGAAGTTAAACAGACCACCTAGATATCCCTTTCACTTCTCCTGTAACTGGTCTACTAAAGATAATCTCAGATTAGCTCCAGATAACCTAAGTGGAAGTGTTGCCTTCAATCTGAGGGATTTAAACAGCATACTGAGGGATTAGGGTGTTCAAACAATAGAGGCCAAGATGCTGCACAGATTACTGAACCCTTTAGGGTCTGAAGAGCAGACTTTGAACCTCTGAAAAATGAATTTGAGAAGCTGTTTATCAGTGAGCTGGTTTTAATAAGGCACAGTATGTGGGATGCATTAAAGTTCAACCTCGGACCACGTGAGAAATAAATTATTGATCTGTGTAGTGGTCTGAGAAAATGAGGCAGACAGAATAATTTGAGCGTCTGTGTTTCCATCTGCCCTGAAAAAAATCTTGAATTCTGGAGGATAGAAAAAAAACACACACACTTTAATCCACCATCAATTAATTTCAGCTCTATCAGATTGAATATGTTACTGTCTTGGCTGAAAAAGTTCCTGGAAACAACTGAAATGCACCGCTTAAGTGATCAGGGTATTTTGAATTCATGATGGGGACTAGGCTAGTTCGACTCCAATACTTTCTTCGAAGTAGATACTGTATTTTTGAATGATTTTTCTCCCATCCTAGCTATTGTTGAATTGCAGTTTTAAATTTGTAAAAAAATTAAATGAAATATTTAAGAATATTAATAAAGAGTTTAAATCAAGTCAATCCTTTCCAGCTATAAATTAAATTATATCAAAAATGCATTATTGAAGAATCAGATTTACTTTGGTACACTGTGACCTGTGGTATTTTTATCAGTATCTAAACATTTTCTCCACATGTTCTCCTTCTTTTTCCACCCTTTGTCTGGAATGACACACTTCCTTGAACTGTGAGTTGACAAACTTTGGCAAGGGATGATTACTAACTGTCAGAGGCCTTGAATAATGCCACTTTGGTACTAGGTCAAGACACAAGCTGATGCTGTCTGCATGGACTGGTTAGCTGTGCAATTAGGCATATAATCCCATCTTCCAGTTGGTTCATTGATCACAGATTGATGTAGTTTGCCAGCTGCTGCTTGTCTTGTCTGATGGTCTTGTCTCAGACTTGGCTCAGCCCATTAAAGTGGTCCACCCATTTCTTTTTTTAAACCCCCCTCATGTGATTGGCTTGTCTGAACACCAATGAGTTTAGCCATGCCCTCTGTCCAAAGCCATATGTTACAACTGGAGTGGAGATTATAGCACAAAGCATATGTGTAGGTAGAGCAGAAAGTGTCAAAAATCTCCTGTTTGAAATGATCAATTTCACAACAACAATCAGAGTCAGAGACTTTGAAATGCTGGAGTGAGTAACTTTGGTTTCATTTAGTAAGCTTACAAAAACACATCACAAGCCTTCCCATACTTTTGGTCACTAATGTGTGAACTTAAACTGCTGTTGTTGTGACAAACCTGGAGATGTGGTTCTTAAAACATAATCATCGATATTGTCTGGTAATTCTTGAGTGCACTGACATGACATGACATGAAACAAAAAAAGAAAATCATGGCAAAATGGTGACAAAATTCAGTTTGAAGGCCCACAGATATCTATAACTGCAGCACATAAAGCACCCCGTAAACAAGCCAGCCTAGCAGCTGGTGTAATGAGGCTTGGAGTATAATTAGGTCAAGTAAGGTGAATGTAATTTTATGCCTAATTGAACCCTCTTCCTCTGTAATTGGACTGGTTAGCAGTGCCTAATTGGCTTTTCTTTTTGTTCTGAATTCAACACCAGTTTGAGCTAATCAAGATGTGATTGGAGTACGGTCAAAACAAGCTGAAATGCAGCATTAATATCAGAGGTAGCCAAGTAAGCGAACATAAAACCTCTTTTAACAAATTTAACATAGAGTTCTACATGATATGTCATTTGAAGAATTGGTCTGAGCTACAAACTTTCAACTATCAGCTGCTCCAGAGCACTAAAAGAAAACAAAACCAAGTCATTTCAAAAAAAGAGAGACTTACCTCAACACCTACTATAGTCATCATTGTGATCATCTGCAGACACAGGGTGATTGTTCTGTATCACTGCAGCATGTCAGGTATTTAGCAAGTATTAAGCATTCGTGCATGCAAATAAATTAACACTGTGCAAAAATGTGTCAAACATGAAAACAGAAATTGTAAAATAGAAAAAGAAATTTCTTTCTGAAGAGGACCAAGAAGAACAGATGTTGATCACCAACTATTTGAATCCACCGTACTATTCAAGCACATAAATGTGGAAAACAAGTATGCCAACCTGTCTAAGAACACTAACAGCTCATGAGCTAAGACATCTCAGTCAGTCTTTTTATGTGCACGAAAAATGTCTCCATATAAAGTGTGTAGATAACAATGGTGACTAATCCACATTCAGTGCTAACAGCTGAAAAACATAACTTTTGTTGTTACATCCTGAATGTGTCAAATTTAAAGCATCACATGAGTAACATGACAAACTGCTTAGGTTAACATTCATCTACTCAGACCACAGGGAGGCCACAAAACAAGCCAGACCCCTTAAGGTCCCCAGTCTGGAGTGTTTGTTTGTCCAGCTCAGAGCTCCTCACTCTCCGTGTAAACCTCCGGAGGAGATGTGGCGAAGAGGATGGGGCTGGCCTCTGATGTTGGGAAGGCTGACTTGATGTCAATCCCCTGACCTGTTAAGGCTGCGTAGCGGCTACCAGCACGTGCAGACTTGGTAATGGGTGTGGAGACACTCTGATGCCACTGTGCTAAAGATGCAGCAGGCAGCCATTGTTATCAGCTGAAATTGGTACATTCATAATAAGGATAAAGAGAGTTAAAAATACTTTATGGCACATTTACCATAGATATCAAGCCTGCAGGTGCAGGACACAATTCCAGCCTCGTTTTTAGCCGACACTGTGTACCAGCCAGCATCCTCTTTTGTTGTGGGTTGTATGAGAAGACATACATATCCTGATGCATCCTGGGTCATGCTGAAAAAGAAGATAATAAAGAATTCTAGAATCGTGATTAAAATTGGACAGATTTTTTTAACCTTCAGATTGCATGTTACTCAAACATGTTAATGGGAAAATAAGAATTGCTTCCTGCCTTATTCTGTCCTTAGTGTTAGAAATGGTGTCATTGTCCTTCTTCCAGAAGATGACTGGAGGGGGCATACCAACCACCCAGCACTCAAGCCTGACTGGGGTTCCCTCTGGGATACCCATGTTCTGCAGCTTCTCCACAAACTCTGGAGGGTGCTTCATCTCTCTCTCTACAGTAGACATCACATTATCGATCCAAAAATGATGATCAATACTTTTTACCACCAAAGAGCAAAGTCAATGTTTGAATCCAGTCCTCACCTATTACTTTCAGCTCCAGACTGAAGGAGCTTTGCCCTGCTTTGTTGCTTGCAATGCAGGTGTATGAGCCGCTGTCATTTTGTGTCAGTGGATCGATGACCAGAGAATGGATGCCATTCTCCCGCACCAGCATCTTGTGGTGATGGTCTGGATAGATCGGCCTCCCGTTGACCAGCCACATCAGTTCTGGGTTTGGTAGGCCACTTACCTGGAGGACAAGTAAAGGAAAGATGAGAAGAAGTTAAGTTTGGCAACAGCTGAGTTTAATGATTGTAAAGTTGGTGTCCACTGACCTTGCAGTCAAGTCTGCACACTTTTCCCTCGTGAGCGAGCATGTCACCTGGGGCCTGGAGGAAGTGAGGTCGAAAAAAGCGCTCTTGTGTTTGCTCACTTTCAACCTCCTGTACTCGAACCTGCACCCTTAAATACATGAGGTGAGCGGATTATGATGTGCTAAAAATAATCCAGGCTGGTCCAGGCTAAATGTTTGATTTAGGATAGATAGATGAAGATCATTCCATTGTTGTCCATAAAGGTTATCAGTAACTGTTTAACCCCTGACACAACAGGGGGCTTCTTTGAGATACTAGTCCCGCCAATGTGCACAAAGGCTGACTGAGCAACATGCTGTGCAGTGAGATCTCACCTTCGAGTTTGAGCAAGTGCCATTCGGGTTCTGGGAGGTCCCGTTTGTACAATCAAATGACCTGAGCAGCTGATTCGACCCTGATGTTCATTCAATATAAAAAAGAGAGTCAGATCTCACAGGCAGAAAAGAGACATCAAAGGAGAGCTGAATGTAAAAACCCACCTGTGGATTAGCTGCCATGACAGTGTAGTTACCATCGTCATCATTGGTTGTGGACTCGATATGTAAAGCACAGGTTCCATCCCCCTCTCTTATCTTCCTGTAGTGAATGTTCTTCCTCAAGATCTGCATGCCATCCTTAAACCAGTAAACCTGATGAGAGAGGTGTTGGTGAAGAGTAGGTGTGAAGGATGAAGATGTCAGTCAGAGCAGTTATTGATCACCTACCTTTGGGAGAGGGATGCCAACTATTTTACATGAGAAGGTGACAGGCACACCCTCCATGGCTCTATAGTTCTTTAGTTTCTTCTCAAATATGGGTGCAATGCATTTTCCTGTAGGGATGTCATCATGCTGAACCTCCTCGTCGGACTCTTCCACTGGCGTTCGCTCCAAACGAAACTCAATCTCACTCATGAGTCTTTGCTCAAAATTGGAGACTCTGTATTCCTGCAAAGGAAAAACAACAAATCAAAGGAATCATTCAAGTCAGGTTTATTGCATACACTTAAGCACTTCACCATGAAATCCTCTGACCATAAACAGAATGGTACATCGTACTAAGATGGCATAAGCAGCAAATGTTCTCAGAGACATGTGCAGTATCTAGGAGAGAGAGAGACAGCATGCATCTTTGCAGAAAAGTGCTGGTTTATACTTCAGCTCACTGATGTATAAACCATGGAAAGGCACTAAGTACCTTTGAACCACTTTATAATGTTCATGCAGCTGTCAGACAGATTTTCACTTAGTGTTGGTAAAGCATTTTCCTCATCCAACCAAGCAAAATGAAGCTCAGGGTACACCTGAGAACAGATAGCAATGAAAACTGGGGGAGCTGTAAAGTTGACAAACGGGATTTGGAGACAAGCTCAAAAGTAATGGAGATGATAATGCAGATCTTTGTTCCTTTTTTGTTTTTTTTGTTTTTTTTTTAAATTCTCCAGAAAACTGAAGCAGAGATGAACTCTCATAAGCCATCAGGGGAAACTCTGGACTCTGGAAGCTAGCAGTCTGCTTTAAACAACAGTAGAGTTTTAGCTGTATTAGCCTGTGGATTAATCATTCAAAATGTTTAAAATCCTAACATTTTTAAATAATTAGTAGGTTTATGGATTATGGATTAAAGATATGAACTCATCCAGGTCTTTTGATAAGTGTAAGAGGGTATTAAAAGGTTGGTAACCCATACATCCTTGAACAAAGCAATGCTTGGGACAGAAAGATCCTTGTACCTCATCAAAGTTAATGACAGTAGCAGGTATGTTTGGTCCAAGAGGTCTGCTCCCTGTTTTCCCTTTGTTAATCAGCTTCTATGAGAGGATAGGGATGGATAATGAACACTGCCTAAGATCACAACTGTACATACAAACGTATATGGATGGAGAAACACACAAGCTATTGATCGAAACATGCACAAGTTGTTATAGTGAAGCCCTATTTCCTAAGAAGTTGGAAAAAAAAATCAATAAAATAGATTCTGATGGTTTATTTTGTTGTTTAGTGACAGATAAGTTCTCATTTAAAATTTGATGTAAGCAACATGTTAAAAAATTGGGAAAGGGATGAAATAACACTGAAAAAGCAGCTGAAGGAACAAGCCTGCTGCATATTGACAAAATCAGTTTAGAGATGCTACTAAAAAATAACCCTGCAAGGAGTGATGACTCCTTTTTCTCTGGATCTCAAGACCAAGGTTTCTGATATTGAAGCACTTTTATGAGTTTAAATATTATAAAATCTGTCCCTTGGAAATGAAAATGTGTAAAAATGTCTGAAACGGCTGAAGATGCAGCAATTTCATTATTGAATGTGAGGTTAGAGTCATCCTTTACAGAAAAAGAAAAACAGGATTCAGATGTTTGTCAGTTGAAAATTAGGGATCACTTATACCTTTATGAGCAGGACTGTAACAAGAACTGAGATGGATCAAACACAAACAGAATCCAGTGAACTCCTTTTGAAAGAGCTAAGCCCAGAGAAATAAACATGTCATGTGCTAGTCATTTTAGATACTTTATTCTCTGAACATTGTAGCCCTGCAGTCAAAAAGAAAAAAACAAAACATAAATGTAGAAACCAATTTGGCTACATGTTCACTTCCAACATAAGACCTCAATTCAACGCCTAATATGTTGCTTTTAGATAGTTGGATTATTATTATTTTTTTTAATCAAACACTAATCAGCAATTATCACCAACCTGATAACTGATGATGAAAGTGCTGTACCACGGTATTATTTCAAAGAAATAAGAGATGACAAATCAGAATGCAAAGACTACATATATGATTTCCAAATGTCTATACACCTACATATATATATATATATATATAGTATATATATATATATATATATATATATATATATATATATATATATATATATATATATATATATATATATATATATATATATATATATATATATATTATATATATATATATATATATATATGTGTGTGTGTGTGTGTGTGTGTGTGTGTGTATACATATATATTTATATATATACATACTTTCCCATAGAGTTTTATGGCCATATTAAGTTTTTTTTAAAGAATTAAAAAAAATCCTCACAATTAAAGTCATATCGATTCAAAAATAAAGTCTTATAGTTAAAGCTCCTGTGGGGAATGTTTGATTTGGTATGAAACAGGCTGAGGTCAACAGTGTTGTGTCTCTATGATGTACCACAACAGATGAGACCATTGATGACAAGATTGAGAGCATCTGTAATGTAATTTTTAATGCCTGTAACTGAAGTGGGTGGGTGGGCTGGGGGGTGGTTTACTGAAAAAACAGCCTTAGTTAATTTTTATCAAAACAATATTCACACTGACTTCACACCTTTCAGTGATTAAACACCAAGGATGGGACAAAATCAGCAACAATATAAGGGTTTACACTTTGTCCACAAGGGGTGACAAAGTCAACACAAACACAAAGTTCCTCACAGGAGTTTTACGTCATAATTTAAGAAGAATAAAGTCTTTATGTCGTAAGAATAAAGGATTGATAAAGTAGTAGTTTTGGTCACAACTATATTCTTGCGAGGAAATGACAGAAATTCTAAATTCAAAACTTTAGTATGGCCCTGATACTCTGTCATGATCCACACACACACACACACACACACACACACACACACACACACACACACACACATTTACTGAATAAAGTATCAGTACCTGCTGATGTGAAACATTTAAAGCCTCATCTACTGAGCTTTGGAGCTTTTTCTCAATGTTGTGGAGAATGATTTCTCTGCTTTCAAAAACATCTTCAGCTGATTGGACTCGTGTCTTTGGGGCCTTTTTTTGGAGCCTGGTGAGATGGAAGAAAACCCTTATTAGATTATAACAGCTCAATAATCTTATGTACATTTTTGTCCATCAAATATGGCGTACCCTAAAGGAGCTCCCCTGGGTAAGCCCATTGAGTTAGTGGGCAGTACTGTAAGGGACGGCAGGACCGAGCTTAGGAATGCGACAGGGTTTTGAATGGGGCTGGGTGTTGAGCTGCTGGAGATGGGAGAGGAGGCCTTTGGGGGTAGCTGGGCAGGTGTGCTGAACATGTTGCTCAGGAACGATGCTGGCCCTGGTGGGGTGGAGGTCATAAAGGATGGAGGGCTGGTGGGAGACTGTAGCACCCTCACTGGGAAGTGTCCTGGAGGTGGGGACATTGGTGGGAGTGTAGGGGAACTGGCTGCAGAGGAGTTCAGCTCCGCAGCTAGCTCCTGAAGGAGAGGGACTGGTGATTCAATAGGAGAAGGACTCCTGACCGGTGAGAAGGTTTGAGCTGCTATGAACTCCTTCGGTCTGGTGTAGTTGAATGTGTGGGAGGTGGCAGTCAGGTTTGTGAGGGAGGCGTGTGTGCTTCTCAGGAGAGGAGTAGGAGATGTAACATGCTGTAAGTTTGTCATTGTATCTGCAGAGCCTGTGCTGAGCTTTGGTGCAGGTGGGGAGAAACAGTGGCGTGTTGTGGTGGTAAGTGCAAGAGCTGCAGGGGAGAGGCTGAGGTGGGAAGCGTGAATGGTGTTAATCTGGGTTACAGGAGCTGTACTACGAGGAGTTAATGCCAGCTGTGGGGTAGGTGGAGGGGATGTCACAAGCATGGAAGTCTTAAGCTGAGGAAATGAAGGTGGGGGGCTTGAGACAGTAGATGGCGAGATGCTGAAAATATCTGAGAAGGTGGTTTTTGGTGTAGGAGCAGAACCCCGAGGAGGAGCAGAGGAGCTGGTGAGGGAAGCTGCAGAGTTGGGCATCTGCTTTGGGGTTGTAGTGGTGTTCGGGTAGGGCTGGAATGACTGCAGAGGGGGCTCATGTTGTATGCTGGGTGACCACATTAGACCCTCTCTGACACTTTGGACTTCAGGCTGGGTCTGGACTGGGGGCTGGATTTGAGGTTGAATATGAGTTTGGGTTGGATGGTCAGTCTCCTGCTGCTGTTCCATGAGGACCTGGTTGTGCAGAAGCTGGAGCTGGACAGGGTCCCTGAAATGAAAAACAAAGCCTCACAAACCAAAACTTACAAGGTGAAAGGGAGAGAGGCTCCATTGGCAGAAGATCTGTCTATTCAGTGAAGCCAGCAGGGATGAGCCAAAGTCAGCAAACAAAATACTCTGCCCTTTTATGGACCTCCAACAAGAAGTCGAAAAAAAACAAACACTGTCCACTTTCTCCATCTCAGCTTCCATCCGTTCAAGTACAAATACTACTAACTTAGGCTCAGATTTAGGCTACACACAACAGAGGATTTACCATTTTCAGCTTTGTATTTGAATAAAAGTTTTAAAAAAAAGGACCATAAGCAGGTAACCTAGCAAACTTGCATTCATTCACTATATTTGAATAAGGACTTAAGATAAACATCCATTACATCAGACGAGCATAAATGCAAATAAATCAACTTACAGAGAGAAAAAGTCATCCTTTCTGCTAGAGAGACGGGACTTCCACATTTCAAGTCTGCATGCATTTATGGGTTGTTGCAGCTGAGAACAGCAGAGAGTTGACTCTGCTTTAAAGGAACCTCCCCCCTCCCAGCCTGCACACTTAACTTTGACACACCACAATAATCTGAGCTGAACTGCTAAACTTCCTTACTTAAATGTGACACCATTGCAAACCATTGTGAAAAACATGAGTGGGTCTCAGAGCTCTGAAATATCTGAAAGTCATGCATACACTCTTCATTTTCTCTACTCACAGTTTGGGTTTAGCCAGCACTGGAGGGGGTTCCTTGCTGACTGAAATCTGAGAGTTGTCTTCATCAGACTGACTGGATATATCACTCGGTTCGTCCTCAGGCAGTTTGAAGTGCACACGCAGACCAGCTCTGGAGTTAGAGCGTGAGTGTCTCCGGTTTGTGAGCGTGCCCGTCTTTAGACACGAATTCGGAGGGGGATCTGGGAGTGGGATAATGCTGGGTTTGTCATTCTTACGGTCTGGAGTTTCCTCAACATTAGGGCTCGTGTTTAGGGATGTCACTAAAGGTTTGTAAACCTCCTGTTCAGCTGAATTCCACACTGCACTTGGAGCAGTCAAAGTTTTTTTGGATAAGAGCACCTGGCTGCTGCTCTCTGGCGCTGGACCCAACATGCTGGAGCTGTTGGGGTCCAGACAAAAGCTTCTGTCATTGGAGGGCTCCAGATGTAAAGTGCTTGTGTTGAAAGGGTCTAGGACGATGTTCCTTGAGTGGGGTTTGGTGGTGTGTGCTGTGCTAACATCCGGCTGTCGGTTAGCAGTGGTAGCTGCAGGGGAAAGGTTTTGGATTTGGCCAGGCTCCACTGAGACACTGCTGAAGGACCTTACACGGTGGCTGTTGCTGCTGCTAGCTGATGAGAGATAAAGAGATGCCAGCCAATTCACTGCACTTTCATATGTTTGAATAATAGCTGTTGATTTGATTTGTGGGAAAGATTGTTACCTGTAACTCTGAGTGCAGCAGTGCTTGTAATGGTGCCATACTGGTTACTTGCTGTACAGGTAAAAGTTCCTGAATCTTCAGGAAAGACCTCTGCAATGACCAGCGTGCATATTTCCTCTAAAAGTAATGGTGAGAAAAAGAGCTGCTCACATAATAACAGAGCTGGATCCATAATGACTCATCATCAGTTTTACTAATCAGCTTGTTAAAGAGTAAATGCACTGAGGACACGACTGCTTCTTTACTGCTCGCCCAGCTGTGAGGTTTGTTGATCATTTAAGCTACACCAGCACACCCTGAAGCTGAAGCAGGTCGACGTGATCTGCCACAGAAAGATGGACTACCTTTTAAGGTCCTGAGTCAGGGGAAGCAGCACTGGCTTACTCATAAAAGAAGAGCAGAAGGCTCATATTAGTCCTGCAACAAAGTTACTTGAGCAGTGCAATAGGGGAGACCAGGGATGGTTGTAACACCACTATTTCCTTCAAACAGGTTAACACAGAAGTCCTATGATTCACTTGGTGATTTTAATGTTCCAAACAGATGAGAAAAAAGAAAGATTTTTAAGGTATGAGAGGGGTTTTTCAAATCAGGACTGTTTATTATTATTATTATTATTATTATTATTATTATTATTATTATTATTATATTTTCAATAGAACTCATGAGGTTAATGATATTTTTGTAAAGGATCAAATTAACTTCTTTAGTAGCCTAGTACACAAATGTAGGCACTTTGCAAAAAAAAAAAAAAAGGTCCTGAAGCAAAAATGTTAGAAGAACCATAACCAGTCTCCCCCTATATGCATTTAAGAGCAGGCAGCTGCTTTGGCAAGTTCAGTGCTTTGTTTTTGACAGAGGGTTTAAAAAAGTATAGGGAACACTTTACTTGACGCCTGTCTCTATAATGTATTATAAATATATGTAAAATGATAATGTAAAATAATCCCGTTATAGCACTGTATAAGTATAGTTACAGACCTTGTGTGCTGAGGCAGCCTGTGATCAAAGTCAAAATCAGAAGATAAACACCTCAAGCCAGTGAAGCTCTAAGGTACTATTTTAAATCAACAGACTGGAATGTGCTGCTGGAAACAGATGAGGACAGTATGAATATTGACAAACAGGTTGACTGCTTTACTGAATATGTCAACTTCTGTAGAGACACAGTTATACCCACAAAGACTGTTCGCTGTTTTCCTCAACAACAAACCCTGGATCACAAGTGACATAAAAGCAATCCTTAACCAGAAAAAGAAAGCTTTTAAAGATGGTGACAAAGAAGGACTCAACAACAGTGCAAAAAGAGTTGAAGAGGAGGCTGAAGATGGCAAAGCTGAAGTACAAAAAGAAGAATCTACAACACAGCAACATCCGTGAAGTGTGGAGAGGAATCAGTACCATCTCTGGACACAACAATGAAAAGAAAAGACAGCCAGTGGTGGGTGATGTGAGAAGAGCTGATGAACTCAACCTGTTCTTCAACAGATTTGACACTGCTGTCACACCCACTTCAACTGCTAATCCACCTTCCTCTCCGTTACAAATCTCCACTACAACTTCTCCCCTTCCTCCTCCATCTTGTTCAAATGTCTCAACCACTTCAACTGCCTCCCTCCTAGAACACCAGTCCTTGTCTGTCACCGAAACAGGGGTGAGGATGGAGCTTGGAAAACTTTGCTCTGGGAAGGCAGCTGGTCCAGACTATGTGTGTCCAAGGCTCTCTCTCTTTGCTAGTTATACAGTGCTATAACGTGATTATAACACATTATACACATATTATAAGGGGTTATAGAGATAGGTGTCAAGTAAAGTGTTACCAAAGTATTTACCTGATTCAGCTGGAGATCTGGGCTCTGTAACAGAAACAAAATTATGAGGAAGCTACGATCAACAACTAAAGATGACAGATACAGATTTGATCATTGATAATAAACTGGTGTAAGATTACTCACATTCACTTCTTGCATTTCAAAGATGTTCTTACAGTTAGCTTTGACATTTTCTTAACAGGCAAGTCATATATAGTACAACAAGACCCTGATATAAACAGGCTTTATAATACAAAGTTATCGTTTGATGGTTACTGTATATACACCAATGGTCTTGTAAAAGCTAAAACTGCAAGATCTAATGAGTGTATTTGAGGCTGTGGGAGGAACCTGATGAGCTCAACTCAATGACTTTTACTGGAGTCTGGGGCAGCAACAGTAAGACTTACTTTTCTGGAGAATCCGAAGGTTAGGAGAGTCCTCTATGAGTTTCCCCCCTCTGTACCACTCAACTTTGGGTGACGGCACCCCTTTGACACGGCACTCTAGCACCACCAGCTGGCCCTCTGATGCAAGGAGTTCCTGCAGGCTCTTGTCGGAAGAGACATGCTGCATGACAAACCAGTTAAGACAACAGACAGTGGCATTAGATGCCCTGTTAGGGTTACCCTACCTTTGTAAACACAGGGGCAGCCAGTTCGGGTTTGCCATTCATCCCTGGTATATAGCTGTTATTGGAGGTTTGACTCTGAGGACCAAAAAATTCAAAGAAAACATTGTTGAAAATGATGAAATAATCAACAAGAAAAACTGAGAGCTAAACAGCTTTTCTACCTCAGGCTGGCATGTCTGTGTTGGAGCTGGCAGAATAGGCGGCAATGTTGCTGAATTTAAAGGCAGTGATGAAGCTACCTCTGTAGCTGTTGGCATTGGGGATGGTGTTGATACATCCTGGACTTCTGAAAGTTCTGCATCACCAGGAAACAAAATGGAAAGCGGTGGTGAAGCCATCTCCGCCTCCTCCTCCTCTTTCTTCTGGGAGAGATGTGCTTTGGATGCTGCAGGTGTTTTAGACAGTTCTGGGACTAGAAGTATGGTGGCTGTTTTCTGGACTGGAAGAGGAGTCTCTGGGATTAGTTGGTTTACTGATGAAGCGGAGAGCTGTCCAGAGGGTCTGTCAGTGACTGACGCTAGACAGCCTGCCTCTGCAGAGAGGGTTTGGCTAGATGAGAGGGGTAAAGATTTCTTCTGCACCCTTTGGGAAATTACAGAAATCACAGGTGTTGCTCAAAGTCACAATAAGGTCAAAGGCGCATATACATTATTTCTGAAATGGCAGTGTGCTAAAAACTCACTGGGCTAGGTGTGTGAAGTGATGTTCCCCATCAGAGTCTGAAGAGGAGGCACCTGTCAGGTGAAACACATGCACAGACTCAATCACTGACAGTATTTCATACAGAGGGCTGTATGTTGGAGTTTAAACTGAAGGTAACTGCACTAAGCTATTAGGAAGTTTTGTAGATGTGGCCACCATTGCAGAAAATCAGGCAAATGAGGAATGAGGCACATTTCCTTTTTTTAAGTTAAGGTAGAATAAGATGGTCTCAGGTTTTAGGGGGGTGGATGATCCAACAAGCTCATCCATTATTGTCTTAGCTGTTGCTCTTGCTGGTGATTCTGAATGACCCATATTTCACCTGTCACTGTTGATATAAAAAACAAATAAGAAATACCCTCAACATAGATCTCCGCTGATGTGGAGTCAGTGCCATAGAAATTAGATGCAAAGCAAGAATAGCGTCCAGTGTCTTCCTCAAAGGCCTCTGCGATGATCATAGAGTGCAGGTTTCCATTGGTAACCAGCTGAATGGTGGGACTACTCTTCAGCTCCTTGCCCTCACAAAACCACCTGCAATAAAAAAGAGGACAAGCTACTTCAGTTATTTTATCAAGCATTTAGTGGTCAATGGACACTTGTATTCATTTTGTATTAGCCGCAACCTGTAAAGTTTGTGTGAATGACATCCTGTGATGTTTGTTTACACATGTGCACGGTGTCTCAGGTACACAAATTGTTGAACAAATAACAAATATCAAGATAAAATCTGTTATCATGTTTGTACAAAATCATCTTTGCACAGTCTTTTATATCGTAGAAGCAGCAGGCCCTCACTCTGGAAGTTGCCATGTCACACTGCCATGCTTTCTACAGTAATTCAGAAGGGACAAAGGAGAGCGGAGTGTCCATTGTCCTCTAACAAACTACAGTACTCAGAGCTGACCATCATTTAGCCTCACGATGCTGTTTTGAAGGGGTATACTGTACATCTCAGCTTCAGTGTCAGTCCTGATCATTAAAACAATGTGGATCTGAGGAGACAAAACATAAGAGACACTTAAACCAGATGCTCCACTGTCCTGGTTTTGGTTCAAACAGCTGACTGCTCACCGTGAACCAAAACTACCACTTTATCAAGACTGTAGTCTCACACCACGAGGACTTTATTCTCCTCATATTATGAGTTTCCATGACTTTATTTTTTGTGACAATATGGCCCTTATCTTGTGACAATGACACTTCATTGTTGTAAGAAAATTATTTACAAAAATCTTATTTTTTTTATATGAAATTCTGCTGTATGTCAGAGACTGTAGCTTTAACTTTTTTTTTTTTTTTTTTTGCTGATGTCAGCTTGTGTTACCAAAACAATGAAAAAACTCATGATCAATATCTCTGAACTGAGCTACAAACTGAAGCTATCTAGATAGAATACCAAAAAACATCACCACCTTATCACCTGAAACAGTTGAATCACTTGCATCTGCTGTAGGTGATGCCATCTTTATTATGTTTATCTCTTTTGGTCCTCAATGGCAACTGTTGTCTCAGCAACAGCAGGGATTGGAGGAAGTGTTCCAGTCTACAATTTTACAGCTTCATATCCTGATTTAACTGACTGCACCTTTAATGGCTCTTATAGTACTTCACATGCACCAGAATTGAACAGTAACTTAGCAGTTTGTTAGCAGTAACAAAGCAGTTTTTGCCCAGTCGCTATTTCATCATCTGCTCTGAATCATTGTAAACTGGGATTATCTAAAAGTTATTATGGCTTCGTATTATTATATCATTGCTCCACATCTTAACTCAGTGCATCTCTATGTGGTACCACAGCTGCTCTGCAGCAGAAAGAAAGGCTCTCCAGCAGGTTGTCTCCAATGCACAGAAAATCATGGGGACATTATACCTCATACTGCCCCAGGAAGGCTGTCAGGATCTGCAAGGACCCCACTCATCCATTTCACCGTGTATCTGAATTGCTCCCATCTGGCAAGAAGTAGGGGGCTTTATTCCCAAAGCCATAGCAGCTCTGCAGCACCTAAGATACCCTCCATAACTTACTTTACTGACCATTAATAATGCACAAGTGCTTTTACTTTTGCACATTTGCACACAAGCACTTCTGCACTCGTATAGTCCACCACCTCTCATGATAAATCTGCCTGCTGGTCTCTGACTTCAGATCAGAGATTCACAATCATTGCACAGTTGCTCCATCATTACCCTTTGACTATTTGCATGGACTGACACATCTGCTGGACTGTTTTTATTCATACTACTCTGTCCAGAAGGTTGAAAACCAACCCAACACATTCGCTCACTTAACTGCATCCACATTCACTGGTACTCCTGTAATCAGACCAAACTATTACTTTGGTGCGGTTTTTTAAGGCTCCTGCCCTTCTTCAAGTATTCAAATCTGCATTTTCAGCCTCCTTTTTTTTTTTTACCTCATGTAACTGTCTGACACTGTTTCAATGAGGCCAGCACCTTGTGGTATCTTTGCTGGTGGTGCATTTGACATGGTGCCAGGTAGAATAATTAGGTCAAGAGAAAAACAATCTGTCTGTTCCTTGTAAACAGGAGGCCACAGCAGCAGGCTAAACTGGGCTTGTGCTGTGTTTTTTATGAGAAGTACTTTCACCAGCCTCATGGATCACCTGTATGAAGACACTATTCCCACTTCACATCTAATAGCTGCTAAGGAGTATTGTTAGCTGTTAATAAGTGCATTACTGAAGACACAGTAATCCTCATAAAGCCTTCATCATCTAGTCCTTTTCATTTCAAATAACTTCTCATTAAATTTATAAATGGTCTTAAAGTTATGTACAAGATTCCAAATGTGTTTATTATGCTTTTATTAAGTTTATCAACACAGGTCCTTATAATGACTAATCAATGCTTATTACAAGGGTCTTTATATAAAGTGTTTCAAACTGAGGTTTCTTACGCAAAGGACAAAATGATGAAAGATGGTGAGATAGGAGAGATGACAGTAAGTAAATCACATGCTACAGAATGATCATGCATCATGATCAGGAGTGTTCTGAGGTGACTCATGTCCTCCTCATTTCAGTGGACATTTCATTTGAACTGACGGACTAGTCTGAAGGTCAGGAAAAAGTCCAAGTTGAGTTTAAAAAGTGGTCAAAAATGGGATCGTTTGGTGAATGGTTTGCAGGGTGTGGTAAACATTTGCAGAGCTGGCACCACCAACCTTTAGTCCTCCTTTAGTGCAGGTTAATATCATACCTGTGCAGGACACATTGCTCCAAGCAAGTGGCAATAAGCCACTTTCACCAGATACAAGTTGATCTCCATTTCTAGACCACAGCACTGCAGAAAAGTTGTCTCAGAATGAGATTCAGTTGGGCGTCTTTGCTTATTTACATCTGAGAAGAGCATTACAGCATCCAACCACAGTGAGTGGCTGCACTACAGCTTTGACTTGACGTATGAACTGATATTTTGAGCTTACTGTAATCACAATATGAATTATTTATTGAACCAACAGGTTATTCTGGTGCTGACCAGCAAGGATGACAGCATTTAATAGCTTAGTCAAAGAAAAGATCACATCCTTAACCAATCGTGTTTGTACTCTTGTCTACAAGCCACCAGACATGAATGTGACCTCGACATTAACACAGATTATTGAGATGGTACTGTGATGTGAGACCTATGGGGTCAACCACACCTCCTCACTTTGATAAAGGTTTCTGTTTCCATTGGTGTATCAAAAGTTAGTTCTTGTGTACCCTCAGGGAAAACCTGCACTGAGGCTTTACAGCTGATGCCAAAAATAGATCAGAGTGGACTGTCAGTGGTCTGTCTGCGGCACGTCACATCATCTCTGATTAAGTAGAGGTCTGTATTAAAAGCATGAGTAGTAGAGGTCTCTGATGAGTAGCTTGCTGCACCTGTCTGTGCTGTTTACCCTCTGGACCAGAGAGAAGATTCCCTCAGAGCTTCAAGTGTCTGACCCAGTCACTAACACAGATGCTAAATAAAGACTGAGAATACACCCTGTGATACCCTTAAAGCTTACGCTATTTTGATGCCTGAAGTCTTAAAAAAACACATTGGCTATCAGAGCAGACCAAGTTGAAAAATGGGACCACGAGTCAGGTTTGTGTGGTGTCTGTACATATACAGACCAAAGGCTTTGGAAATGGAAATATGACCATACAGATAAAGGCCAAAATGTGTTATAAAAAGGTGTCAGCCCTACCTGACTTCTGGCATTGGTAATCCTTTCACAGTGCAGTCTAGCTGGACCTTACTGCCTTCTGGAACCTCTCTGCTTTTCAGTTTCTGGATAAACTGAGGAGGCTCACACATGGGCTCTAGATGTATGGTTTCAGTAGCAGCAGAGCTGTCGGCCTCTACCTCCTGGGATAAAGTCTTATACTTGAACTTTTCAATAATCCTGCAGTCTTGACACTCCCCGTGCCCACTTTCAGGGTCCACCTGGACTTCTGGTGGGTAACTTGTTGTGGGGCTGGCTCTCTCTGTCTTCACTGCTGTGGGCATGGCAGCGCGTTCCCTGTTTTCATTGCTGAGGGGGAAAACTGTGTCTTCGCTCTGGCTTTTGCTCTGGTTCTTGTTTCTGTGGGTTTTGCATGCCCTTGGCCGCACTCGTTTGGAGCTGTTAGCCTTAAAGAGAGAGGAGAGCTCCTCTATGAAGTCTGCTGCCTTGTTGAGAAACTCCTTCTTGGACTGGGTCTCCGGACCATATGAGGCATTCCTCACTGACCCAGTAAAGTCATTGAATCCTTCGTTGGAGTCTCTGCTGTTCCTGATTATATCTTCCTCCCTTGTGGATGCTTTCAACACTTTTCTGTCTGATGTCCATGTTTCATGTGTTGCTGGCAGGTCTTTGTAATCAGGAGCTGGATGGGCCAAGGGCACAGAGGCCAGATCAGCAAAAGGAGCAGAAGAATGGTTAACCAGTGAAACATATGGGGGTTCACAGGGGGAGTCCAGTGCTGGGGAAATGTTTGGAAGGGTTAATGGTGTAATAGAAGCCTTGCTCTCTGCCTTGTCCTCTTGGGGCCCGTGCCTGATGGCCTGGCAGGCCAGGTTCACGCTCTTATCCAGCTCCTCTTGACTGAGGAAGGCTGAGAGGTCTGGGAACGTGGTGTCACTGTGGCCCAAAGAGTCATCCACCTTGCCTTTAAGTGATCCATGGAACTGAAGGTGTGAGGAGGGGGCATCTGGGTGGCCATTGCCCTGGCGTGCTTTTGCCTCTGCCAGATAGCTGTCTCTCAAAACCTGAGACAGGGACGGTGGCTCTTGCATGCTGTGGAAATGACCACAAAGGATTCAGTTACATTGAACTCCTTCAAAGTGCTTGGACTGAAAAACAACTTGACACTGTTTCTTCAGCATTATGGTCATTTTCAGCATATCAAAACACAAAATACTAGAGTCATTTGGTTAAAATAAAGTCAACCATTGATTTGCTCTGCTGGCTGGATTAACTTGACAAGATTCAAACTGAAACCCAAAGGTTTCTGTAAAACAGCAAACAACCTGAAAGTGATACGATGAGTCTGTTCATTCATTGGTTGATCATTTCACTTTGTCAAAGCCTTTTTTCTTTGTGTACATAATTATAAAGATTCTCTCTTCATGGCCAGGGTGTCTTTGTTTGATCCTTATTCATGATCTCACCGATATGATGAGGGCAGATTAGAATGTTGTACTGGTATGGAGCATTAGATTCAGCTCATATTAATAGAGCTGTTAATGTTTTACTAAAATGGTCTCTTATTATAAATTTGGATATAAAGATGACACATGAGTATAGACACTTGAGAGCTGGGATATTTGGTAAATATAGTGTTGTATTTCGAACTAATCTCAACCTTCTCTGGGCCTCAATCTGTTATCAGGTTCTAACTGAGGCTGGATCTGACCCCACACAGAAAACCCATATTAGTCTTGAGCATACAAGTAGATACATTAAGTCTTCGCACAACTTTTTACTCTATAGGCACAAGCAAGTTATTGAATCCAGACAGGGGATATGGTACACATATGCTACTGACACTCAAATCAGTGCAATTTAGAAACGCAGCAATGCCCTTCCAACGGACCTGAAGCTGCTGCAGCTGTTATCTACATTAATCCTTTCAAACGGGGTACAAGCCCACCAAGTCATATCTAAGAATAGTAAGGGGTCAGTTTACATGAAGAAAATCAACACAAAAAGCAGCACCCCTCATCCACTGCCCTTGTTATTGTAAAGGTTTGATTGATTAAAACAATCCTTAACCAAATTAAATAAAGCTAGGAGAGGTACTTACAGACAGAGCCAAAACATACAGACATGTCTCAGATTAAGTAATAGATTCAACCAGTTAAGAGTATTTTAAGTACACATTCAAACAAAACAGAGTTCAGCCTGTCAAATGCTTAATGTCAGTATTTTCCCATTTTTAACAAAGTTGACTAAAATACAGTCAAGAAGACATTCCCATTAGGCTGTAGTGTGTTTTACCTTCAAAATAACCCCCAGGTGACCCCTGTAAAAGACTGGCAAATCCTATATCAGAGTGCACTTCTGCTTGAGGAGAGAAAATCCGGTCTCGCTGTTGCCGCCACTTGGGGAAGTCTTGGTTAGAGGCAGTAACCCAGCACAGTTTTAAGTTAACCTTGGAGTCAACAGAAAAAAGTGGGAAAAAAAGTGGAGCAGGGCAGCCAGAGAAACCTGTCATCAGAACAAGTAACAACATTTGTCAGAGTGGTAGTCTCAGGTTATTTTGGGAAAGGCCAGGCCCATGTGTCTGGGTGGTGTCCCTGCTTATTGGACGAGGTGGCCCCGCTGTAAACAGATTCTTCCTCCATTGGTCAATCAGAGACATCTATTCTACAGAGTTGAATCCCCTCGTTGAGCCTCTTCAACACGTATCTTTCACTACAGGTTAATTGAAAGGTTGGAACTCAGCACAGTTCTGTGGGCAGACTGGTGTAATATTGGGAAACTGACTAATATGGGACATTTAAGCTTAAGTGTATAGATAGAACATCTTTACTTCTACAACACTGAAGGGAGCATCATTGGCTTTGAATTCAAGCAGTACTATCATATGATATAATCATATCACATGACTTCGCTGATGTGATTTTGATGATCTTGGAGGAAAAGTCATCAAAATCAGACTCACTCACTCAGACTTAACACATAAAGTACTTTTCATACAACAATGATGCAACACTGTTCATGAAGAATAATGAATCAGATTTTATAGTGCTTTATCAGAGACCCTCAAAGTGCGTTGCATTGGATACATCATTCATTCGCTCACAGAGTCACACCCAGAATAAGAAAGCAATCAACACAAAGACTTTAAAACCAGGGTAATGTGGGCTCTCTTTCTGATCCTTACTAGCGTTCTTGCAGCTGAGTTTTGGAGTAAGAAAGGAAGATTCATTACCATAGCCTGTTTGACAATATATAGTTTTAAGGTTCATATTCTGTATTGTTTATATGTGCAGATAGTTCAGGTTTAACAAGAAAAAGACAGAAGTTGCATGCTGAAAACATACAATACAATACAAGAACTTTATTTACATTATTCATTTGCCTGGAATCTCATGAAATCTCATTTTCTCTGGCAGGACAGTTAACAAGTAAATCCAGTCAAGGGACAGGAGAGGGTGACATGGTTGAAGTCTCCTGATATTATTATTAGTGCCTCTGAATGTTGAGTCTGTATCCTAGCAACAGTATCATGGAGAATACATGTATACAAGTATTGTTATGATATGACTGAATTCTCATGGAACATAATATGGCCAAAGAGCAACTGCCAACAGTTCAACATCTTGACAACACAACTTCTCCTTGACAGTTATGTGTGAAGGGTTACACCATCTCTGGTTGACAAATAAAGCCAGACCTCCTCCTTTCTTCTTGCCACTCGCTTTAGCATCCCTGTCTGACCTTATGAGAGTGAAGCCAGGTAGATCCAAACTGGAGTCTAAGTTGTTTCGATTCAACCAGGTTTCAGTAAAACACAGGAGACTGCACTCACAGTATGCTTTCTCAGTCTTCACCAATATCTCCAGCTCATTCCTTTAGTTGGGCAGAGAGTTGATGTTTCCCATAATGGCTGATGGAAGACAGGGTTTAGATCTCCATTTCCTAGCTTTAAACTTTGGTCTTCACCTTTGCACCAGCACAGCAAACACAAAAACACCTCCTGATGTCCTCTGGGATTGGGTGTTGTTGTCCAGATGTGCTCTGTCTCAATGACAAAAAGAAGCTCCTCTCTTGTAAAAACTCTTCTCCCAGCAGAAATATCCATCAGTAGCCATAAAAACACTACAAAAATACTTCATGGTTAAGGACAGGTTCTGGAATGTTTTTCTTTATATCTCATATTTTAGCCGGTGCTCTCTCAGATCAGACAGACTACATTTTCAGGAAATTTTGGCACAAGAAGCAGTAATTAGTGTGATTTTTCACTATAAGGACAACATATTGACATTTTTCTCCAGTTAAATAAGGACACAACTTGAGGATTTCGACAAACTATTCGGATTCGATATTATGTAACTGCCTCAGTAAAAAAAAAAAAAGGAATGTTATGAAGTTAAAATTGCAGAGAATGTTCCACTTCTCCCCAACCCAACCCTATATCTGATACAGTATAGAAAAGGCAAGTAGTGAACTGTATGACCTAGAGTAGGGTTGTGGTTGATTTTAAAAAATATTTCTCTACAACAGATTTCTGACAAGTCTCCTAATCCCAGGATAAAAGTAAAGGTCAACACTTATTTTCCACTTATGAGGTTATAATGAACTCAGGGAGTTCAGGTGATCTGAGTCCATCTGTCATGAACACCAGCAAAATATCTGCTTACGGACCCACAACAGGTGCTGGCTGATGACACATATATACAAGGCTGATGAGGCTGATGAGACTGGATGGCAATGGCCAACAAATTGACAGTATAAATGACATGGATGCATGTTTGATTCTTGATGGTTACGGCTCAAAGCAAACGAAAATCAAAAGTTCACTCCAAACATCAGAAAATTACAAAGCACCAAGAAAAAGATTTATATTACAAAAATGTGGACCACCTGGAAAATGATGTTCATTTCTTCTCTCAGTTCTTGGTCGGGGCTCCTTTTGCGTGAATACGGCAAACCAGTTTCTGGTAGTTTTGGCGCTGTATGCAGGGTCCAGGTCCTGCTGGAAAAGGAAGTCTGTACTGCCATAAAGCTACTCAACAGATGACAACATGAAGGTACCTAAAACCCTCTGGTAGACTTTAGGCTGTGTTGACTCTGGGCTTGATAAAACACAGTAGACCAACAGCAGCAAATGACATGTCCCCCTAAACCATCACAGACTGTTGGATGACTGTCAGTCAGAAATGTTCACTGTGATTATGGTTGTGTAGACTGAACCAGAGTGAGAGAATAAGGGTTCAGTAAACCTTGGCAGGTGTCCACAGTTCATCAAGTGTGTATGATATCCCCTTAGGGGATAAATAAAGCTCTTGTATTGTAGTGTATTACAAAATTGGACTTTTACACAATATTCTGATGTTTGGAGATGGTGGGTTTTTGATTTGCATGAGCTTTAAGCAATAATCTTCAAGATTTTAAAAAAGGACTTGAAATATTTCACTTTGTGAAATTGAGGGGGACTACATGTTCTATACAACTACATGTTCCAAATAAATAGCAAATAAAAAGGGGGTAAGCACGCTTTAGGGAGTAAAGCTATACTTGCCTATTATTATTGCTTATTACTATTCCTACATCACAATGGCAACTCTTTTGAAGGCCCATATTTCACATCTATAATCTTGTGAAATGTTGACTCTGTGCTCTGACAATGATTTGTTTATGTAAAGGACAATGAAACCCAGAAACAAAAAGCATGCCTGAAACTAACCCTATAGAAAAAACTGTTAGAGACTTTGCACTTCTCTACCCTTCTTCAAGTGAATCAGTTACATCAATATTCATAACAAAAACTAGAGGTCAACAGACAGCACATGATGACAAAAATCATTAAATCAACAAATTGTACTTGTTGAGAACTAAAGCCGTAGAGGACTTTTAAGAAAAGTAAAAAAAATGCAAATGCAAGTTTATTTAGGCTGTGTGACTCAATATCCTCCAAAGTAATGCATATAAGCTACAGAGGTAAAGAGAAGGGTGCATTCTGAGACCCTGGATGTATGTATGCCCATGTATAGACATCACATTTTAAACCTCGAGTGCCATAACAAAACTTGCTCAACTCAGACCTGTTGGCTTCAGTCAAGAACACTTGGTCTGCCACCCTGTGGTCACAAAAGTAAAATACCCTGATCAAAGACTATTCAGGTTTCGCTCTTGTCAGGTCTTGCTGATCCCAAATAGGTAAGGGGAATTAAAAGTGCATCACAAACAACAGCCCAGGCTTTTGAGGGTTACAGTTGCTTACAGTTTCCATCACTTTTTCCTTTGTCTCACTGAGTGGTGGTTAAGCATAATAAATGACAGGATTCAGAAATTCTTTTTCAAGAATTGTATTTTTCACTTTTAATTTTGTAGTTAAGGCAGACAAAGGAGCAGAAAATGTAAAAACAAGACATAAAACAGTCATGACAGTAGGAACAGCATAAGAACAGAAACAAAAGCAGATGATCTTTAGTTTGAAATGATTAATCCTGACCCTAAACTTTCTTCACCTAAACCTAGAGGAACCCTGAGTAAGGGGAATCTAAAACTTGAACATCAGTCTTCTGGGTTTTTGTATAGCTGATCCATCTCCCATAACAGCAAACCCCAACAGACTTGTATATGATAAACACAAAGCCACCTGACTTTGACCTTTTTTCTGGCATGTCAAAATAAGATGACACTTTACGTACATCCTCATATTTCATCTCTCAGGGTGTCCTCAGAATAACCAATATCAAGCAGCCTAACCTATTAGCAGTGGTGCTTATCTCTTTAAACCAGGGATCTGGATGTTATGTACTGAGAGTGTCCTGGTTTCCATCTGTAGAGCAGAAAGAATTGCTCTATCATCGGTCATGTATCTGCAGGCTTGGGTGTATGCTGGAAAAAAGGTCCACGTCAAGAGCAAAAGCAGGCAGAGCACAGTCTGCTATGACATCCAGGCTACCATCCATGGTGATCTGGAATCTGGAATGAATCAGAAATAATCAATCTGACCACCATTTTAAAAAAAGGAACATTGAAGCTGTTTTCTTCACCTCAGAAGAAGTTGAGTGTCAGTAAGTCACAAGAGGTTCAGGTAGATCAAAACCAGTGTTTTGTTTTGTTCATGCAGCCTTTTGAAGAGTTCAACAAGATACATTCTGTTGTCATTCACAGTGTAATGCTACCTGTCCAGAGAGAAGAGATTGATGCATGGTCACATTCGAGCTATACACAGTGCCACCTTGTGGTAAAACTGTGGGAGGTGCAAAAATAGAGTTCTGGGGGTGGTGCAGTTATGGGTCATCACTGGCCCGTTTACGAGATTGGTCACCTCTAAAAAAAGAAACAACAACAGCACATCTGTGATATTGAATCAGCTGTTTTTGGAAAAGTTGTTGACACTGTGACTGGTAACTGCTGAAGACTGCAGCCTCGGGAAACTGACCTTGAAAATCCATTCAGTGAAAGCTCCATCTGTAATTTCTTGTCATGAGCAGCATAATCAGATAACAGAGACTCCACAGCAGGAGGGTTGATTTGAGGGATAAAGCTGGAGAAGAGAGCTGGGGCTAATTCAGCCCACTCTGAATGAGGATACCAACATTTCAATTGAGAAACAGTAGAAATATGAAACTATCAAAACTAACCTATTTCAAATATCAGCAGTACATGATACATCTTGAAGCATATTAGCCAATATTTTAAAGTAATGTGAAGTAAGGTTATTTTTCAATCATTTAAAATGTTAATATGGCACATGTTATCATCATTCTTATTCATTCACAAACTTTTTATCGAGCAACACCAGCACTTCAGGCTGAATACAAGTGGCCAATCTGTATAGCTAATGCACAGCTCCATACAACATGGCAGTATGTGGGCCTCAGTAGGATGTAGTGGCTCACCTGGTCGAAGGCTGTAGAGGCCTTTTACTATGCTGGCCATTGTGGATGGCTGCACTTGGAAAGGTGTGGCATTGGCCTGGACAAGTAGAGCTAAACAGGACAAAAACTCCTCATTTTTATATTATTTCTGAACCAACATTTTAAGACTGGAAAAAGCTAGCCTGGCTGGGCCCTCCTGTTGCGTGAATCACTTGCCGTTCGAACGGCAAGTGATTCACGCAACAGGAGGGCCCAGCCAGGCTAGGAAAAAGCTGCAACTTGGCAGAATGTAAAGGACTTCAAATGATATAACAACACAATACACTCACATATCAGTGTGTTCACATGCTTTTCTGCCACATGATCAGCAAATAATTTCATCAGCTCCATCTTCAGGTCCCTGTTCAGCTTTGGCTCGATGTACGACTTGTTCTGGAAACATTTAAGATGATCAAGATTAAGGACTCTCTGCGACACAGGAGACAATGCTCAACTATTTAGTATCTAAAAGACTTAACTGTCATTATAAGGTACTTAAAAAAGGCAGAGGAACTATATACCCACCAGGTGCATAAATACAGGAACTATACACTGAAGAGAGGCTGTATATCTGTTCAGTGCATCACTAAAGTTCTCAATGATGTTCTCTGGTGGGCTGGCCTGAAGAAAAGTAGGAGTCTTTAGGATTTTATGTTTGCACTGTGAAATAATCTGAGGACTGTATGTGGACTGACTTACTTCCAGATGGGTGGAAACCTGCTGCAGGTGACTAGTTATCTTCAGTATCAAATCATTGTAGAGCAACTCTGAGTGTTGCTGACAAACACACCTGTAGACATAACTGAAAAACAAACAAAAAGAGGAACATAGAAGTTTTAGGGACTCTTAAAAAAATGGTATCCTCATAGAGTTTACATATCACAAAGGGGACTCTGGTCCAGATTTGCCTCGTATTAGCACTCTTTTGTCTGTATTTACTCACCTGTATATCTGAGCATAAGAAACAGAGATGTGGTCAGTTGGATTGTGGACTAAGAGCCGGCCAATTGCCTCCTCCAGATTGGGCCAGTGGTTTTCCCGGTACTCCTCCATGGTTTTAGCTGTCAGAGCTGAGCGGACAGATACGCGAGACTCGCATTGTAAAGACGACCTTCCACTAAAATGATCAGTTTGAACTCTAAGTGGGATAAATAGCTCGATGACGACAAGAAATTTGCTTTATGTGAACTTACAGAAATCAGGAAAATCCATTTAAAGAGTCGTCCGTCAACAGGGGAAGACCGGGCCGCTGCTGGTCTCGAGTTTTGTTGCTTACATTGTCTTTACACGACTCAGTTAACTTGAATAGTCCAGGGAGAGCAGACAGCTAAACACTCGAAACACAGGTTTCGACTGATGCTCTCCGGGACTGGGACTCACACTACAGAACCCCGATCTCAAATCCATCAAATGTAGTTTCCTTTGCCCTCGGCTCTGGTGCGAACCGGACGTTGTTTCGGAGCCGCCATTATAAGGGGCGTTCCCAAATCCCTTAAAGGAAGAGAGGACAGAGGAGCGAAGAGGGTGATCTATATAGAAGAATCTAGTTCTGAGACTCAACACTCAAAAGCTAATTTGAAAATTCAAATAAAAAATAACATATACTTTCAGAATATGTTTGCACTATCTAACCCCAAAAATTAAGTCCTGTTGTATACATTTTTAGTTGTATCTTCAAGAATGCACTTTTTTGACGTATTTTAAATGAAAAAGAATATTACCATTTCTATGTTTGTATAAAAAAAAGGGCCGCTTCATTATTTTCTATGATGGCCCTGACGGGTAACTGTCAAATATTTATGATTGCAAAGAAAATTTATAACATATATGATATATATGTAACTGTCAAATATGTATGATTTATTTTATTTTATATATTTATTTTATATATATATATATATATATATATATATATATATATATATATATATATATATAGATAGATAGATAGATAGATAGATAGATAGATAGATAGAGTTATTAAAGTTGCTATATATTTTTTATGTGCTGCAAATAAAAACATTTCGGGTGCTGCAAATTTTTATGCGCTGCACATAACATTTCAGAAATCGTGTAGAAAAGTGTATGACTTATACTACTTGTTGGTGGTTGGTTCAACAACAGTTTTGCATCATTTCTTGTTTGCTTTAATTAGTAACTCCGTCATTGTTGGCCAACTTTGTATCAAAGATGGCAGAGCCTGTAGAATAATCCACATGGGTTTAAGCAGGACGCCCCTGCTCTTTGAACAGCCTGGGTCCTCAGCTGTAATAAAAACAACTGAATAAAAAGTGATATTTTCTCTATGTTTATGAGAATAAAATTACACATTCGCAGTTGGCAGAAGTCGCCAAAGTGAACTTCATTTAAAAAGCAAACTAAAGTGACAAATAATCATTTTAGACATGGATCACATAAAAAAAGTCTGGCTTTTCTCTGACACTCTCCGATTTGCAGAGTTCATTAAAGTCCCCAACTTACTCAAAGATCCTCCATGAGTATTTCTGAAAAGCAGTGGTTTCTTTTTCTGGGTTGTCATTATGAAATGGGATGATCCACTTGAGCCTGATGACGGAAAATGAATCACGTGATTCATGCAAATGAGCCAGCTGTCCGAGGGGCAGGGTCTGTACGGATCTGAACAACTCTGCTCGCATTCGCAAGAACTGCGTCTAAAGATGGCGGACGAGGAGAGCAGTCCCGGAACAGCCTTTGCAGGCTCCCCCGAAACAGAAGAACCCGCCAAAAAGAGGTCCAAAATTGGTCCAGCGACTAATTGTGGATTAAAAGCTTCCAAAGTGGATCCAATCTCATGTGCCTCTGGGGTGACGGAGAGCTGGGAGAAAGCGGTGAATTGTACCCAGCCTGTGAAAAAGGAAGCGAAGCCGGTGATGGCGGTGGAGCAGGCCCCAGGATCGCTAGGCGGAGACAACAATGGACTGCGACTGCTGGACTCCAAGCCGCAAAAAGCGGTTGTAAAAGTAAACGCCAGCGCCACACTGTTGGCAACCGAGGAAGGTGCTGGTAAGAAGTGAAAGACAAAGACTTGACAGTAAATATTAAAAAGAGCTAACCGTATTTACCTGACTTTCTTTTATTACCTGGTTTCCAACTTTTCCCTCAGTAATTACAGATGAAACAGGCGGAGACGCACCTTGATGGCGTTTTATTTTACTTTAAGTTTTCCCATCACAATGCAAAACTATTACTTCAAATAAGCATTCGTTGTTCCTTTTTCTTTATTTTTCTCTCTGCTAAGATTTTCTTGGACATGAGGATCTTCCATCAAACGGGTTGGCTGACACTTCGGAGAACAACAACGAAGAGGATGACAGATTCTCCCATGCAAGCTCCAGCGACTGGACTCCTCAACCACAAATAGGTTTTCTAACTCATATGGCAACCTTACCTTCCAAAGTCTTAACCATCTAATATTACACCTTTAGTAGAAAATAGATAGTTTTAACTGCATAATAACGAAAAAGGGAATACGTGTTTTGTTCTCTGACCAGGTTCCTACAGTTTCATCCAGCAACACATCAGAGAGACAGATCCCAGGACCATACTAAGGGATTTGCTGCCTGAGGCTGTACTCCCACCAGATCTGGACGACATGACACTGTGGCAGATCATCATAAACATCTCGGATCCTCCAAAAAGAAAGAAGCGGAAGGACATCAATACCTTAGATGATGTGGTCAGACTACTCCATGAAAGTAAACGGATCCTGGTGTTGACTGGGGCAGGGGTATGCTTCTTCACCCTCATTATTTAATTGTGCAAAGTGAATTACCAATCCTCAGAGTGCCGTTGTTATACATTTGTTAATAGTGTTAAATCAGGGTAACTTTATGCTTTTTTGGTAGGTGTCAGTTTCATGTGGAATACCAGACTTCCGCTCCAGGGATGGGATTTATGCACGACTCGCCGTAGATTTTCCCGATCTTCCAGATCCCCAGGCAATGTTTGACATTGAGTACTTCAGACGGGATCCAAGACCATTTTTCAAGTTTGCAAAGGTTTGTTTACTGCATCCTTGTCTATGTAAATTGAATTGATAACAAAATACTTCCAAAATAAATGATCAACCATAATTAAGGTCCAAGTGTGGGTATTTTGTGTGATGAATCGTTGAACTTTTCAAAAACAGTGTCCCAAAGATGCTGTCATTTGTAAGGTGCTCAGATCAGTTTAGACCATTTCTCACACAGCATTCATGTGTTACTCTCTTCACTCTTGAGCACAACCATGAGATTTATTTCCCACAGAGTCTTGGTTTTTATACACAAGAGAGATATGGGTGATGTTCACCTGCCTCCAAAGCAAAGCTCTGTACTGCACAACATCAAAAGTTTTTAGATGAAATGTGCAGATCAGCCAACACAGGGATGATATGCATGGCTTTGATAAGCTTTGGGAGAAGTCCACATGTTCAATGCACCCTCTTTTTTTTATATTTGTTAAAGGAGATATACCCTGGCCAGTTCCAGCCATCACCTTGCCACTTATTCATATCCATGCTGGATAAGCAGGGGAAACTGCTGCGCAACTACACACAAAACATTGATACACTGGAACAAGTAGCTGGAGTCCAGCGGATTATTCAGTGTCATGGTTTGTAATAGAGCTGACCCAATGATCCTGCTCAGTTTTATTATTAACTTCAGTTCATGGCAATAATGAAAACTAATTTTTATCTTTTTATTCCAGGGTCATTTGCAACGGCATCCTGTCTTGTCTGTAAACAAAGAGTGGATTGTGAGGCTATACGGGAAGACATCTTTAACCAGGTATTTATGGATTGTAAATAATATGGAGAAAACATATTTATACATTACTGAGTGCTGTATCATCAGAGTGCAATTTAAGTGATTGTTTCACATGGCCCCTGAAGCCTTTAACATTCACCAGTAACCATGTCAATGAAAACAGCAGACATAAGTTAGTCCATGCAGTTTGTGGTTCCTGGATGAGTACATCAAGCCTGTTTTAATAGCAGTCCATAGATCAGCTGGGCTGTCTACAACATAATACATGTTACTAAGGTTATGAACACCCCAAGCTTTATCATACAAAGACATAACTGCTCAGGTGTATTAAACAGCAGTCCCAATATAAACTGTGACCCAAACAATATAGGCTGTATTGGGACAAAGGAAAAAGTGCCTAGAAAGTGAATTTCATTCCACTTAAGAGGGGCAACATAAACTGTGATTCATAAAATAGCTCTATTGATAATAAGTACAAAAAAAAAAACATCTACTCATGCCATCCAGTCGATTTTTAGTAATCAGTGTTTCGGTGTCAAACTATTTCCTTTCTGCGGCGCAGTGATACTTGCACACGCGCAATCAAATATGCAGAGGGATGAAGCAATTTTTGTCACGTGGGCCAATAGGAGCTGAGTCTTGTTGCCATGGTATCAGAAAAACACAAACATGGCGACGAGCGCATCTAGCAGCGAGACAAGCGAAGAGGAAGAAAAGGAAAGGAAAAAAAAAAGAAAACAGCCTTCAAAAGTGCATAAAAAAGGAACGAAACGATGCTTTATGCATCTATCATCTGTCCAGAGTGAAGACGTTCTCGACTTTACAAGGACACATTGGGAAACTTACAGAACTAGTATTAGAAAGTGGCTTTCTCTACAGGGTGAGACAAAAGACCTTGCAGAAACTTATAAACATTACGTTGATATCGACTTTGACAATGGTCCTGATGACGCTGGGTTTCACATGACATGCTACCAGCGATTTATTTGCAAAAGGCGTTTGAGAAACAAGAACGTAATGCAGCCGCAGGTCAGTCAAACCCCTTAGCCAGCATTGCCGATGCATCCACGTCCACGGCATCTGAAACTCCGCGAAAGAAACTTCGCTCGAGGTTTTAGGCTGTATTGGGACAAAGGAAAAAGTGCCTAGAAAGTGAATTTCGTTCAAATACGCTGGTGCTACTTGTTCGATGCTTTTTTGCATAGACAATACCATTCTGGACTTTGGGTTAAAATATCTACTTAGACTATCTGTCCGACTTTTGTCACCAGCCAGAAATGTACATATATGTGGGTAACCCAAAAAACAATTATATGGTGCTGCTGTTTTTGCTTGTAGAAACTGCTATGTTGATTCTGGCAAGACAAAATCTTTCTCAGATGTCATAAATACATCTACCTAACATCTGAAACAGTTATTGGTGCCTTAGTATACGCATAAATGAATTCAGATTATGAAATGTAGCAAATTTCTTGAAGAAAACGTCTCAACTCAAGTGATTTGCACCCAGCACAATGAAATATATACAGTAAATTTAGCTAAAAGCTTATGTTTCATGCATAAAAATGACACAACCTACTGTGTAATAAAAGCAATAAAATATAAACAGCACACCATGGCCATAAATGGCTGAATGTCAATCAAATTTCTACCACGCCCCCCAAAATTGGAATAATGGAAAAAATGTAACAAGACAAAAATAAATGCACAAAAGGTCTGAATTAATTCAAAATATGGTATAAAACATTTATTCAAGTATCACAGTGTCAAAACATCTGACATTTATCAATCCCTCCAGAATATAAAAATAAAGATCAAAATGCAGACAAATGTAGAACAAATATAAAAATAATAAAAATCTCAAATCTCGGTGTAGCAATCCTTTAAACAAAACAAATTGTACATAGTGACATAGTGCGTATATTATGCATCACTATCACTTTCATCAGAGTGATACATACAGCTCTTTCTTCTGTTTCCTTTGAAGCATTCTCACATGCTTGGCACCGACATAAATCTGTACAAGATAGTCCTGCAGACATACATGAACATTGTTCAGTCTCACATTTGGTTTTCTTGCAACTACAGTGGACTATCTGCAAAACACTATCAGGGGCAGGATTTACAGTCATCCATGTCATGGGATGATGACTCTGATGATGTAGTCATAATATACGCACCATGTCACCATGTACAATTTGTTTTGTTTAAAGGATTGCTACTCCGAGATTTGAGATTTTTATATTTGTTCTACGTTTGTCTGCGGTTGTGTTTTGATTTTTATTTTCATATTCTGGAGGGATTGATAAATGTCAGATGTTTTGACACTGTGATACTTGAATAAATGTTTTATACCATATTTTGAATTAATTCAGACCTTTTGTGCATTTATTCTTGTCTTGTTACATTTTTTCCATTATTCCAATTTTGGGGGGCGTGGTAGAAATTTGATTGACATTCAGCCATTTATGGCCATGGTGTGCTGTTTATATTTTATTGCTTTTATTACACAGTAGGTTGTGTCATTTTTATGCATGAAACACAAGCTTTTAGCTAAATTTACTGTATATATTTCATTGTGCTGGGTGCAAATCACTTGAGTTGAGACGTTTTCTTCAAGAAATTTGCTACATTTCATAATCTGAATTCATTTATGCGTATACTAAGGCACCAATAACTGTTTCAGATGTTAGGTAGATGTATTTATGACATCTGAGAAAGATTTTGTCTTGCCAGAATCAACATAGCAGTTTCTACATTGGGACGTCAATGCTGCAGGCTCAGTCTGCTTAACAAAAGCAGCAAAAAAGCATATATGTTTTTGTTTTAATGGAGTGAGATAAAACATGACCAAACTTAAAGGAGATATGATGCATTTATTCAGACTCTATATTTCCTTTCTGATACCTCTTAGCTTTACTTTGATTTTTCCTCCTGTTTCTTACTCTGGTGTATTAAAATATCCTTAATTCAGCCTCTGTCTTCATCGCTTTGTTTTAGCTGCTGTCTCTGTAAGGCCACCTTTAAGACCATTGAGCATTGTACATCTATTTTCTAAGATTAAGACTGCATACATTTATCTCGTGATTTGAAACTTTGCATACATCATACATCTTGGACACCAAACATTGTAACTTTGCCTTTTTGTTGTTCGTATTGAAAAGCATAACACCCCTCTTTAAACTTCTGTCCAAGAAAGATTGTAAAAAGCTGACTCCCGTACTGACTTTGTTCTTTGTCGGACATGTGTCCACAACAGAGAAATGGTTTCAGTACCCGAGGATATACCAATTAAACTTTGTAAATGAATGAATGCATTATTATGCTCTGGTGGTAACAATCCTGTTAATGAGTTTCCAAGATTTCTTGGGCTGCAAAAAGAAATTCAAATATCAGGACTGGCAGATCCCTGAGGCACATACCCGTCTGAGTACAACAGTATGGTACAGCTGCCATCTGTTGTAGGTGGTGGCTAATATAGTTTATATTTGACACACTTCTCTTCTGAATGAATTTAAAGTGGTAATGCTCTTCCATAAGCACAGTTACACTGTAACATATGTTTAATAGCTCAATAACTCCTTTAAATATATCAATTAAATGGTTATAAAATGAATGTCCTGCAGGTAGTCCCTCATTGTCCACGATGTCAAGGTATTCCTCTGGCAATCATGAAACCAGACATCGTCTTCTTTGGAGAGAATCTTCCAGAAATGTTCCACAGAGCCATGAAGCAGGACAAAGATGAGGTGGACCTGTTGATTGTCATCGGCTCTTCACTGAAAGTCCGACCTGTTGCCCTCATCCCAAGTATGTTCTGTTTGGAAGACTAGAGTGTTTTCTGTTCAATCTATTCAAAGTCATTATCTTTGTATTTGTCTTCAAGTACATCCAAACGTTCATGTGTGCTTTATCCCACCCAGACTCTATCCCTCATGAAGTGCCTCAGGTCCTGATCAATCGGGAGCAGCTGCCTCACTTTAACTTTGATGTGGAGTTGCTTGGAGACTGTGACGTCATTGTCAATGAAATCTGTCATCGGTTGGGTGCAGACTTTGAGCAGATCTGTTACAATACTTTAAGACTCTCAGAGATCACAGAGAAACCCTCTCGCTTACCAAAACAGCTACCCGGTGTGGCCTTGCCTAACATTGAAGCTCAGGAGGAGCAGAAGCAACAAAGCACAGACTCAGAAACTCAGTCGTCAGGGGAGACAGAGAGCCTGAGTGTCACCGAGGCTGCCAGCAATAGTGCAACACCTTCAAAGCCTTGTCCAGATGCTCAGTGTCCAAGTGAAGGAACAGCTGGGTCTGCAGAGTTATCAGCAGAAGATGCGCTTAAAGAGCCAGGGACTGAAGTCAAAAGTCAAACCTTCAACGCTGAAAATTGGCGACGCTGCTGGTTGAGTCAAATCAACAGGAGTCCAATCAGCAAACGCCTTGAGGGTAAGCTCAAGACACCAGTAGACAGAACACTGTGTGCTTAAAACATAAATGTGTTTGTATCTTAAAGGGGGGGCTGTTCGATTAAGACAAAGAGGTTTACTATCTCAACGAGCAGCTGAGTGCTAAGTCACCCAGATAATCAGCTGTTGCTGTATTCAAATCAGTTTGTGTATGTGTTTGGGTGTTAGTTTTCAATCCTAATGATGAATTAATGTTTGGAGAGCGACTCTGAAGTTGTCAGTTTTCTTCTGGAAGGTAAGAAGTTTTATTCCCTCAAACTTTCATGAGTTTACAGAAACATGAAGCTGAATGATCTTAGTTCGAGCCGCTGCTGTCAGAGATCCTGCTGATGTTTCCTCATAATGATCCGAGTCAACTATGAGGAGATGACGTACGGACAATAATTCATCATTTATGTCTTTACTCTGAAACAGAGACACCACTCACTGTCCTTCAACTGACTACGACACTCAGAGCTGACCAACCATCAGCCTCATAATGAAGCTGTTTTAAAGGAGGAAACCACACGTCTCAGTTTTGTGCTCAGTCTGTTCAGAGTCCTGATCTTTATAGCAATGTGGAGACAAAAAAACATGAGAGACCCTTGAATCAGAGAGCTGACTGTTTACCGTGAACCAAAACTACCACTTTATCAAGACTTTATTCTCACAACATGAGGACTTTATTCTCAGAATATTCTAATTTTGCAACCCCTTTTTCTGTAACAGTATCTCTCTCTAAACATGATGACTTCTGTAGTAATAGGATTTTAATCTCAAATTTATAACTCATTGATGCCTCAGATCAGAGTTCAACTATATTTATTTAGAGCAAATAACTAAAAGCATCACCACCCCCATCACTTGAAACAGCTAAGTTTGTCTGATGTATATGATGCCATCTCCAACGTGTAAATGTCTTTGGTCCTCTAGGGCCACCATTGCCTCAGTAACAGTAGAGATTGGCAGGAAGCATTGTACTGCTAGATATCCTCCTTCAACACACTGAACCTTTAAAAGACAAGAAAAACCTACGTGAGTAGGTTTTACCTCTTAATCAAGGTGTAAAACAGATCAATCTGTAAAGTGAAGTTAAACTCTCTCCTCCTTTAGTAGTTACTGAATTGGAGCACGAGGTGCCGTAAATCTATTTTCAGCTGCCATAAAACATTGTGCTTTGTAACTCTGCAAACTCTTGACATCTTTCTTAATCTCCAGGATGTGACCAGTCATTCTTTTTCTTCAGAGTAAACTACGTTTACATACTTGTGTATGAGTTGCGTAGTCATTTTAGTGTGTTCACACACAATGCTGCACTTTATACAGTCTATAACAACAGGTATTGTCAAAGACGATTTCAGCAATGCTAACCATTCGTTTTGTTTTCCACAGCAGGCCAGTACCTGTTCCAAGCACCAAATCAGTATATCTTCCATGGGGCTGAGGTTTACACTGATTCTGAGGACGAGAGCTCCAGCTCCTGTGATAGTGACCTGTCCGAGTGCAGCGCAGATGGGGTGGAAGAAGACAGCGAGACAGAGGAGGTGGTAATAGCAGTGGATGGAGCAACATGTCTCAGAGATGCAGTACAGCACTCGAATGAGCCCACATCAAGTTTGCAGAAAGACCATGACTCGTAAAGGACTCAGAGCCCCCCACCCCGTCAGAAGGAAAGAACCCATAACCCATTACTAATTATATGTATATGTGTGTTTCGTATATTTTTGAGGATACAATTATTTTTCATAAAGTTGCAATTGATTGATAACTTCCTGTGAATATGCAGCAAGTTTCTTTATTGCTCCATTTGTGTCACATAAATCTTATACTATATTCCACTTACTAAATAGAATACAATGGATTTTTTATAAATCTGCTCATCTTATGTAGTTTTCACATTTTAAATATAGCTCTCCACATACAGAAATATATCTTATTCTATTTCTTCCAAAATGGAATAAATTCCCTTTTTCCCTCAAAAATTCTACACAAAATACCCCATAATGACAAAGCAAAAAACTTTTTTGTAGAACATTTTGCAAATTTATTAAAAATAAGAACACTCAAATGTTGCACATACATAAGTATTCACACCCTTTACTCAATACTTGGTCGAAGCACCTTTGGCAGTGATTACAGCCTCCAGTCTTCTTGTGTATGATGCAACAAGCTTGGCACACCTGGATTTGAGGAGTTTTTCCCCATTCTTTCTTGCACCTCCTCTCAAGCTCAGTGAGGTTGGATGGGCAGCGTCGGTGCACAGCTACTTTCAGGTCTTTCCAAAGATGTTCAATCGGGTTCAAGTCTGGCTCTGGCTGGGCCACTCAAGGACATTCAGTGACTTGTCCTGAAGCCACTCCTTTGTCTTCTTGGTCGTGTGCTTAGGGTCATTGTCATGCTGGAAGATGAAGCGTCACCCCAGTCGAAGGTCTCGAGCGCTCTGGAACAGGTTTTCATCAAGGATTTCGATGTACTTAGCTGCATCCTTTTTTTCCTCGATCCTGACAAGTCTCCCAGTTCCTGCCGCTGAAAAACATCCCCACAGCATGATGCTGCCACCACCATGCTTCACTGTAGGGATGGTGTTGACGAGGTGGTGTGCGGTGCCTGGTTTCCTCCAGACATGATGCTTGGCATTCAGGCCAAAGAGTTCGATCTTCGTTTCATCAGACCAGAGAATTTTGTTTCTCCTGGTCTGTGAGTCCTTCAGGTGCCTTCTAGCAAAGTCCAAGCAGGCTGTCGTACTTTTTACTGAGGAGTGGCTTCTGTCTGGCCACTCTACCATAAATGCCTGACTGGTGGAGTGCTGCAGAGATGGTGGTCCTTCTGTAGGGTTCTCCCATCTCCTCTGAAGAACGCTGGAGCTCTGTCAGAGTGACCATCGGGTTCTTGGTCACCTCCCTGACCAAGGCCCTTCTCCCTCGCTTGCTCATTTTGGCTGGGCAGCCAGCTCTAGGAAGAGTCCTGGTGGTTCCAAACGTCTTCCATTTCTTAATGATGGAGACCACTGTGCTTTTTGGGATCTTCAATGCAGCAGATATTTTTCTGTAACCTTCCCCAGATCTGTGCGCCGATACAACCCTGTTTCAGAGGTCTACAGACAATTCTTTCGACGCCATGGCTTGGTTTGTGCTCTGACGTGCTCTGTCAGCTGTGGGATCTTATATAGACAGGTGTGGCTTTCCAAATCATGTCCAATCAGCTAAATTTGCCACAGGTGGACTGCAATCAAGTTGGAGGAACATTTCAAGGCTGATCAGTGGAATCAGGATGCACCTGAGCTTAATTTTGATTTTTATAGCAAAGGGTGTGAATACTTATGTATATGCAACATTTGAGTGTCTTATTTTTAATAAATTTGCAAAATGTTCTAAAAAAAGTTTTTCGCTTTGTCATTATGGGGTATTTTGTGTAGAATTTTTGAGGAAAAAAGGAATTTGATCCATTTTGGAATAAGGCTGTAACATAAAGTGTGGAAAAAGTACAGTGGTATGAATACTTTCCGGATGCACTGTAGCTTCTCATTTAATGTTCACTGGGAGAGTTTAATCTTGTGACAGTCAACTATCAAACTGTCATAGGTGAAAGTAATATGAGAGAAGTCTTCTCCTTTTAAATGAAGAGCAGGCAGCACCAGAGGCTGATAATGCAGAGGGGGGTGAAAAAGAATTAAGTGAGAAAAAATTAAGTTGTTTAAAATTTAAACATGATTTAAGTGATCAGGAAAGACCCTGATAGATAACTTTTAATAGATAAGCAGTGAAACCACAAAGTGTAGAACTGAGGTTTATTACAGGTAAATTCTGCATCCAATAGTGTTTTGAAATGATAGTTGATTGGTGCTTACATATGTGCAGAAATGTGGTTTCACTGGAATATTCACCTGTTATGCAGGTTGGCACATGTCAGAATCATGTGTTATTGTATGTAAACACAGGAGTGTGTATATCACAAGAGTTACAGTTGGTAAAAACAGAGTCAATAACAGTCATTTAAACTTAAGCAAGACTCATCTCACAAATAGTTACTGATTTGAATCCACAAAGTAGTATGAAACACCAGATGTAGTGAAAACGGCGTTATCTCAATGAGTTGTTGAGAAGCAGAGGTATATAAGAGCAACAATTCAAATACTAATGTTCCTCAAAATGGACTGTTTTAAAGCTCCTGTGGGGAGTTTTTTGACTTTTATGAAACAGACTTTGATTCAGTGTAAGCTGGAAAGCTGAAGGAACAGCCCTGTTCGTTCAGCTTCATTCACCCAATCTTATTTAAGGTCCTGTCAAAAAGTGCTCAAGGGCTCAGGGTTCAGGAAGTGGGGAGTCCTTTCGAATAGTTCTTCTTGGTACCCAGAAGTCTTTGAGTGTCAGCCATGATAAGACCTGTTCCAATCCTCCAACATGATAAGGAGGAAAATGACCCATAATTCTTTGTGCCAACGATATTTTAGGCATACCCCTCTCCATTGGCATGTCAGCAAATAATCAGCATGCCTACAGCTTATCTGAAGCCTAATTTACTGCATTAAACAACAAAACGACATTGTAAACTGGATCAACATTTTGACTTCATCGTTGGTTTCCCATAGTAGTTCTTGTTTAATTACAACATTTAATCAGTCAGCTTTAATATGATCAAAATTAGAATTAAAGTTGAACCAATGCACAGATGAAAAGTGTCTGTTCAGGGACATTAATGACTGAATAAATTGTTTTTCCACTGGGATTTAGATAAATAAATGTGTGACTGTGGAGCATGTTTTATTTGCAGTATAGAGTGCGTCACACAACATTTAATAGCTGATAGTCAGATATAACCAGAGATAACTTTTAACTATCTTTATCAAGAGATTCAAGAATCTCTCTTTTTAAAGATTAAATAAGATATCTGCCTATTTTCAATTTGTAGGGTCAAAAGTTATATAGAATCTGAGTTCACAACAGTAATGCAGTAAAATAAGGTAGTAAAAGTAATTCTCTTACATGTTGTTCACATTCGCAGATAAGAAACCTCACAGATGTTTTTCTATTGTACAGATGCAGTACAGGCCAAAAGTTTGGACACACCCTCACACCACACAATGCATTTTCTTTATTGCCATTACTATTTAAATTGTAGATTCTCACTGAGGACATCAAAACTATGAATGAACACGTGGAATCATGTGCGTCAGAAAAAAGTATGAAATAACTGAAAACATGTTTTATATTTTAGATTCCTCAAAGTAACCACTCTTTGCTTTTTTGAAAGCGCTGCAAACTTTTGCTGTTCTCTCAATGAGCTTCATGAGGTAGTCACCTGAAATGGTTTTTACTTCACAGGTGTGCCTTGTCTGGGTTACTTTATGACTAACAGAGTCAGTCACTAAGTACTTCTGTCATCAAGAGCAAAGGGTGGCTATTTTGAAGAAACTAGAATAAAAAACATGTTTTCAGTTATTTCACACTTTTTTTATAAGTACAAAATTCTACATGTGTTCATTCATAGTTTTAATGCCTTCAGTGATAATCTACAATGTAAATAGTCATATAAAAAATAAAGAAAAGACATTGAATGAGAAGGTGTGTCCAAACTTTTGGCCTGTACTGTACGTTTTTCAGATCTTCTGACTGTCTCTGTAAAAGGCGGTCTCATCCTGTGCATTTCTGCCTTAGTATAATAACAACCTGAACAATATATCACACCTATCACCGAATTTTGACTGTGCCTGACAGTCAATCAATACGGTCAGACTTTTCTAGTCCATTTACCATGAATGTATGCAGCACATTCACGTGACACTGAGTTCAAGAGAAGTCGGATTCCCTCTAGACACCTCTTACACTTCTTTTATCAACTCAGTGTTTACATGAGTTTAAGGAGGTAGTTTTGTGGACTTTCTGATGTACCCAGAGATTCAGCCGAAATGGGCGGAGCGTCTCCAGGCGTCTCGGCTGCGTGCGGCCGGTGACGTGCATGTGTTGTGGACCGAGTGAAAAAGCGACTGAACATATACAGGTCCAGGACACTGAAGCTGTTGCTACATACTGAGTTGTGAGGATGGATGCTGTTTTAAACTGCAGAAAGGATGACCTCGAGGATTATTATGGGTTACTAGGCTGTGATGAACTGTCAACGGTAAGTTGTGAATAACAAAAATAGTGTTTTTGTTGAGTCACACATATTCTGGGATCGACAAGATGACCAAAGTGCTTCGATTAGACTTAAGAATCGGGACTTTATAGGCAGGGTAAGTACACTTGTTATAAATCATCTCAAAGAGCAGGGTGTCACAGTAAAACGTTGTTTTTAGCAACATTTAGGCGATATGGGTTTCCAAACAGATCCCTTAAGTTAAGAAGCTTTTAAGAGGCCCGTTGAGTTTCAATAAGTCATAATTTTAAATCAGTTCCCAAAACGGGGTTAACAATTACATGCTCACAAAAACACAATTTCCTGCTGATTTAGGAGAGTGTTTTCGATATTCTTAGGGTGACAGCGGGGCGGCATTGATCATTGAGACTCTTTTCTACAAAACGGTCCTTAAGATCCCGTCCAAACAAAGATGACTTTTTAAAGAACTTCATGATACACTGTGCCAGAAATACGATCATAAATAATATGGACGGTTTGCATGAATGATTGCAAACACTCTAAAGCGAGACACAAACATCATGGCGCATGCGCCTGGGTTTTTTTTTACTTTAGCTTTATTATAGGCCACGAATTTCATTCACAAACAACAAATGCAGGCTATTACAAGAAGACATGTTCGACATGCTCTAAATGTCATTGTCTGTTGTACCGTATCAAAATAAGAAACACTGTGTTAATTGGGATTCATGAAACTGTGCACAAATGACAGTAACAGGGAAAAAGAAAACAAGGCAAAACCAAAAGGAAAAAAATGAAAAGAGAGACAAGGAGGATCTGCTTGCTGATTGGGTGAAAATATTGTGCATCATCTTGTGTTAGCCATTTTTTGTGGTAGCATATACTTTATATGGCCAATGAACATTTTTTAAACCTGCGCTTAAAAAAATATAAAATGAGGGTAATTTGTATATTTTAATGGTGTTCTAGTCAAAGTAATCTACTTTGATTAATTTTCTGTGGAAATGGAATCGCAGAAAATAAGTTATACAGCAGTTTTTGAAAATATCACATCTTTTCCTATTACTTTAAAGGTATCTTCCTGAAATTAATCAAAAGGGCAGTGGCATGAAAACAGACATAGACGTTCAGTAGTTTTTGTCTCACACTCATAAAAAAGTGCATCTTTTGATCATCCTGGGAAATACTTAAAAATACTGATTTCACAGTTAAGTAAAAACCTGAAAATTACATAACTGATTTTTATTGAAGATATATATGAGGCACAATGGAATAGTGATATGAGATCAAGATGATATCTACATAGAACTGTTGGTACACTGTCTGTCCATTGAACAAATCCCCTTAAAGGCATCGGGAGGAGGTTTTAACTGGTGAAATGGCCTAAAACTGATACTGATATAAATTGGGACCTGAGAGTGGTGTCTGCCACTTCCCACACAAAGTTTGTGATATATTCAAAAACTACACTTGATAGAAAAATGTGAGTACAGGTGAGCAAACTCTTACCCATGTTCAGGCACAGTTTAGAGGCAGGGGGAAATTGGTGATGTAGTTGATTCGAGGGTAAACTGAAGGCAGATTTAATCATTTACAAGTTTTTTCACATTCAAAGCCATTAAATGTCATTATAACTAATCCAATTCAGCATGGTTATGAAAGTTGACATTTTCTATTTACACACTAGTGAATGCTTTTCAACTTGTCATTAAGAAATAAAAGCTTATCTTATTGGGTGTTGCAGGTATCAAATTGAAAATGAGTGTATATTTTCAAAGAACGATCAAGTTTATGTTACATTAAACTTTGTGTATTTGTCTTATAATAGGGAAAGTATTTACAAATCATTGTGTTCTGTTTTTATTCAGATTTTGCTCAATGTCCCAACTCCATTAGAATTGGGGTTTGTCAGTCCAGTGAGCATTTCTAACCTTAAACTAAAGCTGTTGGAAAAACATTACTGAACTTAAGCTGTGAGTTGCAGGCAACATGTTTTCAATTGCAAAATGGCTGAGTGGAACTCCTCTGTCTCCCAAGTCCATGGCCTTAAGTTCATCAGAGACTTTTGGCTGTCGTCTTGTAAATAGATTGCATCATGCTGTAGCATTCTCCTCTGCTGACACAAAAACTATAGGAATGGCCATTGTTGACGCAGGGACGCAGTCCTCCAATGAGAGCTTTAACATCCTCGGCAGATGACATGGGTAGAATAGCAATTGCCAAACTAGAATTTAATTCAAGGGAAATAGTTCTTATATTCGTGTATGCTCCTAATGATTTCAACAGCTATTTCTACAATTTAATTACTCCAAAAATATCAGAAATAACAGACTATTTATTCATTGTAGGTGCAGACTTGAATCCAGTGTGGGATCCAGTTCTTAATGGGTCGAGTGTAACCTCCTCAGGGGGCAGGTCATGGCCACGAACGCTCATGTTGGTTTTGTAGGGGACCCCAGAGTCCCTTTGGATGCTATAAAAGGCTTCATTAGGAGTAACACAATATTATTTAGCTGTAATGCACACAAATCCAGATCCCTGCAGTTACAAAATCTTGAGGCAGAGTTTTCCAGGTTGGACTCTGTTTTGAAATCCAAGATAAAAAAAAAGCTAGGAAAAGAAGAACTTTATTAATCCCAGAGGGGAAATTTGATAATTCTAATTTTCCAGAGCAAGTTGCTCTACAACGTACATGAGTTAAGAAGGAAATAAACAACATTTTGAAGTAACAGACAGAATTTAAAGTTTCAAAGATATTATTTTCATGGTGCTAGACCTAGCCACCTCCTGGCCATGAGAATTAGGGCCAGTGACCACTTTTCAGACATTAAATTAGCAGATGGCAATATTACCTCTGACACTAAACTGACCTTGTTCCAGAAAAACAAGGAGGAGGACCCCAGTAAGAGAAGACAATAATAAGATCATCTGAGCGAGTCTAGCTTTATTCATTGGGGAAAGTTGGACTCTGAGGTAAAGTTCGGTGGTTCGGCAAAAGAGGTATGCCCTGGAGTGGTGTTCTCCCTCACTTCTATATAGAGATGTCCATATAAAGTCCCCCAGACACAGGCTGAGTGTGTTTGCAATTATTCAGATAAAGAAGACCTGGAAATAAAAGCTAAAATGCTGACCTCTTGCCTCATTCATCTTTTGATGTCAAACCCAAATGTTTTCAATCGACAACAAAAATACAGGAGTTGGCCTCACTGTTCCAATCCTTTCGGAAGGGAGTGTATGTGTCCTTTTCTTGAATTTATGCCCTTCAAAATTAATTACTGTTAGTGATTGGTTCCTTCAAAGTAATAGTTTATATAAATATGATAAAGTAAATATTTCTTTATTGAATCTTTTATATTTCAGACTGAACAGATTCTTAACGAGTACAAGATTCGAGCCTTGGCATGTCATCCTGATAAAAACCTTCAAGACCCAGGAGCAGGTAGATGGGACCTCTTATACAGTGTTGGAAAAAAGTTTGGAATATTTGTCAATTCAACCCCAGCCTCATGTTTAACACGGTCTGCTGCTTTCTGGAGAATTATTCAAAGACTTTTTAATGTTCCCTGGTCTCTGTGATATGTTTTTGAAATTCACATCAAACTATGTTGTTTCTCAAAAAATTGTAGGGCGGACACCTCATGATTCACAAAAAGCCATAGAAATAACGCATAAAATCATGAGTCGGTATTTAATAAATAAACGGCTGTAATTTTAAATTGCCACAAAATACGTGGACCATCTTTGAAAGCAACATCAAACATAACAAGACGATAACAACAATACAGTCAGTACTCTGTGTGACCGCCTCTAGCATTGTACAATGCGCGTACACGTCTGGGCATGCTGGTCACTAGGTTGGTAAGAGTTTCAACCGGGATTTCTCGCCAGCATTGGATCACAGCCTGAGTCAGTTCAGCCACGTTTGTTGGAGGATCATTCACGTTAGACGAAACACTGAAGAAAATATTCCAAACTTTTTTCCAACACTGTATATGGCCAGAATTTTATATATATATGTATATATGTATATATGTGTGTATATATATATATATATAGATATATATATATATATATACACACATTTATATATACACAACTGTTCAAAAGTTTGGGTCACTCATACATTTCCTTATTTTTGAAAGAAAAGCACTGTTTTTTTCAATGAAGATAAGATTAAACTAATCAGACATACACTCCATACATGCGGTAGATGACTATTCTAGCTGCAAACGTCCATCACTCCAGTGTTCTAATGGTACATTGTGTTTGCTGATTGTGTTAGAAGGCTAATGGATGATTAGAAAACCCTTGTGCAATTATGTTAGCACAGCTGAAAACAGTTTTGCTAGTTAGAGGAGCTAAAAAACTGACCTTCCTTTGAGCTAGTTGAAAAATGAAGGCTATTCGGTGCAAGAAATTGCCAAGAAACTGAGGATTTCCTACAATGGTGTGTACTACTCCCTTCAGAGAACAGCACAAACAGGCTCTAACCAGAGTAGAAAGAGAAGTGGGAGGCCCCGCTGCACAACTAAGCAAGAGGACAAGTACATTAGAGTCTCTAGTTTGAGAAATAGACGCCTTACAGGTCCTCAACTGGCACCCGCATTAGATAGTACACGCAAAACGCCATTGTCAACGTCTACAGAGGCGACTCTGGGATGCTGGCCTTCAGGACAGAGTGGCAAAGAAAAAGCCAAATCTGATACTGGCCAATAAAAAGAAGATTAAGAAGGGCAAAAGAACACAGACATTGGACAGAGGAAGATTGGAAAAAAGTGTTATTGATGGACGAACCGAAATTTGAGGTGTTTGGCTCACACAGAAGAACATTTGTGAGACGCAGAACAACTGAAAAGATGCCGGGAGAGTGCCTAACACCATCTGTCAATTATGGTGGAGGTAATGTGATGGTCTGGGGTTGCTTTGGTCCTGGTAAAGTGGGAGATTTGTACAAGGTGAAAGGGATTTTGAATAAGGAAGGCTATCGCTCCATTTTGCAACGCCATACCATACCCTGTGGACAGCGCTTGATTGGAGCCAATTTCTTCCTACAACAGGACAATGACCCAAAGCACACCTCAAAATTATGCAAGGAGGCAGCTGGTATTCTATATGAAATGGAGTGGCCAGCACAGTCACCAGATCTCAACCCCATTGAGCTGTTGTGGGAGCAGCTTGACCGTATGGTACGCAAGAAGTGCCCATCAAGCCAATCCAACTTTCGGGAGGGGCTTCTGTAGGCGTGAGATGAAATTTCTCCAGATTACCTTAACAAATTAACAGCTAGAATGCCAAAGGTCTGCAATGCTGTAATTGCTGCAAATAGAGCATTCTTTGACGAAAGCAAAGTTTTAAGGTGACCCCAAACTTTTGGAAAGTAGTGTATGTGTGTATACACACACACACACACACACACACACACACACACACACATATATATATATATATATATATATATATGTGTGTGTGTGTGTGTGTGTGTGTGTGTGTGTGTGTGTGTTGTGTGTGTGTGTGTGAGTCCGTTTTGTCTGACATGATGGTGGGATGAAGTAATGGTTTGTGTAAAGTCTCCCTGCATAGTAAATCATATGGATTTATTGTATTGATTTCTACTCATTATGTGTTTTTTTCTTTTTCACAGTGGCAGATTTCCAAAAGCTACACGAGGCCAAAGATGTTTTATGTAATCCAGCCAAAAGAAAAAACTACGATCTTTGGAAAAGAAGCGGTGTTACTATTCCATATCAGGACTGGCAAGCCTTAAATGACACTGTGAAAACTGTATGTGTTGTCTTTACTCAGTATACATTTGTAAAGATTTAATCAAAAAGCTGATGATGAATTTAATCCTGTTTGCAGTCAATGCACTGGGCAGTAAGAAATAAGAAGGAGCCGATGCTGGAGGCCTCAAAAGCAGATAACCCTGCCACTTCCCAAGCAGCAAGGATCTGTCCATGTGATATCATACAGTCTTCAAGTAAGTCAATGTGACACTGCTGCCGAGTATTAATGGCTGTATATTTACATGTATGTAAATATAAAGATGTAGGGCACATAGACTCTTTAAGGCTTTGGATTTTCTAACTTCTGATCTCTGCCTAAATGAGAAAAGGTCACTTTCCATGTTTACAACGTGCAATTTGAGGAAACAAATCTATTCTCAACTTATGCATGTTATCTAGATTTAAATAAAGATTTAAATCTAAATCCAGTGATTCAGCCTGGCATCCACTGGTCAAGAACTGACTGATGATTTCATCAATTTTCCAGTCAAGTAATTCCACATCTACTTTATTTTATTTTCACCAGTTCTGATCAGAGCATTTGAAGCTGCTCTTGTAAATTCTCACGCCAACACACCTTAACATTTACAGTTCACTTTAAAGGCTGATTTTTTTTTTTTCTTTCTAGGGGACTCCTTCCATCCACCATACCATTGGGTTTCTGATTCATCATCCAGCCTGCTTCAAAAGTTTAGAAAATATGAAATATAAAAAGATGACATGCATGAGCCAGCAGAAGTCTTAAGCTTCAAAATCAGTCATTTGAATGACTTTGTTAAATGTTGTGCTAGCCTGTTGATCACGATAACTATAATGTGTCTGGTTTTACCTTTCATGAAATCATTTTGATCATACTGGGATCATTAAACTTCATTATAAAAACATTGATTTGCCTTTATGTGTTACTTCATATCTTTAAATTAAACAGACATTCAAAATCCTGGTTGTGAGAATTTCTCGATTCTAAGACTGTGCTTTTCGAACTTATATGAGGACAGAAAGCCAAGCATGTCTTTTCTGTAACTGCACAGGCCCATTTAAGTCCACACCAATTTGAGTGTTGACCATTTGGGGTCTGCTTCAGTTCATGTTTACATGCACAGTAAAGTCCAAATGTCCTTGTCCCAGTCTACATGCACTGAGCAAGGATCAAATTATTAAAAGAGGCACATCTGTCTGCAACAGTAGGTGGCGACGTGCCCCCTTTCAGCTCATTAATATCTGCTCATCTACATAGAATGTCTTCTGGTTGTCTCATTACATATCCAAACAGTTGGCAAAACATGTTGATTGAAAGGAAACAACTATAAAAACGGTAATAAAGGTACTGTTGTTAACCGTAGTGACACCAAACTGATCAAACAGCTCCTCTAGTTCTTGCTACAGCTCTGGTTTTAGAGAAACGGGTATAATTTTTTTTTTTTTTGATGAGTAATGTACATACAGTTAACAACAATACAGATATATTGTCAGATCATACCTGAGGTCTATCAAAATTAAAAACACTCTTGAGCAGTCATAACACACTACATAAAAATTTTTTTTAAAACACAACGCTCAGGACATGAAACTAGAAATTACTGTTCACAGTAGGCTAAATGAATTTTGCTTTAAAAAAAGCTCTGTGAACTTAGTGCCTGTATACAGTCAAAATAAATGAAAAACAAACATAAATGAGAAGCACATTACAGTGTTTTAGTTTTATTGGACCTGAGTGCAGCTTTTGATACAGTCCACCACATAATTCTTTCAGATAGACTGTCATTTTATTGGCATCTCTCACACTGTTTTTAACTGGTTTAAATCCTATTTTGGTGACAGACAGTTTTAAGTGAACCTTGGGGATCGCTCATCTAAATGTTTTGACATGAAGTGTGGTGTTCCTCAAGGTTCCATTTTAGGCCCTACTCTTTTTTTAATCTTTATATGTTACCTTTAGGGCGGTGTAGTGGTTAGCACTGTCGCCTCACAGCAAAAAGGTCCTGGATTCGAATCCAGGTCAGGGCGTTTCTGTGTGGAGTTTGCATGTTCTCCCTGTGTCTGCGTGGGTTTACTCCAGGTACTCCAGTTTCCTCCCACATCCCAAAAACATGCAGAAGTGGGGTTAGGTTAATTGACCACTTTCAAATTGCCCGTAGGTGTGAATGTGAGCTGGATGGCGACTTATTCAGGGTGTCCCCTGCCTTTGCTCGAAGATGCTGAGAGCTCCCCCCAGCTATGGCATGTTACCTTTAGGGAATGTCATCAGGAGGCACAGCATTAATTTCCACAGCTGTGCTGACGACAAACAACTTTGTCATGTCTCCTGATTACACAGGGTCACTCGATGCCCTTTTTAACTGCATTTTAGACATTAAGTCATGGATGGCAGAGAACTTTTTACAGCTCAACCAGGACAAAACACAGGCTTTAGTCATTGGTACAGGGGATGAGAGAGAAACTGATCAGCAAACTCAAAGCATTGTCTTTTAATCCGTGGCAAAAGGCTAAAAATGTAAGTGTTTTTACTTGATTAAGAGCTGAATCTTTAACCACACATATGAGATATCACCAAGCATTTCATTATTTCAAAAACATTTCCTGAGTGCGACCATTTCTGTCTCGAACCAATGCAATGACATTAATTCATGCTTTTATCACTTGTGGAATTGACTTATGTATGACTTGTGGAATTGACTGTGTAATGCCTTGCTTTCTGGTCTCCCCAAAAAGAATATTTCACACCTGCAACTACTCCGAAATTCAGCTGCACGGATGCTAACAAAGACCAGGCAGAGAGATCACAATACACCAATTTTAAGGTCTCTGCATTTGCTTCCAGTGTCTTTTAGAATAGATTTTAAGGTTGTTTTACTGTTTTCTAAAGATCTTAATGGCCTTGGCCCATCACCTCTCTATCTGAGAATTTTAGATCCTATACGTTTCTTTATTCTAGATAACACCTCTTTAAAAAGTTATAGAAATTATGAAATATATAACATAAACTCAAATACATGAACACAGGATAATCCTCCTTTTATTGATCTTTACTTTCATACTTGTTGAATAACAGCAGGTTTACAGGAATAACTCTTATCTCACTCTCACATGCAAACAGACACCTTCAATGTGCAAAATCAGCCTCAGAGATTCACATATTTCAGTGATTATTGATGATATTTTTGGACAAGGACTACTTGAACACCAAGTACAGCAATAAGAACCAGGATACAGTCTCCAACTGTGGTATCAGTCTGGTTACTCATTCTGAAAAGATGTCTGCTTATATTGGTCTATGTTTCCTGGAAGTATGTGCACAGAGACAGAAACAGGTGGTATCTTAGCCTTATCCTCCACCTCTGGACATTAACTCAGACTTAATGCATGAGACACAAACATTTATGGATTCAATAATTCCTATCAGTGGATAATGAACTAGAAGTCAACACAGCGGCCCTTTCTCTCCCAGTCTCCATAGCGGGTTGGCTCTGGGCCTCGGGGACCCCCCTTCTCCTTGGTGACAGGGTTCACGTCATTAGGGAACTCTAGAGGATTACAGGAGAGTAATTCAGTTTAAAAAGATGCAGCTTTAGTAAAGATCATCCATTTAAAACATGTATAAATGCCTTAAAACATAAAACATAAAAAAAATCTTTATTTGCTGATTTAGCTCACTTCATGTCATCACTGCACACTGCCATATTAACACTGTTTTTGCACGCTGCATACTTTTCTTATTTTGTGTATTGTATCTTCTTCATACAGCTTTACAGTGTCTGTTTTTACCAGGAACTTCTTGTGTTTTTAAGTGTGTTGATTAGTTTTTAAATTAGTCTCTTTGTGCTATGTGTTTCTTTGAGTTAGAAAAGTCTTTTTATGGCATACTTTTGCTCATTAAAGTCAAAGACAAATCTCTATCCTTTCTTTACTTTGCTGCTGTTTTTGCTCTATTCTTGGACACAGCACAGAAGTATTTCTCCCCCTGCAGCATGCTGATCAGCTGTTTTGCTCTGCGGGCTTCAGAGAGACAAAAATACACCCAAACTGAAATAATGAATGAACCTGACAACACTGATGAAACACTGTTACTGTGGACACACAAGACACCTTTACAGGCCAGAGTTTACAGAGAAAGGAGAAACTTTTGCTCTTACTGGAGAGCATGAACCCAGAGAGCTCCTGCTGTCAGAAGTGTCAAAAGCTTGATACCAACAGGACTTCGGGACCTTCTCTGAATAAAATGAACTCAGCAAATCATACACAGCTGCAGTCTGCATCCCGACTCACTACATGAAGTCAACCCTTCCTCACTTTCTTAGCAGAAATACTGTATAAATTAAAAATATACTGGCACATAAGCAAAAATGAGAAAGACCTGTGGTCTGTAACAATTTTCAAAAGGTAACTTTGGGGTTTCTCTTGTTTATGTATCTTTTATCATCTGGCAGACTCTCACTCCCAGTTTACAAGACATTTTTGGCATTTTACCAAGTGTATTTGACAGCCTTGATGTGATATTCATCCACAATGATCACTTGTACTCACTCTCCAGAACATCTTTCTGCCTCTCCTCTGGGGTGTCAAACCGACCCTGCGGGGTTTTGGCTTTCTTTTGTGGCTCCTTGTCCTTTACTGCACTGCTGACTGATCGTGAACACCCTGAAAGAGGACAACAGGGATTTCAGATTAAAAACTGGAACAAAAACGGTGTTTATTGTTATTGTACAGTGTGTGATCCCCTGAGACACAAGGACCTCCAGCTCTGACATGACCTCCAATGTCCTACCTGTGAGGACTGTAACAGTTAAAGGTCACAGAGAAATCCTGCATCATGCTCTAATATACGTTAACATATAAACTCCACCTTAAGGAGATATAAAGACAGTAAATGTAGTTGAGGGTCAGACAAGTCCAAAGACGACAATGAAGTTGGTTTCATATGAACAGTTTTGATTGGCTGTCACAGGGAGGGTTTACGGAAACAATTAAGGTCCTGATCCAAAACCGCTGTGCCTGAACTCGTCAGATCTAGATCAGATACTGAAGAAAGGTCTGCAGATTCACTAAAACGCAGTTTTGGGTTCACGACACATTCAGTCTATTTGTACAAATGAAATGGAGGGAAATTTCGCTGCTTTATGTCACCTCTAGACCACATCAACTCTTAATCCAGAACATAAGAACCCAGACTGGTCGGACCCCTGCAAGATTCTTCTAGAGAGAATACAGAGAGCCCGATCAACTAAGATCCTAACAATGCGTGTGCAAACTAAAAATCGCACGTGCTGTTAGTGGGCGTGTCGTGAGTGGTCTTCTACGATTGTGTGCACCATAGACTGTATTCTATGGTGTGCACAGGTACAAAAGAGGTGAGACCACTCTATTTAAATGAGGATTTTGCGTGTGACTGTCACCATGGAGAGTTTGGGTGAGCAGAAATGAAAAATGAAGTTTGAAGCCATTGAGTTGCACTATCGTTTTGGAGAAGCCAGCAACTGCATAAAAGTTGTGTTTTGTGTCATTTACTGCGTCCTGAGTGTATGGGAACTGAATATACTTATACACTTACTCGACCTACTATAATCATAGATTCCAATACTTAATATCACAGGTCCATGTGCTGAGGTATTAAATCGGGGCCTGGTTTAATTTGGTCTCCATAAAAACGGCAGTAAACTGAGCCTTTCTTACATTTACGGGATGAAGCACATGATTTCGGAGCTGGGCTTGAAGTAGCCTGTAAACTCTCCTTGACGAACCTAAATGTGGAAGTCGAGGTAGCAGCCTTTGGTTGTGGACCAGGACCCTGTTTACCCCAACGCGAGGGTGACGAATGAGAAGCCAACCTCAGACTGACCTGTGAGGACAGACTCCAGAGCCCGACCGTTTAACACGACACGTCTGCTGACTGAGGCACACGCCTGAAGAAACATTGTCTGAAGATGATCCGAAAACAGAGCAGACTCCTTTTTGCTCACAGCACCGAGACGCCTGGACAGTTACACAAGTGTGTTATTGTTTGTCGAGCTTTTGATGCGTAATTTTCGTCATCACACGGCGACAGAAGTAATTGACATACTGGTTGTATTGATTAGCTGTCGCCAGTAGAGGGAGATATTACGCAACACGATAGCAAACACGTTTACTTAAAACATTTAATCAATTCACTTTCAATTTTACCAGGAAAACCATGCTCGTGGAACCGTCTGATATTGTCTCTTATTTATAAAACAAACAAACAAAAAACTAAGCCAAAAATACACTACTTGGTCCAAAATGTCATTTTCAGGTTGAAAAGTTTGCAATTAGGTATTCTGTCCTTATTTTACAAGCAGGTAGTCTAAGTGGGAACTGATGTAAGCTATAATCTTTCTTTGCATTCACTCATTTGGAAAAACAAATATACCACAAAAATATCTTACAGCAGTTACAGCTGATTCAAGTAGAGCTTTGCACACTAATAGAGGAGTTTAAAACTTGGACTGTGAGTCAGTGGAGGGAGCCAAGAAGTGGTGTGATGTACACAAATAATGAAGTTCCTGTGAAAACTCTTGCTGCTGCATTTTGAATCAATTCCATTTATTGCTGCCTTGATGACTTTGGTTGACCAGTGAAAAGACCATTGCTGAAAGAGAGAAAGAAAGTCTGAGTAAGAAAGAAAGCCCCTGAGCTGTGAGTTACTTTTTCAATGATAAAAGGCTAATGTGTGATTTCATAGATGTGACTTTAAAATGTTAGATCACCGTCTATGACAGCTCACAGATTTTTTTGCTTGACTTGAATGATGAGGGAAAGAGAACTGAGATAATTGTCAATTCTCTGTCTCTGAATCTCTGGGGTGAGTGAAAATTTCTGTTTTGTCTTTGTTTATTTGTAAAAAGTTGTTTGTGTCATCCATAGATAAATATCACTGAGGCACTAAATGAGGGAAGGAACTGGGCTGAAATCATCTGGTGATAGTAATGTGTACAGCTGTGAATCATCTGCATTATTATGGTCATTTATTTTGTGCTCACGAATAATGTAAGTGAATGGGAGCATTTGTACATAAAACAGTATTGATCAGAGAGTTGAACCTTGGGGGACTCCATACTTGACTTCACTTTACTTGAGACAGTCTCTGATGGACACAAAGCACTGCCTGCCTCGTAGGTATGTCCTGAACCAGTTTAAACTGAACCCAATGAACCCACTCATTTTTCTAGTCTCTGCCACAATATTATCTTATGATCCACACTGGCAAAGACAGCACTGAAATCTAAAAGCACCAGAATCAGTGTTTTAGTCTGTATTTGAAAGATCATTTTCAACTTTAATGCATGCTGTTTCTGTGTTGTGGTGGGAACAGAAACTCAACCAGTACATGTCTGAGTGGTTTTTCAATGCTAGGTTATCACTGAGTCCATAATCAACTTGTTTTTGAGTATTTGAACGGTAAACTACAGTAAGCACGTGGAGAGAATGGAGTTTATACATTTTTGTTTTGAAAAAGAAAGCGAACACAACTGACACAAAGATAAAGAATGATATACTTGCAGGTAAATGGAAGAAAATCAGCCAATTACTTGACCTGGACCGAGTTAGCTCTGTATACCTGACTTCCTATCACAAGAATGTAGAGAATGCCTCTGAAAAAAGTGTTCTTGAATAACATCAATATCCTGAAGAAGAGTAAATAAACTTGCACAGGTGAGCAGGGAGAGACCTTATTGTTGTTGTGACACCTGCCATATTACAGTCTTACAGACTGGTTATAGGTTCAAATCTCTTGGAGAGCCAGAATGTCCTGGATGTAGATGATGATTTTCAAACACCACAATGTACGGAAAGTCAAATACATCTGAACAGGTGAGCCCTGCAAAGCAGTATATTGTGGCACAAATGGCCACAGTGAGAAGACTCTGAAGTACCCTGACAGGGGCATCTCCCTGTAAAGCTATAAAGTCCTGGACCTTAACCCGAGGGACAGAGCAAGTATTTGAATCAACGTTATCATCGCAGAAAGACCCTCTCAAGAACTTCTCTCATGGCAGAACTTTTGAGTTGCAGTTAGCTGATGTTTAACAATGAGTAGGTTCTGGGTACAAGTCCCAGCTGTGACCCACTCATGTGAGGCCAGTGTGGCCTGGATCCCATAACTGAGGACCACTGGACCCAGCTTTTGAATCAACAGTCTTATGAAAATGAAATCAACCTGAGCAAGTTAGCCCTGAAGCCTCATGGCTTAGAGAGTCTTAATTTTGATCCTGGCAGGCTGGCCGTCATTGTGTAGCTATACACAAGTGGCTTTCTGCCACTGCAGTGTGGTCCTGGTTTTGAATCTCCATAGAGAGTAGTAAAAAGATAAGATGAAACAGCTAAGCCCCGCAAAGTGGTATCCTAATGTGTGGTTAGCATTAATGCCTTACACTGAGCAGGTTGTCTCATTCCCATGGCCTCTCATGGGAAGTTTTGAATTCTGGCTTCGAATTCCTGCACGAGCCTTTTCTGGAGACTGAATCACAAATTAAAAATGAATTCAACTTTTTTAACAGCACTTTTTGGATGTGCATACACTTTTGGTCACTTTGGGAGCAAACACACTCAGGCCCATAAGCAGTGTTGTCACTTTTTCTGGATTTTTCTCATCTCGCTTTATCCTCACCAGTTCTGGCCTGCACTTTCTGCAGACTTCCCCTCCCCTAGGGAAAGTCCTGCTGGATGTGTGGGAGGGACTCCAGGAGGTTTGAGTGCAGCTCACCTCCAGCAGGTTTTTGAGTGGATGATGAAATTCTCCTTCACATTCCTCTTCAAGCTTTTAGAGAGGAGTCCTGGAGAATGTCACATCACACACCGAAGGCACACATTCCTATTACAAACACACACACACACACACACACACACACACACACACACACACACACACACACACACACACACACACACACACACACACACACACTGTCTGACTGCTTGCTCAGCATTCAATGCAGACTCAGACTCAAAGATGGACATGTTTCGGAATGTGCACTTTTGTTTTCATGAGAAAAAGACCTATGCATGCATGTAAAGAGGATCAACTCCATAATATTCATATTCAGAGTCTAAGAAAAAGTGTTTTGGTGGTCCTTCTAAAACCAGTGCAAATGAAACATCCAGGTTTTCTCAGACCTTGTAATCAAAGCTCAATCCTTTGCAGAATGACTTTTCTAACTTACAGTCATCAGATCAAAAGTGGTGGATGACCCCTCAAAACTGTTTTTCTAAATGGTTGAATTTAGTGTTTTTTGTTGTTGTTGTTGTTGATCTCATTAACTTTGGGTATTTGTCTTTGGCTGAATAAGAAAAATATATTTAAAAAAATTCCTGACTGAAGGATTTGTTTTACACCTGAAATTAACACAAATGAAAAGGACTCTTGGCAGCCACTGCAATTTGGATAAAGTGTGCAAAGTTAAAACTTCATCTGTGTTTAAAATGACTTAGAGCTGGATCCATGCCTCCATCACATCCAGGCTAGACTACTATTGCTCTTAAGGTCTGGATCAGGTTTTCTGCATGTTTGCTCACTAGGAGAAGAAAAGATGATTACTTTTAAAATTTGTCATCTTGTCTTTGCGCTATTTTCAATTCAATACAGCCTTTTAATAATTTGCAAACCATCAAATTCTGATTGTATAAACATACTTAGTGTCCTCATTTTTTTTTATCAGGGTTGTTAACTTAAGAGTAATTTTTTGTATTAACAAAAAATGTTTGTATTAACAAAAAATTTAATAAAATTTATTTACAGACTATAAAGGGCTGATAGAGAGAGAGAGAGAGAGAGAGAGAGAGAGAGAGAGAGAGAGAGAGAGAAAGACAGCGCTAAGTCTGTTGTAGTTATTATTATTGTATTCTTGTTATTCTTATTCTTATTGTTATTACTGTTATTGTTTTTATGATTTTTGTGTTAAAATGCTTTGGCAATATTGTAGTAACAGTCATGCCAATAAAGCTCAATGAAATTGAAATTGAAATTGAAATTGAAATTGAAAGAGAGAGAGAGAGAGAGAGAGAGAGAGAGAGAGAGAGAGAGAGATTTCATCTGTTATATTTCATATTATTATTGTTATTATTATTGTTGTTGCCATTGATATTATAATGTAATGCTTTGGTAATATTGTTCAAACAGTCATGTCAATAAAGCCTATTGAAATTGAAAATTGAAATTGAGAAAGAGAGACAGAGAGGGAGAGAGGTCTTCAGCAATGACTTGTAAATGTCAAGTGACTGAGTGGGACTTTTGAGTACTGTTTCATGTTTAAGAAGCAAACATGGGCAAGGGTCAGACTCTCTGTGTTTCAGGGTGGATCTCAGGACTTCTAGGAGCAGCTGGTTAGTTTCTGACTGGAGTTTGATAATAGAGGGAGAGAACAGTGGAGGAGGTGAAGCTGTTGGTGTTCCTACTTCATATTTATATCTGATTTCGTCTTTGCTTGGTGCAGTTAACCTGCGTGTATGGATGCATCGACAAACTGTGTTGGAAGTTCATTTGAGCCCCTGCAGTGATTTCCACTACAGAGTCATGTCTAATTTTAATGAAGCGCAACTTGATGTGCCATCCAGTGTCTTTTACAACCTTGTCCTTTAGCACAGAGATTTCTGCAGATCCTCTGAATCTTTTCATGAAATGATATTATGAAATCCACTCATCATGTGAAATATTGTTCTGTAAATATATTGTTGAAGTATTAGCTCATGTTGTCTCTCACAGAGTGGTGAACCTCTCTCTTCCTTTCCCTCTTAGAGTTTCAGCCCCTCTGAATGTCCCTTTGTCCTGTTACTGACTGGTCCAAATCAACCTTTTTAAGTTGGAGATGTTCCACCACATGTTTTTTTTTTGTTTTTGTTTTTCAAAACACTTTTTGACTTTCTGATTTTTTTTCCCATCCCATTGGTAACTTTTTTAAACCTCTTGCTGATGAAATTTAAAATGAGTATACAGTATATTCTGCAGTAAAACGTGTGAACGTTTGATGTGTTTTCTTTTCTCTTTATTTGATTGGAACAAAATAGGTGAAGATGCTCACAGTCATGTGGTATCCCACAGGGTTCAGTCAAAACTGTTCAGTGTCAGATTTCCTGGCATACTACTTTAGGTTCTTGGGATGACCTGCAGCAGCTTCTAGAGTTGGTGGTAAGATGAAAGTCAAATGTTGGTTTTAACATTAATAAACTATTGTTATATTTGAGTAAAAACAGATCGGAAACAGTTGGAAATAATGAGATTCACACATAAATTCATTGGAAACAGTCAAATTGAAAACTGAAAAAAATTATGGCAGCAGGTTTGTGGGAGTCTTGATAGACCACAAGCCCTGCTGGAAAGTATCTGTGCTTGCAGGTGTCAAAAAGCATGAATATATTGAATAAAGGCAGACATAGCTCTATATCAAAAAGCATCACAAACTTCAGACTGCGTTCTTTCTTTATCATATCTGTTGAGAAAACCCATAAAAGGTGTGCATGGTGTGAAAAGGAGCTGTAGGGATAAAACATCAAGGTGAGTTTAAAGTGGACCGATTTCTGACTCTGAAAACATTCAAACTATGTTCACTTTTAGAGAGAGGTCATAATTTAGAGAGGACACTTCCACTAAAACAACTCCAACATCTTAGTCTGCAGGTCAGCCAGGACAGGTCCATCAAAAGGGTCCTAAGCTCATTTAAATTCCATTTCTAACAGTTACTCAGTGGAGGATCTTGAACAGTAAACTGCAAAAACGGATCAAACTGAATCTGTTTCAATGCTTGTGTTATTTATGTTTTCCCCCCCTGACCTTTACAGTAAAACTTTAAGAGAAATTTTATTTCTAAATCATCTGATGTTGTAAAGAAGGGGCAGGTGAACCGATGTTCCCCTCAGCGGTGTGCCATGTGTTTCTGTTTTTTTTTTTTTTTTAAAATTTTGACACAAATATTTAGATGTGTTCAAATCAGATAAACAGATCAACCTATAAGACTTGAATGATTTGTAGAAACAAAGCTTTTATCGACATTTTACAATTACAACTGCATTTTTGGAATATGGCTGTATACGGAGATTGATGAAAAGTGTGTGGAAAATAAACCACACTTAAGTTTTTTCTCCAAAATATGTACAATTGGAGTTTTATGTCTTTTTCAAAGACATGGAAAAAATAATGGCAGACTGCTTTTGAATTGTTTTATCCACAAAAGCCTGCAGAGGAGAAATAAATTTAGTGTGCAAAATACTTTATTGTTGTCACTGAAGATAGAAATAGATTAAGTTTTTTTTCTGTTTCTCTTAAAACGCAGGCACGCGCGCGCGCGCGCGCACACACACACACACACACACACACACACACACACACACACACACACACACACAGTAATCATCAATGAGAGAGAAAGAGAGAGAGGCCTACATGTGCACTGCGCAATGCTGGTCGATAAAAATGGAACAAATACTAAAACAAACATCTTGACGGATCTTAGCCTCAGCCACACCACTGAATGTGTTTTTCTATTTCTTTTCCAAGTAAATAAAAAAGTAAAAACCCAAAGAAAACTGAAAATGGTGAGTGTGGTCAAAGTGGTCTTTGTTTGATGTTGCCAGAAAGTGCAATATCATCGGATGTTGTTTGTATTTGGAGGGCAGAATAAATCTCCACAGTGGTTGGCTGTAAATCATCACATGTAGTCACTTTGATTGTGTTGATGTGTTTTTATCAAAGGTGCTGAAGAAGTGCTGTTATTGGACATGATCATGTGAGTAAGTCAAAAGTCGACCGTGAGACATAAGAACACAGACAGACATTTACACATTTATCCAACATCAAATAGGAAAATATGCTGTTTATGAAACATTTACGTCTTTTACAGGTGGATATATGATACAACACCTCTGTGACGTCACTTCCCCCGTTCCTCTCTTGAGCTTTGTGTCTATGAAGCACACTGTCAACAATATCCTCCCAAATACCTCCACAACATCAGTCTGCTGTCTGGAGGGCTGGAGCGTGGATCCAGTCCAGACCTGCGAAGGATCATGATAAGAGGTGGACCCCCTTCATCAGGGAGCTGAGGGACCGTCCGTTTATGTTCTCTGCAGCCCACGAACAGGCAGACGACCTGCCAACACAGAGCTCTGAAAACAAGTGTCCTGCACCGGGCCTCTCGGAGGACTCATGTCCCTGTCTGTGTCTCAGTCTTAGGGACACGACGGCGCGCGCACCCCGCCGGAGGCCGAGAGGTGCCACTCTACTCGCAGGCCGACACGCTGCTGATCTTGGCGGTGTTCTCGGTCCAGGGCTGCAGGTTCTGCAGAGCGAACAGAGAGCTGTTCTGCAGACACAAGGGGTCCGGGGTAACCGGCTGGTTGATGGTCTTCTGGAAGGCCTCCTGCTGCAGCTGCATGAGGATCCGGTTGGCCTGCTGCCGCTCCGCCTCGCGCTCCTCTGCAGTCTGTCGTCTGAAAAAGAAACGAGACAACACCACACAGAGGTTTTAAGACATGATCACACACAGATCAGGCCAGGTTTGTCTCGGTAAAACAGAGGGTAATTCTAAGAAAAAACGGTTTGCAATTCCTAAATGAAATATAACTCCGAGACAACCGTGCAGTAGGATCAATGCCCACCACACCTGCGGGGCTTGCGCTTTTTAGTTTCCTGGCTTGGGGGGAAAATAATTCGATTTTTTTTCTTTTCTGGGAACACTATATTATTATGAACAATAAACATACAGGAGTCTAATATGACAGACAGCAGATAAGACAACCCCTTTTACCATAGGATGAACTGTCTTTTACCTTTCAATGTATTTTTCCTTTAGTGACTGAAAACATCAGGAACCTGATCAGAATCAGGCTATTAAATCTCTTAATTCATCTCACCGAGAGGCAGATTGAAAAAGGGAATTCTTTAAAGAGAATTGGTTAATTTTTAATAAAAAATGTGGAAATGAGTTAAGGAATTGATTTTTTAAACAAAGTCTAGGTTTACAAAGAAGATAGATGCATGTCATCATTCAAAACAATAAATGAAATAAAAAGGAGCATTTGTTTATTTGGGTCGTCTATCAGCCTCCTTACGTTGTTCCACTTAAAACGTCTTATCTATTTTGAATCTTGCCCTTTTCTCTCATGTCTCCCTCAGTTTTAAATAACTCAAATAATAAAGGCGCTTTTTTATTCCGTCTGTTGCTGCGTTTAGATGCGGCGGGATCATGAGCCTCTTTCAGCTCATCCATAGTTCAAACTGCACAGTTTATTCACACCACAATACAAACACCTATAAAAACAACCACACAAACAAACATTCAACATCACACATATCTTCGTTAATTCCAAAAAATAGAAGGAAAAAAAAAACATTCCGAGAATTACATCGCGTATTTTCACTGAGCATGTACATTTAACCTTTTGGTCGGGGTATTATTACTACAGTCAGGCTTTTTCTCCATTCAGATGCTACCCTCAGATTAACAGATGATAAATTAATGATGGAGAATCTGTTTGTGGATCCAAGAGAAACAGAAGTTCTTTGTGAGTAAAACACGATATTTCAGCTGATGAGAAACCCAGTGTTTTTATTTTAATTTAAAATTCATCTTCAATTTTAAACATCTGCCACAATTTCCTTTAACATCGCAATTCTGATCTATACTGACACCAATCGCTTCGTTTTTTTCTTCACATTGTGCAGAGTGGATTAACTGATAAAGAGCGAACCAAGTGTGGCAAAAAGTAAGAGTTTGTTTGGTTGAAGAAAATAAAATAGACTGCTGAAGACTTCATAAATAAGGAAGTCAATCAATAAGTTTTTTACATTTCGATTGTACATATAAACACTTTATAGCTATATACTTTAATTTCCTGTATATTTTTCAAAAACCCAAATGCATAAAGAAAATGGAGTTGTTGACCCTACTCCTGCCCAGTCCTGGATTCAGACTCCAACGGTCTTTGAAGACCCGATCATGTCTTTTTTTTTTATCTGATTACATCAGGGAGCCTGCCTTTTAAAGCAGCTCACTCACAGACAAGTCTGGGTGGTTTGTATTTCGGTGAATTATAATTATTTTTCTAATTTTCAGTTTTAGGTCTTGATAAAAACGGCTTTGAGACTACAGTGGGACCCCTGTAAGACCCCAGAAACCAGTTTGAGTTTACAGTTAACAAATTGCAGGAGCGCTCTTCGAGGTCTGTGACTCAAATGCTTAAAAAAAAAACAACCAATGTGTTGCAATGAACACGAAAATAGGAGATATAACTAAACATCAAAGAGAGACCAGCTCGAAACAAGATCTCACCTCCATTTGGTGCGTCTGTTCTGGAACCAGGTCTTGACCTGAGCGTCGGTCATCTTCAGGGCTTTGGCGAGGGCCGCGCGCTCCGCTGACGCCAAGTACTTCTGTCTGTGGAAACGTTTCTCCAGCTCACAGATCTGCAGCCGCGTGAACGACGTCCGGGGCTTCTTCTTCTTCGGAGGCGTTCGGTTCTGGTACGGGTGACCTACACGACGTGTCACAGTCAAGGGTGAGAGGGACACTGTACAGGATGGGACAGGGGCATAGGACAGGAAAGAGGAGGACAGGAGAGGAAAGGAAGAGGGAAAGTCAAAGCAGCCAGATAGGAAATAAACGAGACAGCGCGAGACAGAGCAGGAAAGCAACACAAAAGAGTGACCAAAGAGAGGTCAATATTTAAACATATTATTAGTATTAGTATTATTATTATTAATTTATTTATTTCAATGATCACGCACAATGATCTGCATCATTTCTGCAGTCACATACATCTAGAGATTTAATCAAAGAGCATTTCCACTGATTATATTTTTGTTTGTGTTGGTATTCCAATAAAGCTTATATGAAGCCTCTGTTTGTTTTCATAGATGAAATGCAGATACATTGATTCACTGCTTGAATTATTAGCCCTTTGTAAACAGCAGGTCAGAGGGGCCTTCAGTCACTCCAGAGGTGCCTTTTAAGTGTTTCACTGGAGGTTTTCTCGGCTAATGCAAAGCAGGGAAAATTTTTAAAGAGTTCATACAAAAGCAAAGTGATGCTCTTATAAAGCAGGGCAGCAAAAGCCGAGAGACAGAGGAGGACCAGCCGAGACAGGAAATACAGAGATCTGACAGCTTTACACTGTCCAACACAGAAAAAAAGCAGCAGCTCATAGAAAAAAACCTTTTATCCAAGTCATCAGATACTTGGAGTTATTCGTTTTACTGACTTTTTTATTTTAAAGGAAACAAAAGAAAGAATTCTGACTGTAAATGTGGATGTTCACAGCTGGACAACAGGGTGTTAAACTGTATCATAAGCCTTTACTCCATGACTACAAAACCACAGAGCAGCCTCTGTGGTTCTTCATCTGTTGCTGTAACGACAACGAACACCTCTGACAAAAGCTCTATGCAGATTTCCAGTCTCTACAGTTATATTCACAAATCAGCTTCTCATCATGAACTGACACCGAGGAGCTCTGAAAAAAAGAGCAAAACTAACTGCTGCTATATGTCATTTTTTGTATATTCTCGAGGATATTGGTTATTTGTAGGAGTTGACTGAAGTTTACATGTTATTGTTGTTATGGTTCAGCTTCATTTCTCTTGTTTAAATGAATTTTCTGCAGTAAAAAGAGGACTTGTTTGGGAAAAGCCGAATTTTTCTTACCATTTCTAAAATCAAAATGTAAAACTTGTTGCTTTAGGCTTTTTCACATTTGCTTGAATGATTTTAGAATTTCAATTATTTTTAGCCTAAAAAATGTTTCGGAGCTGAAATTTTGGAAACTTTAAGGAAGTTTCGTTTTGAACGAGGTTCCTCTAACATCTACCTGCTGAACCGTTTACTGCGCCTCATCGATCGATGATTGATTTTTTTTTTAACTTATTAAATAATTAAATATTATAAAGCTCTGTCAGCAGTAATAAAACATTCAGACCGGGATAAAAACAGCCCTGCATGTCTGTCATTCAGAACTTTCCGTTATGTTCAAAGTCTCATGTAACAATGTTAAAAAACCATCTGCACGCTCTTCAGTGTTCTTAATTTTTTTTTTCTAAATGATAAATCGTCGCGTAATTGATGATCAAATGTAATTGTATCAGGCAGAAGACAAAAGTCCAAAGTGACCAAAGTGACTGAATAAACTCTCCTCCCGTTCTCTCCAGGCTTTGGAACCAAAAGGGGAGAAATGGATGATTTTATTCGTAAACACACACAAAAACATGTCTCATTATTATGATTATTTTATGATTATTTATCCTGACAGATAGATAGACCTGTGTTCGCTGTGTGATTTCCGGCCTGTCGCCTCGAACAGGCCTCTCGGATCCCCCCGCAGGTGAAACGGAGGCTAACCTACCTGTGAACCTGTCTTTGGTGTAGCGCCGGTTGCTCTCCATCCAGGGGAAGGTAAGCGTGCTCAGGTTGTTGACGCTCGCGCTACTCGGTGGTCCGGATGAGTTTCCGCAGCTCAGAGGTCGGTGTGCGGGCACGCGGATGACTCCGGCGGGGTTCAGGTTTGTCCCGTGTGTATTCACCGCCATGTTCATATGATACGCCCCGCCAAGGGAGGCCATTCCGCACGAGTTGCCGGTGCCGTTATATCCGGTGTTCCCGCAGGCGAACCCGCCGTTCACTCCGCCGCTCATGCCACCGTTATAGGCCCCGTGTCCGTAGTCTGGCTCGTGCATCCTCACGCCAAGCATGCAGCTCTGCTCCACGCTGCTAAGGATCTGATCAATGCCGAAGCTGATGGGCTCCACCTGCGCGTGGTGCTGCAGGTGCGCCCCCACAATCCCGATGTGATCCATGGCCTCCGCGAGCCCCGCGCTGCGCTCCGGCGCGAGGAACACAGGTTGCTCCACGCGCCGCTCCACGGACACTTCCGTCTGGACTGCAACCGCTTCAGCTCCAGTCGTTATAGTACGACCGCACGTGAGTGCGTCACTTCGTGTGTGCGTGCGGGAGTACGAGGGGAGACTGCCGACCCGTACCCACCCCCCTGAGCTGCGCGAGGACATCCATCAAAGTGCCAAATAGACAGCGCGAGATGAAGGAGCAATTTTGGGCCACGAGACTGGATTGGTCCAAATCGGAGTGCGCTCCACGGAGGCGTCATACAACACTGATTAACAGCTGGACCGGATCAACAACACCACCGGACAGGGTTTACAAACACTTTCCTTTCTTCCTGACTAACTCTAAACACATACACACACACTCACCCACGCGCACAGGTTCACTGACACAGTCTTTGGTCTGGCACGTTGTTGGACAAATCTGCTGTTCGTGTTTTCGTCCATTCACACCAAATGTGTTGGTTTTATTTAGAGGGATTTTCTCGTCCCTTCATGCTCCCTATCCACCAAATACAAATATTTGCTCCTCCTTTTCTCTGAATTTTACTTTTTATACCGGTGCTATAATCTCTAATAAACATACACACCTCACTATCCGTTAATGAATCACGCCTCTTCATCTCGTCCACCCTTGTTCTCTGAGCAACATGTTTTGTTTCAGCGTGGACCTGATCATGACTTACTTCGTTGATTTACAGAAAACGGAAAAAATATTGAAAAAAATCAAACAAACAAACAAACAAACAAACATACAAACAATCAAACAAACACCAGTGATACCAACCAAATGACCAGCATTTAGATTTGACAGTTTTTTAAGGCACATAGTTTGGTACATGGTTATATCGAATCTTTGACATTATTTAGCTGAACAAATTAAACAGTTCAGTTTTTCCGACTCAAGTCCAAGTTCATGCCTTTACATCAATAAGACAATTTATTCACTTTCTCCTGTTTAGATCTAGTGCTGCAGGAAATTGGTGCCGTAATAAAATGCTATAATGGGTTCAAATGATACAAATAAATCACTGAAACATGATTGATGTTTAATAAAGGCCACTTATTTATTGTTATGAAACTGGCGCCATTATTAATTCATGTTCAGAGTGATGACAGTGCTGCAAACACTGATGCCTTTTCATTTGTTACCGTGGGAACACCAGAGCTGCGCGCGCCGCTTTAAGAATCACCTCACCAGCTTGTTTTAGGGGAATTGACTGTAATAATGTTGTTAGTGATTGGTCAGTGCTGGTCATAGAGGCTACGGTCATTAGAAGTGTGAATGAATCGGGGTAAAGAGTGCTGTAATGAGAGAGAGAGAGAGAGAGAGAGAGAGAGAGAGAGAGAGAGAGAGAGAGAGAGAGAGAGAGAGAGAGAGAGATTCCAACGAATGAATCTACCATCGTTTCATCGTAGATCATAAATAAGGAGCGTGTTTCCTGTTTATGATACATTACATATTCACACACACACACACACACACACACACACACACACACACACACACACACACACACACACACACACACACACACACACACACACACCAAAACAATTAAATGGAAACTGAAATTGTGTGGCTCATTGATTTTCTCTCCTCGAAAAGCCGCTGGGACTTAATTACTTCACTGGGGTCATTTAAGTATTAATATTTGATCAGCTTTACGCCGCTCTTATTGGCCAGCTCACCGACGTCAAATTTTAATGCATGTTGTAGCCTATCTGCTCGTTTAGGGGCACCACAGCCTGGGGACCAATATTGAGCATTTAAAATAGGATAGGAACGTCATCAGATCATAATAATTTAGTACAAAATTAAAGAGGATATTTCTATTTCACAAAAAATATCTCCACATGTGGCGCAGTGTTTCTGTCCTTGCCTCGTGCTTAATCAGCTTTTAAATTGTTTTGCACTTTTTGCACAACTTGTTCACTTTTTTTGACCGACACCTGGAGACATACTCTGGAGGGTTTCTGCGTCAGGACAGCGACTGCGAATGCGTAAAGCCGCAGTTTGAACGCGGCCTGTGCAGAAACATGGACAGACAGAAAGACAGGCCTAACACTGCTGACACTAAACACCGACCATTTTCATTTCTTCATGGGCTCTGGAGAAAAACGATCTCCTCACATCAGATGCAGACACTTCTTGATCTCCAGCCCTTAACGCAGAATGAACTGCACAGACAGAGTAACCCTGAGCTGAGGCTGACACTCAATCACGAACTCAGTCCAGACTCTGCATCTCTGTGGGGGTTTGGTTTGAACGTGTCTCCCTTGGTATCTCAATGCTGAAATAACTTTCCGTGCAGTTTTGTGAACATCTTATTACTTTGCAGTTTCCTTTGCATGAGGCCTACTCATCACAGTAATTCATTATTGCTGAGGATGAGACGATGCTTCAACAGTTCATTATTTAAGAGTCCTGTAATAAATCCTTTTCCACAATAATAAGTTGCAGTTGTCTTGCAGCAGCCTAATTTGCTACACACTACAGTTATACACACCAACATAATTTTTCAGAGGGGCATGACCCTGAATATGTAATGTTATCTCTAACAACCATAAAGGGGTCAAGTTGTGAATCTCACCTACAGAAAGCAAAGCCTTACCTCTTGAATCTCTGCAGATCTTGTGAGGTGGTGTTTTCTGAAGAAGAATAAAAACAGTCAAACATTTCACTCACTGTGAATCTAAATGTGCTCAAAGCATGCTCTGTGTGCTCTAATCACTTCACCTCCAACAGACCAGATGGTAACAGGCATATAAAATAACTGTCTATAAAAATAGTCATCATTCCTCACAGTGGTCTTGGATGTCATTGAGTGCAAATATCACATCAAATCATATACACTCCTCATTGGAGAATTAACCAAATTCACTTCATTTCTCTATTTTAGTCAGAGAGGGGTTTTTGTATGATCACACTGCAAACTCAGTCAGGGGATCTCGTGATCGTTCAGAAAGCTCTGCAGCTGAAACCTAAACAAAACCCTGTAAACTGCATTTTCTCAAACAGCCATTTGAGTCAGGCTCCAGTTCTGAGTAAACCCCCACAGACCCCGATGTAAAAACACCAGAAAAAATTGATCACCAACCCAGATTAAATACATTTAAGGTCAGTATAGTTCACTTTGCTATTTGTGGCTACTTCAGAAGGGGTTCACTAGATTTTAACTGAGACGTTTAAAGGCAGAAAGTACTTTGCTTAAAAAGAACAGGTCACTGTCAAAATGGTGACTCTGAAAGGATTTAGGTTGAGTTGTAGTCAAACAACCATAAGAATATAACTATATATCTAATAACCATAACAGTATAAGATGTAACATAAACACTGAGGGCTAATGAACCACTGTAACATCACTAACATCACCAGCTCTTAAATAAACATGCCTAATAATGCTGATAAGTATTAAAATGTCTAAAGCCACAAACTACTTGCATTTGTAAGGTCAAGGGGTCAAGGACCTGCAGAATCCTTCACCCTTGACCTCAATCTCTCTGGCGCCGGCCTTGTAAGCTTTCCTCTCTGTGCAAGACTAGCTTTTCTAACAACTGGTAGAGAGAGGAGACTGAAGCATAGGGTGTTTGAATACACATTTAAAAAAACAGTAGTGTATGCTCACTCACTATTGGATCTTTGCTGCATGTTATTGTTTTAGGTCTTTTTCTGTCCCTCACAGTTACGGTGTATGCTGTGGGCCTCGATAAAGAGACTGATGATAACTCAGGGCAGAGGACCCAGTCCTGGCTCTTTGCTGTGGTGTGGGACACCAACTTTCCACTGTCCACTATGTCCACTGTCCACAGCCACAGTGAATTTCTCCCCCAAGCCTTTTTTTGCCAGCCAATAAGTGAGGTTGGTGTATGAAGTGGGGATAGTTAGATGCATACAGATCTCGGTTCAAGGACTGATTTCCCCATTGTACCATGTTATATCAGCCAGCTCCTATTCATTGTCACTGGTATGCTGGTCAATCTGTTATTCTAAACACTTTCCCATTGATGCTAGATGCACTGAGTCAATCACAGTCCTAAAATCCAATTAATCCAGTCCTATCAAAGATGATGATGGAGGAGCACTACCTCAGTGTATCACTGCAAAACCAAGATGGCAGCCTTTGCTGCTGGAAGGCCAGGTGATTCTCCAACCCCAGGTATTATACTGATGTTATAGCTGATGCCCCCTGAGAAAATACAAAGAGCTGAGCTGTTCCAGACCAATTAACCACTGTGGAGTGGTCTTATGGTTACAATTATAACATATCATATTTTGTGCTATTTTATCATATCATTCACCAAAAAAAAAATAAAAAAATAAAAAAAATGGAAGCATGGCATGTTACATTTAAACTTATTGTATTGTGTACTATCCTTTTGCAATACAGCATACCACACAATACCGAATCAAATAGAAGTGATGTTGTATCATATCGTATCATGTCATATCATATCATATTATCTCATATCATATCATTTCATATCGTATCATATTGCATCGTATCGTATCATCTCATATAATATCATCTCATACCATATTGTATCGTATGGTATGGTATGGTATTCGCATCATATCATATCGTATCGTATCCTAATGGGTCTATTATAAAAGAAAAATAGAAAATAAATTGTTTTTTATGTTATTCTATGAAATAAACAGTAAATGTAACAGTTCTATGTAAATAAATGAAATAATTATCATGCAATAAATCGGCTAAAATTAGTTTTGGGAAAGTGAAGTTTGGATGTTGGCACTGAAGTATATGACTCAGCATTTAAGTTTGCTTTTCAATCAGACATACATAACAGTTAAGCAATTGCTTTAAGGAAAAAAATCATGCATGTTGACCTTTTGATGTGGCCATAGCAACATGTCCGGCCTGTAAGCGGCCTGGGATACAGGTATGAGAAGTCTTTTCCACTAACATTTATGGGAGCCTGATTCTGATGATGTGTATCTGCACAGAAAGGTGGATGCTGACAGAATTTAAGAGTGACAGAAGTTAATCTGGACTCTCCCTGTCAGTTCTGAAATAACAGTTTGAAAATCTGACATACACAGATAAGTGAATGATCATCCTGTTGGTTTTGTAACTCAGGCTGTGTGAGGACTCCACACGCTCCACAACATTTGCCCTTGGGAGGAAACACACACTGAGTTTCACACACACACACACACACACACACACACACACACACACACACACACACACACACACACACACACACACACACACACACACACACACACACACACCTTGTTGTAGACATATGGACACTCACACAGTCAGAGAGGTTGGCTGTTTTGGTTGTCTGTTGGACACCATTAGTGTTCATTTGTCAAATTCCCCTCTGCTCTCTGCTCTGCTATTATAGTAGTGAGAAATGTGAGACGGCAAAGACTCCATATTTTGTCTCAAGCACTTTGAAGCATTTGGGACAGGAGGGAGCAGATACTCTTGAAGGTTTTCTTTCACTTCCCTGCTACCAAAAAGTGAAACAGTCCCTGACAAAGTGAGACATCCTCTTAGGGTTAAAGTGAGTGAACAGAAGATGTACAGGTTTGCGGAGACTGAGGCTGAGCAGAAAAATGAGATCAATCTTCTGTAACTGAAAAAAGATGAAAGTACATGTATGTGCTGGTATGGAATTTCAGTGGGCCAACTCATGATGTTTTCAGTTATGTTAAAGCCCCTCAGTGACAATAAAACTGTGCTGTCAAAAGTGGGACTGAAATAACAAACATATATACATACGTATATATATATATATATATATATATATATATATATATATATATATATATATATATATATACATATATATATGTATATATATATATATATATTCAGCTTTGCTATGAGCGCGTGCACGCATGTAAGGCGGAGCCTGCTGCATCTGACCAATCTCGAACATGGACCAGTCTGGAGCGTCAGAGCAGGCCGGAGAGCGAAGGACCGCGTACTTTACAAATGAGGAGCAGGAGAAAGTATGAAGAATTCAAATCTATCATAAACCTCAAAAGCAGCACCATCGCCGCTGCAGAAGCACAGAAGAATTGCTGGCAGAAAATTGCCAACAGTCTCAATGCGTAAGTATAGTGCACAAAAAATCTTTGATGCCATTATCACCCTGAAATAGCACTGTTCAACATGCGCTTTAAACATGCACCAGACAGGTCTAATTCATTTCCAAGATGAATTCATTCATTTGTTCATTTCTATCGTGTTTACATTTTTTTAGTGATATGTAGGCCATATGAGCCTTTCATAAAGGTGGTCATCCGGAAAAGAAAGTGGGTCCATGCGGTCCCTGAAAACTCTTGCGCGCCGGAGTGCTCCTCGGACAATGCCAGCACTGAGGTCCGAGGAGCACTCCAACCAGGACAAGCCATTTTTCGAGAGAGCTCATTGGTCAGTGGGCGGGGTTTTTATACTCGGTGAGTTCAATCTGGAACCTAACCTGCCACGGAGCAGGTTAGCCGTTCAGCGTATGTTGCCATGGAGACTCGCCTCGCTAAGAAGTGAACCCGCGTTGTAGAACAGGAAACCCCAAACTTACCCTTGAAGTTACCTCGCTAAGCAGTAATCCTGCTTTGTAGAGTAGGCCCCGGGAGGTTAAATGAATTCACATTAAACATTCAGCAAGAATAAAGACAAATGGACAGAGTAAGAATGAGGATACACATGGCAGTGGAGAAATACATCTCAGATTTGCACAAAAGTTTGACCCCCATGCAAATGCACTCTCTGTGGGCCTCTCCTGTATTGACAGCTATTTATTATTCTATCTTTGTGGCCTCTTTCATATGAGGGCCCTTCATACGTGTTACCCTTTATCATCCCAGTTGATGACCTTGATCATAGCTAGTATAGAGGCAACAAAGAATAAAGGCATGGAAAGACAAGGAAAAGAGAAAGAGATGTCACAACATCAGCAAAAAAAAAAAAAAAAGTTAGATAAATAGGTAGGTAAGAGGCAAAATTTGACTTTTTTAAAGATCAGGAAAGAATAACACATGTCAAAAATAGTCTCTCCAAGGTAACCATGACAACAGGGGATATGTGAGATTAACAAAAATTAGTCTGAACATTTCAATTATGGCCAGTTGTTTTGTTATTATTGACATTAAACTGAACATTAAGCCCTGACACATCATGACATAAATTTAGTACATCCTTGGCTACGAACAACACAACCTGCTGGTGTGTCAGTGTGTTCAGAGTAAACCACATGACCCACCTTTTTATTGTGCTTTTTTTAAAATAGGTCACAAGACTGGAACCAGATACTTAATCAGTGTGGATTAACCACTTAAACTGCTGACTGTATGTACCTTTAAAGACATTTTATTCCACATTTTGGTTGAACTTTAACAGTTTTATTCATCACATTTTTGTCAAATTCCTTCTCTTACTCATGTGGGAAACTCTGGTCATTGTGAAGTCCTTAGTGAGTCAGGGGGCTGCTGTTTTCCTTCCTGCTGGCTGATTGACAGCTCCCTATCAGAGCACTTATCATCTGAATGTCAAGGACTTCCAGAAAAATCCCATTTTCAGGTGATTGATGAAGTCCAGTCAGGCAATGAGGAGAGAGTGAACAAGGGGAGACTGAACAGAAGAAAGTGAGTCCATGAGAGACAAACCTCACTGACACAGTTTACAGCTAACCTTAACCCTAACCCAATGGCACTGTTTGGTGAAGACGGTTCATACTTGTAAAAAAAAAAAAAAAAAAAAAAAAAAAAGTGCATCTATGTTTCATTTAACTGACCCGATTAATTACCAGACCATATCAAGAGTTAAAAACACTAATTTAAAAAAACATTATTGATTATTAACAGCAAAATCAATGCCAGGAACTTTTTCACATTTAAATCATTTATTGGAAAGGAGACCAGCACATTTCATTCTGTGTTTCCATTAGCATTTCAAAGCATTGGTCTCAGGCTGGTCATTGAGGGTTGGTTTCCAAATACAAGATATATCAGATGTTTCATGTTGTGGGTCCTGTCTCCCCTGTCAGGGTTCTCATTTGCATAACCCCCCTGGTTACTAATCATTAATTTTCATTTATATGAATGATAAATGTGTTCCAGCAACATATAGAGATGTATCATTTAGACTCAATATTGTATTAAGATAGTGCACATACAGCATCTTAAAAGGGTCAATTTTCAAAATGTATTAAAAATAATCTAGGCTTGTTGTAAAACTTGACAACAGCAGCACATTTCTAAAAAGTCAGGACAAGGACAACAAAGCACTTTAAAAAGTTGTATAATGTTAGTAACATCTCGGAGGATAGGAAGTGTTTTTTACAGAGCGGCTGAGTCTCTTTGGGGGAAAGATGGGAAGAGGTTCACCACTTTGTGAGAAACTGAGTGAACTAACAGTTCAACAAGTTTAAAATAATTCTGCCAAACATAAAATACAAAAAAATGATTTCATCATCTACTGCTCATAATATCATCAAAAGATTCAGAGAATCCAATAAATCTCTGTACAAAAGAGAAAAAGCAAATAACTGACATGCTCTTTGGGCAACATTAAAAATCAGACATGACTGTTCAGAAATCACTGCATGGGTTCAAAAATCATCGTCTGCGAACAGAGGTCATCACTGCATCAATGAGTGAAGGGTAAAACTGAACCATAAAATGAGAGGAAACTATATTTAAATATGATTTGGAAGTGCAGGTGATATCTGTCCTGTCTATTGTATCAAAATTTGACTTTAACTCGTTAGTGAATACAGCTTTTACAGTGACATAATGCTGCCATTAGGATGATGCCTTTTTCATGGGACACCTTACATTGAAGTCAGAAGACAACTTAAAGACACGTGATGTTTCTTTTTTTTTTTTTTTGCTGTATTTTCAAAACCTTGTTCACCTCTGTACTCTCAAACTTTCACGTCACTCGCTGATTTTGATGCTCTCAGACCCACTGACCCCAAATTCCCACACGTTTGCCTAATAAGGCCTGGTGTCAGTCAGGCTCAGTGAAGTTGACCTCCTCCTACTGAATGGAAAGAAGGGATGATGGGAGGACTTGTTGGCTTCATGTGGAGGAACGGGGATGAAACTGGGAATGTTTGATTCTTGGCCCGCACTCGTAAAGCGGAAGATGAAACCTCTAGATGTTGATGAAGCAGCTTCTTCACTCTGTGATCTCTGACGTCCGTTACTGTGTGAATTTCCATAGAGGAATATCCGTGTCAGGATCAGTCACTCAGACTGAGTGAATGGACAATATGGATATTCCACAACAAACTTTGAGAGAGTTCACAGAGATCTTAAAGGGGAGTCATGGTGCTGTCCTGGTTTGTCCCCTCCCCGCAAACAATCATTAGTTTACATGAGCACATTTATTTGGATCAACCCTGCAGCACTTCGGCCACCAGGAGGACAGCGAGCACCTTCAACTCAGCAGACTCAGCCTTTAGTGAGACGGTGTTCTCAGTGAATTATTTCAGCTATTTCACTTCTCCATCATCACGTTGGGCTCCTTATTTATATATTTCTTTAGTTTTTGGTCACACCTGCAGTTTGCTCTGAATGACCATGCGTGTAGTTGTAAAATTCTGCAAAGTGACATGACAGATCCATTTAAACTTAGAATACAGTTTCAAGTCCAGTTACAGTTTGTCTCACCAAAATGAACAGCTTCATTAACTTTACATTCTCCCTGTCTTATGCTTATGGCCAGCTCTGATAAAATAACTAAAATCATGATTTGCCCTGTTTGGAGTTATTTCACTGGAGCACTGACAGTTTATTGAATAAATTCATCCAAGGAAAAAACAGCATGTATTTGGGGCAAACAGGACCAGAGCTTATGCAACAACATAAACGGGGGGGAAACAGCAAATGGAAATACTGAGTGTTTATTGGTTTGTACACTGACTTGCAGAAAGTTTTTAAAATAATAGTTCATAGACCTTTAATGATGAATGAAAAGCTAAAAATCATAGACTGTATATAGAATAGACAGAGTCTGCCTCCTCGCTGGGTGAAGCCACTCTGAGAACAGCACCCTCTGTTGATGGGCTGCAGTATAGGTCATAAATCCCGCCTCTGCCAGCAAAGCTTATGGGACTGTGGACAAACTTTAGAAATTTATTACACAGAACATACATTTTTCTCCCCCCTGCTTGTGATGTTGACATGTAGTTACTGTCAGACTGGTTTGTGCCCAAGTCCTTTTTCTTCTGTGAAGCTCCGTTTTTAAAAGTTATTAGGGGGTTCATGTTTTCTATGATTGACACCTGGTACAGCCTATGGGCGTTCAGGGATTGCGTAGCTCTCCCGAGGGGATACTCTGTTTGAGTCAAGCGTCATCACAGTGACTCTTGGCAACTGCGCGGCCGAATGCACGCATCGCTACTGCGCAGCTCTGGTTTCAAGGAAGTGGAGAAAAACCCAGAATTACCGAGAGCTTTTTGGCTTCAAATCCGCATACAGGCGGAAGGCGGAACCAGGTTGTCCATCTTATATACAGTCTATGCTAAAAATAGACAGCACTGTGTTCAGATTAAGGATACAGTGTCAGAGTTCAGAAGGATGACCTGTGAAGTACCCCAAAAATCTGTGATTGGTCCACAAGTCTTTATATGTTATATCAATAATATTTGCAGTGTTGCAATTTTTTGGCACTTTGTGTGAGTATCAGTCACGCATCACTTCAGGAAGTTGAAACAATTGACAATTTAAAGGATTTTAAAATCTAATTTTTATAATAACTTATTAGAAGATGCTTTGAACCTAGCAGAGGACTTATGACTGACTGACTTAGTGCACAAGAAACAATACAACTATGATCATTACAGCTTAGGCAGCCTGCCCTTTAATAAAATCTTACAAAACAAAATAAAACAAATGAAATCAAACCAAATACAACAAACACAAAAAAAAGCGAGAGAGAGAGAGAGAAGGAGAGACATGGGGGACAGCAACAACAACAGCTCGTACATAGTCTTGGTTATAGAGCCAATAATAATGGATGAATATGAGTTCTGTTTACAGGATCAGGAAATAGGTAATAACGGACTTTGTTAACTTAAACAATTTAGAACAACTTTTTGTGGTGTTGAAAGTGAGTTGTACATTCTCAAATTGTTTTGCATGGTGACTGCATAAAAATACAACCACTTCTATTTCTAAGTTTAAAGAAAAGTATTTGGTTTATTTTCCTGGTTCAAGTCCTGTGTACATTTGGATAAATGCTGTTGTTAGTGGTGCTGGTGATGATGTGTGCATCGTGCACAGAAATGTTCAGAAATGTTGAGATTATTGGTATGCTTGTCTGCTGTACAAAGTTGATATAAAACTGGTGTGTTCTTCTTATACTCAGCTGTCATGAATTTGAAGAATGACCTTGCTGCAGACACAACAGACCTCTGTAGGTGTGTTTGCACTTAAAAGTTGGGCAAGCTTACTGGCAAAAGTAGCTCTTCATCGGTCCTTTTGACAAACTTCATGAAAATATGTTTTGTTTTAAACTGAAAGCAGAGGTAAACTCCCCACTAAGAGGTCTAACTGCACATGTGCGGATGGTTGTGACTGAAATATCCTGAATGATCCTGATCTTCACAAGACAAAGAAGTGTGTGTGTGTGAAAAGGTGTATTTACTCGATCCTGTATCCTTCAACCTAAAATAATTTGCTTGGATAAATGGGTTACAGCGGATACTTAAAGAGTGTAAATGCACCAGAAATGGTGGAAAATTCAAAAAGTGGCCGTCTCAATCATGCATCATTATCATCAGCTCTCAATCCGTCAACTCTGCAAAAGTTGTGGCAACAAATTAGAGCAACATGTGTCACAAGAGCAACAGTCATAGACACAACAACAGACACAGTGATCCTGCAGACAACACTGGAGAATATGTGAACCGGGCCTTCTCAGACCAAACACAATCTATCACACAGACACACAACGAAAGCATCAGGCTAATGGAGCTGTGAGCAAATGCTGCCATGATGCTGCAGAACCATCTGAGCATTCAGAAGTGTTTTCATGTATAACCGTGCATAAAGTTCTCTGCAAAGTGGAAAACTAATGAGCTCTGAAAGTTGTTGTCAGGTCCCTGAGGGGAACACTGACTGCAGACCAATGGTGTCTATAGTGTGCTATGTTTGAGCTGCTCAAAACTAGTTTTTTTTTCCAAGAGGTTATTTGGACTATTGTATAAGCTTGGATGATTTTATTACCTTTTTAAAAACTTTCAAAATCACCAGTGTGTGTGTGCATGTTTAATGCTGAACATTGCTCTTATGTATGTTATCTGCTATCTTTTCTGGCTGTTAGAGTGTGTTTTTGGGGTCTTTCCTGACTGCATGTTGAAGTTGAACTTTGCTCTGTAATGCCAGTGCAGCTTATCAGAATCCTGACCAACAGTGTGCTTCTCAGAAAATCTATCATGCCATCACTCACAATTCTCTCTGTCAAAAAAGTCTTGCCTTATTCACACTAGCACAGACTCCTGAGAACTTCCTGAAACTTTATGAATCGCTCACTACAAATTTTTTTTCTGCATTTACTGAACTCTTGCACCATCAGAGTTTTTTTTTTTTTCTTTGGGTCCCTGATCAAATTTCTGCAATGTGTGGAAGTCTGGAAATTTCACTGTGTGCAGGTGGGCAGGCTGAGTGCTCACCTGTCAGTCAAGGCTCAAATTTATAATTTATGCAAATGTTTTGTCCTGTGAGGTTTACTTGGTGTGTTTGCATTTATTCCTCATCTTTTAAGCCTCTGGATTAACCCCCCCAAATCCCCTCATGCCCAAAAGAAGCTGCTCATAAATGAGAGCCAATGACCGAGTAGATACAGTTTTCTGAGTGCTGAGAATCCAAATTTATAAAAAATATGAGCTGTAGCTGGTAAAATGATCAGCTTAGAAAACATTTGGTAACATTTATATTTAAATGTAAATTTATAGCTGCTTGCAATGAAACTGTTTGTCTCGACAGCACAGAATGGTTTCAGTCAGGGATTATGAAACAGGAGAGGACGAACAATCTGTCAGGAGAACTGGCTTTAGGATTCATATCAGAATAACTCCTCTACACACACACACACACACACACACACACACAACCGACAGGTGGACTGTGTCCAGTGAAACAGTGGCCCCTGTCAGCACCCAGAGGCCCCGTTGTCCTTCCACTGTGTTGTGGGTGTCTCCGTCCTGTTAAGAGGCTCTGTGGGTCGAGTGTGTGCTTCCTGCTGTCTGTACTGGGCTGAGTGGGATGGTGGTGGTTATTCCAGCTCTCATCATCTCCCCCGTATAAGGGCAGCTGTAAAACATTGCTTCCTACAGGACTGATGGGATTGTTCTGCTGGACTTAAACTTGTGTCCTTCTTCTCTTGTCTCCTTCAGCCTTGTTTGACATCTTCAGCTGACTCAGGGCATGATAGACTTTGGGTTTAGAGGAGTCTCATCTTTTTCAAGAGTGCTGTCTCTGACTGTTCCTACATGACTGAGTGATCTCATGCTCTGTTTCCGCGAAGCTCTGCCCTTAACCTCAAAACTCTCCGCTCAAGTTTGACATTTCTCTCTGAGAAGGTTTGCTCACTACCAGTTTTGTTGCTGATCTTCAAACTCAAGTCTCTCTTTCCCTTTTTCTCAGACTGCTTGCACACTTTTGTCAAACATCTCAGTCTGAACAACAATCGAGTGAAAATCCCCCAGTTTTATTTTTAGAGCCTCTCTGTCACAGCTTTGCTGTTTTTACTCCTATTTCTTTTGACCAAACTTGGAATAAGACAGAAAATCTCCAAGCTGCTTACCTCAGGCCTCCTGGCGGCATGACTCAGCAGACCCAGTCTGTTGTCCGAACTCCAGCTAACACGAACCACTAAAGCTTTACTTTGAAAGAGCATCATAATACAAGTACAAGACTGCGATCATCCTTTTTTAAATGTTTTTTTTTATTTTAATTTGAAATGTTTATTTATGAGGAAAACAGAAGAAATGCACAAGCATAAAAAGGACAATGGAAAAAAAAGAACCAAAAGATCAGTAGATGAATGTTGTTTATCCTCAAGAGGAGTAAATGAAGAATTATCCTCAAGAGGAGTAAATGAAGAATTATCTCTACATTTTCTGTGCTAACATGGACATAACCTTCTGGTAATATGTATTAAGTGGGGGTTATCTGTTCTATTGCTGTGACTCTGAAAGCTCCTGTGAGGAGTTTTTTTTTTAATGTTTATGAAAACAGCTGAAATGTATATTGGTACCTTTTCATGATATCCAAAAGCAAACAAAACCACCATTATAACATGGATAATTATTATATTGTTATGTCTTATGCTGGTGTGTGAGGGCATAAGCACAGCTGAAAAAAAGATTCAGAATAAATTAGACACTTGACCGTCAAAGGTCAACAGAATGGAATTTTTTGACAAAAATAACTACTCCAGGATGAGGGGGACACAATATGCAAAGACCGCTTAGTCCACTGGGGGCGCCAGAGATGACACGAACAGAAGGTTCCTCACAGGAGCTTTAATGTTGAAGTATTTGTCTGATGTGAGGGACAGAGGTTGTCTGGGGGGACTTTTCCTAACAGTAGGTATTGAGGACAAAAAGAAAAGATTTCACTTTAAGATCTTATAAATTTCCTCCTCTATGGAGGACCAACACTGTTCAAAAACTGGTTATTGTTTTCAAGGTATTAAATACTTGCCTGTTCTTTTCTGTTGCATTATTCTTACTCATTCTCCCAGTCTTTGCTATTCAATAATTTAATATATTTTTCCTGATATGCTCTGGGAATTTAGTTTATTATGCTGTATGTGTTGGCTCGAAATATGACTTTTGAAGTTTTAAATCCCACTTCCGCATTAAATAACTTTTCACCTGAGAATACTTGAAAAACTGAAAAGGAGACTGCATTTGTTCTGATATATATATATATATATATATATTTTTTTAAAGAGTTTTTAGCAGCCTGCATCAACAACAACCAGCAGGTACAAACTCAGTTTGAATCTCTGTGTCCTTTTTGAGCCAATTTGCATGTTTTCCAATAGATTGCATTAGATTTTCTTTATTGAGGTAAAATTTGCTTAAACAGTGCATTAAGAGCATTAATGTCTCCAAATCAGTTTAAACCTGAGTTACAGGACTGCTGTGAAATAAAACGTGTAATTCCAGATCTCAGTGTTGCTGGCATGCCATTTAATTTTGCCATTTGCCACTGAGTTATCGAATTATTTATCTTTTTAATTTCACAGATTTTTATTGCATTACTTATCATCTCACCATAGCTGAATCTGCATGTACTAATCCAAAGTTGTGTTATAAAGATGTCTGTCACTGTAGCTGAGGCCGCCAAGTCACCCTCAGTCTATCCTGTGGAAGAACTGCACACACACACACACACACACACACACACACACACACACACACACACACACACACACACACACACACACACACACTCACTCAGACTAACAGACTGGCTGGTGCCTGTAGAGCCCCAGGGGTGTGTGTTTGTGACATGCTCAGATCAGGTGCAGCGTCGCGCTCAGGGACAAGGAGCTGCAGCATACGACACATGCTCACTCCTTGCCTTTTCCCTCAGTTGTCTCATCTCCTTTCGTCTTTGTGAATAATTTTTTAAGCATTATCTTGCTTTCTTTTCTTTCTACCTTATTAATTCCTTGCTATCCTCTGTCGTTTTCTGCCTCTCCTGTCCTCCCTTAACTGCTTTCACAGATTTGTTGGAGTCTGCCAAGGGCCGCTCTGTCACTTCATTCAGCTGTAATCAAACTGACAAACTCAAGTGCAGCAGTCTCTGCTGTTTTTTCATTGTCCTGTGTATGGAGGGTTGTGGTTTCTCTGGTTTCTCAGTGGAACACTTCACCCATAAATGATCCAGCAGTGAGCTGCACAGCTGAGCAGAATATGATGATGATGAACTCTGAATAACTCACTGGAAAATTAAGAAAGCTATGTGTGCTTGTGTGTGTGTGTGTGTGTGTATGTGCGTGTGAGTATATTTTTTCCCTATGCTCCACTCTCTCTGTCTCTAGAGGTCAAAGGTCATCTCTAATTGGCCTAATGGACTGTTCTAACAGCAGATCTGAGGTCAGTGGATCAGAGGCCGCTGAGGACACAAAAGGAGCAACAAACCAGTAAACAGACTTGTGTTAGACACAACACTGCCATCCAGCAGATAGATAGAGTTACTGAGCAGCTCGTCCTGCAGACAATGAGCTTCGTCAGTTAAAGTCTGGGTGGACCAATGAATACTTGTGTCTACTTTCAGCAAAAGGTTTGCGTTTTTCAGTTTGTCCTCCGTACGCATATTTTATGAACTGAAGTAGTCAACTACAACACCAAGTTACCAAAAATCTCCACTTTCATTTCATTAGCGCTCATTTTGTCAGAAAATTAAACAGTGTTTAGGTTAAAACTGGGATTGTAAAAAAGAACTGTTTGAAAACCACGATTATTCGCAGAATTTCAAAAGTTTATCATACTTATCTAATTTGTAACAGTTTAGATTTCATTATTTTGTATTCTTACATGTTTTTTAATCTATATTCATGATATGACCCAGTTCTTAAAAGGTTTTTTTTAGGGAATCAAATCAGCACTCTCTGATCTCAACCATAGGATATATCATTGAAATAAGTGCTCCAACTATTATCTGTCCCTGTCATAGACTGTATATACTATGGACAACTTGGTTCCGCCTCTCGCCGTTATACAGATTTGAAGCCAAAAAGCTTTCGGTATTTCTGCGATTTTTCTTTATTTCCTGAAACCAGCATTGCGCAGAAGAGTCGCCGTGATGACGCTCGGCTCAAACAGCGTATCCCCCGGGTGAGCTACGCAATCCCTGAACACCAATAGGCTGTATCAGGTGTCAATCATAGAAACATTAACTCTCCAATAACTTTTAAAACTGATCTGCACAGAAAAAAGAGGACGAAACAATCCCTGGTTTTCTTCTGAGATTGGAAACCTCCTTAAAGAAAGAGATGCTGCTTGAGCTTGGGCAAGAAAAACGAAGACAAAGGCTGACTGGCTTCACTTTCGTGAACTTCATAATATGTGTACCTCCTTAATTAAGACAGCCAAATCAGAGTTTTATCTGTCTGAAACCTATAAAAAAATAAGTGACCCAAAAAAATTTTGGAAAGTGGTGAAATCCTCCTCTGGCTCAATGACGAGTGGGGAACCCCCAAACTTTTTAGTCCGTGAGTCCAGTATACTGACTGAAAAGTCTGAAATGTTAAATTATTTAATTAACATTTTATCTCAGCAGGTCACTTATTTGACTCATTGAACCCTGATCAAACAAAGTCTGTTTCTCATGGTGATATAGGGTGTGTCAACGAACATAATAATTGTATTTTAAATTTTTCTCTTGTATCTGCCTCTGATGTTGGGAGACCACTAAATTATCTGGATTCCAGGAAAGCTGCAGGTCCTGATAAACTTGATTCTTTTCTTAAGATGGCTTTCGATTTTATTGCAGAGCCCCTATCTTACATTTTTTGTTTAAGTCTCACATACAACAAAATTCCCCAAATCTGGAAGCCCGCCTTTGTACTTCCCCTCTTAAAAGGAGGTGAATCACCTGAAGTTAACAATTATAGACCTATTTCCAAATTGTGTGTATTGGCTAAAGTGTTTGAGAGGCTAGTCAGTGATCAGCTGAAGGACTTTTTTTTAAATATAAATAACATCTTATTATCATTTCAATCTGGTTTCAGAAAATGGCTGGTTCTACTTCTTCCTTTCTGAAGGTCTCTAAATGTATACTTCAAGGTTCGGTCTTGGGACCTATTTTATTCTCTATCTATATTAATAACTTGTGTAATAACTTGTCAAATGCCTCATCACTTTTATGCAGATGACACTGTCATTAATTGTTGTTCATCATCAATTATCCAGGCTTTCGAGTTTTGCAGTCTGCTTTCGATGTTGTTCAATCTTGATTGCAGAAACTCAAATAAAAAATATATTTAAATATTGCTTCAGCCAAATGCCTGCAGTCCTCAACTACTGTCTAGCACTGTGCGCTGAGATTTACAACAGGTTGTGGTTGCCTAACGCATCTTTGTGAACTTTACGCCAAATCTGGCTGGCCTTCTCTGAGTATTTGCAGGTACACTCACTGAATGACTCAAATTTATAAGGTTCTTCTTGGCTTAGCTCCTTCTTATTTATGTGCTCTTCTTCCAAGGACTGAAAGCCACTACACCCTGCACTCAAACAACACTATCCATTTTATTGTTCCGCGAATCAGAACTGAACTGGGCAAAAAAGCACTCAGTTTTGCTGCCACTTCAGCATGGAATACTCTCCAGACTGACTTGAAATTGTCAGAATTAATTTAGCTGGAAGCATTTCGTTCAATCTTACATGACAGACTGTGGGAGACCATGGAAGACCTGTGTTTTTAATTATGTTTCTGGAGGTCATTTTCTTCTTCTTTATTATTATTTATTATTGTGATGTGTGCTGCCGAACTCTTTAACAGGTCACCCTTGGACATGAGATTTCGATCTCAACGGGTTCTTACCTGGTTAAATAAAAAATAAAGTAAATAAAAAGTCCCTCCACCACTATCCCCCGGTAACATGGGAACATTGAACAGTCAAAAAAACAAAAACAAACCAAGAAAAAAACCGGGAGAGGAAGATGAAAAACTTATTAGTACAGACAGGAACTGTTCATGGACTACAGATTCTGACTAACCTAAGTTTTAAATGAACATGGTCAGAACCTGCAGACTGAGAGACCCTGCCCTAGATAGCTTTTATGATCTTTTGCCTCTCTCTTAAAAGAAAAACTAAGTTTCACTGCATGACCAAGAAATAGTTAAAACTAAACTACAACTCTTTTTTTAATGAAGGATCTAAACACATGGGGCTCTTTTTTCGTGTCCGCCGGTGAGGCGGCGGAGAGTGGCGGACCCCGCCAGTGTTATTTTCGTCTGGCGGAGCCCGGCGTACAGACAGTTTGGTATTTTCGTGGACTGAGGCGCACCGAGGTCCGCCAAGCTGGGTGTGGTGGTGTGGCAGAGGGAGGTGTCGACAGAATCAGCTGCCTCAGTGACATTTTTGTGCTCGCCGGTGGCGTATAAAGTGCGCTGAAAGCTCGCCGATTCAAACAGCTTTCAGGTCAGCTTTCAGCGCAGGCGGAGCGCAGCTGGTCTAGTGGTATTTTGGTAGACCGGGGGCATATCGGCATACGCCACCGATGCCTCACCGGCAGGTTTCCACAGTGTCACATTTAAGTGCAATAAATAATCATCAACAACTAATAATCTGAGTCAGCACATACATTTAGATCTATATCGATATATTCTGATCTATATCTGATCTGATGAGCTTTGGCACGTGTTTGGACACACAACCTGACCGAATCAACACAGCTGAAACTGCATTAGATTAAATTAAATATCTAGTAAATAGACACACATAATGAAGTTAACAAGATATGTAATTCCTCTCCCTCCTTTTCTTCCTTCCTCTTCCTCTTATTTCTCGCACAGCTCGACCTGGACATGTCTCCGTGTCCTCTCCCCGTCCTGCTGCAGCTGCTGCTGCGGCGGCTGAACAGATGATTTGTTTCAGTGCTCAGATGCGTTATCTACTTTAAGCCTACATACAAATATTTTAATTTTCAGTTTTGTGAGCCAATTCTATTTTATATGCCAACATCTATGAAAGAAAGAGCCAGGCCACGGAGCGTGATGCGTTGTTTACGCACAGATGGTTCTGATTTTAATACCATTTTTGGAATTTATGATGTGATCTCTGTGCACAACCCACCTTTGTCACGTGAGGTTTGAATATGTGCAACTTAATGTGAGTGTCTTTATTTGTGGAAAAGGGTGTTTGTCTTACCAGTGGGTCCAACATTACACACACCAAATCCATCTGTGCTCATATGAGAGAGTGTAGAGGACGCCCTCTGCAGCGCTTACAGTGACACTTGTTGAGGGGCTGCCTTCTGTCGCCATCTTGTGGCATTACTGTCTTCAGACATCTCTTGATCTCTTTGAATACTTCACGAAAATAGTAATACGCCTCGCCGGTGGCGGATTTAAAGGCGAAGAGAGGAGCTGATGTTATTTGTCAATACAGGTCTCGGCTGTGTTAAACCCACTCCACGCCCTCTTTCCTCCCTCGCTAAGACTTACGCCGCTAGGAGGAGCTGAGTTGGGGGGGGAGATACTTACGCCGGGCTGCGCCGCTCACCAAAATACCAAATTGTGCTTGGGAACGCCTTGTCGGCGCCGCGCCTGCGCCACATCTCCGGGGATGCACAAAAATAGAGCCCATGTCGTTGAAGCTCCTATTGAGAGTTTTTATGGTTATGGAAGGAAGGGCTATGTGTCTGTATGATGTGAAAAGGAAATGACAGTTGGTTGTAATTCTAAAATCCTGGCACTGCGGTGAGGAGAATAGCTATGCTAAAGAAAAAGTGTTTGTTACCATCACAAACCAGTAATTCACAGTGGGTAATAAAGTTAAAGTAAAATGACAATTTTCAATTGTCAATAAACACCTTCTTCAGAGGGCAACAATGTCAGCTAAAATCATTACTTACACAAAGTTCCTCACAGGAGCCTCCTTAGAGCCCAATATGGAACAATGACCCAAAATGTTATTTATTTATTTTTAAATCCAGAAATATAATAATTTGTTAACATATTACCAAAAGTGTTGACCAGAAATGTAATAAAAATGATAATAAAAAAACCCGAAATGTAATCACTGACCCAAAAAAATTTTACAGGTTACTAAATTTTAGGCAACAAGTTATTATGTTTTGGGCTTAGCATCCTGTTACATTATTGACCAGTTATTACATTTCAGGTTTTATTATAATTTTTTAACTACATTTTGGGTCCTTGTTACATGTTGGGCTCTAAAAGGCCTTAAAAACTACAACATATAATTCTGATGGATGTTTAGATTTTAAAGAAATCCGTCCACCAGACACGAGGCTTTCACCACTGAGCTATTAATCCCTCTTTCCCAGTGTGAGGCAGTAACAGACAGCTTCACCCACAGTGTTCGCTGCGTGGGAAGAGAGAGATGAGGTCCACAATATGTAACACTTCTGGTGATACAAACCAAATGCATAACATAAAAATTGACTTTTCTGTATTTGAATTAAGAACATTAGCAAGCATATCCAGGTACATAAACTTTATACATTGTTTTACCTGTATCTCCAAGAAGTATAAAATAGTTTTCCTACAACAATAATCTACCTGCACCTTGAACACTGTACCTTTAAATCAGCTTTGACACAAGCTTTCGACCTTAACTGCTTTTAACCTTTAACCTGCTTTTAACCCAGCAGTTGCAGAGTTTTTCAAAGTGAAATGTTTTGAATAAAGCAAAAGGACCAGAGTGACCTTAGAAACTAACACGTGTTGCAGTATATTTCTTTTTCTCAGACCCCTCCTCAGCCTACAGCTGCAGAGAGCCATCAGGACCATCCGATCATCCTGCACTGTGAACACCGAGGCCATGTTAGTGTGATTATTTCACCTGCAGCCTGGGTTAACACGTTTAGTTTAGGACTGAGTTTAACTCCATTTTAAAGGGCTGAATAAAATTTTTTGACCTTGATCAGGCGAGGCCATTTAAAGGTCCCATGGCATGCCAATTTCACACAACTTAAAATAGTCCCCTGGTGTGTTAAAAGCATGTCTGTGACGTCCTTCGGTCAAAATTCGATTTGTATCAATTATTTTAGTGCTCTTTTTATCAGCTAAAAACAGCTCCGCTCAAAACCCTCCGTTTTGGGCCATGTCTCTTTAATGAAATGAGCTGCACCTTAGCCACGTCCACTTTACACCCATCTCTCTGGAGGGGGCTGTGGCTGTGCTCCAATAGCCATGTGCTAATGTTTACACTGGCTCGGTCATGGCTGCAAGTAGATTGCTCGTACAACCCTACCAGTTTGAGCCAGAGTCTGACCCAGAGGGAGAGGCTCCGGAAGAAACTCTTAGCCGCGTTCAGACCAAATGCGACTTGAAGCGACATAGTCGACACATCCTATGTATTATTCAAAGCCGCCAGGAGGGTCACGCTTAAGGAGGAAAATATGAATGTAGAAAAAATTACAACCAGAGCTCTGCTGCAATGTAAGATTTTGGTGCTCTAAAACTTCTCTGAAGCCTTTGCTAATTAATAGGATGGCCGACCGCCCAGCGTTAGCCGGGACGTCCCGTATTTGAACCAAAAGAGGCGCGTCACCGCACGGGTAAATGCTAAAGCTACATGCTGCTCCGGAGGGGGATTTTGTCCTCCGCCGGCGGAGTTGTCGGGGAAGAAGCGAGCAGCTAAAATACGGGAGGATCCGGTGAACTGGCGCGGATCCGGTGTGTTTCTCAAAGCGTGGTGGCCGTGCTGAGGCACCGGGGGGAATTCAGGCTAAACAGTAAGTCAAAATAAAACGTTCACACTTACAGATGCCACGTTTGTAGTAGGATCACGGATAGTTGGTACGGATCCATTCTTTATCTTCAGACATCTAGCAAATCCAGCGTTGAACTGTCTCTCATTGATAAAACAGTCCGAAGTGAAATGGTGCGCACATACGTACAGATATTTGGAAGTGCCGCGGGTACATTCCCGTCATAAGGGAGGGAGTTTTAAAAGAGTTTTGTGCTCGTTTGTGCAGCCAACAACAGAGCCTCAGAGCCTCTTTTTCAGATCATTCTTTCGCCATGGTTCTAACCGGAGCAATGCGAGCGAGCGGCCGGGAATAATTTTTTGGACAGGGCAGTGGGCGGCTCCATGGGCAGTACCATCAACCCGCCAGCACTGACATGACGTCATGTCAGTGGAGTTTTCAGAACGGCCGGCTCTGAGCACACAGTTCACACAGTTCCTAAATACGGAGATAACTAAAAAACGACTGGATGGAATTTTTTCGAACTTGGGGGGATTGTAGCGGTTTTCTTTCATAGATGTTGGCATATAAAATAAATTTGCCTCACAAAACTGAATATTATAATATCCGTATGTCGGCTTAAAGTAAATAACTCATCTGATCACTGAAACAAATAATCTGTTCAGCCGCTGCTGCAGCAGGACGGAGAGAGGACACGGAGACATGTCCAGGTCGAGCTGTGCGAGAAATAAGAGGAAGAGGAAGGAAGAAAAGGAGGGAGACGAATTACATATCTTGTTAACTTCATCATGTGTGTCTATTTACTAGATATTTAATTTAATTTAATTTAATGCGGTTTCAGCTGTGTTGATTCGGTCAGGTTGTGTATCCAAACACGTGCCAAACGCGCTCATCAGATCAGATATAGATCAGAATATATCTATATAGATCTAAATGTATGTGCTGACTCAGATCATTAGTTGTTGGTGATTATTTATTGCACTGAAATGTGCCTGACACTGTGGAAACCTGCCAGTGAGTCATCAGTGACGTATGCCAGTACGCCGCCGGTCTACCAAAATACCACTAGACCAGCTGCGCTCCGCCTGCGCTGAAAGCTGACCAGGTTTGAATCGGTGAGCTTTCAGCGCACTTTACACGCCAGTGGCGAGCACGAAAATGTCACTGCGTCCGCTGATTCTGTTGACACCTCCCCCTGCCACGCCACCACGCCCAGCTTGGCGGATCTCGGTTCGCCTCTGTGCGCCCCAGTCCACGAAAATACCAAACTGGCTGTACGCCGGGCTGCGCCAGACGAAAATACAACTGTGCGGGGCTCGCTGCCCTCCGCCGCCTCAGGGGCGTACATGAAAATAGAGCCCATGGTGAGTAACCTCTCAGTTTTTTACTCTCTCTTTTACGACACTACAGATCAGCCATAAGCTTGAGGGACTGACTGTGGACAGGGTTGATGTAAATATCCAGAAAAGACTAATTTTGCACATTTCCGACACACTTAAGCAGAATCCACAGTTCACTTGAACCTGGGTATTTCACTTCTTTCAAAGTGTTGCTTTTTGTTAGCAAATGTGGGACTTAAGTCTGACTGTACAGAGCTGGCTGATGACACTAGGGTCCTAAAGGTGAAGGCCACAAAAAAATCACATGACTGAACCTGATCAATACTGGAGATATACACATCAGCTAATGACTGTGTTGAGAGAGGCTGCTGCATTGAAAACAAGACTTTCTATAAAAGCTACAGAATTTTGCCTTTTTTGGTGAAAAGTAATAAACTGATTATTGAATAGCACAGATTTATATTTATTTCAGTCCTCTTATAGTCTCATTCAGTCCAGACTAAACTCTACAGCTGCACCCAGAAAAACAGAGTGAGGAACAACACTTTTGACCTGTTGTGTTTTTATGAACCAACATCGGTGTGTGTGTGTGTGTGTGTGTGTGTGTGTGTGTGTGTGTGTGTGTGTGTGTGTGTGTGTGTGTGTGTGTGAACTCTGTGCTCCAGATCATAAATATCTCACGGTGTGACAGGCCTGAGAGGCATGCAGGCAAGAGCTCTTCCGACCAGCTCCAGGAAGTTGGAGAAACACACTTACCCAGGAGTTATGATAGCGTCTAACCCTTAACCTCAACCTGGAAACTACAGACACTCCAAAAACATAGCCTGTGCATGAATTCATTAACTGAGAGGCATCCACACAATGAGGGATCGACATGTTAGCACTCACTGGGCTGTAGAGACTAAAGTCTGTCTTATTTTGGTGAACTGACAATTTCAGTGTTAAGCAGTATAAATTTTCAAGAAATAAGAGTTTATTTGTATGCCAGAGTCTGACGGACAGAAAATTTTGTGTTGCCACATCAGGAACATTTAAATGTTTAGTCCATTTTCTGCAAAAGAAAATGACTCAACACTTCTTTGATCTGTGTATTGAGGAGCTATGAAATATCCTGTTGTGTTAACTGTGGAGGAAAGAAAAAAGTTCAAATATCCTCCTTTCCAGAGGGGCATAATTATTTTTTATTTTTTTTTTATTTTTTTTGTGAATGCAGTATTTGTCTCCCCGGCATCTGTTGAGTTAGATCTCGCTTTTTCTACAACACAGACCACTCTCATGTTTTTTTTATTTTTTTTTTTTATACTATCGCCTGCCTGTAAACAAACAAAACTGAGTAAGAGTGAGGCTGTTGATGTGTGGACGTAAAGTGAAAAAGATTTTATGACACCGCAGAGTTAGTACTTATAAAATACACATTCAGTGGAAATACCCAGGAGAAGTCAGCTGTGCCCTCTCTAGCTCATAAAACTTTAACAATATACAACGTTGCTTTGTAAATTGGAATTCCTTGAAACTGATGACATGACTGTTTTGTTGTCAAATTCTGTGGCCCGAAGTTTTCCTTTTTCACCTCTCCAAGGTTCACTGGTGGTCTAGAAAATTTCTCTACAAGCATTTTGAACATGTCATGAAAGAGAAGTGTTTCCTCTTGTCAAAGATGTTGAAAATCAGTCCTGGTATTGAGTTACCTGTCATTCTTTAATTATTAAGTTGCTTAGTTTATTTCTATTTTTTTATTTATTTATTTTATTTATTTATTTTATGTTATTTTAAATGTATGTCCAGTTAGTTCAGTTTCAGAGTGTATGTAACTCAAAGAAGTTCCAGTGGTTTCTTCCATTTCTCCTGAAATGTCTGAATCCTCCTGTTTATGTAATGTCCCATTTTTTCAAGAGTCACGACCTCACATATCAGAGATTTCCACAATGGAACAGAAGGTGGGTCATCTCCAACCCACTTTACCAGGATTGTTTTCTTTGCCAACATTAAGAGTGATTGAATCACCTCCTCATGTTGAATTGGGGACACTTCCCAGCAAACATAAGAGTGAAATTGCTGGAACCTGTTGTCCTATTGCGATACTAATGTTTGCACATATTGCCCCCCAGAATACCTGAATTGTATTGCATTCCCACAGGCAGTGCAACCTAGTGCCTGCATGACTTTTACATTTGGGACAATTTGGTGAAACTCCTGCTGTATATTTACTGTAAATGTAGTGAAATGTATATTGCTTTGAGAGTGGGTGAAGGTGTCTCCATGTATCTAAGAGGTCAAGTTCCTTGTTTCAATTCAGGACAGCCTTGGCGTTTTTCGATATAACTGTCTGAGAGGGAGATCTGTCGATCATTGGGCACAAAGCACAGTTAAAATCACCCCCTATTATCATATTAGGATAGTCCATATCGGCTAGTTGACTGACCAAAGATGCGTAAAATGCATCATCTTGAACATTTGGGGCATAGACATTACCTAGCAAAATATTTTCGCCATGCATTATGCCCATAGACTGTATATAGAATGGACAGCGTTTGCCTCCTTTCTGGGTGAAGCCACTCTGAGAACAGCACCCTCTGTTGATGGGCTGCAGTATAGGTCATAAATCCCGCCTCCGCCAGCAAAGCTTATGGGGCTGTGGACAAACTTGAGAAATTTATTACACAGAACATAATTTTTTCTCCCCCCTGCTTGTGATGTTGACATGTAGTTACAGTAAGACTGGTTTGTGCTCAAGTCCTCTTTTTTCTGTACAGCTCCATTTTTAAAAGTTATTAGGGGGTTCATGTTTTCTATGATTGACACCTGATACAGCCTATGGGCATTCAGGGATTGCGTAGCTCACCCGGGGGATACGCTGTTTGAGCCGAGCGTCATCACAGTGACTCTTGGCGACTGCGCGGCCGAATGTGTGCATCGCTACTGTGCAGCTCTGGTTTCAGGAAATGAAGAAAAATCCCGGAAATATTGAGAACTTTTTGGCTTCAAATCTGTATACTGGCGGTAGGCGGAACCAAGTTGTCCATAGTATATACAGTCTATGATTATGCCTTTAACTAAAATATATCTCCCTTCTGTATCTTTACAGGACGATGTCACCCTGAATGGCAGGTTTTTACAAATTAGTTATCACTCCCCTCCTAGTAGATGAATGTGATGAGAAAAAAATTTGACCAACCCATTTCCTATAATATTTTTTGTGCTCCTCATCACTAAGGTGTGTTTTTGTAGGAAACCTATTTGAATTTTATATTTCCTAAGAAAGTTCAGGACAGATTTTTTATCACATTGTTAGAGCCCTTTATATTCCAAGTACTTACCTTAATGGACATCAACGAAAAGTTGTATTGTGATTTCCTCGCTGCATGCAACCATTAAACATAAAATGGACCAATTTGTAGCTTCAGGTGTACAGTTAACGTCATTAAACTTAGAAATGTGTTCCAAGCATGAACATAACAAAAAGCTTGGTATCACCAACAGCGTAGCACAAAAAACATACACACAAAAATACAAAACAATCAAAAATTAAACTAACTTACTAAGTTGTACTTTGGCCTTAACTCTTCGCTGTCGGCCTCACGTGTGCCTCTCTCCAGCTCCAGCTCATCTTGGCTATTTCATAAGCCAAGATGAGCTGGAGCTGAATCGTGATACTTTCATAAGTATCACGATTTTTTGTGAAGACCAGAGTGTGTCTAGCTTTTTTGACTGTGCTAGTGTAATAGTGTAGGAAGCAGGCCAGCGTGTGAACATGGACAATCACAAAAGACTGCTTATATCCTTTCTATCTTCAATATCTACTTCAGCCAGTGGTGAGCCGTCAGGGCCAGCAAGGCCTTCTCTGCTGGCCTAAGCATTCTCAGAAAAGTACATTTATTTATTCATAAATATGTAAATCAAACAATTCTCTCTTGTCTGTTCTCTTTATGTCATATTGGTTGAGCTGCTTCAATGTAGTATATGACTGTAGAATTTTTTATCCAATCATAATTTATCTAGTTGTGTTGTCAGGTGCAATGAAATCTGCCAAAGGCCTTCAGAATCAACAGAGCAGGCTCCTGTGCGCTTCAAGTGAACAAACACAGTCAAGGCCAGCTAGAAGGCCTTACGCTGAACTGGATATGTACGTGTCCTGTGATTGGATAAGCACAAACCTGAAAGGTGGCACTTTGAAAAATATCATTAGAAATCCAGAGATCCGTTAGCTACCAACAGCTATCGCTGACTGGACAGACACAGCTTTCAGCATTAGCCTCCATGTCCATAGAAAAGAAACCATCGATGGAACTGAAATTCACAGATAAACTGCCAGCCGCTGGTTGTTTAAAACCAAACAAAACCTCAAAAACTTGAAAAAAAACAAAACAAAAAACCTCAGTAACTCTGCCAAATTGTCTCAATTGGGTCATTTTTGCCAGTCCCAAGCCCAGATAAAGGAGGAGGGTTGGTATTGTGACATTAAAAAACAAGAATCGACAGAAAAAGTTCATTTGCAGTTCTAAACATATTTGGGGTGTTTTTTACTCACTTTTTGTCTCTCCCACGACGTTGTCCCTCTTCCTTACATCGTCCAGTACAATTTGGCAAAATTAGGTGATGACGTCATTTAGTGACTTATAGCAAATCTTAGGACAGCCAGTAGCTACTTTCCTTACTGAGGAGTTGGCAACACTGCCCCCTAGCAGTCTAAACCTTTAGCAGCATAGCTAAGAGAAACAGTGGCTGTGTCCGAAATGGCATACTACTCGTACTACTCCTACTAACCCCGCCCCCGAATTGAGTGGGCAGTGCTTTCACACTGTACAGTATGCAAATTTTGTGTATGCGAGAAATGCCCGGATGTATACTCAATCGGCTTCGATTTCTGAGTATGGAACAGAGCTTGCTTCATGTACTGCTTCTGCCCCACAATGCATTGCGCACGTCAGCTGGCAATATGGCCCTCTTTCCCAAGGCTGAAAAGAAATAGATGGCATGGGATTGCAATAATAATTACATATTTATAAATAGATAAACAATATTTAGTCAGTATACATTACACAATTTTTTATCATTTTATCATATTTTGATCTTTTTACCAGATTTATTTGTATTTTAAATTAGGATTGTAGGTAATGTTTTTAACTATTCGTATTAATTGACTTTATTTAAGTGTTTATTAAAGATGTATTTATTACAACAAGTTTGAGCATCTTCTCATCTCTGAATGCATCATCTAAGTGGTCACTCATATTAAGCACAGACCTCTGATTAATAAAAATTATTATTGGTAGAGAGCACATGGTTCAGAATATACAAATGGGGGAGTTTCCAGTTGACAATGTATATGTGAGCTTTACTAATTCTTACTTGGGGTTGAAAATCCATTAGGAAGTACATAGATGCCCTGAAGAAAAGACGCCTTTGACTTCTTGCATGGCGGCGCTCATCAGGCAGAACTACCTGATGGTTTCTGAAATTAGCATTGTACATGAAAAGAATGTAGTCAGGAAATGATGTATTTGCCAAGGAATAACCGAACGAGGTCATAATAATTATATTGTGTGTTGGTCATTTTGCAGCCCTCTGCTGCTCATCACACGCCCAGCAGGTGGTGTATAGCGTCATCACCATGGATACACAGATGTTTGTGCGATTTTTTTCATTCACTGCCGCCCGGTTTGTGTCGCGTAGTTGTTGATTATGAAAACACTTTGCAATAATTTGGAAACGTGAAGGGGGAGCTGCTGCTACCGGGTGTTTATGCAAACACCCACCAAGCGGACACTTCAGTCTCCGAAAACGCCGAGACAAATTTACAAACAGCCACTTTTTCAAACAACTGGGCTCATAATCGTGATGTAAACACTTACTTTCTCGCTAGAAAAAATATTGTTATTGAATGAATTTATATAATTTGTCCGGAATGCAGTCGTTCTGTGTAGCTTGTGGTAGGTCTATTTAAATTTTACCGGCGCTGCGTCCGGCCGGCTCGAAATGCATTCTGGGGTATTTAGTATGCATCTGTATGTAAACGCTCGGGCAGCCGCGGCATACTCAAATAATCTTCGAGTATTCAGTATGCAGTATGTACTGCTTGAGTAGGTAAGTAGACAGTAGGCAGTATGCCATTTCGGACACAGCCATGATCTCCTTTCATTTTTGCAGCCATTTTGTGTTCCTCTCACTACTCAGCTGATGACTACAAATTAAACTCTTATTGTGAGATTAAACTTACTTTCTGATAAGACGACCCCCTACACTTGAACACCACCTGTAAAGTTGTACATAAGACAGAGTCATCATTTATTTAAGTAGATAACTAATAATTATAATAATACATTTTATTTGTGGGCACCTTTCAGGGCACTCAAGGACACCTTACTGGGCAATTAAAAGACACATCAGTAGAATAGTAAAATCAATGAAAAACACATCAACACAACAAAGTATTTAATAAAAAGTTGTAAGTCTGGACTCTGCAGCAGATCATCAAATGATCTACTCCATTCATTACTGATCCATTCTGGTTAGAAGAGTCCTGACCAAGTACAGTCTCTTCTTGTTGTGGTCATAAAAATATTTTTTTTATTACTACAAGTACAGTTTTAATGTTGACCGTGATGAGGCAACGGCTAAAATATGAGTGATTAACATGTGAAAGGACTTTGCGGTCAAAGGTCAGCTATTGTTGGTTAAATCTTTACACCATCTTCAGCTTTTAATGATTAATGTAAGACAAGAACTAATGTCTCCAAGCGTGTCTGTGTGTGTTTATGTGTGTCTTTGAGAAGGCCTGTGATGGACTTATGCCGTGTTTGAGTCAGTGAGAAGTGGAGGCAGCAGGACAGCACTGAACCACATAAACAGTGTCAGAGTTTAAAATAGACCAGACCTCCCAGTGTCTTACTGTCCCACACCGGCATGCATGCACGCACACACACACTCACACACACACACTCCTCTTGTTCCTTGTCTCCACCTCTGGCAGCCCACTCTCATCCTGTCATTGTCATTCTCCCACCCAGGGACAGCATTGTGTGTGTGTGGCAGGGGTTGTAATTTTAACAACCTTTAATTGACCAAACTTTTGTTCGACATGCGAGCAAAACATGGTCACATCAATCTAACGCCAATTACAAGCGACTCCTCGCCGAATGTGCCCCTAGTCTCCGTGACAACCTGGATGATTGATCACCAACAGCAATGATTCTCTAACCTGATCAGGCAAATTACCATGGCGACTGCTGGGGCCATCTGAGTCCCGCATTGCAAAATTAAATCCACTGAGCTCACCACCTCCACTCACTGACACTCTGACAAAGAAACACACACGCATCTGATTCTTCTTCTTTCACCATCAACATCACACACACTTTTTTTCTCTCTGTCTCTCTCTCTTTCTCTCTCTGTCTCTCTCTCTCTCTCACACACACACACACACGAATTACAGAAGCTTCTTCATCCTTTTTCTCACACAGACTGAGAGAAACCGGGGCCTCACGGGGCTCTGAGCACCAGGTGATAGGAACGGTAGGGGGACATGAAGACGTATTAATGTACTAAAGACTTAATGAACCTGCAGCCGGGGGGTGGGGGTGAGGGTGGGGGTGGGGCTGGTGTTTACTTTATTACTTTACAGCAGATTAATGGGGATAATCATTTAAGTGATGGAGATGGATTACCCTCTCAAAGCTGGCTGCAGCTACAGAGCCGCCCACCTACAGCCCACACACACACATTCACAAACACACACACACACACACACACACACACACACACACACACACACACACACACACAGAGTTGATGAACCAGGTGGCTTCATGGTGAAGTGGTCTTGAGGAAGAGGAGACTGGCAGGACACTTTTGATGATTTTATAAATAAAATGTATGTTTGGAAGTTACTGAATATTCT